ACTTCTACTACTTCTACTACTTCTACTACTTCTACTACTTCTACTACTTCTACTACTTCTACTACTTCTACTACTTCTACTACTTCTACTACTTCCCCAACCATCAACCATACAAACGGTGATCAGACCAGCAGGGACCACATGCAAGACGATTTGCGCCAACATTTGCCGAACGAGCCTCTTCTGCTGTCGATATCCTACGATAATCAAGACCTTGCCCAAGTGAAGAGGTGGAATAGGTGTGCTTTCTGCTTTGTCTTTGCATGACCTTTGCCATTCAAGATAGGTAGGCAGTGAGAACAGAGGGGCATGCCGAATAACGTGAACCGCGAGTTCAACAACGTACCGAGCGTTAGTTGTGTTGTTGTATGATGTTCGACGTTTTCACAGACGCCATCCTTCACGTCCACGAAAACCATGGCAGCTTGTGGCTGGGCATCCTGTCTATAGCTGGCTTCGCACTCCTCATGTACCCAGATGTGCATTTCTCTAGTATACCTAGAGCGTTGATGGGCAACGGTTAATTTTTCCGGATAGAAATACTCCATCGGCGATTGGACAACATCAGTGGGCACGATAATTCACGCGCAGGACGAAGTCGATTTGTCCGGCTGCTTCTATCCGTTGCAATAAAGAGCGCTTGCGCTGTTTGGGAAATAGCACACGATATTCCCTGTCTTCCTCGGCAATTGCCATGGGGCCGAACTGCTTGGTATCACCGATAAAGATTGTCGGCGTCTGGGGGAAGTGAGAGAAGGTCAGCGTAGTCATAGCCTCTGTGAGACGACCGGCTTCATCCACAACAATGAAAGTAGGAGCCCAATCCTCATGATTGTACATCATCTCCAAAGAGACTGGTGTACCCGCAACGATTTGAGTTCGTTCGAGGAACAAAGATAACAGACGTCGTCCTTCAGCGCGGATTTCTTTCAAGTTGAGCTGGTATGCCGCAGGATCTGTAACATGCTGATTCCAGTATCTAATCATAACTGAGAATTCATCAGGATTCTCACGAACAATCTTCTGGGTTTGTTCTGACAAAGAGTACTCATCGAGGGCAGGATTACGCTCACTGTAGCAGTCTGTCTTGAAGTTATTGAGTCAGGACACAGCTTGTCGTTCGGTCTCTGTTGTCGCACCGTCGAGGGAGAGCAATTCTGGTGGACTGTGTGGTGCTACCATGTTGCTTAATTCATGATTATGTGGATAAATGCGGACGATACATATGGATGGCATCCTTTGTTTGAGTCGACTCACTGCATCGTCAACATGCTTTTCTAATACGCCTATTCTGCAACTGTGTTTATAATGGGTACCCTGTAATAGTTAACGCGCACAAGAAAAGCAAAAGCAAATTTTTCTGCTGTTGAGTTCTTAAATAATAGTCTAATGATTTTACACTTCATGAAAAATTTCTATCCATGATGAGAAATCGTTGGTCTCTGGATTTACTGCCACCAAAGCAATATGCTCAAGGAGCGTCAATCTACCAAGTGGTTCAAAACACGTAGCCATATGACAACCTTTGTAAGCCGTGCTGTTGCTGTCACATGTCATAACAGTACTGGGCTAATAGATATAATTAGAACATATCCGTGTGAAGTCAGCCGTGTTGACGAGCAATATGTCGTTGGGCGTATGCGCCAAGAGAATGCAATGCGACCCATTCGTCACAAATGTAGAAGCAGGTGACAAGTTACTGCATCTAGAATCATTGATAAGGCTAACAGATTTAATAAATGCTTGATATGGGAAATGCAACCGTTGCAGCGGAAGTTAATTAACGTGATCGGATCAACTTTTATCGCCGCCGCTTGTTCATTGTGTATAGTCTCAGTTTGTAAGCAAATGACACAGACTGCTATATGTATTTATCTTTTACTATATTAGCATTCTTTAATATCTCAATATCCTTCCTAGGTATAGCATCACTGACGAGAAAAAAAAAATACACTTCTACCTATATAAGTTCTAGGCCATGTTGCGGCAATTGCGTCACATTCCCCCTGCTATTGCTGGATCAAGCACGGCTGTTTCGGTTCGGTAAAAGCAATCAACTCGCCGTCAATCATAGTAGGGTCTCTGTCATTACTTATTAATATGACAATGGTATCATCAGACCCGATCGAAGCGCAACCCCGGAACTTCATCCCGATTTGGAAGGTCGTTTATCTCCATGATAAACATCCGTTTCTTGGCCTCCCGATATTGCGGGCGTCTAAGCAAATTTTGGCATGCGGATGCCAACCAAGGCTTATGCGCTGCACGTTAAGCTTACATGTATAGTTACATTTAGACTCAAGTATTCCCCGCTGCTAGTGATATGAAGATAATGTTATAGAGCGCCGTGCCCGCCGTTAAAAGGATTCCGAATTGCCTAGTCCCGAGAAAGCAGTTGGATACAGACGCCTACTGTGAAATGTCGCCAACTAGTGACTACTAGACTTCCTATCTTGCTTTCAAATCGATACAATGACTAACAGGTAGATTACTTGTAGTGCGATGCAGATGAACTTTTGCTGTCCGCGTACTTATGCAGATTGCACTCACTGTTACATCGCCCAAGGCTCGCGATATCAGAGTTGCTGTATTTATACAAATTCGTTGATAAGACAGTCATCCTGCCTTGATTTGTTCACGAGACTCAAATCTTAAGCGGCTTTCAAGCTTCGTTGCTGATCGCTCATTCGTTTTTAAGCCAGACCTTGCGGGCCAGTTGCCATGGACTTTTGTCGACCCTAATTGGCTTGGCATGCGGATTCCGATGCCTACAAAAGTTCTTGCTAAAGCTCTCAGTGTTGATAGCATCGTTCGAAAGACACCTTCCTTTTCGCTTTTGTTATTGCGCAGAATGGAGTCGCTAAGACGGTTTTCAGAGCGAGAACCAACTTTATTCGACCATTTGACCGTTGCATCGGGATTTGTAGTCCGAAAGGGAAGTTCAGATGAAACATCTCAATTGACGAACAGTATATCGTTGTTGAGCATTATGAACATAAAAGGGACAGATGGAATCTCACATTCCAGGAGATTTGGCAGGCTGCTCAACCAGGTCAATCACTTGGTCTCAGTTGTGGTACTTCTCAAATTTGTTTCCCTCTTGGCTTCTTAAAGACTACCATCATGAAGTCAGCCATTCTTCTTGGCCTCACTGGCCTTGCTGCTAATGTGAATGCCCATCCCGCTAAGCAGCCAGAGACTGGTAACAGCCTGGCTAAGCGTGGCGTTGATATTAGCAAGTATCACTTGCCTAGTCTCTCTCAGTACACGCCTTCATCAAACATCGAACAAGAGGCCTCCCTACAGGCTCTGTCTTACAAACGCAACTACGTGGATACAGCCACACGAGCTGTCAAGAAGGCTGCCCCTAAGTCTGAATTCCGCGTCGTGGATGACCACTACATCGATGTTGACGGCATTGGTCACGTCCACTTTAAGCAGACAGCACACGGCATTGACATTGACAACGCTGACTTCAAGGTTAACGTGAGTGAGAGGCTGGAACAACTTGTCAAAGAGACCATGAGCTTACAAACATTTGTGAACCTAGATTGGCAAAGATGGCAGAGTCTTCTCTCACGGAAACAGTTTTTTTTCTGGAAAACTTCCCCAAGAGAGTCCCCTGAGGAAGCGTGACTTCTCAGACCCCACAAATGCCCTCAAGGGTGCTATTGACATTCTTGGTCTCCCAGTTCAAGCTAATGGTGTCACCGCCGAGGCTCAAGAAGGTACTGAGAAGTACACTTTGAAGGGCACAACCGGAGCTGTCAGCGATCCTAAAGCCCACCTTGTTTATCTCGTCAAAGGAGACGGAACTCTAGCTCTGACTTGGCGAGTCGAGACCGATGTCATGGACAACTGGCTTCTCACATACATCGACGCAAAGACCAACGAAGAGATTCACGGTGTTGTAGACTACGTCTCTGACTTTGCTACCTTTCAGGTTTACCCTTGGGGCCTCAATGACCCCACCGAGGGAGACCGTAAAGTTCTGACTGACCCGTGGAGAGTTGATGCCTCCCCCTTCACATGGCTAGGAGACGGAGCCACGAATTACAGCGTAACTCGGGGAAACAATGCAATTTCGCAGGATAACCCATCAGGAGGAGATAGTTATCTCAATAATCATCGCCCATCCAGCTCGACTAGGGACTTTCAATACCCCTTTTCGCTCACTCAGACCAACCCCACAGATTATAGAGACGCTGCCATCACCCAGCTCTTTTACACAGTCAACAAGTACCATGATCTGCTCTATGTCCTAGGTTTTAACGAAGTGGCTGGAAATTTCCAAACTAATAACAATGGAAAGGGTGGAAAGCAGAATGACCAAGTCATTGTTAACGCACAGGACGGTTCGGGTACGCTTGCATGATCTGAGAATTTGGATGAACCTATCCATAAAAAGTAAAAATTCAACTTACTGACGAGAATTAGGCACAAATAACGCAAACTTTGCTACACCAGCCGATGGAAGCAATGGCCGTATGAGGATGTATATCTGGACTACTGCCAGCCCTAAGCGAGATGGCGACTTTGAGGCGGGCATTATCATCCACGAATATACTCACGGATGTAAGTCTCTCTCACTGTACCTTCATACATCTTCCTTCTGACTCAGGCGGTTAAAACAGTGTCTACCCGTCTCACCGGCGGCCCTGCCAACTCTGGATGCCTTTCTGGCGTTGAGGCCGGCGGCATGGGCGAAGGCTGGGGTGATTTCTTTGCCACCGCTATCCGCTTGAAGGCCGGCGACACTCGCAGCAAGGACTATCCTATGGGAGTCTGGGCCGATAACAACGTCAAGGGTATCCGCCAGTATCCCTACTCAACCAGCCTCACCACCAACCCGCTCACTTACAAGTCTGTCAACACTCAAAATGAGGTCCACTCGGCTGGTACTACATGGGTACGTTGAGTGATAAAATTTGCAATTTTTTCTTTGTCTTTTTTCTCTCCTTTCTTTTTTTCCAAACATCTATTTCATTTCAACGGATGCATTTCTGCGTGGAGCTAAAACGTCATGTTCAATTGCTAATCTAAATTTCTTCCTCTCCTTAGGCCACGATTTTGTACGAAGTTCTCTGGAATCTCATTGATAAATACGGCAAAAATGACGCCGATTTCCCTACCTTTGACAGCCAAGGAGTTCCCACCGACGGCAAGTATCTTGCGCTGAAACTCGTCCTCAACGGAATGGCTCTGCAGCCCTGCACACCAACCTTTGTCTCTGCCCGTGATGCCATCTTGGATGCTGATCGTTCTTTGACCGGCGGAGAGAATCTTTGCGAATTATGGACCGCATTCGCCAAGAGAGGTCTTGGATCAGGCGCCAAATATTCCTCTTCATCGCGGAAGGAGAGCTACACTATCCCATCTGGCGTCTGCTAAATGCTCATTGGAAGTGAAAAGGGTTAAATAGTTAGAGAGTGGACATTGGGAAAGATGCTTTGCTGGAAAAGAGCAACTGGTGCACTCGCATATAGGCAAACAGATTTGCATAGTCTTATCATTGTAAATGAAGTAAATGAAGTAAAATTAACGCATACATATACTCCCATCGCACTGTTATGACTTCATGATGCACTTAGGGGGCGTATTACTATTCAGCGAAACAAAGCAGTAGACATGGAAATAGTTGACATAGCATACATAGTAGATATAGTATTACTTGTTGAATGGACACAACAGTGCCAGAGACAAGGTGGATATACGTAACTGCTCAACAGGTTCATTGTTTGTAAGAACAGTTTCAAATGTACTTCAATGGGTCAATATGCGTCATACACTTTGCTTTCTGTGGATCTGTACCTAAATACCGTCGAAAGTTCTTTTTCAACAGTCAATACACAGCGACATACAAAATTAGCCCGGATCATACTTTTACACACCAGACCTAGTAACAGTAAACAAACAATTAGACTACACCGGAGCAACGCATAATTAAATCACGCCTATACTTTAAAAGAATGACTAATGGTGGTTTAAATCTATATTCCTATAATAGTACTATATTCCAATACCAAGTCAAACATATATCGCGAGACACGCGTTAATCGGCATAACCGTAGATCGCTCCCGTATGGAGTCTTATAATCGCACAAAGTACTCCAATAACAACAGTTGACCACTTAGATGCCATATTCTGTGGACTCAGGGCTCTCCCTCTCATCTAATTTTCTCTTCAGTCTCGAGCTTGGCAGCGAGCTTCTCCCGGCTAGCGTGGCCTTCAATTGCCAATTGAGCAGAGTCTCTTTGGGTTTGGTGTCGAGAGATGCCGCCTCCTCGGTGTTGTCATGGCTGTTAGATTCCATGGCGGGAGTAGAGTGTGTGGTCATATTTGACATTGATGATGTGAAGGTCGTACAGTAGCTTGACGAAAACTACCAAGATGCAAATGGATATTTGTATGACAGCTTCGCAGAGTGAAAAGAAAATAGGAGAGGGAATTCTCTCGCCAGGGATGTGAACCTTTCCCATTGTTGATTCGCTTCTGAATGACTTATTCGTTTGTGTTTGGTATCGTGAAGACTTTATGGTGTGTAGCTTGTAAACGTCTCTTGAATGTGTTGAATATGGGCAATGCACTCTGAAGTGAGAATAGCTGGTATCAGAGAGAGTTGGAACGGCAATGATGTGTGAGCTGGTAAAGGGGGAATCAAAACATTTAAATAAACAAAGGATGTGCTCGGTAAAGCATGAACGCCGAATTAGCTTTTGGATAAGGCATCATCAAGTCATTCTTCGCAGAGATTGAATTACACTTTGTTTCGAAAAAAGGAGAAAATTAACGTATTGTGGAAAAGCATCGTAAAAGTGGCGATGCGGCTGTTGATAAATACCCTATATGTGAGCACAAGCCTTGCCCCGCATCTTTTTTTACACCTCAAGCAAACTCTCACAAAGTTTCCATCAACTCAATTCAACTGTCCATCCATGGGTGCGGCCGTAGTTTTGGCCCCGGGCCGTCCAGCCTCAGACTTGAAGTCTCGCAAAAGCGTATTCCTCGCAGGACCAACAAATCCCACTGGGGAGGCTGACTGGAGAGAAACGCTCACCGAGGCATTGATCGAGCTACCCATCGTGATATATAACCCCAAGCGCAGCGACTGGGATTCGACTTGGAAGGAAGATTTTTCAGACAGCCGCTGGGCGGAGCAAGTGGAGTGGGAGCTTGGGATGCAAGACAAGGCAGACATTGTTGTTGTCTTCTTTCATAAAGCCACTCCAGCGCCAATTAGTCTCTTAGAGTTGGGTCTGTGTGTTCGATCTGGAAAGGCAATTGTGTGTGCTCAGGATGGATACTCCAAGAGAGGGAATGTGGAGGCGGTTTGTAGGCGATATGGGGCCAAGTTTATGGCCTCTGAAGAGGATCTGAAGGATGCTGTGATGGAGAGGCTGAAGGGGCTTATTGCTGGGTGAGGTAGCATTTGCTTGCCGTTGGTACTGAAGAGAGTACGTTGGCTCGCCCAATTGGCTTTAGGATCAAGCTTCGAGGCGCAAATTCATATATCAGGCGCCATCGTTGCCATAGCAAGCATCGCATCTTAATGTTACGCGAGGCATCTTGACTCATAATGGCTGTATAGCATCCATTTTTTAAAAAAGCCTCGGTTAGCTATCAATGATAGTTCCGGCTCAATATTTACTCTCCTACGTGTGCAAACAATGAGCGTCTGGCAAGTCAACAAGATAGTCGATGCCTGGTTGGTATTAGCCAAGGCGAATTCCCTTCACCCTTAGTAATGGTTGGCCGTGACCGGGTCAAAAGTAGACATACAACATGACTGACAAGGGTATAAAATTGTTCAAATATATATAAGACCGCCAGCCAAGATATCTCTCAAGATCTAGCAAAATTATCCGTATTATGCAACATTAACAACAAGTAAAAAAGGCCCAAAATATCACTTCGCTTCTGCTGTCCCGGACACAGGCTCTATACTGGCCTTTCCACCCGCCGCCGCCGCCGCTACTGCCGTCTTCTTCCCCTTCAGCTTCTGAATAAAGGCCGCCACCTTGTCCTTCATGGCCGTGCGGGGAACTTCATTCGCACCGACCATGCGCCTAACGATGATGTTGTATATGCCTCCAAATGCAAGCGCAACAGTGGTCGAAGTGAAGATGATGACGTTATACGGCATGCTGAAATCGGGAGTGGGGAGATAGAGCAGTAGACTCGTGGTGCGGATGTTCATGGCTTTGGGCTCCAGGGTGGTGATGACCGCAGCGGCGACGTCGAAGCCACGGTTAGCATCGGGAGGATACTCTGTGTATCGGAGAATGGATCTTTCAAAGTCGTATGTGAGGAAAACGGTGCAGCGAGGAGGGATGCTAAGGAGGAGCTCCAGCTGTGTGCCACGAGCGCGATCCAGGGCAGGGCGATAGTAAATCTCCTTGATTAGATCGGCGGAGGAATTCGTGTTAGGTGATGAGGCTGAGATGCGAGCAGAAAGAGTGTGTAGGTAGATGCGCATAAACCAGGGGAGTGATTCCATGTAGACAAATTCAACTGAATCATCGCCTGGGTTGGTGAGGATAGCTTGTACACCGCCGTGCTCCTGTCCGTGGCCAGTAAAGCTGCGGTCAGCGTAGAGCACAGGCGTTTCGGGCTTGACAATGCCCAGGGGGGCAGCTTCTCCTCCTTCGCTAGGAAACTCAGACTTGGTCAACACAAGGGTGAATTCCTTGTCTTGCTCAATGTGGTAGCACCGCAAAGAATCGTTGTTAGGATACCTAATCTCATGGGCGCCTTGTGAAGCAAACAAGTCTCGAGTTGGCGGAAGGTGAACACAGACTGGGGGAACCTCATCGTCGGTCAGGGGACAGGTTCCCTTCATAGTTCGTCCAAAGATCTGAGATAGTGTCCAATCTTGGCCACGAAGGTGGTCAATCGGGTAGCAAGCATCGTCTGGCTGGTGGTACGGCTTCGTAGTGTCGCAGATCAAGTCGTGGCCAGGAGGTGGTCGTGGAATAGGGTTATCTGGAGAATCGAACGTTAGATACGAAATGTTCTGAAGGTGGGCAGATAGACATACCGTGAGGTCGCTTGGATCGATCAACGTCCAATACCATGTCAACTGTCTGTTCCAGCTGGAGCACGCACTCGCCCTCGGACGGGCAGATGGGCCGGACATCGATGGCCATGCTCTGGAACGACGCATCAAAGAGCTTGTGTCCATCCAGCAGGCTCGCAATTCCAGCCTTGCCCTTGCACGGCAGCATCTTCAAAAAGGGCGTCAAGTTCTCTGTGCAAACCACTTCGTGCGGCAAGACGCCATGTAGTAGCCTGGTATTCGCAAGTGTTGTGTTGGGATGATCTCCCTCGGGCTGGAACGACACAACAGGCCGGATTGTCCTCGTTCCGTCAATGAAGTTCAGACTGGCGCAGAAAAGGCCAGAAAGCGCATTGGTCAGGGTCAGCCACTTCTCGTCTGCCTCTTCGTCCGTCTCAGCATCCAGCCACGCCCACAATTCCACTCCAGTGCCGCCCTCTTTCGTGCCGTCCCATGGTCGAGTTCCCCAGCTCTCTGCATCCCATCTGCCCAGCGTGAACCGTAAGTGAAGCTCTCGTGTGCCCGCGTACTGCAGGATCTGTCCCAGCGATCTCGGGAAGAGGCGGAAATTCTGTGCCTCAAAGTCTGCGATGGAGGTGTTGGCTCGGAAGTTGAAGCTCGCGAGGAGCGCCGATAGAGGCAGCGGCCGTAGATTCAGCTGCTCATGGTACTCGGTCGCGGATACCAGCGCGCTTGGTATGAGCAGCGGCAGAAACGATAAAAGAGAGCGCATTGTGCCGAGAAAGGACAGAAAATAAAGAGAAAAGGAAGGGATACTCGAGTCGCTGGCGCGATTCGGGCGAGATTCACATCTCTCGAAACGAATTCTTGATATTGCCAGATTGGAGTAGCGGGTACGTACCACGAGTTGAGCTCTACTAGCCACACACACACACTGCCCGCCATCATGCCGCTGAATGCATGCGCCACAGCAGCTTTTAACGGTTCGTACAGGCGATTCCCCCGCGCAAATCATAGCGGTGCCAGGGGCAGCTTAGGCTTAAAACGTCTCCACCCGCGGCATCTGCAAACCACCAGCCACAGGCCGATCCGTCATCTCGAACTCGGAAAAATACACTTCTACCATCTGCTTCGATACCACAACTCCAACCCATCAGCCCTATCCACTCCAACAACCCCTCAGCCACTGCGCCGTCCCACACTCCTCCTCCCCAGCCAGAGCACTGTCATCATGGCCGCCGAACAAAGAAAGCTGCTCGAGCAGCTCATGGGCGCGTCCGCCTCCTCGCGCGCCCAGCAGCTCTCGCTCAACGACCCCAAAGTCTGCCGGTCCTACATCGCCGGCACGTGTCCGCACGACCTCTTCACCAACACCAAGCAGGACCTCGGGCCGTGTCCCAAGGTGCACGCCGAGGCCCTCAAGACCGAGTACGAGGGGCTGTCTGAGCGGGAGAAGCACAAGTACGGCTTCGAGTACGACTACATGCGCGATCTGCAAAAGTACATCGACGAGTGCAATCGCAGGATAGATGCGGCGCAGAGGCGCTTAGAGAAGACGCCCGATGAGATTCGACAGACGAACGCTTTGGTGAGTCCTTTCTCTCTCGCCTTTCACCTCAATTGGGATATACCTATATGCACATGCCTATATACAAACCGTGAGAGACGCACTTCAGCTAACCATATTCTCCTCGCAGCTCAAAACGATATCCGACCTCACATCGTCCATCAACAGCGGCCTCCTCGAAGTCGAAATCCTCGGCTCCCTCGGCGAAGTCTCCCGCGCACAAGACGAGCTCTTCCGCGTCCGCCAAGCCGCCCAGCAGAAAGCCGAGCGCGAGAAGGAGCTCAAGGCCTTATCAGACACCTCCGGCCCCTCGGGCCACCAGAAGCTGCAGGTCTGCGACGTCTGCGGCGCCTATCTTAGTAGACTGGACAACGATCGCCGACTGGCAGACCACTTTTACGGAAAGATGCATCTGGGATATGCGCAAATGCGTAAGACGTACGACGCGTTCCCGAAGGAGATGAAGGGCCGGTCACGGCCGGCTATGGACGATGATGGGCCCGGCGGAGGTGGTCCTAGGGGACCCAGAGGTCCTGGAGGATACAGAAGCGGGAGGGGAGGGAGAGGGTATCGCGGAGGGTGGTAAAATATCCTGTTACGGGATGATAAAAATTATTTTGCATTACAGCTCGGCGTCTGGGAAGCTTTTTGTGTCAGTCAACTACAAACGGACGATAATCAGGGTACCTCTTAGTGTTTAGTGTTTTATTATTGGTAGGACGAGAAAAAGATCGTACATAGAATCCGGAATACAGAGTCATATACCCCTTTAAAACATCGGCCAAATGCGCTTCAATTTTTGCCATCTTTCTATCTACCGATGTATTACGCTGAGAGCAACAAACTAACAGGACTATTAATATCAAGAAAGGTGGTATCCTTGCCCCAGTAGTATATATAATTTTTTTTCCCCTTCCTGTCCTCCAACATCATAAGAATAAAGCCCGAAGAGGCCGCTGATACTTTCAAGAGAAAAGTGATAATGGGTAACAAAACCCGAGTATCCTCTTGTAATCGATACTGCCTGTCCTCCCATTCTTGCTAGCGTTTTCGCCTGCGTCTCAATCTCTTATTCCCAACCTATGATTGAGACTGATTCAAAGCATCAAGAGCTTCCATCTCATCATCCCACCTTCCGCCAGGCGCAACAGAGGGTAAAGGCGGAGGAGGGGCCTTAGCCGCCTGCGCCATGGTGGGTTTTGACTGTGCATTGCTGCTCTGTTCTGTATCCGCCTTCGTGTTGTTATTGTTGTTATTCTTTCCAGCAGGAAGGGCGGGGAAGTCGTCGACGGCAGGGATTTCTTGTTTCGCTGCACGAGCATCGTTGACTGGTCCATCATAACCGCCTCGGCCTCGACCCCGACCTCTGCCGTTGCCACCTCTCCCACGATCTCCCCGCCCTCGGCCACGGTAGCGGTCATCGAGGAAGCGGTCGACATCCGGAGATTCCTCATCTCGAGCGAATCGGCTTCCACCCAGACCTCGGCTCTTGGTTCCCCTGACACCGCCGTTTGCGCCGCGAAAGCCCCTTCTTGCCTCTTCCTCCGCCAGGGCCTCTTTGCCTTCGTCCCAGCTGCCATCTTTGATGTTCATAGCCTTGAGCTTCCTCTCGCGATTCTTGGCCCGCTCATCCTCTAACTTACGTCTATCCTCCTCGCCACGTTTCCTTCTCTCTGCCTCCTCTGCTCTTCTTTTGCGCGCCTCCTCCATTCCTCGCGCGTATGCCTCGGCGTGCTGCTTCTCGTCTTGTTCTGCCATCTCAAACTTGCGCGCCTTCTCTGCTGACAGCAATTTCATTTTCTCCATCTTAGCAGCCAATTCATTTTCTGTAAGCTTCTGTCGCGGGTTAGAGCCAGACTTGGCGCGTGCGTCGGCGCTGACGGCGGTGTTTTGCGGCGGAGATATTCGCTGCGGTCTCTCCTTGGGAGTAGCGCTTGCATTAGAGGGAGGAGGAGGAGACTGTGCCTGAGCCTGAGTAGAAGTCTCGTCCGGGGTTTCAGCTACGGGAGCCTTGGCTTCAGCCTGTGGAGGAGCCTGTTCGGGAGCTGGCGCGGGACGTTTCGCAGGAGCTTGCTTCGGCGCTTGCTTCGGTGCTTGCTTCGGTGCTTGCTTCGGCGCTCGTGTAGGAGCCTTTGCTGGTGCGGGAGAAGGCTTGGGAGAAGGGTTATCAGCGAAGCGCGAAGATGAAAGGCCCTTGGAGGGCTTCTTGCTTTTGGCAGCAGCAGGCGCGGGAGCTGGCGACGGCTTTGAGGACGGAGGAGTTTGACTCTGCCGAGATGGTGCAGCGGACGTTGGAGCCTGAGCTGGCGCTGGGTCCGGAACTGGTGTGGCAGCTGGCTCAGGCTGCGTGTAAGGCGGGATATAAGGCTCTTCTGTGATCAGGACGGCTTCAGACTCGACCGGCTCGAAGTCGTCGTAGAACAGATCGTCGTCCGTCCGGCCCCCAAATTGGTCATCCATGGCGCCGAGTATTGGGGATAAAAGTATTCAAAAATAGAATTCGCAAGATATATGAAGCAAATATCGAAGCAAATATCGAAGCAAGGTGACGAGCAAAAGCCGCGCGAGTCGAGGCAGCGCCAGAGACAAAGAAAAGAAACCACGAATTAAAATCAAGCAGGTATGCGACAGAAAGGCTGCAAAGAGAAAGCGATGCCCCGCCACAGAGTGTGGGGTGTGGGGCTCAGCTCCAGGCGCATCTGCAGCTCACAGTTTGCGCTACTTTTCAGGCGCAAGGAACCGTGTGGCGTTTGTGGCGAAGGCGGACGGCAAGGTGCAAGAGAGACTCTCGAATCATGTACTACCTCTTACCTGTCCAGCATCATTGCTGGACTGTTTGCCTGGATCAACCAATTCAGGTTTTCAGATTATAGGGCTGTTTCTCAAGTTTCGCATTGATACATTTAGTACAGTATGTGGAGCATTGACCTTTAGCTATACGCGTACTGCTTCTCGTTTCTATTCATAATCTTGTTAAAGTAGCAGTCCTGAACTGATTCTCTGCGTGTCTTATACAAGTCAATCAGAAGCAATACGCACTTGGCAGCATACATTCATTTTGATTCATTCCTTTCCCAGCATAATCATCTCAGTTTGCGCAATACAGCTTTCTTTGACTCATAATCAGAGGCCCCAGTCTCTTCAATCCGTGATAGGGTATGCGCCCCAGAGGTCTCGCTCTCTTAAAAGTGCCTAGCAGTAATGTTGAACAGAGGGTGAAAACAATTTTACGTTTGGGACAAGCTACCTAACTTGGCGGCAGTCGCTATGAACTTTAATGGTTGGCCTCGTACCTCTAGTAGTTGCAGTGAATGTGAATGTATGCTGGTCATCTTGGACGACATCGAGCTCTGTGCAGTCACTTGAAGACACTCGACTTTGCACGCCCTTGCAGTAGTGCATTTTCAATGAGGAATATGATTTTAGCTAAGAGCTGCAATCTGATAACTGAGGCAAAATAGATATAGAATAGTTTAGGCATTTATTTAATTCAAGTCGACTAGGTATTCTTGCTTCGTTGAGCTTGAAAGTCTCATACTCGTCATGAAACAACATAGAGAGTGTGATCAACTCATATGACTGATGCAGTTGATCTAAGTTGCAGGTCTAATTACATGTCCACGGATGCCTAATCTACGTGCACCTAGACTGATGCTACATATGCCTATCTATATTACCGAGCAATATTTAGTACCTTGACACGACCAGCAAGTCTGTCTGTTAGGTTGCTGGAATGAGGACCCTTTGTTAGTTGGCCGTGCTAACGCCAACTCACTGCCTCTTATCAAAATCCCATACCTCAGCAGCCACACCATCGAATCTAACAACATACGGGCACTGCAACCTTGGGTGTCGTAGAGGTCTGAAACCAGATAAGCCGAGACGAACGGTTCGTTTAGGGGCCCCAGCTTGAAATGGCACCACCTGGAACCCACTAAGAACCACCGCTCGATTAGCGATGCAAGGACTGGGATGTTTTCATGGCCATGGACGGGAGGTACTGCCGGTCTTGGGGCGGTGGACGTCAAGAATAGTATAATATGCCAACATATCTTGGCTATTCGGCTGTTGTGACACGTATTTCCATAACATCCAGGTCATTCTTGTTTCCAGCATTAAGATCGGTACATGTAGCCATATCTATTGCAATGCACCCCTGTTGTCTCCTATAAGAAGCTGCCGCAATGTCCCACACAACCACCATCGACACACCTACGAAAAGGACGAGCAACTGCAATAATGGAGTGAAGAAAATACAGCTCACTGCAACTGCAGCGTGTACAAAATGCAATCAAATGGCTATGAGAGAAGAGGCGGCGAAATGGATGCGCAGAAGAATTGGTGAGTCGAGCCTCGTTACATACAGTCTGCGGTTGATCTTTGCCATACACCTTCACGTCACACACATCGAACATGGCACATTGTACAGATTTGGGAGTAAAGAAATTGCAGCCAGCTGCTAGTTACCGAAGCTGAGCCCATCGAAGCGGGCGTGGATGCGGCATAATGCTGAACGAATAACGCTTAGTGAGCAAAGAGGCAGCTTGTGTGGTCTGAAATGAAGGATCAGAGCATTCTGCAAGGTTATACCGAGCCCGATCTGTCTATTGCAACAGGAAGGCATAGTCAGGAGTCACGGCAAGATAACAAGGCCGCTGTCAGCGAGAAAACAGCTGCGTGTTTTAGCGCTCCAGGGCGCTGCTCAGCTGAGGCTATCGCTGCTGTGAGCCCTGTAAGACAGAGAGGCCTTGCGCCGAAACCGCACTAAGCACGTCATTGCTGCCAATCACGTCAGCGATGACTTGACTCAATCCTCCAGATCTAGACTTTTTCTGTGAGACCGCAAATGCCATTGTGCGATCCTCGCGCATCCTCCCCGAATCTCTCCCTAGAGCGCGTGCGAGGCTTGATCTCTTTGCTCGCAATCCATCATTTCTGATTCTTTTCATTACTGTGCAGCTGTATTTTGACGTGTTATGGTCTGGGGCAACGACTCGCGAGCCCCTCCAGCCTTGCACATTTCAAGCTTCGTATCAGGAGGATTCTCTGACCGGATCTAGCCACGATGCCTTCGCTCACGGTCGACCCGGCGGCGGTGACCGTCCTGCCAACTCTCGAAGTGCCCGATTGCCAACAAACCCAGCCAGAGCTGCTTCATAGCCTCAAGCACAGCAGCAGCGTTCTCGCACTCGCAGTCAGCCCGCAGCACGACTCCATCTATGCCGGCACGCAAGATGGCGAGATCGTCGTCTGGTCTCTCTCAACCTTCCACCAGGTGCAGCAGGTCCAGGCGCACAAGAGAAGTGTCATGTCGCTCTCGCTCTCTCCGGACGGCTCTTACCTGTTCTCGAGCGCTTGCGACCCCATCATCAACGTGTGGTGCCCTCGAACGCTTCGACGTCTCTACGAAATCTATGGCAACCACGATGTCGGCGACATCTTTTCCACAGCGTACAGCCCGCAGCACGATACGCTGTACATTGGCGCGCAGAACATGACGATACAATGGGTTAGCCTGAGCGATCCCAGCACAAAAGTGACGCCCGATTCGCAGCGACATCCGGATCGAAGAAGTCATCGATTTTTCGACTCCAAAGCTATTGGCGGAACGAGCACTCCAAGACGCAGCGAGGACAAGTGGGGATTGATCCCTCGAGCCAACAACGTCTTGGAAATCGATAGTGGTGCAATCCGCAAGTTTGCCCATTACGGCTACATATACTGCATGCTGATTGCAAAGGGACCTACTGTCGAAGTTGGTCCCGAGGACGATGTGCTGATTTCAGGAGGCGGCGATGGCACAATCAAGCTTTGGAGTCTTGGGGCGCAAGGTAGAACTGATCCGAACGACCCCGAGCGCGCCGGCATCAAAGAGATCATGTCCCTTGGTGCAGATGATGCGGAATCTGTGCTGTCTCTGGCTTTGGACGGATCCTTCTTGTATGCTGGAAAGCTTGATGGCATTGTCGAGCTTTGGGACCTAGACACAGCCCAGAGGCTGAGGGTGATTAAGGCGCAGAATCACGACATAATGTCGCTCCAAATGGGCTGGGGCTACCTTTGGACTACTTCTGCTGACGGATGGGCCAATGTGAGTACCTTTTTTTTTTTTTTTTTGCCTTCTTTATTTCCGCTTCCAAATAGTATCCACTGACAGTATACTCTGCAGAAATTTAGTACGGCGCATTATGGGAAATACCAGCACGTCTCAAGAACAGTCGCTCAAAAATATCAATGTCTTAGCCAGTGGAAAGCGCACAACGGCAAAGAAAAGAGCAAAATATTATCATCCGCCTGCGCTACTTACAAAAAAGAACAGTATTACATCACCGGGGCCAACGACAATGACATCTGCGTATGGAATATCAAGGATGAGGCAGACCCGAAATCGGGTAACCTGAGCCAGACTGAAGACGATGTAATCCTCTCTGCCCTTACAGAATTCGTCTCGTACAAAACCGTATCATCCAGGCCCGAATTTGCAGAAGACTGCCGCAAGGGAGCGACCTATCTCGGCGCCCTGTTTAAGCGCATGGGCGGATATGTCGAAATGCTGAGTACAGGAGAATCGCATAACCCTGTGGTGTTGGCAAAATTCTCTGGGAAGAAAGAATCTGCCGATAGACGAAAGAGAATCCTCTTTTACGGTCACTACGACGTGGTGTCGGCTGACAACGAGAAGAGCAACTGGGCAACCGACCCGTTTACCGTCCATGGAGCTAATGGTTTCCTCTATGGACGAGGCATCAGCGATAATAAGGGCCCTATACTGGCTGCATTGTTTGCGGTGACAGACCTGATGCAGGCGCAGAAGCTGGAAAACGACGTCATTTTTCTGATCGAGGGAGAAGAGGAGTTTGGATCCAGAGGGTTTGAACAGGTAATCAAGAGAAACAAGGAGCGCATTGGCCCTGTGGACTACATCCTGCTGGCCAATAGCTACTGGCTGGACGATGAAGTTCCGTGTCTGACTTACGGGCTGCGAGGCGTCCTTCACGCCACTGTCTGCGTTGACTCGGCGCGTCCCGATATACACTCTGGCGTTGATGGCTCCTACATGAACGACGAGCCCCTTTCAGATCTCACAGCAGTCTTGTCAAGACTCAAGGGCCGCGGCAATCGAGTCCTCATCCCAGGCTTTTACGACGGCATCCCACCGGTGACACCAGAGGAAGAGGCACGCTATGACGATATCGCCTCTATCCTGTTGCGCCGCAGTGCCGAAGCCGTCTCTGAAACAGAGATCAAGAAGTCGCTTTTAGCAACATGGCGAGAGCCAAACCTGACGATTCACCGATACAACGTGTCGGGACCAGAGGGCAGCTTGGTGAGCAGCCATGCCAGCTCGCACATCAGCATGCGACTGGTGCCAGGACAAGAGGTGGACGCGATGGCGACGGCCCTAACAGGCTTCTTACAGCGCGAATTTGCTAGCCTTGGCTCTGAGAATAGGATCAGTATCCGCATCGATAATAAGGCTGAGCCGTGGCTGGGCGATCCAACAAACGACATCTTCCGTATCCTATGCGACGCCATTGTGGAGGCGTGGCCCGACTGCTTCGAGCCCCGGAACGACGCCGCCAATATGAAGCAATCAAGTCCAAGTGAACACGGCACAAATGGCAAAGCCCCTCCGCTGGAGTCGCCTGAGCTGCCGACGAGCAAGCCAAAGAAGCCGTTGTACATTCGTGAAGGCGGGTCTATCCCAGCCATTCGCTTCCTGGAGAAGGAGTTTGGAGCGCCGGCTGCCCACTTGCCTTGCGGACGGGCCAGCGACTCTGCCCATTTGGCTAATGAGAGGATGAGCCTCATCAACCTGGTCAAGGCGAGGGAGATTTTTGGAAAGGTGTTTGCGCGGCTGTGAGACAAAAGATGATGCTGTCGGGTAGTGTCCAGTACTGCTACTCTTGTTTTTCCTTTTCTCTTCGTGGAGAATGCTACCATTTCAAGAGACGGGATTATTGATTTTGTCATGGCGTTCAACATCATTTGTCAGTTATTCTTCATTATCATGATTAGACCATTAGTTCTTAGTGCATCCATAGCCGTCTCTGCTTTTTCCATTAGATACCCTGCCACCCAGAAAAAAAAAAACTTACTCGAATAGCATTTACATCTGCCAAAAACCTTGTTCTTAACAATAGGAGAATCTTATGTGACATTGAGTTGGCTGGGCGCTAACTTGGCCGGATGGCTTCCGCGGCCATGTGTCTTGAAGAGAGTTAAAAATGCTGTGGATGGACTGGCAGAAGGCGGGGCAACCAATGACAAGCCTGGTTATATCAAGGCCTGGGGAGGGTTAAAAATGCTGTGAAGCTCTTGCGGGAGGCCACCATCAGGGCAACTAATACCAAGCCTATATTACATCAAGGCCTGGGGAGGGTTAAAAATGCTGTGAAGCTCTTGCGGGAGGCCACCATTAGGGCAACTAATACCAAGCCTATATTACATCAAGGCCTGGGGAGGGTTAAAAATGCTGTGAAGCTCTTGGAGGGTTGGCATTGTGGGGAACAAATGATAAGCCGAGTTATATCAAGGCCAGGAGAGGGTTAAAAATGCTGTGAAGTTGGCTGGTAACTTCCTATGCTAACCTATGAATACACCCCCCCAAAAATAGCGAAGGCTCCCGTTGTGAGAGATTGTATTTCATATCCTGAACTGTGCTATATCCTTAACCATTTAACTAAGTGACAATAAAGAGAAAAAGAAGGAGTAAAAGGTAAAACGAGTGTGCATTCGTAAGAAGGTGATATTGGGAGGCTTTAGCTAAGGTTGTTATGAATAAGCCCAGCTACTCATGTTCTTTGAAGAGAAAAAGGCCTTTTGAGTGGGATATCGCCAGCTTTGCCGCCGCCTCGCATCCACTTCACATGTCAAGGCTATTGAGATTAGAATCCCAGAGTACATGTGAAGATGGCCTGCTGCCATGCTAACTTGGTAGAGTGCCTTAATGGTGGCAGTGCTAGTCAAGAGCGGTGCTAGTGGATCGCGGGATCGCTAAAGTGACGTCGTGGGAGCCGGGAGTGTGGAGATGGCGGTTTTGATAATTGGAACACTTTTGAATTCCATCTCTGGGCAGCCAGTTTCGGCTTTTTATTTCGTCACTTTTTTCTGTTTTATATACTCTGCTACTCTTATATCAAATAAATCTGTAATTAGAACCATTTGATTTTATTTCTTCCTCTTCTGCATCCTGCCAACAGCATCATGAGCGGCTTCAAGAAGATACTGCAGAGCCTCACAGGCAAGAATTCCAACCCCGAAACTCAGCCAGACGACAAAAAGCGCAATCTCCACTCACCCAGCGGCATCGACAACACCCAGCCCGAAGGCGAAAACCCGATTGGCGGCTTCACAGTCGAATATCTAGGCGAGCAGAAGTCGAGTAACTCCGCCAGTCGACGAGATCTAGGCTTTGCGGGCCATATCCAGGGCAAATGGTACGCCGTCTATGGCGACACTCTGTGGTGCAGCCCCGGCGTGACGGATCCGGACCAAGAGCCCGACCCGGGAGGCTTTCACGGCATGGTGCGCAACGCGGTGTCGGCGCTGACGGACGATCCGCTGCTGGTGCATGATTTGCATCTGAATGATGATGAGCCGGTGCCGCATCAGAGGCAGTTTACGCCGTTTAGGGAGGAGTGGGGAGAGACCAATCAGTTCGGTTTTGGCGGCACGAGCATCTGTGAAGTCGACTATGATAAAGCAGTTGGAGCTGTATTTTTCCTTGTGGTAGGTTTTCATTTTGAGTTGTTTCCTTCATGAACGACTACACTCACCTTTACTTACACACTCTCTACTACTTGCCTGACTTACATCTGCTTACACAAACACAATAGAACGACCATGAAAACTACCGCTCGGCAGGCGTCGCCCGAGTCGAGGTTATTGAAGGCGTGCCTACCATTACCCAGCGCCTTGGAGACCGCGGTTGGTGGTGGGACTGTTCTGAGGTCGCCAAGTACGGCGACATCGCAGCCTATCGCGATGTCAACAGCGAGTATATTTACATATGGGGCCATCCGCCCAACTGGGTGACTGAGTGGCCGCATACAGAATACATCTACCAAGCACGAGTCAAGGCAGCAGACGCTTTCAACCTGGACGCGTATGAGTACTGGTGGGGCAAAGAGAAAGGATGGCGGACGGAGGTGCTGACGGAGCACAATGCTGAGACAGCAGTCATGTGGGGAGCTGGACAGGGCCAGGTCGTTTACAGCGAGTATTTCAAATGCTACATCTATGTCCATTTGAGTAAGTTTTTATGGCTGGGAAAGAACCAAACTTAAACAAAAAACAAAGAGTCTAACTGTGAGATTTAGATGGCCCTAAAGTGGCTTTGAGGACGGCTCCGAAGCCAGAAGGCCCATGGAGTCAGGATAAAGAAGTCTATGAGGCGACACCGATTGATGGCGGCTTCGTGTATGCGGGAGTTGCGTATCCATATCTGGATGAAACTGGGAAGACGCTGACGATTGCGTATACAAATAATAATCATACGCAGGTTATAAAGGTGACGTTTGAGTAAAGGGCTTTTTGTTCTTTCTTGGCGATACACTACACTGTCAGACTTGGAAGAGATATGAAGGATTTTATAGATTTGTAAAGGTTAATACGGCTCCATGGCTTATACATATGACGACTTGCTTCAAGCTTAGATTCTCCTTGACCTACGCGGGCATTTCAAATCTCGTATATCATCTAATATTAGCTCTATCATCTGGTAATAGATCCAATCATTCGGCTGCTAATTCTTCCGCATCTAACAACCCAACTATATAATTTGCTACACGTAATCAACTTCAATGGCGAGACACAAACTCCATAATGCATCATTTAAGCCTTTTCTGAAACTTTTCCGCTACGAGGAGCGTTATCAACAACTGACAGGGCTTTTTAGCCGAGGTAGCCGACGATGAGTAAACGCCAGCTCCAGGGCATGAAAAGGAAGAAAATAAATAGTCAGTGCAGCAAATCCAACTTTAACTAGAGATATTCCAAGACGAGAGTATCGACAGACGTTGCAGCTATTACCTACAAATGCAGCTCTTCCCGGCCTGTCGAATGTTACTCTGCTCTACTACGCTGCGTTGCTCCCCCGCAAATATATCTTGGAAATCAGTCAAGAAACGGCAACCCCCACAGCGTGAACCAAGTGTCAACTTATTTCCACTTTTAGCACCATCCTAGGTCGCTAAAAAAGCGCCCCATCAGCCATAAGCAGTCAATCTTAGGCTTAAGAGTCAACTAGATGCGAATGCGAGCGCTTGGCTGTTAGTCTATAGTGAACGGCAAATCGGTTGCTTAACCTAGGCGGGGCTACCTCGGCTCGGACACGATCTGGGGATATGTACGGGGGACTGTTTCTGTGAAAGACTCATGTCTTTTTTAATGAACTAAATACTGACATCTTATCTCACTAACGCACATGCCATTCAGTTGCTACTAAGAGACCCAGTTCCGATCTGCCGTCTTTCTGTCTCTCTTTTCCTCTCTCCTCTCTCTCCTCTCTATTGGACCTACAACCATTAGGCGTAACTAGGGAGCAGTTCTTAGTTCAGTTCCCAGGCAGTTGATAACAGAGACACAATGAGCACCGAAGTAAAGATTCCTGCATCTCTGGAGCAGGAGAGCGCCATCAAGAGACTTGATGACAATACGTTCGAGGCCAATCTCTCACCCAGCTTCTGCATCGGCTCAGGTATGTTACACACAGATGCTCATAGGAGTGTATAACCCCAAAAATATACCACGTATAAAACTAGCCTGGGCCACAATTAACTAACACCATACTTTTCCCAGTCCCCAATGGCGGCTTCGTCGCCACAGTCTTTTTGCGCGTAGCAAGAGAATATCTCACTCCCAGAAACCAGCCCGACACCATCGCCGCCCACTGGGAATTCCTCAGCCGCACCGCCTCCGGCCGCGCCATCCTCGTCGTCGAGGAGGTCAAGCCCGGCCGCTCCATCTCAGTCATCCACGTCTCCCTCTACCAGACCGGCCTTCTCCCGCAAGCACCATGGATCTCGTCTGGCACAGTCAACGGCCGGGCAAAGTCAGAAAAGGTTGTCGTTGCGTATCTGACAAACAGGAGCATCGCGGCCGAGAGCGGCCTCACCCTCAACACCGGCTGGTCGCTGCAGCCGAAGCTGCCTGCGGTCAAGGACTTTTCAAAACTGCTCACCAACGAGGACCCGGAATGGCCGCCTCTGGACTCGATCATCCAGCGCAAAGTCGCCGCCGTGCAGCAGCTCCACATGTACCACTGCCGCGAAAGCCTGGAAAAGAGCGGCACGGCGTCCCTCATCGACTTGTGGGTTTGCGCCAAGAGCGGCGAGCCTTTTCGAAATACAAGTCTCGGCTTCCTCGTCGACGTCACGGCGTCTTTCGTGGTGGAGGTGCAACGGCTGCGGACAGAGAAGGAAGAACAAGCCGCGGGGGGCGAGTTGGCGCGCAAGGTGGCCTTTTGGTATCCCACGCTGGTGATGAACCTGGATGTGAAGAAGAGGCTGCCGGAAGAGGGCGAGAAATGGCTCTTTATACGGTCTTACTCGAAGAAGATTTACAATGGCCGGTCTGATATTGAGATTATCATCTGCGATAGAGCGGGGGATGTTGTCGCGCTGTCACACCATGTTGCGATGATTGTGAATTTCGACAGGAATACGGCGAACAGGGCTGTCGTTAAGAGCAAGGTTTAAAACAGTCGTCAGGCATGTTTATTTTACATCTTATTTTCTTGTTTGGCAATGGCTTATTTAGAGAGAAGCGGGCACGCGTCATGCTATGAGAACTGCTATATAATGATAGATGGAATAATGCATCATTCTCAAGATTCCACCGCAATGTGCATCAGAATGCATCACGGGCAAAACTAAGCTCCCACGGACAATGACGGTGTCATTTCACAGCGAGGAGTGGTTTTTGAGTTGCGCCAAGACGGTATTCTCCTGTATGTCTCACGAAACGGCAGCTGGAGATTGTGTGTCACAAAAGGTTGTAAAATCATCAGATCCAGGCGTACTTGAAAGTATAGCAATTGGAAACTACTATAGGTAGTATTGTCGGGTGTCCAATTACAGTCAAGATTGTGAATCTACAGCTATTTTAACCCTTTTCTACATCTACCTCTTCTATACGGACCAACCGACCTATTAAGCTACTGCTGCGGTAAACAACGAGAGGGGGCTGTTGAATAATAATTCTTCATTAATATGCACTTTTAGTAATGATGATTCTTCTGGCAGGCTTGGTGAATGAGCTCAACTCCCGCCAGCTGTTACAGCACCATGGCATCTGACAATTACGCAGCCAACGCGGTGATAGCACTTGTCGGACACTAGCAGCTCATCACGCGAAGATTAAACCACACGCGTCTGCATGAGTTTCGTGCCGCGATTCCTTTTTAACTCTTTAATTTCCTGTTGTTCGCCTTTCGTTCCCACTTCACGTCAAACTCATCCCCTTCACCATCATAAGCATCCTTCACCATCATAAGCATACCTTGGGCTGATCATCAACTAAACCTCAAGCCTCTACCCTCTTGATGCACCTTCGTACTCACGTTATATACGACCATGGCACACATCAATCCGTGCCCTAATCCGAACATCCCTCCCCTTAGGATCGAGCTGTCCGACATACCTTGCAATGAGTCAGACAAATACCCTGACGCCGTCAGGGCAGTCAAAGCTTACTGGCGACAAGCAACGAATATAACCATTGAGGATCAGATCGAGTACAAAGGCCTCGTCGAGAACACACATTGCCACAATAAAGGAGGCTTGCCGTGGGGTCCAATATTTTTCGCCATTTGGTCATCGTGTGAAGCCTCACCCATATGGGCGAAGTTTTTTTTTATTAAATCGCTCTACTGCGTCCTACCACCTTCCTTTGACACTCTAATGCTCTGCGTCTTTAAGTCGCTTCAGATTGAGGACTTTGAAAATGACTATCGCACTCACAATCCGGAGCCGATCAGAGTGAAGAAGCACAAAGGACCTGAGCAACTCCAACCTCCGGAAGCAAAACTGAAGGTCAATCGCAGCCAGCCGAATGCCTCCTCTCCTCTAGAACAATCATCTCCCGTCGTTGGTGGCCCAGCTTCACCTGTCAACAATCAACCCGTCACGCAACGTGATCTTGAGAGACTGGAAAACCGCCTGAAAGAACACATTGATGGCCACATCAAGAGAATTAGAGAAGGCATTCTTGCAATGTTTGCAGAACATGCAGAATCTTGAGAACCACCAGTGAACAGATGCACAGTCATGTAGAGGAAACCAAGCAGAGTATTCTGATACTAGAGATGAAACTCTTGCCGTCAATCGACCTCATGGCTTACGCAGTCAGCCAACTTTTGGAGGAAGACTTGGGACCAATCAAACTCAGAGCAATAGGACAGACAGGTTTTTTTTTCTCATTTGGAGGTGATATTATCTCATACCTGGTAGCTTAGCTCCTAGTAAATATTTGATGTCCCATACAACATTGAGCTTGAGAAATAAACGTGAAAACTTTCTTTTATATTCACTATAGGTTTAATCAATTAATGTGATATGTATTGACTTGTTAGCACTCAATCCAAGCTGAATTTATCATGAGCATCACATTCGCAAGTAATCATAATACCCCTGTTATTTCAAGATCAAACTCCACAGCATTCATTATAATGTATCACCTACTGAACTAAGGCTCCCACGTGCTCTCTATAAACCACAACTTGCCGCTCGTCTTCCACGCACCTTGCCATCGATACCGCTTGTCAGCCTGCTCAAACAGGCTCCTCCAGTCATCCATCTCCCGCTCCCGGGAATTGCACACCGCCTTCATCAGCACGTCCATCGTCCGAATGCTCTTTTCCTCCAATCGTGACACCACGCCGGGGTCAGGGAGCACGATATCATTGATTATGATGCGAGCTCCCGGTTTCAAGCCAGGTATTAGCGCACGGAGGATGTTGATGGCGTATTTGTCCGAGAAAGCATGGAAAATGTGTCGAAAGAGATATGCGTCCGCCGTCTCCGTCTGAGGCTGGAAGAAGTCGTGTGTCGTGAGGCATATCCGATTGGAGAGATGCGGAGGTATCTTATCCGTCATTTCAGGTGTTCGCATGCCTTCCAAATCTTGCACGATAAAGGACAGCGAGGGGAAGGCTTCAGCAAGAGCAATTGCTACGAATCCTTCATTACCGCCCATCTAAAATCTCGAAATTAGCTAGAGGCCTCATAACAAAAAGAGAGAGCAGTTGCATATTCCTTACGTCAACAACAGTTGCTTCACCCAGTTTCGCCCAAGGGTATCCTGAAACGGTGTGTGATAGATTGTATCCCTCTCGCTGGCCATGAGACTGCAACATCAGGTCATATCGCTTCGCTCGGGCTTCGTCCGCCTGCAGATGATCGAAGAAGCTATCCTTGTGATTGAAGGCAATGTTTACACCCTATAGTTATGGTTCATCAGCGCCCCTTTCTTTGAGAGTGTGGTTGGACTGGCGTTTGCTTGCCGTCTGGTTGGTCTCCTGAGATCCGGGCCACGTCTTCATGGCAGTGACAGTTTGAGATATAGGAGCCAAGAGGTCCATGGTATAAAATGCTGCCCAGCTGGCCAGGGACTCATCTTCTAGAAGCAGCAAAGATGCCCGATTATGAGCGACCGAACCAATCTTTGGCTCGTGAAATATATTGTTGGCAATTGCGAGGCGCATCAATCGTCGTAGATCTGATGGTAATATCGTGGCGCCAGTCAAAGTATGTACTCTGATTGCTAATTCTTCATAGGAGAAGGAACCTGTCAATGGTACGGCCTCTGCAATTTTAAACTCGCATATTGCCTGCAAAGGTATGTAGCTGATTGACTGAATGGTCCACACAGTTAACACATTTAGAGCCCATAACTAAGCTTTCGCATAGCTTATCAGTAACAAAGAAATGAAAGACAAGAGCCTACTTCCCAAGCCATATTCTTCAAGCTTTCTCGCGGGCCCAGAACGAGATCATGCAGTTCCTTCGTCAACGCCACGAGTTCCTGCCTGGCCTTCACGGCTTCGACTTCAGTAAGGGGAAAGTCAGAAAGACCGTTTGCCTGGTAGGAAGGGGCTTCAAGGCCCTTTGATCGTAAGGCATCGGTCAGAAATCGTGTCTTCACTTCAATATCTCTGGATAGCGTCGTCAATCGGTCAACAGATGACTCTGTGGCCAACTTTGTCACCGAGCCATCCATTGTCTCGCAAGTATTTGAACACTGGTGCGCCTGAGCAAGGTAAAGAGGGTATACGACGAGATAGTTTCAGGATGCCCAAGATGGAAGAAAAATAGGTGAAAGACTGGGTCATAAAATTCAAGAGAGACTACCCAGTCTTGTTAACGGAATGAACAAGCTTCTTTTAACCCACCTCTTGTCCAGCATTGCCACCCTTATGCCTTGTGCGTTTGCCATTGTCGTGCATCAGACAGCCCAACACGTCCTTTTCCAATGTTATTCATAATACATCACATATTCAAGATGGGTGGTTGCTTCTGTATACTCTGCATATTCCAACATTCCCGGTACGCAGAAAGCCACATTATTGGCTAGGTTTGATGTTGGCGGAGTTCGTATCCCAGTTTCAGAAGGGAGAGCAGCTTCTGGATCCAGCTCGCCATCGTACATATTGGTGTTGGACGACGCAATCACAGTGGATCTCACTATGAGCTACCGCTGGTGGAGAGGGCGTGACCGAAGTGGCCGGGACAACAATAGACCAGAGCCTATGGAGATACTTCTCCGTGGGTAAACCATAGGATTTGCAGAGGCAGACCAACGATTTTCCAGTTATATCGAACCAATTAGGCTGCAGCGTAGAGAGGGTGTGACGCCAAGAGTTGTCCGAAAGCAAGCAGTCACTGAAGATAAGCTCATCTTCGCCATATCCTTTTCTTCATTTTCCGTTCTTTTGGGCACATCAGCCCCGTTTTATATGTGTAAGCGCCGAGGGAGGTTCTGTTGTTGGTCAGATCACTTTTCCATGTAAATAGGTTGGCAACTATCAGAGTATTTGGGGGCGAGCAATACTCCTGTATCCTCTTTTCTATGTTGGCCAATTCGTTTGAGTCCTTGATAGCATGATATACTAGGTTCTTGCCACGCTCGTCTGTATGATGGAATCAAGCCATATCTCACCTATCCATGTGAATGCTGCTTGTACTTCGTAGACCCAAATGATCTAGCCTTTTATCTCCGCTACTCCACTCAAACTATCTGTTGGTAAACCCCAGCTGGTCACATATCATTTACCTGGGGTTGAGACATTTTCCCTGGCTTAAATGACGTGCCATTTTTGGCGGCTGAAACGTCGGGCCGCCTTCCGAACCGAGCTGCTAAATTTACATAGTTCAGATACAGGAAGTATATAATAGAGGATCCCTTCGTTGGCTCGACTTCATGGGAACCAATAGAATATAAGGCGTATTCGATGAGAAACACCAAGTCAATGAAAAGCGACGCTCAATTGACAAGCTCCAGGCTACTCAGCGGCTGATGAGCGGTAAGCGCAGAGAGTTCTAGCACTCGATGGCTACCTGTAGTCATCCAAAGGAGCCATCACATGGCAAGCGGTTGAGCATGTAAGCCTCTCAAGATAGACGTTATCTTGAGCAGCTGCAGTGGTACAAAGGCTCGCGCAAGACAAGACAAGCGGTGAGGGTGAAATAGCTTCAGATTAGATACTGGGTGTGACAATGGCGCCTGGACAGCGCACTCGAGCCGTTGGCTGGCGTAGAAGCGGGTATTTATTCATTCCGCGAAGCAGCGTCATCAGCCATGAGATGAATAATTAAGATCCTACACAAGAGGAGTCGAGATCGAGGCAAACCGAAGCCATCTTCTGTCGCTGGTCGAGCCAACCTGCACGGCTATGCGCTTTACAGGTGCTGCTATGCGCCGCTGTAAGTGGTGTGCCCATCAGCAGGATCTCAACCTCATTTTTGGTTATTCGGGTATATCCGGCCGCTGTCACCCGGATATCGGAAGGCCATTTCTTTCTGACGACTGTGTTGGTTCTTACGATGTGATTTGGTGCCGGCAACGAGTTTGATTAATGTTTGGGGCAGTGCTTTATGCCTTGGTGAGTTCCGGTTGGCTTATCCACACTACTTGCGTGTACATGAGGCTATAGTGGAACGCGGAGCGCTGCAATGCACATCAGGGGCTTGGCCTGGACCGAGCACAGGCCGCCATCCCCCACTAGCGTTAGCAGTGCGGCGAACATCCACAGGTCTCCGTCAGTACTGATGGGTACAGACATGCTTAGCACCACCCATTGTCTTGGCATCGAGATCATTCCACGCCGCGGCGCCTTCCTTGTTTGCTAAAGGAAAGCAACCACCACCAGTCCCTTGCTTCAAGGCATTTTCTTGCTTCATTCTCCATTTCCAACTCTCTGCAACTCACTTTCGCTTTGTTTGCACCAACCCAGGCTACTTTTGTGTTATCATCCTCACCACATGCGGCGGAGTTCTCACGTCAAGTCTAACCGAATATCCATCCAGACTGCGGGTCAGCTTCTCCAACCCCGGCCTCCCAAAAGGCCTATGCTGTGTCCGTCCACTGCGGACTATTATCGAATTATCGGAGCTGCGCTAGCAATTGGCGGCCTGTTGACACAAAATGCAATGGCAGTGGCTTTTTGGAGGCTGGGCCCATGGCGCCAGACAGGTCGCGCCGCACCGTCCCGCGCGCCTCATTCTCCTCAAGCCAGTCGGAGAGCCCTGAGTCAACTGCAGCAGAGGCAGCAGAGGCAGCAGACTTGAGGCAAATCATGGATTGTCCTGCCAATCAATCTCTGCCACAATTCGCTGTCGATACTACCCTTACGACCTAACTCAGGCAGCTGGCGGCAACGCATCCTCGGCTCCATAGAGCCGCATGTCCTCAGTACGGCGCTCTTCAGCTGATGGGAGGCGTTTCCTTCCGCACAAGGCATCCTCGACAACGAGGCAAGGTCATCTCACGGCTCTCTCTATTGAGCGTGCGCAGAGCCTCTTTCATTCCCATAACGAAGCCGAGTTGCTCTCGACCTAGCCTGGGTCATTAGAGCGTTACATATATCGACCAATCGGGCTTTGCTTCACCTCACTCGCCTTGCCAAAGGCTTGGAAACCAGGCCACAACCCTCGCCGGCAGCCATACATGCATTTGAACACACATTCACCCTTTTCCTTTTCCTTTCCATCTTTTGGACCTTTAGCCCACATCCAAGATGAATAACTCCAGCAGCGACAACAATAACAATAACAATGGCGGCGGCGGCAACAACAACGCCGATTTTGTCGTGGCCGCCGTGGCTTTGGTGGTGTCTGTCGTGGCACTGCTGGCTACGTTCATGCAAGTGCTGCAGCAGTACTATGCGTCCGCTCAGGGCTATTCCCTCTGCAATGAAAAGGTCATGGGCGGCTGGGCCAAAACTAAGACGAGACGATTTCGGCTAGATGAACTGCGATTTGAGGTCCAGTTCGATGTGCCTGTCATATTCGTGTCGCCGCCAACAAATAAGCATGGACCCGTCGTAGGGGCTGACATCTACTATCTGGATGGCAGCGAGAAGTCCCAGAAAGATACAAACACGACTTCAAAATTGGATCTACGCAAAGCATACCATGATAGATCCAGAAAAGAACAGATTCACACCTCTGACAATGAAATCGCCGCATGGTATGTTCTGCTCTTCGCTGCTCAGCGCATGGAGGCCGAGTCGCGAGAGTGGCAAGAGGACGAATTCAAGGATTTTGGGCCTCCAAGCGATCTTTTCCCGCCCAAACCACCAGCACTGGCAAGTCACCACACTCTAACAGTTGCTGTCCAGCGCAAACGCAAGAGCTGGGATACTATGCCCATCTCCGTCAACAAGCCATATGCCACCACTACCATGTGCCACTTGATAGAGATGATGGCGGCCATCGGGGTATACTGGAAGGAATTTGATCGCAAGCGTGATCGTTACTGGGGCGAAGGAAACGGTTTCTTGATCCTGGGCGAAAGGCTTAGTGACCCCGGGCTCATGTTCTCGTTCCAAGTCAATGGCCAATGCACCTTTAAGCGAAACCGCGTCGTCCCCGTTGACGAGATCAAGGAACTGTGCTTCGGCTATGTTCCCACCGTCTATCGTGAAAAGGATGATCAGCGGCGTTTGAAACCTCCAAGCGATGAGCAGCAAAATCTTACCACCCTCTTGATGGGCAACTCGCGAGAAATTTCAGAGACTTTGACTGCTATCGGCTGTAACAACAATACAACTAGAGTCTTTTTAGAGGAAGGGAGAAGAACATCTCACCTCTTTCCTAGTAAGTTGCACTTTGACTTGGAGTCGCATAATTCTGAAGCTGACACACCCTTACCAGTATCCTTTGAGATTCTCGGCATGCTAAGTCGGATATTCCATATCGAGGGTAGCAACTTTACTTTCCTCCCCAATCCAACACCACACAGCTGGGACAAGAGATCAGTTTCCTTGCCCAGGATGCTAGCGGCTTTCTTTTCAAAGACACAGCCTGGAGGAGGAGAACATAATTCTCTAGTCATCACGCGGTATAGGAGGCATATTACTGAAATATTAAACTATCAGGCCGAGGAAAAGGAGGAAAAGGCTCTTGATAGATGGCTCCTCTTGAAATCACTGCACGCCGCTGTGGATGACACTGATGAAGTTCTCACGGCGAGAACCAAATTGCAGAGGCATAACGGTCACGGTGCCGAAGGCGATTCGGAGAAGTCTCACGATCAACATGAATTGCACGATCAACCTTCAGACGCAGAGAGGCACGATAGCCGGCGGGAGCTCGTTCAAGACGTCTTGAGACATCATATCCAAGAGGTGCTCCGACTGCTCAATCAACAAGAAGATCTGAATTCGGATGGTCAGTCTTATCGTACGAGCGCGCGAGGACTTTCGCCGAGGCCTCGGTTAAAGGTGCCAACTCGTCCTTTTGAGGAAATGGACGAGGCTGGGCCTGAAGATCGACAAAAAATCCTCATGGACGTGTATTTTGACAATATTCGTCCTGTAGTGAAGCTAAATGCTTTAAACTCGGCTACAAACCGAAGAAGCAGCATTGTCAAGTCGCCCCTCTCCATCAACTCACGCCCTCAGAGCCTCGCGCGTGAGTCAATCTTCAAGAGCAGAGAGCGTTCGCCTTCAACGCGAGGGAACCATGTAGAGTTTGCCGAGGGAAAACCAAAGATTTCTGTGACGGTTGAAGAAGCCCCAGAAGTCACCTACGAAGGCTCACTGGCGGATTTAGAAGTTTCGCATGACGACATTTGGTGCACGCTCGTTTTCCGCATGATCTGCTGGCTGATGCTGCACAATTTCAACAAGAAAGACGTCCAGCTGCCCAAGAGCGAGCTCCTGGGAAGTCGAATGCCTGTTTACATCTCATAATAGAGCAAGCGCTTTGCTTTTGTCTATATGGCGACTCATTCCGACAGCATTTATCACAACAAGAAGATGCATAGCAAGCTGATTTTGGACATTTTTTCCCCTCCATCTTTTTGGCGGTCACTTGGACATGAATTACAGGGCTCCAATGGGATACTGCATATTTGTTAGATATAGGAACTCTATTGCATATTATAGATACTCAGATTTAATCATGAATAGTACGGGGAACCGGCTTTTCAAATGTTTGCATATAGCTTAATGACGATCCTTAGAATGAATAGTCACCTTCTGCCCCTTTTGGCTAGTGGTCATTGTGAGCTGCCGGGTTGCTCAGCCTGCCTTGACATGCAAGATGCCAAATCTGAGTCGATGAATGCCATAATACGTCATTACAAATACGCAGAGGGCCAGACACGACCCAATCTCACTGTTCCTAGCCCTAATACGCTTTATGTAACTCTGTGCCTCGAGTCGCCCTGGGTAGCCTATTGGCCTTGCCTGACTAAGGTCTAATTCGAAGGTTCTGGTCTCGGGAGCTGCCTATTGGCTCACTGTTGACCGAGTCGGCGGAGGACTCGGACCCCCGTATTTTTGTACAATAGGAGGTACTCCGTGCAGGGCATCCGCTGAGCAGGACGTAGTACTGAGGACTTTTGTAGGTAAGCAGAAGCGGCACAAGGTCTGGGCCGAGCATGGTTTATTGTAGCATTTTTTTTTGTCTTCGGTGGCAGAGCCCGATGTGGCGTCGTTGGATATCCGGGGCTAGGCCAATGGAAGGATTGTGAGTTGGTGACTGGCTGCCATACTTTGCACACATCTGTATGTTAGAATACGAGTCAAACTGGGAACAGATAAAGCATTTGACTCTTGGCCAGGTATTATGTACTACTGAATACAAAGTTCTATAGTAATAGCACGACGGTTAATCGATTCTTGGTACAAGGCGATTCATCTATGCCCGCTGCAAAGGTGGGGGAGCGCACAAAAGACAAGCATTTTGCCGCCCGCGACGGTGCGACGAGCCGGGCTGCAAGTCAGGATCAGAGCCCACAGAAAAAGAGAGAGAGACTGTGCAAATAGACGCAATTCATTGGTGCTCGGCACGGCCCTGTCGCTGCTCCATCGGCGCCTCCTCTTTCTGCTTAGGTGCAGATGTGCCGGGCCTATTGATATTGATACCCTGCACTGTTGGACTGTACAAGCCAACAGGTCGGATGCAAGAGTCTTGGGGAATGCTCACAAATGCTTCTGATATCCTCTGCTTACCCATTTGTGATAGGTCGGTTGATAAGTATCTATTGACCGAGGACTTATGCCATGTATTTATTAAGCATTTGGGTGCATGGTAGTCTCATTGGTCTCTTGCTCTGTATGCATCTTATAATGTGCGCATCCGCCCACTCTAGAGACGCAGATACCGCCGCCCATGCAGATGTCGTGCAGTAGTAACCAAAAATCGAAAGAGGGGAAAGCACATGATTATGCACGGCAAGGGAACGGCGATGCAGGTAGTATCAATTACAATTACTCGGAAATGACGACCTTGGGACGTCTTTGGGCCGTTAGGTGCTTGGGTAGGTAGATTATATCCTGGCGAATAGAGCGTCGCCGGCCGGCTTGCCGCCTTGCTAGTCTAGCGGCGTTGGTGATGCGTGATGGACGCGTATATTGCAATGTACTTTTGTTGCGGCGTCTGGGGCAGGATGAATCCATGGAGAGCGCACCAGCAGCCGGAGAAAATGGCTCTCGGGGCTCGTGGGGACGAGAAAATTGGGGATCACGGACTGAATTGACATGATGCTCGAACCATCTCTGCCTTGCCAAAGAGCCGTTCCACAAGAATTAACACCAAGTAAAAAAAAAGAAAAAAAAAAAAAGGAAAAGATGCATGCAAATAAGGTGACAGGCAGCCTTGTCAGTAGAGCGACTCTAGCTTGTTTCTATACACCCAATCCAATCAGACCTCGATCAAAGCACGCAACCACGGCCGCTGAAAGATGCATCCGAACCCGAGCGAGATCGACGGCCGGCGCGCACAGACAGCGCTGGAATCATGAAGCCACGCTCCCCTCTGCCAAGATTCCAGTTGCCCTTCCCAGCGGCAATTTTGTCGATGTGCCATTTTTCGCCGTGCCTTGGGAGCACCCGTCGTGGCCGAGGCTAGCAAAAACGCTTCGATGTCATCCATCTGGGCGGTCCGGGGTACGTACCCATTGCCGACGCCCTAGTGTCTTAGCGGTCTCCGGTACCGAATACAACGTCAGCTGAAGGCCAGCAGGCTCCAGTTCTTTGTTTGTGCCCGCTAGCGGCCAAGGCAGCCGCTGGAACGGAAGTATGGAGTACCTCTGCTAGTGGCGATTAATTCTCAGTTACCGCCGCAAGAAAAAAATCCTGCCCCCTTTACTGCCGCTAAACCCCTCTGTATCTGTGCCCAACGCAACGTCTGCTCCCTCCACAGGGCCACAGCCAACCTGTTACAAGGCTTGGCGCTAGCGGTTTAGCACCTGCTGCAGGCGCTGCCTTATCTAATATCGCCCGCCACAAAAGGGGACGCAGCCCGGATTCTCACGGCCACCGGCCACGCCGTTATCCCGCCCTTCGTTCCGCAGAAAACAACAAGAAAAAAAAGCGTGTGCTGCATATCATCGTCTCGACTCTCTATTTGCATTTGCCGCGTTCGTTTCCTCGTCCAGCATTGCCCGAAGCCTTTCGGACGGCCATCTGCGTGTCTTGTTCTGTCGTCCTCGTCTCCCACGCGTGGCCCGAAGTGCAGCAAAGCCACGCTTGGCTCACGCGCACTAGCCGCAAAAACCCTCCTTGGTCGACACAAACTCTTACGACATCATCTTGAACCTTTTCCTTCAGTTTCCTCGATAGCCGAATCTTCCACTCTCGCCTATAAAGGAGAGAACGACGAAAGAGAAAGTGACCCCAGCGGCGCCTTGCAGAGCAGCAGACTGCGGCCGTCTTGGACGTCTTCCTGGAATCCAGCCGCCAGGGCGTTTCCAATCAAGACGCCATGACGCCCTCGCCATCCTCCCAGCAGGGCCTCGAGCCGCGGCGGCCCAGGAGCGGCCACACGCAGACCGTCTCCGTCAACATCGCCGAGAGCACGCCGCCCAACGGCAACCGCCGATTCCAACTCCACGTCAGCGAGTGTGTCGAGACTAAGACCGTCACCACCACAACTCGCCTGACCAGGAAGTTCCCCCAGGTCTTCATCCGCGACCCCGCCCCCCTCGAGAGCCTCGACACCAAGGAGTATCCCTTGGCCACGAAGCCGACGCCTCCCGAACTGGCAGACTTTTCTTACAGTTTTGGCGCTGAAGAGGAGGATTTCGATGCAGAAATGATGGACGATGTCGATGACCACGACGACAGCCAACTGGTGAGTGCGAGGCGGACCTAATGAGTGTCGTTTCTACTTGCCTCTGTTTTACTGACCAACTTCCTCCTTTGCGATATAATAGACAAAAAGAAGCCAGAGCAGCACAATTGCCCCGCCTCTGATCAAACAGGAGTCAATATCTGGCGAGATACAGACACCCGACGCTTTGAGCCGCATTTCGTCAGCCTCACCATCCGAGCACTACTCTCGCCGAAGTAATCGGTTGGCCGCTGCAGAGTCACCGACAACCACAGCGACACGATCTTCACAGCGTCTAGCACGTTCCTCAGCCTTGCATGCCGTGTCCAACAGGCTGCGCCGGTCTGTCATACAAGGAAGTAGCGGAAGTGGCGCTGGAAGCGGCAGCGGTAGCAGCAATTTACGCCACGATGCCAGCGACAGAGTCACAAGAAATACCTCCATTGGCATACTTGCCACGCCTGACATCACTGAGACGGCCGGGCCAATACCGAACCGCTCATTGCAGCGACGGTCCATGCATTCCGAATATTCACCCAACTCCCAAGACGTCATCCGCGGCCGCTCAAAGTCCCCCCCCTACGAGGCGTCCAGCCCCGCCGGTAGTGATGCCCATACTTTCAGCAGCACCGTCGCCACGCCCCCGATTACCGATGCAGACCCGGAATCCTTTGCAGATGACACCGACGAATCCCTCGAACCGTCACTTCGACCGCAGCACCGGCCCGCAATCGACGTCGTTGCTGCCCAGGATGCCAGTCTTCCTAGTCCGAGATTATCCCCAACCTTGGCCGCCGCCCAGCTCCACTCTGCCGACCCCGACGAGACCGCTCAGTCTAGTTTCAAGACGGATCAGTCGGCCACGTGGATGGGAGAGTCTCAAGTAACCGAAGATGGAGGATTTACCGACATGGTACCCTTTGAGCGTCCATCCCACGGCAAACGAGCCATGGTGCGATACGACCAGCACCAGCCTGTCATGCTGGATCCGCAGATGCTGCTGGAGGCGTTTGACTCCATGAAGACGGAGATGAAGACATTCATGATGTACCAATTCCTCCGCCGGTGTCCTCGACCCACACTCCGCATCGTGGCTGATGCTGTGAATCCCGCACTCAAGTGCGACTTTTTGCAGCAACTGCCCCTCGAGCTGAGCTACCATATCCTATCCTACCTCGACCTCCGCGACCTCACCCGCGCCGCCCGAGTATCAAAGCACTGGCGTAGCATCGTAGATCGGAACGAGACCGGCTGGAAAGAATTGTTTGATAGAGATGGCTTCACCCTCCCTCCCGGGGAACTCAGCAAGGCCATTATTCAGGGGTGGGGTTGGCAGGATCCGGTTGGCATCGACGGCTACGAGCAGGATTTGAGCATGCAAAGCCGGCTAACGTCATCGGAAAAGGAGCTTACTCAGGCTCTGAAGCAAGAGGCCACACCGAAAGTGAGGACTTCGAAGCGCAAGCGTGGTCTCAATGCCTACAGCTCGGAGCGTTCCAAGAGGCGGGCCAGTACCCAGGAGGTGGCTGCCAACCGGGACGAAAAGGCTCAAGGCGAGGCCAAGCAGCATAAGTCAGCTGGACCCCTTTCGGCTGCCCACGCTGCTATGCAGGCCGTCCCCGATCCTCAACTGGGCCTGCCGAGTCTGCGACAGCTCCATCTCTTCAAATCCCTCTATCGTCGACACTACATGATCCGCCACAGCTGGACCAACGGCGAGACGAAGCCGAGCCACGTAGCGTTTGCGGCCCACCCTCGACACGTTATCACCTGCCTCCAATTCGACGATGACAAGATTATCACGGGCAGCGATGACACACTCATCCACATCTACGACACCAAGACTGGTAAACTCCGCAGGAAACTCGAGGGTCACGAAGGTGGCGTCTGGGCTCTCCAGTACGAGGGCAACATCTTGGTCTCGGGCTCGACGGACAGATCGGTGCGAGTTTGGGATATTGAGCGCGGCCTCTGTCAGCAGGTGTTCTACGGACACACTAGCACGGTTCGCTGCCTGCAAATACTGATGCCGACGGCGACTGGCATGGCCAAGGACGGCTCTCCCATCATGCAGCCGGAGAAGCCGCTGATTATTACGGGCTCCAGAGATAGCCAGCTGCGTGTCTGGCGTCTGCCCGAGGTTGGATCAAGGCGATATATACAGACCGGCCCGCCGGCCCAGGAATCCGACTGTCCGTACTTCATCCGCGTTCTGACTGGACACACCCACTCGGTTCGCGCCATTTCGGCGCACGGCGATATCTTGGTTAGCGGATCCTACGACAGCACTGTCCGAGTTTGGCGAATTAGCACCGGAGATGCCCTGCATGTGCTTCACGGGCATTCTCAGAAGGTCTATTCTGTGGTGCTCGACCACGAGCGCAACCGGTGCATCTCGGGCTCCATGGACTCTCTAGTCAAGATTTGGGACCTCGCCACGGGATCTTGCCTCTACACGCTAGAAGGCCATAGCCTGCTGGTTGGTCTGCTGGATCTACGTGACGACCGCCTTGTCTCAGCAGCTGCGGATTCGACGCTCCGTATCTGGGATCCTCAAACCGGCAAATGCCGAAACACCCTCATGGCGCATACGGGTGCTATTACCTGCTTCCAGCATGATGGCCGAAAAGTTATCAGCGGCAGCGAGAAGACTGTCAAGATGTGGGATGTTCGGACGGGAGAGTGCGTGCAGGATCTCCTGACAGATCTTAGCGGGGTCTGGCAGGTCAAGTTTGATGGAAGGCGATGCGTTGCGGCCGTCCAGAGAGACAACTTGACTTATGTAGAGGTAAGACTGAGCTTTCCCTTTATATGTTTATTCCAGCTGTTTGACTTTGTTGATGAATTTGTGGCAACTTTACTAACCAATCTGCCCTTGATAGATCCTTGACTTTGGCGCTGTTCGAGATGGGCATCCTCAACAAGAACTCGGACGACGTATTCTCCTAAACGAGCCGGAAGTTCGTGCTATGATTGAAGAAGAAGCTTAAGCGTCTACGGATGATATTCATTTTTTTTTCTTTTCCCCATAATTAAAGAAAAGCATTGCGAAATACGAACACGAATGAAACAGAAAATGCAAATATATATATATACACACATACATATATATGATACGCATTCAGTATGGATATGGAAACTCGCAGCATCTGAAGGGCGATACGACTCTGCCCTCGGCGTTCTGTTATTATAGTATATACGCGCTGTCAAAGCCTTTTGTCGGTATTCCGGAATTCAGGGGAGGTGTGAGGCAAGGCGTTTTAGGGATTCAATTTGTTATTTTCTTCGCTCTACTTGTTTCGGACCCCTTTTTACGTATCTCGAAATATATATCTGGTTGTTTTCTTTCCTTTGAGCGATGGGAGGGTGGCTAACTGCTGCTTCGTACATGACAAGGGAAAGCTTGAAATCAAGGCCCGGAGGTGGAAGATGGCCCGGGTTTAATGGGGGCAATGCATGCATGTGTTTATATTGGTCTTGTAGAAAAAGAAAAAAGAACGATGCTACTGCTGTACATGGCGTATTATGGAGCCCTGCCTTTTCCTTATAGTTGTTATAGATGGGTGAATGTGATAATGCAACCCGAGTTTCGCTTTTCCAATGTGACTCAGCTGTGATCCAGCGATGATGATGCGCAGGTACGTTTTTCCGCCGGGTTACCGTCTTTGGACTCTGAAACACCACCAGCCCTGTCGGTTCTGCTCTCGTCGCCATGCACTCCGCGCTTGTGTGCGACTGGACTTGGACTGCGACGCTGCACAGTCTCAAGTGACCAGAAGGGCTTCGTCTAATTCGCTGCTCGTCGTCGATTTCTTCAACCCTCTCCAGATGCTGCACCAGACCGAAGTTTGCAGTTTTGAACGATGGCAGCTGCAGCAGCAAAGCAGCAAAATGTGTGGGCGGGCGTTAAACTGTACATGAAGCACTACCCGCCTCTACTGCTGCTTGCTTCCAGCCTATGACGCCTCTCTTTTTTGAGGAGACGAAACGAAACGAAATGCACATGGACGGAGCATGCTAACTAGTAGTAACTACTATGTAGTAGCAGCGGCCCTATGGGTGCATTTGCATCTGCATCTGCATTTGCATATGATGCCGTTATGGGGCCTCTTTTTACACGCTGGCAGTGCCCCATAAAAATTGATAGGACAGCACATCTACCACTTGTCACGCCAGCGAAGGCGCCCTGGGGAGTGAGTGAGTGGGCTTTTTCCCAACCTGCACTAATAACTAGCATGCATTGATTGATTGATGTTTTGGGATTGGGGAACAAGGCGAACGGACCCTTTTTTGAGGCAGAGGCGTGTGTGCTGTGCTGTTGCTGGTACGTCCGCTACTAGTAGTGCTAGTAGTTGTACAAGAGTACAGTACAGAGGAGCAGGGCATGGGATGGAATAAACGAAGCCATCAAATTGATGCATATGTACAGGGCTGGGGGTGTATCTTTTTTTTTTTTGCCCCGTCATGCAAAGGCGCCTGATTGCGGGAGCAAATCGGGGGGCTTGGGGCGGAGCCTCCGGGCGGCTGACGGAGTGTGCAGTTGCTGGGCTGCTGCTGCTACAGGGAGTGAGAGAGTGGGAGGAGAGCAGAGAGAAGAGAGAGAAGAGAGGGAGAGCGATTGATTGATTGATTTGATTTGTTTCCATCTCCCTGAAATGGAGGTCCCTTGCTGCCTTTGCTTTGCATTGCAGAGAGCAGATGCGGAGGGAACGTTTGATTTGGCGTGTTAGTGCGAAGCGAGGGCGCCGCTGTTGGGCGCTGCACCTTTTCGTCCCCTTCTTTTGGATCTTCGCTTTCATGTGCTGTTCCCCTTGGCGCCCCTTGTCTCTGGTCTGCGGCGACGAAGCCAATCCGTGGGGTGTGCGTGACTCAATCCAGAATCACACCAGCATGGGCAGAGACTCTGAGGGAGCGAGAGAGAGAGGCCCGCGCCTAGCTGCTAGTTCCCCGTCTCACGTTCCCTTTTCCCCTTTGGATGGAGCTGCATCTGCAGAAGCTTCTGCTGGGACTGCATTTCAGCGTCATCATTCACTGCACGAGGGCTGCGTGGGGACGGACGCAGAGGCGTAATCGGAGAGTCGTTTGTTGTTTACTCGCGATAGGTGCGCTGTAGACGGCGCCAGCCAGGATTGACTGGACCTTGGGCAGCATTTGTATTTTTCGACGTTTGACAATTGCGTGTAAACCAGGACGGACCAGACAGCTGTCTGTCTGTCCCCCTATCCCGTTTCCGTTTGTTGAAATCGGTTTTCTTTTTAAACACCGGCCACCCCCATCATTGATGAATGCTGGTTCTCATTGCCGATTAGGTAGTGCCTAACTTACACACCTACTGTACATGAACTGACAAAAACTGCAACTCCCATCAATAACGGCATAAAGACGACCAGCCATCGGCATTGGCGTCAAGCAAAGCGAGATTAAACAGAAGAAAAGGCAGAGCAGAGGCATTGTCGATTGCATCACATACCCCAGAAGCTTCCCCCCTCCATCCTCAGCTCACAGAATTTTTTTTTTCCTTCTACGGCCGTTCTCCTGAGCTACGCGCGTTGGACTAGGACTGGCGGGGCGGCCGTTCAGGGATTCGCAGCCGGGAGATCTTCACCGACATTGAGACTTTGCCCATCAAGCGGCACAGACTGATAGTGTTAGTGGGGGGGCCGTTTGGAAGAAAGGAATAATAGTCTGGGCCCTGCTGCGTGCTGCTTCTTTGGCTGTTCTTTTTTTCTCTTCTCTCAGACATTGACGTCTTTGGAGAAACGACGATTCAATTCGATTCTAACACTACTCGGGTGCGCGATTCAGCTCAGTGTACGCCAAAACCCACGACAAACCGAAGCAAGCATGAGTTCGCCGGCCGGCCTGCCGCTGGACGCGACCATTACCATTGTTAACAACTCCGGCAAGCTCATCAGCACTGTATGTTGCCTCCCTACATGTGTCCAGCTCATTGCTCCCGTAGCACCCCGAGGTTGCACTGCATGCTAATCTGATCTCTCCCCATCTCTGCAGGGCAAGCAGCTTCTCTCCATATGGAAGACTGCCCAGACGTCTTACAGAGAGAAGAAGACGGAGCTCAGCGAGGGCCGCGCCCAGGAGCGAGCCGCTGAGAGGGCGCCGCCTCCTGTGCCCGTCAAGCGCGCCCAGACCTTCGACACCGGCCGCAGCATCCCTCGTCGCCAATATGACGAGCTCAGCGTGGCGAGCTCTGCCCGGACATACAAGAGCTCCATCGCCAAGAAGCAGCTGCCCCCGGTCCCCAACCAGCTCGCCCTGACCGAGGGCAACCTGGAAAAGCTGTCCGAGGTGTCGAGCGTTGCGCCGTCAAAAGCGCCGTCGTCGTACGGGGGCATCAACAACAACAACGCCATGGTTGTCAAGGGCAGCTTCGCGCGCGTCGATCCGCCCATGGCGCTGCAAAAGGTGCAGCCTCGCATGGTGGGCCGCACGCGGTCCGACACCGAGATTGAGGCCCAGAAGAGATTCAGCATGGGCAGCGACTTGCACTTGGCCTACGGCGATATTCCCCCGGACCTGGCCGACAGAGTCGACCTGGACAAGCACACTGCCTATTCGGAGGAGCCGACTCTGTATGATGAGCAACAGCATATCGAGGACGAGCGGGAGCAGGCCGAGCAGCTGATCCACAAGATTGAGAATCTGCTGGATGAGGCGTCCTGCGCGCAGCATTCTGCGACGGCCATCATTACGCATCTCCAGGAGAGGCCCGATGCGGCGGCTGCTGTTGCGCTTACTTTGGCGGAGCTCTCGGGCATCATCACGAAGCTGTCGCCCGGCTTTGCGGCTATCCTCAAGGGTACCTCACCCGCCATCTTCGCCTTGCTTGCGTCCCCCCAGTTCCTGATTGGTACTGGCATCGCCGTCGGCGTCACGGTAGTCATGTTTGGCGGCTGGAAGATTGTGCAGCGCATTGCGCAGAACTCGGTTGGCGCCAAGAAGCCCATGGCCTATGAGGCTGCCGCTGCTCCGCTGCCGCAGATCGACAATGGCGTTGACGAGGCCATTGTGCTGGAGACGGTGGAGGTGGACATTAGCTCCATCGACACGTGGAGGCGCGGCATCACTACAGAGTTCGAAGCCGCTGATATGGAGCTGATGACTCCCGAGGCGGATCGCGTGGTGCGGGAGCGACGGGCCTCTGGCGTTCCGGAGGACTACTTTGACTCAAAGTCGAGAAAGAGCTCCAAGACGCAGCACAGATCCAAGACGCACTCGTCTTCACATTCTTCTTCGTCGCACAAGTCGCACAGGTCGAAGGAGTCTTCGGATAGGAAGAGCAGCAGCAGCGGTGGTAGCAGCAGCAGCAGCGGCAGAAGAAAGAGCCTCGAGTCCAACAGCAGCGGCTCTTTGAGCCTGTTCAAGAGGTCCCTCTCTGGCAGCAAGAAGAAGAGTGACGAGGGCAGCGTCAAGGGCGGCAGCGTTAAGAATGAGGAGATGACTGTCAAGGCCAAGATGAGGCAGAACAACAACATGCTCAAGGCGCTGTTCAAGAGCAAGGAGCACAGACAGAGCATTGCCACTTGAATTTTTGCTCTCTGGAACTGACAAGATATTATTTGGTTTTGGTTATTTTATTTTTGCCTTTTGATGTTGGACAACGGTTTTGGTTGAGCTGAGAACGAATTCAATGAGCAAGCGAGCAAATGCATTATTTTGGGGAAACACGCATATATACGGATTCAAGAACAAACATTCAACAACAGATTTTTTTTTTTTTTTTAATTCTCCGATGGAGGATACATGTTTGCACGAAGGGGAGGCTTTTGATATGAGCCGTTTTCGCTTTTTTTCAGTTTTCTGTTTTATTGGATCTTTGGGAGTTTTGGTGTTGGCTTTTTTTGTGTTTTATCCTTACAGTCAATTATAGAAAAAAATGGCCGCCAGAGAATGAATGGTCAGTTTGGATATGCGGCCGAGGGGAGCATCTAGTACACACATGCATATGCTGCTTTTTCTTGTTGCTTTTTTTAGGTATATATATGTGGCTACTTGAGGCTGGCATAGCAAACACTCGTCATGCAAATGACTACTCTTTTTTTACTTTAATATCTTGCAATTCTCTTTAATGTTACGAATGTGAATAAAACCTTCTAATCGCCCTTTTCAGCTCGTAGTTAATGTTATACGGCATCACAATTCTTCTAAACTCCCAGACTCTACGACGACTTCATCTTCATTCAGCGACTTCACCCTGACCACCTCCGTCCTCTCCATCCCACCACTCCTATAAGAATACGAAAACTCCCACCCACTCGCCGCAGCCGCATGCTCCCCCCTATTGTCCACCACCACAACCCCCGTCTTCGCATCCGGATACCGCGCAAGGATCCTCCGCACGGCATCGTCCGCGGCCTGCTGGGGCGTCAGGCCGCGGCGCAGGCTCTCCACGGCCTGGTAGCAGGGCAGGAAGCGCATCATGATGTCGCCGTCGCCGGTGGCGCCGCACCCGCCGACGGTGGAGTCGACGTAGGAGCCGCTTCCGGGGATGGGGCCGTCGCCGACGCGGCCGGGGATCTTGTGCGAAGCGCCGTTGGTGGTTGTGCAGGCGGCCATGGAGGAGGAGGGGTGGAGGGCGATGAGGGAGAGGGTGTCGTGGGAGGATTGTTGGGAGTTGGAGGAGGAGGAGTGAGGTTGTGAGATTGAAGAGGTGGCTGATGTAGTTGTTGATGAGATGCTGGAGAGTAGTGGCGAGTATGGTCCACAGGAGGAGAAGGGGTCTGGGTGGACGTTGAGTCTGTAGTTTGGCTGACAGTGGTTCTTCCGCCATCCATAACAAGTTTTGAGCGAATCCTTTGTTGATAGACTCTCTTCTTCAAAGCCATTCTCTAGAGCAAACTGCGTTGCTTGTTCGCCCGCCAGCAGTGTGTGCTGCGTGTAATCAAGCACATGCCTTGCCACCCCAATCGCATCCTTGACGCGGCGCAAGTTGGCCACGGCGCCGGCGTTCAGCGTTTCGCCGTCGATGATGAGGGCGTCGAGCGTGGTCTCGCAGGATTCATCGGGAGAGCCGCCGAAGCCGACGGTGTGGTCGCATTGGTTGTTTTGGCATGCCTGGCAGCCGGCCTGGACGGCGTCGAGAGCGTTGGAGGAGTTGGCGAGGGAGAGGAAGGCGGCGTCGGTGGCGGAGGTGAAGGGGCCGGACCAGGTGTTGACTATGAGGGGGAGAGGGGATAATATGGCGATGGTTGGGGGAAGGGAAGTGAGAGTGAGAGTGAGGGCTGTGAAGAGGCTGGATGAGAGGGATGTGTGAGAAGGCATGGTGTTGATGATGATGTTGATGCCCAAGCTCTCACACTCTCAATGTGTGGCTTGGCATGTAGTATTGAGATGTAATAAGAAGGGTTTGAAATTATGGTTCCATTTCACGAGTAAAACTGAATAATTGCCATCTGTAATTGCTATCGGTGCTCCCTCTCAAGCTGTCCATTCTATGTATATACAAACACGAGGCCATCTACAACTATTATTACACGTGCTTGCAGTGCCTCGGAGGAGCTGCTCCTCGCCCGACCAATAATGCGCCGTTATCAAATAATATGCATCAAAGCAGCCTCATCTCCGAGGCTAATGCACTTAAGTCGCCTGATGCTATGCAGGAAGCGGGGATGCCCCTGGACACTGCCCCTCAACTCCGCGATCCTTCTCCAGCTCTTGTCCCCTTCTTCTCTCTTTAAAACAGTATCGTTGGTTCAAAGATTTTTGTTCTGTTGCCACTGTAAACGTCGGCTTATATAGTCGGGCCCCTCGCTAGATAGAATAATCCCATAGACGCTGCGACCATTACATGCTATAAAATGGCAGCAGTGTCCTCTACTCCCCGTGTGCATGATCCGGACTCTGTGGCTGCCGTGCGCGAGTTTTTGCAGGATGCTGTTGCACTCTACCGCGATGTGCTCGCTCTTTATCACGATGGTGACGCTTCTGTTGAAGGCAGTCCTTCCTTGCCAGACGAACTCTTGAGTGCTCACCATGCCCGGCTCAGAGATTCTGTCCTGGCGCTTGCGTCTGTTCAGCCTGTCGCCGTCGGCCCTTATATGCCTCATCCTTTGACTACTGTGCCGGGAGCCTGCTACAAAGTTGGACAAGACCTTGTGTTGCATCTTGATAGATTTACTCGCCCAGACTATGAGCTTCAGCCCGAATCCAGCTTCCGTGATCTTTGGCCTGCTCGTGACGTTGCTGCACTGGGAACGCGACTTCAGCACTTGAGCCAGCAGTTCCGTGATGATGTTGATCCCACTTTCGAGTAAGTTGTCGATGAATGTGTTGTCCTCAGCATGACTGTTGATTTGACTGGATTTGTGCTAACGCGATATTAGAGTTCGCCGACTGCCATTGCTTGAATTCGTCACTGCGGATGAGAAGAAGGATGTTTGGGGTGACAGTAGAGATGCTTTGCAACAAGACGAACCACAAGATCAAGAGAAAGAAAAGCCAAAAATGAGACGCATCAACATCGTGCCGGGCGACAATGTATACATCGAGGTTCCTGTTAGACATCGAGCGACTCCCGATTCTATTGTGCACGACTATATCCTTGATGTTCTCTCCTACAAGAGCATGCACTATAGAGAGCAGGAAGTGACAAGGGCTCATAGCGAGACGTTTGAATGGGTGTTTCAGCGCTCATCATCTAACGATTCTGAAGACGAAGCAAAGAACGAAGGAGCAGAACACCAGTTTTCGACGTGGCTCCGAGGCGAAGAACTTGGGCCCATCTATTGGATCACTGGAAAGCCTGGATCTGGAAAATCTACGTTTATCCGATTTCTCTTTGACCATGACTCTACAATGGAGCGACTGAAAATCTGGGCAAAGAACAAGCCCGTCTTCACGGCAGGCTTCTTCTTTTGGACCAGTGGATCTCGCGAGCAACGTTCGCAGGCTGGTTTGCTGCGCTCTTTGCTTCATCAGTTTCTGTCAGCATACCCGGAACTTACTTCGGCTGCGTTTCCACATTTGTGGAAGAAGCTCAAGGGTTTGACGACGAAAGAGCGAGTTGCTCTGGAGTTGGATTTTTCCATTGCGGATTTGTTGGAGGCGTTTCAGGCGGCGATAGATGCGGCAGTGCCCAGAATGAATATCTGTTTGTTTATTGATGGGTTGGATGAGTTTGAAGGCGATCATTTGGCAATTATTGATTTTTTCAAGAACCTATGCTTGGGGCAATCGATCAAGATATGTTTGTCGTCCCGCCCGTGGGCTGTCTTTCAGAATGCGTTTGAGTATGCGGTGCCGAATCTGAGGCTGCAGGATCTTACTTACGAAGACATGTATCGGTATACCAAGGACAGATTGCGCGAAAACACTCAGATTAGACGGCTGTTGAAGAACGATGCTGCGGCTGGAGAGGAATTGATTCAGCAAGCGGTTCAAAAATCGGATGGAGTGTTTCTTTGGGTGAGGCTCGCTCTAAATGAGATGATTCGCACCTTTCAGCAGGAAACTGGGCTCGCTGGTTTATCCAAGATCCTTGCTATATTGCCAATTGAGCTCAGTGAACTGTTCTATCTGTTCTTCTTTGAGAACCAGGACGAAGCAAAGCTAGCTGAAGCGGCTGTCATTTTCGGACTCATGAATGCGCGAGAGCTTGTGGCCGATTTCATCTCTAATGATGCTGCCAATGCGCTTACAGTGTGGGAGCTTGCATTTGCTCTCAGGGGTAGCGAGGATGATGTGGCTGCGGTCAAAGAAGAGCCGAAGCAGGCGTCTGCCACCATGGCATATGAGCGCTGTCTAGAGACAATAAGTCTCATCCTGAAGCGGTTTTCTGGCCTTCTCGGCGTTCATGCGCGCCGTGACTCTGGAAATGCTCGCAGCCTCCGGTTTTCTGGCAAGGAGAATCATATGAACGAGGCTTTTGAGGCTGCTGAGCGACGGGTGACTTACATCCATCGCACAGTCCGCGACTGGTTCATGGAGGAGCCCGGCGTGATGGCTCGTCTGGTAAGTAAGACACCGGAAAATTTTGATCCCCATTTGCGACTGCTGCGGTCCTATGTTCTGCAGATGAAGAATTCTCTCGAGGAGATTGAGCATCATCGCCAGTTGGACGAATGGTGGCCGGGCATTGCCCTTGCTTTGACGCATGCAAGATACGTGCAGAATGACCCGGACCATCTTGAGCGGACCATGGTGAACGAAGTTGACAAGACTATTTCGTGGTATTGGCTGCCTAAACCTGAAGACCCGTATGATCACTGGGCAAGATACGGCTTGGGACCATACCGGGTGTTCAAGTCTGCTGCGCCGTTGTGGCAGCCGTTTCTTTGCCTGGCTACCAGATTCGGCCTCACTAAATACGTGGCGGAAGAAGTAACGGCTCGCAATGCCATAGAAGGTGAAATCCCAGCCGAGAAAAAGGAGCTTCAAACTCCCGAATCGACTCCTCTGCTGGCCTACGCCACAGAGTTTCTCTGCTCCCGCAAAAAGACAATCTTCCCGCTCTCTGATATTCGACTGGTTGAGTTTCTCATTCGCAATCAGTGCCGCATCAATCCGGGCGTGAATCACGACTACACCGATTTTGAGACGCACAAGCCTCGCACGCCGTGGATTACGCTGCTACGACATTTGCGGGATGCGCGCAGGAGAAACTGGATTGAGTACTACGATGTTGATCCGGAGGGTACTGCGCGGTGGGCGGGGATTGTGAAGTTGTTTGTGGGGGTGGGCGGTGCGAATAAGGAAGCTGTTGTTGTGAAGGATAGCTGGGATCCTGAAATTACGGCTTTGGGAGTGATGGAGTTGCTGGAGGGGACGTATGGAGCTGTTGAGATGAAGGAGCTGGTGAAGATGGTGGAAAGGACGGGAGAGGAGTGATGCGAGATGTGATGAATTTGTTCTTGGTAGTTAAGTCGCATCTCATATATCCACCTCATCGTAGTACCTATCTATTATACCATGGTTTATGTGACGTATGACCTCCACAAACGTCCAAGAACTCTGGGGTTTCTGACTGGATGTGGCGAACGCCGTAAGCAGCTTCTGCTTTGACCAATAGCCGTATACGCATGTACAATACGACTTGAACGCAAGGAGTATGAACCACTGATACGTCGTTCTCATGTGTCATACATCACAAAACGGTTTGATTGGCCATGCGAGCAGAGCCGCTCGCCAAGCTCTATAATTGGAAGCAGTATCCCCAGAGATATATAACGCGCTGCTGTTGGAAATATGGCTTTCTTCATCCCTACTGGCAAATATCGTACATCAATTTGCTTGACATGGTGCACCTCTCGGCTAACCCTGATTCTCCCGACTAGAAATAAGAATGAGAGATTTAGAAGTCGGTCAACTCTTGGTAGTGACATGTCCAAGCAGCGAGGATCAAGTAACACCCACACGACTAGAAGACTAGTAATGCTGATGAGTCGGATCCAAGTATCAATACCACATCCGAACTTGCTAGCCCAACTGCCACGTCAATGGAACCCTCTTAGACACTCACCTACGTTTTGCTGTTCATGACGCCTGTACAGATGCCATCCATATATCGGCACCTCACATACTTGCTCTGCCCAAATAGAAGAAAACTAAGCTGGTCCCTCGCCAGTGGTCGTTTGAAGCTACTGACGTTTAAGCGGAGGAAATGGATAAGCAATTAGTAGAGCAATCGATGGCCGTGACGTGTCTCGACCTTGTTGCAGATCTTCTTACTGCCGAGGCTTAGCAAATAACTACATGTAACACTGACATTATATGCCATATTGTACACGCTCTAGCCGCCAGTATTACATCAAGTAGCCGACAGATGTAATACAAAGGCAGCCTGCTTCCGTAGCTTTAGTGGAGATATCTCAGTGTTTCGCCTCATCTTTGCACATTGTAGGGCACCAGCTGCCAGCGAGAAAGAACCTGATGCGCTGTACTGTGAGGATTTTGTAGTCATGGGACTCTCACGGATGCATTTTGGGCGACATCGTCAGGTTTCAATCCATCTTGAATACGCAACATCACGTCACGAAGATGGATGGCATCGCCACTGATGAGATTGCTGATATTGCTCGCGAGGAACATTTCTAGACCGCATACTGCATAATGGAAGGCTTGATAGTGGCGCAGCCATTAGCCTTTTTTCCATAGAATAGTAAAGAAGTTTGGCGACAAGGTCTCACTCTGGTTCACCTCGGGCATCAAAACACACACATAGCACCAGAGGGCTGGGATATACTGACGTGGCAGAGAGACAATTACATTTGACACGAGTCTCAGACAATCCAAGCAGACACTTGAAAATTTTTTCTCACCTCAGGTTGTCCGGGAGCCTGCCTACTTCAGCATGTAGAATATACTTGGATGGGTGCAAGCACACCCATTCGCTTCGGGAGGGCTACGGTGTCCCCGACGCAGGTCGCCAGGCTTGAAAGCACGGTGATGTATGAAGGTCCAAAGGTACAAGATAAGACTGCAAGGGAGGCCAATGACCTTTCATCGTAGAGATGGTTCATCCGCCCTCGTTGCTTCTGGGCGGAGATGCAAGTGCTGCAGCGAGTGAGATATGACGGAATGCGGCCTGAACTCGCGATACTGCTGGGACAAGTTGAGCGCGCTACATGTAAACACTTGAGAGAAAGGTTCACTGCTACGTAGATGGATTAGGCGTCGGACCCCAAAAAAGTACTCAATACAAGTGCTGTTTTGTTTTCTCCACTTTGCTGCTTGTCAACTTTCAGCCGCAGCCCTTTTGATCAAGCTGCATATGCGCGCCTGAAGGCTTTGCGACGGCGAAGTTGCGACACGAGTGATATCTTACGGAAGGCTTCGATTTCGACCGTGTTTTAAGCCTCAATTACAGCCCGATTAGCCTCGTTGGCCTTAAGTTTCCTACATTTATGATGTATATAAGGTGGTTGTTGTGCCTCGTAATGTTGGAAAGTACCATCAGCTTTCAATTCATCACCGGCATCTCATGCTACGCCTACAATCCAATATTACCATTAACCTATAATCATCAAAATTATTTTTATCGTTAAAAAAAGATGGCAATTGACAACATGGAAAGACATGGCCAACGCAGTGACGATTACCCCAGTGGACATGGCCGTCTAGTTCAAGCAGAAAACACTGCAGACTTTTTCAACTCTATTGCCCTTGGACAAGAAGGCGTGGTCAGAGACTTTATTGAACAAGATTCTGAGATTTCGAATACGCCCAATGAGCATGGCGAAACGCCTCTCATAGCTGCTGTCCGTGCTGATAAGCCGGTAATTGTCAGAGATCTCTTATGGAACGGAGCAAAAGTAGACGCCTTGGGATGCTACTGTCAAGAAGGCCAAAATACTCGAGCCTGGCGAACGCCCCTCCAAGTCGCAGCTGCAGAGGGCAAACTTCACATGATTCGCATACTGCGTGAGAACCGAGCCGACGTCTTTTTCGCTGCTCCAGGCGGCGTCAATGCTCTTCAACTGGCTACCAGCAATGGCCATGAAAGCGTAGTGGATCATATCCAACGTGCATACGTCAGCATTCGCGGCCATCTAGTTACCCCAGATGGCGTAACATCAGATGGCTTAACAGACGCAGCGGAGATTTATCCAACGGATAGTCAAAGATCAGCTGAAGGTGGCCAGGCTCAGCATACCCGGCTACTCAATGAAAAGAGGTTTGGGTGTATCACTTGGGGTATCCCAAAAACGATTCTTCATAAAGCTTCAAAAACTATCGTCTCTACACTCTCCAATGTTCTTGAGGATAGACCGAAAAAGACTCAGTTATGTCGCAAAAATGTAGAATTGTGGTGCCAAGAGAATTTTCAAGTGTTGCCTGCTTGCGTCAAGAGAGGAATAGATCTCGTTGATCGCGGAGTTAAAGAGGCAGCTGGACTTGTTACAAAGACACCTGAAAGGACTTGGCAGCTCATGAAGCGCATACCCAATGCTATGTGGACAATTATGCTGTATATTGGGATGGTACTTCGTAAGCTTGGAAAAATAGCTCCTCGTCTTTTGAAACAGATGACAGCCATTGTCCAAACCATCGCCAAGGCCGTAGCAAACATTTTTCAGGCTGCTAGACTCCGTGGCATTAAGAATTGCTTTAGCTCCATGCTTGAAACCGTTTTAACAGAAGTTACAAAAAGCCTCTCATGGCTTGTCACCGGACTGAAACAGACAACCCGTGCGATATTGCAAGCTGTAACGGGGTCATTGAAAAAGGTCGTTATAATATTTGCCGCTTTGACACTTGGGATTTGCATTCTGTTTTCCAACAGAACTTGGGGTCTGCTGCAGGCATCTGGAAAACAGGCAAAGAAAGGGATACAGGATATACTAGAGTCGATGGGTCCAAAAACAATGTAACATGCCATAGAGGAGGATTGAATAGCTGGCTCAAGTTGAATTCGGGGACTTGCTTTCGATGATGCGTTTTAGCGTTTGGTATTTTTTAGCTCAAGCAGTGATAATTTAGCATGATAGAGTTTGTATTTTTGAATTTATGATCAAGCTTTAGAGTAACTCAGAATGGTAAATCTGGTGACCATCCGAAGGCTTCTAATGAGTGCTAGGATTGTATATTACTACATGATCGCGAGAGAAGTGCTACTCGGCTCGGTCTGCGACGGCTCCTTACGGTTACGGGCGGGATATTTGGCGTAGCGTAGACGTTTATTCGTCCTCTTTTATCCTAGCAATGAGCGCTCAGCAATCAGTCAGACCGTTTACAAATCGATTATGAGCTGCCTCATTCGTGGCTAATTCTTAGCGTAATCGAGGGCGCCCCTCCGATCTCGTTTATTTCAAGTAGATTCTGACCAGGGCTGTATCTCTGTTAAACTCCCGCCTTTCTGCGTGTATATGACAACAAGTGAGTTACAGGATATGATTGTCAGACGATGTTGTTTTCGGCGAGTCTTATAGGGTTAGATATGAATCATAGCAGTGGTATGACTGTCCTCTTTTATTCGCCGTGCTCGTAAACAATAACCACCTTTGGCCAGGCAACACCAGACTCGATATACCCGGCACATGTCCGAGATCAGCACATCCAACAGTAACCTTGTTCCCATGCAGGTTCATCGGCGTTGGGTGCCCTGAAGCATCGGACATATACCGGACACACCCTTGTGCTGTGCCAAAATGGCGACTTTATCAATGGTCGCCGCCTCTCCTCCTTGGCCATTGCATGTATTGGTCGATCCAGTATATTATTCCTCCCAAGCTGCAGTTCCTCTTCCCCTCTTTCCATGTTCTTTGCCGCATTCAAAATACCTTGACAACATTTGAATCGTTTTTAAACAACAGTCTCTGGGCTGAGATAAAAACGGAACAGCCGTAAGCGGTATAGTATCGCCGAGGTTCAATAAACATCACAGAATGGTTAATGATCCTGGGTCGGATTCGTCGACAGCATCAGAGGAGCTACAATGGCAAACGCCAACCTTAAAAGAAACACTGGAGCCCAATGTCCTCATGAGGCCCGATGAACCGGTGCGTTGCCAGCTGCAGAGAGCATCGTCCCATTGATTCACTAATACTTACAACTCTTAGGACGACGTCGACGTCGAAAAAGCAGAAAGCAGCAGATCTGCGCCGCGTTCTGGTCTCTTCTCCAAACTATTCGCGAGACGCAGAAAAGAACAGGACACAACGATTCTACCTGTAATTATTCCTATTACAGATCTTGACAAAGGCGTCGTCGGTTGGGAAAGTCAAGATGATCCCAATATGCCACTCAACTTTCCCAGCAGCCGCAAATGGCTTATCACGAGTCTCCTCTCGATCATCACATTCATGACGCCTTTTGCTTCGTCCATCCTTGCTCCCGCTCTAGCAGCGATGCAGAAAGATTTTGGCGTCACTGACGTTACATTGGGATCGATGCCTGTCAGCATATTCCTGCTGGGATATGCCATAGGGCCGATATTGTTATCGCCATTGTCCGAAATTTACGGTCGAAACCTGATTCTCATCACCGCAAGTGCGTGGTTTTGCTTTTGGCTTGTCGGCTGTGCGCTTGCCCCATCACTCAACACGCTGATCTTCTTCCGGTTCATGACTGGCATTGGCGGTTCGGGTAGTTTAACCATTGGCGGCGGAATCCTTGCTGACATGTTCCCTGTAACCAGCCGCGGGAAAGCCATGACGATCTGGATGTTGGGCCCCATTGTTGGGCCTTCCATTGCGCCCGTGATTGGTGGGTTTGTTTCTGAGACAATTGGCTGGCGTTGGACTTCATGGTTATCCTGCATACCTGCTGCTGTTGCGGTGGTGGCTATGGTCTTTCTAAGCCGCGAAACTAACGCCCATGTGTTGATTGCGCAAAAGACAAAGAAGCTTCAAAAAGGGCTGAACCGACCGGAGCTAAGAAGTTGCTACGTCGATCCCGATGCTCCAGTCTTGAGCAAGAGACAGATTCTGCTCTTCGGCTTGATCCGGCCAATGAAGATGTTGTTTCGCTCTCCTAACATTTTCGGCCTATCGTTGTACATCTCCTTTGCATATGGCTGTCTATATCTGCTTTATAATACAATTCCCACCGTCTTTGAGGGCAGCTACGGCTGGTCTTTGGGTATTACCGGAATTACCTATGTCTCGCTGCTTTTCGGATACATCATTAGCCTGACCTTTTTCGCTCTTCTCTCCGACAGCACCATTATTCGTATGACGGCTGCCAATGGTGGAGTTTATGAGCCTGAGATGCGCCTCCCAGATTGCGTCTGGTTTGCGCTTATTCTCCCAATCACGTTCTTCTGGTATGGATGGGCCGCTGATAAGGCTGTTCATTGGATCGTCCCGATTATTGGAATTGTGCCATTTGGCATTGGTATCCTCGGAGTGTTGCTACCCATCCAAACATACATTGTCGATGCATATCCGGAATATGCCGCCAGTGGCCTCGCTGCATTTTCTGTATTGCGGAACTCTCTTGCTGCTTTCTTGCCTTTAGCTGGGCCGCAATTGTACAAGAGCCTCGGGGTGGGCTGGGGAAACTCGCTGCTCGGGTTTATTGCCATTGGGCTAACTCCCATCCCAATTCTGATGTACAAGTACGGGAAATGGCTGAGAATTCGCTACCCTATAAAGTTGTGATGATGGCATTTTAATTCGTGGCTTTTGCGTTTTTGGACATTATATCTCGAGAAAACTTGTTCGAGATGCATACTGATTTGTTATTCGTTTAGTCTAGTTGAGAGTATCGCTTTACGTGCAACACACAAAAACGGCTGGGTATAGGTTCATGGGGTACAAACAAAGAGAAGAGGCATAGGTTTAAATATGGTTCATAGTCCGAGTATATTTATAGAGGGCGTTTAGTAATTCTATAATAGTCAGCTTAATAGAAATATTTCGATCCCAGCGCATCAATTATAGTTCTGATACTTCACTACTAATACACCACATTTTGACAGTAGCGGATTGAGAGAGCTCGCCATGCTGCAAGGGGGCATCAAGTCGTATAAAGGAGACCGGACTAGCGAATACGAAAGAGACATGGTTCTCGTGAATATAAAGTCCAATACCTACCGCCTCGTTTGCATATCGGATTTTACAGCGGATCGAAATGTCAGCTGCGGCGAGGCGCGGCTATAACAGTGGGACTCGTATGGGTAGACTAATGCTTTATGCTTAAATCGTTGAGAAGCCTGCATTTTGAAAGCAATGTCTTTGTACAAAAGTCCTGTCATATGGTCTGTCTTAGCTTCTCTATTCTTTAAGCGAGATTGCACCATGGCAGTAGTCTTCGGAAAAAAAGAAGAAGAATATCTCTGTTGATGCAAACATGCATGCTACGAGACTATCCGCATTGGCTATTTTTTTTTTTTTTTTTGAAGCCTATAGTTGAGAGCCTAAACTTTAGAAATGTTCTCCAGTGGGAAGTTGCTAGGGTTCTTGGTACTATGAACCATGCTCAGTAAGGACACCCCAGGTCTACATGCCTACTAATCACTTGATGAGCGATGTTAATTAGTGACTAAGGCTGATTTGCATCTGGCATGGAAACTATAGATAGCCCCTCTCCAGATTTTGCTGTTTATTAATTCAAGAGACTAATCAAGTCCTGTTAAGAGGATAGTCGAAAGCACAGCACCCTACAGAAGATCAGCTCAATCGGAACCACTACTATTTATTCTTCATGCTATTTAAACTACAAATTTTTGCCCAGGGCTAAATCTCAACATGGGTAAGCAAGTAGCGCCGTATGGCATAGCTTGCTGCCGCTGTCTGGGCTCTCCGGAAGATAAGGGGATTCCGTAAGGCGATTCCGTTGGGCAGCTATAGCCAAATCTCCCCTGTTAGGAACACTCTACCAGTAGTACTTTTACGGGGGGGTGTTAAAATGACAAAGCATGAAGAGACTACAAAAACAGGCAACATAAATCGACATTTCTGGGTTTCGACTGGGTTTCATTGAGATGTAAAAAGCATGATGTAATAAAAATAACAACCTATAGTCTTCTCAATGGGATGCGCTGCTCGAGTCTCGCAATAGGGCAGAGCGGAAAAGTCGGCTTCTGCTAGTTCCATATTAATGGAACTCGTTCACGCGATGTAAGCTGATGGTCAGAGATATGGCACACGGCTACTTTGCCAGACTAGTTAATGCTCCATACAAATGCGCTCTTGGCATCTATTTTAGATACTAATAGGCGAATGAGGCTCTGCCCTTAGAGGAAAAAAAATAGGAGCATTCTAATAATAGTTGTGCCTGTGTATTATGGAGTGCTGATGCAGCAATACTATTAGATATGGTGGGGAGTATAAGTTAAAGCTTGATCTTTGGCGAAGGGCGATCTTTCTTTCATACATAGTACGGAGTGTACACAAGACGAACCGCGATTATTGTGCTTTCACCATTTCTAGCAACGAGATCCTACGCTCAGCAGCAGGCTGTGCCGGACGGTAACATCGACAATGTCTATCGACGGCATCCCGTGGCTGCCAGGTTTTTGGAGGCGAATACCATGGAGAACCGTGGGCGCACTGGTCGGGTTTTTTGTGACTTGTGGGATGATGGGCTTGGTTCTCATCTTATCCGAAGGCAAAGAAACCAACTCTTGGCCCACACACAACAAATACATTACCGTTCCTGTGCTTCTGTCACTGTTAGTTGGCGTTGCTGTTCTCTTCTTGGCAGTTGCAAACTCTGAAGGGCTTGCCATCTCGTGGTGGCTCAAAGCTCTCAAAGGGACGAAACTCAAGGAGCTTCAGTACGATCTTGAAGTCACTAGCAACTTGCTAGTTGGCGTCTTTAGGCCGTCTCTCTTTAACCTAGTCACTCTTTCGGCCATTATGGCCCTTATCGTGAGCGTCGGCACCAGTGCCATCATGCAGAGATCTTCGACCACCATAAGCAAATCCATTGGACCTTACCCGACCAATATTGATGTACCCGTCTTAAATACAACTTTACCGGCGAATTTCAGTGGATGGGCGGGTAGTGGATCACAAATATCATTGCTGATGCCAACTTTTGCGAGCGTATATAAGGAGTATTCTAATCGCAGCAGCATCATGATACCATCTGGCTGCGGCAACAGTACTTGCCAGCTGCATATAACAGGTCCGGGTTTCGATGTCGACTGTACGGACGATGCTGTCAACTACGACTTTGGCCAGTTAGCATCTGCGGCACCAGTTCACCAGATTACGACGTTTCAAACCGTCATCAACTTCGAGTCAAAACAAGATCCAAATTCTCTTAGTCACATGAATATGTCGGTGCTGTATAAGCCTTCCCCTACATGCTCTGGGAAATTGACGAAGCACCACTGTGTTCTTCGAGCGGCCGCTGTGGACTACGCCGTTACAATCACTAATGGTACTGCTACACTTGCTCCCTGGGACATCTCTCAAAACACTACCATACGCATCCACAATTTCACTAACTGGATGCAACTCGGCTGGGGAAGTCTTGGGGCTGGAGGTTTTATCACATCGCTTGGAGGAATCGCTTCTGCATTACAAGCTCAATACAACTCTAATGCAACTCTTGTATTATCGGTGATGACAAGCAATCCATTCCTGGTATCTGCGTTTGGGCAGGCAGCCAGTACATATTCGACATCTACATTCGATGATTATGGCAATTGTACTATGACCTGGTCAGATCCTAGAGAGGATATCATTAACAGTGTTCGGGAGATCATGTTCCGCAGCGCCCTTGCCGTTGCAAACTCGACCAGCGAGCCTATCCAGTTTAAGCAGACGAATGCCCAGATGACAAGGGTTGGGATAGTATATGCTACCAACTGGACATTCTATGGCGTCGCTGTTGGGGTCATGTTCCTGGAAGCACTTATTACCCTCGTCCTCATTTGGGGCTGGGAGAAACTCGGCAGAGAGGTTTCGCGCGACCCATTCGAGATTGCAAAAGCTATGGGCGCACCTCTTCTAAACCATGGATCGTCCAACACGTCAGCCCCCCAGATCCTGGATGCCCTTGGAAGCAAGAGGGTGCGATATGGAGAGCTGGTTGATGTAGCGACGGGAATTTCGCAGGAGTCGGCGGTGCCAAAGCGTGGATACAACTTGGTGGAAAGTCAAGATCCGGACCTTATGATGGAATATATCTCACCTCAACAAACACAGATGAGTTTGAACAGAAAGAGAACTCTGGGCATTGCCGTGCCAGAGCAAGTTCAGCCTGTACAGCCGGGAGTACATTACTGAAGGGATTTGAAATAGAGAAGGTGAAGAGACCGTTTTCTTGCCCATTATAAATTGTTGTACCAATAACTCGCAAGTTCATTAAAAGCAATACCCAGACAATTAATTTAGCTAAAGATAAAAAAGAAGCACGAATACAAGTACATAACCATCCATATTAGAGCGACATAGATATGTGCCAACTTCCCCATCAAGTTATGTAGGGTAATTGCTCTATGGGCACACTCGTGGACTGAAGTAGTGACAAATGATATATTAGAAACACATTATCAATCTTGTTTATTCGATCGAAGCTACGTTAAGATTTTTTACTTTCATCCTATTGCATTGTATTCTCGCACTTTTCAGTAGAAAGATATCTGCGGCTGGATATATGCCTAGAAGCTTGCGTAGATTTTTTGGAATGTCTAATACGCCGTAGGGCCAAAATGGCATCCCTATTCCAAAACTAACTCATACCTTACCGAATATATACCCGAGCTTCATCTCAGGTTATAAAGCCGATGCTCTGCTTTTCTCTTGAGCACCTTGAATAAAAGAGGGGCTGGCAGACATTATGAAGACAACGTACGCAGCAGAAAAACTTCTCAACATTCGCTAATCGAATGCAATTCATACTACGAAAGACCCCTGCTACTAACAACTTTAGCACTGTACTTAGTTTGGAAAGACCTACGGAGTTATATCAGTAATACAATTCAACCAACTCTCTGGAGCTAAAATCTGATGCGGCTAGTAAAACGCTTTGTCCAGCAAGAATTACGAGGGTTCCTTATGTGTAGTTTTACTACGATCGTAATAATCCAATGAATTTATTAGCAAACTATTCTTCAACTTAATAATAACATACCAATTGTTTGCTGGCTGATTGCAAACTTCATTCATCAACAGTAGAATATCCTTTACTAACATATAGAGCAGGGATTAAGGTGCTAACGTGAATAGGCCCGAACAGGATGCCGTTCTGCCGATTGCTATGAGCGTCAAGATATGGGGTCCCCAGAATCTCTTACATTGTTTAATAGAGAGCTAAGTTCCGCTCTAATATGAAAAGTCTGGGGGATTGAGATCGTCCTAGACATTAGAACAATGCTTCGCTTCGTAGCCAACACTTTATTGGAGTTGAGCTAGCGGTCGTATTCCATTCGCGCCTCGAAAGAGGACAACAGCCTCATCGTTTCCACTCTTGTGCATTTTACCCCAGCAAATACATGAGTGTGAGGAGTATAAAACGGTCTAAGCGGCCCTGAAATAGATATTGTAGCACTACCTTTTAATTGTTTTAACAAAAACACCTTACAATGAGGCCGATCTCCGTATCTTTGGCGTCTGCCGCGGCGCTGCTGTCTGGTGTAAGCGGCTTGGCCCATACAGTAGCCCGGTCAGCATCTAACCCAAGCTGTTTCCCTTTTGGCGCCGAGGCAAAGCTGAATGCGAATCTGCAACCTCCCCATGTTTCCAGGGAGGATTGGTGGTGTCCCCAATCCGATTTCTATGGCTTCCTCGGCTTCTCGTTTCCTTTCCAGTTCACCAATGAGGACTTTGAGGTTTCGAGTATTAGCTCTCACATGCAGCAGATGAAGCGTCAGTTTGGCGCGACCATGATTCGCATGTATATCCCGGAAAGCTACACCACGCAGTTATGGGAAAATGTACTAGAAGCTGCTATTCTAAACAACATGGGTGTCGTGGTCCAAGTAGCATTTCCCATTAGCGGCAACGATGTATGTATTTCTTGTAAAAATACCAGCAGCAACATTGCTTTGTATGTTTATTGACCAAACTCACAGCTCTCATGGGAAAAGGTTCTCGAAACTACTCTGTTCGAAACCCTTGCAAACAGTAAATATTCAAAAATCGCGCCATATGTCATCTATGCCGCCGAATATCTCAATGAGCCAGTTGGAGATTGCGACATGTGTGCAGCTGGTAGCAGCGGGAATGCGTCTGAGCCAGCCAGCCTAAAGAATCTGACAATGGGAATGAGCGATTTCCGCAATGAAATGCACAAATTTGGTATTCCAGCAGGAATCAGCGAGGACTGGGACAGGCCCTATTTGATGAGCGGTGCGCCTGGATCCGATGGGCTAGGCGTAGGGCTAGGTCCAGTAGGAAAGGCACTTGTACCAGTTCTGGATTTTATTCATGCCCATGTCATGGCGTATTATCACAATATCCAGGTTGATGATGCATGGGCTTATACAGCAAACCAGGTTTTGTGGTATAAGAAGTATCTGCCGCAATTTCCGCTCATTATTTCTGAGGTAAGTCTAAAATACTGAGCTGGCCTGCCATTACTGCAAGATATTAACAAGTATTGCAAAAAAGATGATGTGGGCGACAGGCTATAATGTCCTCCATGCTGGCGGCTACATAACCGGATTTGCCATTGCAGAAGTGAGCGTTGCGGATTACACCAAGTTCTGGAAGACGGTAGACGCAAATTGCGCCTTTCTGAAGGAGCATAACACGGCATATTTTATCCATGCATGGAGACAGGAAGGTACTCTCAACATGCTTCAAAATGACGGAAGTGTTGTAATTCCAAATTGGAAGCCTAAGAAATGGTGTTAGATGGGCCTTCCCGGTATATCGAGCCGAGCCGAGCAGCTTGGCCAATAATAGCATTTGTGTATAAAATTATTAAAGTTCATTAATTATTTATTGCTAGTCATTTTTTACTTTCCATCTAAATATAGGTAGTTTTCACTTTCAGCCCAAATTCGCCTTGCCATCTCTTGAAAGTTTTGGTATATCGGATGGTTCGGGGGAGATTCATAGTAATGATTCGGCTAGCGTACAGTTTGTGGATGCGCCCTCTCGCTTCTAACTGTTCAAGACTTATATTTAGCACTTTGACTCTTAGAATTCTCTATCAACTACGTTCCAAGCTATATTGACTTCAACTATTATATGTTTGGTGCACTCCCCTGGTTAGTAGCCTCACATGTTCATGAATAAATAGAAAACTTTTGATCTTGGTCTTGTTATTTCTGAAGAGCAATACGGGTGTGCACTAAAGTTCTTTACCTAGACACAAATCTTTATTTCCCCTTCCCAAGATTAAAGCATTACGTATTGTACTGCCGAAAGAAAGTAGAATTGGAGTGCAATCAACGTTGGAAAGTTTAAATATAAGCAACATTGACCCAGTGGCGCAAGACCCCCTTTATAGTTTCCTCCAAAGCATAGTGTACTAGCTCCAAGCCACGGAATGCTATAATGAAATATCTACTCGTATGAAGAATAAATAGAAATTTTTGTCGCGTACAAATTGTTCACTGGAAAGCAAATAAGACCGAGCCAGTGGGAGAATCAATCTCTACCAATGAACGACGATCATTTCGACAGAGTATGATGCCACAAACAGCAAATATTTGCTTTCGGCCATCTAAAGAAAGTACGATTTACTTTTGGGCTTATAATTTGATTGCACCGCGGCGCTTAATGGTTAGTTACAATTACCCGATGTAGCACGAAGCTTTCCTCAGCGGTCCGGGCCGTGAAGTTTATAAAGTTTAAGACAAATTACCAGCCCCCTATGAGCTGAACCTTCCGAATAAGTGGTTAACTCCACCTGGGAAACTGCATTTCTCTCCCTCTCTCTTATTTTTCGATTATATCAGCTGAATATTAAAGCCGATATACACATTTTTTTCCATTGGCAATCAGACTTTATATCAAAAAGCAAGCGTTACTTGCCTCTTTTGTAGTGTGCGAAGCATATAAGGTAATGGTGATGACGGATGGAAGCAAAAGTTGGTAGCTGATATGTGTATATATCCCTTGGTGTAGATATTTATAAAAAGCTTTCTGTATATCATCCGCTTTAAATTCTCAGTGATCCACAGATACTTGGACATTGTTGCAGTACTTACCAACCACCCTCTTATTTGCAGCCACCTACCTTATGATGAATCTTTTGGCTTTTTACAGTGGACTTTTCTTCGCGTATATAATTCTCTGTAAATCTTATATCACATTCTTTGACGCTAAATAGTATTTTGGTGGTGATGATACAACTTTCGTGTATGGCACCGGAGGTTAAACAAAACTCTTTCAGCAAGCCACATATGGATAAAATGCAAAACTTGAAAGATTAAACTTACAGCTTCACAAAAATATGCTTCTTATATGTTATATTTTTACTTTTGGCTTTTGCCATCAAACACTGGTTACGTGGACTCGTTAAATTTGGGGTATAAAACGCTGAGAAGATCCCATGATATCTTCAATCTTCTTCTCTCTAGTTCATTGTCGTCTCTTGGTCTTCAGCAGACACTATCCACCAATACCAATCTGCTCTACCTCTTCTAAGACCATTGACTACACTCACATAATCACCAAGAATTGCACTCGCATCACGACTGCAAATTCCGGCTTAATATTTGCCAACATATACAATACTTTCCTGTATGTGTTTCCATCATCTGCCTTTATGCCCTTTCCTTTCAGAATGTTTACTTGGTTTCTATATTATATTTATGCTTTGTTGTCTAACTATATACGCAGGAACCCAAGTCACCCAGCTCTATTCGCCGCCATGTCCCCTTCAGTCTCCGCTCGTGACGCCGATGCCACGCTCGGCAAGTTCCACTGTTTCGGTGCTCTCCCTTGCGAACTTCGACATATGATTTGGAAGTTTGCTGCCCGAAACGTGCAGCGAGGCGTACATGTCCTCGGAGCGGTGCGGAATGGCCAAGCTACGAATCCTGACAGCGCAGTCGGGCTGACTCTGGTAGCGCCAAAGGTCCAGGATATTCCTGGTTCAACTTGGCTGTGGTTTGATGGTAATCCATCAACTTATATACAAGATTCCGGTCTCTGGATGGCATGTCCTGAATCGCGGGACATTATGAGGCGTCAGTACAAACGCCTCGAGGATGCCATCACTGAGAACGAGGCAAGCCACAAAGTTGAAGAAGAAAACGAGGCCCAGCAGAACGCCCCATCAGCTGACTGGGCCAATAACGTTTTCAGCAACCAGAGCCACTTCGTGCACCTCGGGGGAAAACGCTACTTCAAAGCGTTCCCCGCCCAAGATCTCCTCTGCCTTTATCCATTGGAAACAAGTCTTCCATTTTGCGCCTTGCCCTTTTTTGAGTTGCCGGACCGTCTCCGCAACGGCAACTTAAACAACTTTAAAAACATGGCGCTGGAATATGACCCCGCATGGATGAATGGCCCCCTATCTGCCACAACAGATAAGGCTAGGGAGAGGGCTAGGGAAGAGATGTGGAGCGAAGACAGCCTTCGTGGAGTCTTTATTCGGGCACTATGGGCGATAGCAAAGCGTAATGGACCTGCAGACCTTACGTTCTGGCTCATTGACCGTACCGTCCGGCGTCGAGAAAAGCCATCGAACCTCTACATGCCTTTTGGCGATGATGACGACGACGACGACGCTACGAAGACCCAAGAAAAGACTGAACCCAAGGTATTCCATGGGAGCGACGGCCAGTATGTTGAAGTCCATGACCTGAGGGAGTGCAAGTACAATGTCGTCAAGTCCAACACGGCATTTCACTTCCTCCACTGGCTTCAAATCGACGTTGGCTTCAACGTTCGCTGGATGGTCAGCCGGCGCCGTGGCCAGAATCATCTGCCCCTGCCACAAGGCCTGGGCGATCTGGTCAAGATCTTGTGCGTCGAGCCGACATAGCTCCCTGGTGCCGCCGAGGGTTCGGAGGTGTTTCTGTCTTGCTGTCTCTTTCAATACCGAGGGTCGATACTGCCGTTGTTTTGGGTTTCTGTTAGGCTTGCTACGGGGATGGGAAAGGTGTCAGGAAATTAGACTGTGGCTGGTTATCTCTTTACTTTTGGCTGTACTGGATATTTTTCTACTTGGTTTTCTTTCTTCTGTATTACTAGTTTTTTTTAACGTCTATATTGCGAATGGCGTCTACTTGGGTTGCCTGGTTTGAAGACCACCAGGCTGTACTATATGTCGTATTAGTTTTAGAATGTCAGAGCTGTTAGTCTATAATGTTAAACAGTCTCTTTCACATATCATGTCCCATAGAATAGAATTTTGAGCTAACTAAGATTCTTCATAAGCGCAACGGGTGTTGATCAGTCCATTCGCTACTTCTTACTCGTATGTAGAGAGCTCTTAGCCTCTCTGTTCCTTCAAGTTGGCATAACTTGGAATCTCACCTCACCCAGCTGGAACTATCGAGATACCGGTCCCCTGGTTTGCACTAACAGCGAGCTGGCCAGGTCCAAACTGCGTGTTTTCGTCATCATTAGCTGACCTGTATCTACATAGCGCTCCGCAGTCTGCAGCATCATCAGATCGTGAAATCCTAAATCGTTTGATGAACCATCTAGCGCGCCCGAGCCGGTGCCGGCTCCTTCGGCCGCTAAACGCCCAATGCCGATGCCGTGAATCGTGGACCTGGAATAGCCCAGGTTATGTAATTTGCATAACTACTAACACGAACTAGTGCAATGTTTTGCGCTGATCACACCATATTAATGGATACAGGCACAAAGGGTCCCCCTACCGCCATTTGATTATTTTGTTGTCTGTCGTGTTGTTTTTGTTTTCACTTTCTTTTCTCCTCCTCTTTCTCTCTCCACGCTGTGCCTCGACCCATGCCGAAGGTGCCGCAACGGATCGCCGCCTCGAATAGGAAACGCGCACGTACCAGAGCACCACGGACTAAAGCTGCTGTGGTACAGTAATCAATGAGTCTTTATAGGTGGTGGCGTCCTATTACGGAGTATGCACTGCGGGAAAGCACCTGGTCTTCGGCTGAGAACTCCCGTGAGTCTAAAAATAGGCTCATGTCGCCTAAATCCTCCACGGCCTCCAGACCTCCTCCAGGCCTTGTGGCCTCGTAGTAGCTGTTTTCCACGATCCTTCTCGATTGAGCTTGTTAATAGTAATCTGCGGGCCCTTATTGGACCTGCGGAGACTTGGTTAAGCCGCCGGCGCGGGCAAACTTACCGCACGCTGGCAATGCCTCGCGATGTCCGCCAGTATGGTAACATCGAGCTTAGCATGCAGGGCGAGACAGGGCAGGGCAGGTAAGAAGAGCTGCGATGCAAGTATGGTTAGTCAGGTCGGAGGGTTGGAGGCCATGAAATGAAGGTCGGAGGGTTGGAGTGCCAAAGCCCAAGTAAGCCAGGCCACGCTTAGCTGTGAATGAACCATGACCACTTGCCTGTTACGGAGACATCTCCGCCATCAATCACGTAAAGAAGGGCTTCTTATATGGCAGATTTCGGCACTCAGCGGAGACGGCGGAGTAAGAGAGGACGGCACTTACTCAGAGCCAAGCCTGAGCCTGACGGGGCCCCGGTAGAGTGGTTTCTAGGAAAGAGAGATCAGGTGAGATCGAGGGTCGCGTTTGCACACCAAGGGGGTGCTGGACTGGGCCTAGTGTGTCTTTTCCATAGTGGTAGGTGCTAGGTAATCGAGTTTACCTATCGGGGCCATAGTTTATGGAGTCGCATCGGGCTCTGTATACAACCAAGTCATGCCAGGCACGGGCGTGTGAAGGCCGCATGGAGCCCGCATGCGGCGGCCAATGGACTAGCAGGCCCTTGTCGTGTGTAGCGAGCATCGAGCTGGCAAGGGCGGCGAGCAAGCTCAGCAGATGGCCAGAGGAAAATAGTATATAGAGCGGGCAGGATCGGCAGCAGGACACGGCCTCACTCACCGAACAACAGTCTTGGCCACCTCATCCTCCAGACAACTCCTTTGGCTGTGACTTGACGATGCCTCTCAAGAACGTGCTGGCCATTGTTGGCGCTCTGCCACTTGCCTCTGCTGTGGGCTGCCCTTACATCCAGGGCAATGGCAATAACCACCCAGCTCGCTCTGTGATTGCTCACCCAGAGTCAATCCTCGAGCCGAGATTCAGCCCTGATGGGCCTGACTTTGGCAGATGCCCTCGCAAGAGCGCCGTAGCTGGCGGAGGCACTCGAAGCAGCCAGTGGTGGCCGTGTGAGCTGAACTTGGCCGTGTTGCGCCAGAACTCGGACAAGACAAACCCCTTTGGTGGCCGCTTTGACTACAGCGCTGCCTTTTCCAAGCTCGATGGTACGTTCAATTTTATGCTTTGATCCATCTGTGGAAGCCTATTCCATACTCTCTCTGTATACGAGCTAATGCCTATCTGTTGCTTATAGTCGCTCAACTCAAGAAGGACATCACCGCCCTGCAGACCACCTCTCAGGACTGGTGGCCCGCTGACTTTGGCAACTACGGTCCCTTCTTCGTTCGTCTAGCATGGCACAATGCCGGTACCTATCGCGCCATTGACGGTCGTGGAGGAGCCGGCATGGGACAGCAGCGATTTGCTCCCCTCAACAGCTGGCCCGACAATGCCAACCTTGACAAGGCTCGTCGTCTGCTCTGTAAGACTCTCCATATTTGACAGGCAAGGATCTGTGTCAATCATACTGCGTCATACTAACGCTGAATATGCAGGGCCCATCAAGCAAAAGTATGGCAGCTCACTCTCCTGGGCTGATCTGTTCGTCTTCGCCGGTAACACTGCCATGGAGAACATGGGTTTCCCCACCTACGGCTTTGGCTTTGGCCGTGAGGATACCTACCAGTCCGACGAGGGTATCTACTGGGGTGCTGAGCAAGATATGTTCCCCACTGACGGAAATAACGTTGTCCGTTACAACGGCAGCACGGACTTCACTGCACGTGCTGATCAGCTTGAGAGTCCTCTTGGTGCTGTCAGCATGGGTCTCATCTATGTCGACCCCCGCGGCCCCAACGGCAACCCTGATACCAAGGCCTCTGCTCTGGATATCCGTGAGACCTTTGGTCGCATGGGTATGGATGATGAGGAAACTGTTGCTCTGATTGCTGGTGGTCACGCCTTCGGCAAGACCCACGGTGCTGAATCTGGCGATGATGTCGGCCCTGAGCCCAACGCCGCTCCTCTCGAGCAGCAGGGCCTCGGATGGAAGAACACCTTCGGTACTGGCAACGCTGATGACACCTTCACCAGTGGTCTTGAGGTTATCTGGTCTCGTACCCCCACTAAGTGGGCTAATGGTGAGTGCCTCTCTCGAATCTATCACCAAGGAGGCTACACTATATGCTGACATTCTCCAACAGAGTTCCTATTCTCTCTGCTCAACAACAACTTTACCCTTGTCCAGTCCCCCGGCGGTGCTCCTCAATGGGAGGCCCAGGATGCCAATGCCACCTACCCCGACCCTTTCATTCCTGGCAAGTTCCGCAAACCTACTCTGCTTACCAGTGATTTGGCTCTCCGAGACGACCCCATCTACCACAACATCTCCAAGACCTTCCTGAACGACTTCGACTACTTCACTGAGAAGTTCGGTCTCGCCTGGTGTAAGTTGGGCATCTCATACAACTCAAAAAAGTGGTGGATATGACATCTAACCTGCCACAATAGACAAGCTCCTTCATCGTGACATGGGCCCTATTTCTCGCTACCTTGGCCCTGAGATTCCTAAGGCAGCTCCCCTGATCTGGCAGGATCCTCTCCCTGCTGCTTCCGGATACAGCACTCTCAGCGCTTCAGATATCACATCGCTCAAGCAGCAGATCCTTGCAGCTCCCGGCCTCAATATCTCCAACCTTGTTACCACCGCTTGGGGATCAGCCTCGACCTTCCGTATCTCTGACAAGCGTGGTGGAGCCAACGGCGCTCGCATTGCTCTACAGCCCCAGGTTTCATTCGCCGTCAACAACCCCACTCGTCTGCAGACTGTTCTCAAGGCTGTGAGTAAAGCCGTTTGTGTTCTCTATTAACTTTTCACTAACGCTCCTCCCTCTTTAGCTGAAAGGAATCCAGTCCAAGTATGCGTCAAGCGGCAAGCAGGTATCTCTTGCTGATCTCATTGTCCTTGGTGGTAACGCCGCCATTGAGAGCGCTGCCAAGGCTGCTGGTGTCTCTCTCACCGTGCCATTCACCGCTGGCCGAGTCGACGCCCTCCAGAACCAGACTGATGTTACTACTTTTGCTTACCGTGCGTCTACACCCATGCACTCCTGCCTGCATTCGCTTATGTGAACTATTATACTGACTTCTATACCATAGTCGAGCCCCAAGCTGATGGCTTCCGCAACTACGGCAAAGGCACTACCCGATCTCTTACTGAGGAATTCTTGGTTGACAAGGCCGCTCTCCTGACTCTGAGCCCCCCCGAGCTGACTGTTCTCATTGGTGGCATGCGTGCTCTCAATGCCAACTTCGACGGCTCCTCAACCGGTATCCTCACCTCTCGCCCCGGCCAGCTCACCAACGACTGGTTCGTCAACCTTTTGGGCTCGTACTCCACCTGGTCCGTCGTCAATGGCACAAACGAGGAGCGATTCCAGAGCGTTGACCCCAAGTCTGGCAAGGTCCAGTGGACTGCCAGCCGTGCTGATCTCATCTTCGGCTCACACCCTGAGCTGCGTGCCATCGCTGAGGTCTACGCCGGCTCCGACGCTGGCTCCAAGTTCACTACTGACTTTGTTGCTGCTTGGTCCAAGGTCATGAACCTTGACCGCTATGATGTCAAGGGACACCTTGGAGCTTTCTAAATGCATGATAATTTCTAATTAATGTACATAAATTACCAGAGAGGCTGCATAGTCATACACCTTCTTAATGACTAGATTAACAGGGCACAGCTGCCATAAAGATACATGTCATAGATAGCTTCAGTTATTTTAATGACCATTATTTACAAGTTCAATCCACTTGCTCTCCAGCTACCAAAACTTTTGTTGACTTACGAACATGGCCTAAACGGCCGACAAGTTGTATCTGCCACTAATCTTTGAAGCCCTCATACACGCCGCAATTGTATTTTTCTTTTTCTTTCCTTTTTTTTTACAGTAGTACAGCTGAAGATACAGAACGTTCTAGACCTGGCCTTTACTTTCTTGGTTGGTAAAGTTGATTTGGCCTAGGAGTTCAGCTGTCCATGAGTATAGCTGAAGGACAACGGTCTCTACCACAACCATTGATCCCCATCCACACTCAGCCAATCGCTTTTGGCTCTCCCTGCATAAGGAATATGATAGTGCTCCGTAGCTGCTCCGTAGTTTTGTTTTGGGCAACACAATGTCTCAGACTAATGAGATCGCCGCATAATGGCGTCTTTCAGGGGCTACGCTAGGCGGGTAGTTCAGTTGTGTCTTGATGCTACTGGTGAACGAGAGCTAGTAAAAAGCTCTCTCCGCCATTTCATCTACCGGATGGGTCCGCGTTGAACGGGGTGGCTTGAAATGCCGCGTGCCCGCGTGCGTTGCACGGGCGTTGCTTTTCTTAATTATTTTCAATTCTTACCTACTTTGTAAAAGGATTGCTCCGTATGGCTCATACAAATTTCGCGCAATTTTATGCTTTTAAATTGGGGCTGAAGGCCAGTCTCATACCTGCCTGGTCCCCGAAATTTATCAGGCTCCGAGGCTGGCGTGTGGGTCAACAGCACTCTTAATTCTCTGACTATTGTGAAATAATCCTACCGTTGCCATCTGATTTGTCAGTTCTACTTGTGCACGTGGAATATGCGCTAGGTATCGAGCTGCATATTGCCATGAGGAGTTTTGAGAGAAAGTTTACAACAGTCTAGCCATACATGCTTAGAGACTCAATAGAAATTGGTTTAATATCCTTAAGGATTCCTTCTCACTCATTCGGGTAATAAATACTCCAGCCCAATCCAGATATGGTTCGGCCCGGTGCCGGCTCCCGAGATGCTAAACAAGAGCGTCGAATGGGAGCAAACACCAAATACGGAGTACTCGGCACAACTCATCACCACTCGCATCCCAGCTAATTCGAATGTTGTCTAAGTTTTAAGCTCAACGCCCGCAGAATTAATTTATACTTAATTCCTTCTGTGCTACCTCCCCTTGCAATGTTGGGGAGAATCGGCTAGATGATGCTCCGGTGACATGCAAGTAACACAGGCTAGCAAGTAACACAGACTAAATGCTGACAGAAAACCAAAACCGATTTTCTCCCCATGGCACTCACGTCGAACAATTGTATACCAGTTTAACCTATCATGTAAGGTGTGAATAATCATGGCAGCCCAAGTGGTAGGTCAGCAGGTGCTTGATTCTCCGCTTGGGATCATGGTTAGTAGCGTCGTTGGTGTATTACTATTTATAGAATTATTATTGGTAGCATTTGACAACTCCATATTGAATGAATCAAAGAGTCGAGTTACTTATATAATAGAGGAGAAGCTATTCATGGCGTGCCTATATTCAGCAGATACTCCTACCCAATACCAGCTCTATAACATGCAATAATTCTCTACTAAATGCTAATATTTGGCCTTGAACATCCTTGTACACTGTTCGTAAAGAAATAGCTTAGTTATTCCTTGTGAGAACCCTGGCAAAAATTCTGGTCTGTATCATCAGTGGTGGACATTTTCTAGATGGCTTACTCAGTCCTCGTGCTCGTAGCTTGATATAGAAGTCATAATACTTGTATTATCCAGATTAAGGATGTCAAACTGTCAGGCTCCGAAGAGGGTGCTGATATCTCAAGGGCTGGCGGAATCAAAAATCGCAAACGCATGGACTTGGGCCAGAACAGATTAGGATACTACGCTCATGGAAGTACTAAATCCATTTTATTTATAATCCATGTCAACGTACGTAGTACATACTCCGTAGATGACATTGGAATTGCTAAGCAATTGCGGAGGTTGATAGATGACGACCCTGCTCTTATGAGACCCACAAGCTATTCTCGCTGCGGGTAATTGCATTTCCCTAAATGGGGGCTATACTACGTAGCTGTGCTATGGATTCTCTTTTCGGCCTCGAGAGACTTGATTTAGAATCTTTTGTCGAGCTAAGGCCGGCGACATCAATGATTAGCTCTACGGATAATGCAGTATTTTTATAAATACTACGACTCAATCCCGCGGCTGATATGTCCTTCGATTTTGATTACGTTGTTGTTGAGAAAGTGCCGGCGAGTTTTACGCAATGAATAGGAAACTTGTCTATGAATATATAGCTACGTGCCCACTCAGGCCTAACTTTCTACGAAGCTCCAGATGAAAGTCGAATGAATTTATTTTGCCCACTCTGTAGACAAGTCGGGAACGCATATCTGAATCGACTCAAACACATACAAACACATCTGCGGAATCCAGCTTGTCATGCCGCTATTAAGACCACAGAACATTTCTAAGATACCGTGGGTCTATAACCCTTGTCGTCCCAAAGTCGCTCATCTTTTTTCAATCTTCAAACAGTTTTGTCAACTCAAATCCATTCGATATAACAGCAACAGTTGGCACCTGTTGGATAAACTCCGTTATAGATACATGTGACATGTTATTTTTGCTGCTTCCATTTTTGTTCGAGGCACTGTTGATTCCTATTGATTCCTCTTATTGGGTCTTTTTACCCACCGTAGTATTGGACATCTCCCTATTTATGCGTGGCCGCGATTTGTAGTGGTAGATTCTTCTGAGCAATGAAAGCGACACACCACCCAAACCACCAAAAACACCGATCCTAGAGCAAGAAAAGAGCTCAATCTTATATTAGCGTAGATATGATGGGCTCAAGGTTTATTATGTTACGATCAACTAACAGTAGAATCAACTAATCAGATTAATGTCAGGTTGAAGACAAATTCTTTTGGTAGAATTAACAGCTAAACACTAAGTGCAATCGAAGGTTGCAGTTTGTTTACCGATTTCGGCTAGGGGTTGCTGCTCTCTTATTTGAACGTGTTTATCTAAGGGAAAGGTTTAAGCATAATGACTGTTAAGCGATGATCTATCTATTTATATATTTTTCGATCATGGGCACATTCACCAACGCGTCGTCATGATGATGGGGCCGTTTATAGCACAACACTGACATGCTTGAACCTCGTTAAACCGTCCATCTCATTGATAGATTGCGATATAGCCAGGAATACAGCGAGGGTTATTGTTTCTTCTTTAAAAAGCCATACCCGTCTCCCTGATGAAAAGTAATTATAGGGTAGCCATCAAATAATTTTCAGCAGCGTCATATCGGCTAACTGAGATTTGAAGACGTCCAACCAATACTCTTTGGCATCCCGGAGTACCGTAGGAGGTTTCGATAATTCGAGCAACCCTAGTCGCTTCCATACGGCACAGCAATTTTGCTCATCATAGCCAATCTCGTTCAACAGAAGCAGTGTCAGTGAGCCCGAGTCAGGCCTTGTCGTGAGCATGAAGCACTTTACAGGAGTTCCAGAATCGACATGATCAGTTTCTGGCAGAGATGAGTCGTAGTCTGCGAATACATTGCCCACTTGCCTTTGCATAATGTCCAGTTCGTATAGATTAAATAATGGCCGTGGACCTTGATCTTCGTTCACAGATGACCTATACTGGATTGAAGTCGATATAAGATGGCCACGTAGCAAGAGATGACCACCTCTAAGCTCGCCGGTTGGGTCTGCCTGGAAGGGTAAACACTTCACTTCTTCGAGTTCACACAAAGGAACCAAGCCATTTCCTATATCAAGAAAGTGAATGGGGCCCAGTGCCGAGGCCCAAGACCATGTTGGAGCTCTCCATACTTTCGGGCGTTGTCGCCATTCCATATTCTCCGTCGAGCTGTCGGACGTGGTTACTTTATACCATGCCAAATCACACAGCAAAGAATTCTTCCACATTCCAGCAGCATATTCTGATTTTGTATATTGCTGAAAACTCTTCGCGATGCCTGACATTGCTGGGAAAATATCACTCTCAAAGGTAAGAAGAAGTCTCGTATAGTCCTCTACCAACATATGCCAGACTTTGATGAGTTTAATTTCATCTAGCTGCTTCCAATAATCATCGTTAAAAACTGATTTGTGTTTCATTTTCCGCTGCGCCTCCATCGTAAGAGCTGTATCAATAGCTCCACCGCTGGTCGAAGAAGAAGAATTCCCAGTGCACTGACAGGCAGATTCCTCTAAGCACTCCCATGAGAGCTCTTGTGGTCCAAAGTGAAGAACTCTTGAGGCCAGAAGGCGCTCCTGAAATATCCACCCACGATTAAAAGTTGGGAGGGGAGATTTCTTGACAAGCCTTTGGTCCATGTATCCAGGTAAATGTGTAAGAGATCTACGAAAGCATAGTGCAGATCCTGGACTTAGAGATGGAATAGGAATTGTGATGGGATTTGACTTTTCGTCAATTCCGCCAAAAAGACCATCTTCTGAGCTGGGCGACTTGGATGCAGAGAGTACGAGATATGCGTTTTGGTAGATTGAAGCCATCTTGGCGGCTTCTATTCTCCAGTCCTGTTTGTCGTCTTGTATGATGCACAGGCTGTCGATCCACAACAGAGATATTCCTAGTTTACGCACATAGGCGATAGAATCTTGAAAAACGGGCGGCAGCGAACTCCATGAGATCTCGTCTTTATGCGAATCAAGGTTGGCCGCTACTGTTTTCGAAGGTTGTGAAGCGCCCCAGCAGTGGCTTAAGCAAGCATACTTTGGTACCGCGTTGGCTTCGATATCAAGTTCTTTTAAACGAATGAGGCTGCTGTCCGTAAAACCCACGTCAAGGATTCTCCTCGGTAGGGTTGCCGCCAACTTTGAGCGTCTCTGATTGCATCCATGGCTGTTGTCGCATTGTCTAAGTCTCTCTGCCACCCATTCGAAACTAGTATCAGAATTTGTATTCTTGGGTAGGTCTAAAAGCCCAACTGGTACATTTGGGAATAAGATTTCAAGTTCAGGTGTTTCTGATGGTGAAACCCACAATTAGTACGAAGCAGAATATGCGGCAAGTCAAGAAAGAGCACTATCATATCGCATAAGGTATCTCGTTTCTCCCCCTGAACGATAACACGTGCGTTTCCAATTGAATAGAGTCTTACTGGATGGTGGAGGGGCAAAAACGGAAATCTCCAGCTGGCGTGTAAACAGGGTGATGGTTAGGCTCTGCCCTGATGCCGCCATGTTTATGTCTATGCGGAGCCTTTCGACGGCATTCCGAAGCCGGGCCGCATCATCATCAATGACGCCATCAATGCCGGCACTCAAGACAGAGCATGAAAGGCAGCCGGACTGTCCACTATGGCGAAGGGCACTGAGGCTTGTGATAACCGCCGTAGGTCCGCGGAGCTTGTTTGGAGGATGATGGCATGCTGAGCATGGCCGGGTTTCGGAATCGGACTTGAGCGTAGAGTGCGACATTGTTTCTTTGTCAGCGGGTCCCAGTAGCTTGGGGAAGTAGCGAGCAGCTGCCATTATCATCAAGATCGGAAAATCGGAAGATCAACTCAGGAGAGCAGAGCAGAAGAGGCTTTCCCGAGCCCGATGCTTCGCCGCAGCTGCATCCCCACTTAGTAAGGCAGACAAAGTCCGCTAGAGACGCCACAAACTAATCCGAAAATGCTCAATCATATGAAGTGAGCTGGACTATTTCAATGAGGATGATTCTATTATTCAATATTAGCACTACAATCATGAGAAATGACTCGGTTGATTTGTGTATGTATGTGTAAACGTATAGTGACTCCTTACCGTCTTTTTAGACTGGATTGCAGCGATGCCGGTCGGATACGCTCTCCATTAGCCTGTCGTTAACCTAGACCATATGTAAATCTACAGTAGACTAGGCTCTGGATTCTCTCGAGAAGACTGACCGTTTGCCACAATGGTGCTGTGGCGGGCGCGTTGCGTCTTGTCGCTGGTTAAAGATTCGGCGCGAGATTTCAATTCTTGGCAATCTCTACACGTATTTTTTTTGTCCTAGTTCCTGGATGCGGGGCGGTGCTAACATCAGTTGATGCCCCTATCACGACAACCGTTTGCGTAAAGACGGCCAGCGCTAAGACTAAGAGACCCGCGCGGCGATGACGATGGAATGCATACGGAACGGGAATCAAATACATGTATAAAGCATCGGGTGCTTGCAGGGGTCCGAGCATCTGGACTTTCGGGCGCATCAAACACAGTGTCAGCTTGCGCCCAGGTTCAAACTTTGGGGCGACGAGCCAATCCAGAGCTGCGAGGCTCAACAGACTCAGCGCCGTCGGCCGCTATTCAGAGCCACAGGCTCGCGCCGCTGCAAATCGATTCATGGAGGGTGTCGTGTCTCCGTGTGCGAGTAGAGAAGCTGAAATTGGCTGCTGGCCTCAGGAGCTATTGGAGAGCCGAGGCCTGTGTAAGCGCATTTTCATCACCAATAGCCGGTAATTGACTTTAGGACTTGCCCATCTGCTATGCCAATCAACTAGATGGACAGTGTGGTGCATAAAATATGCCACCAATGGTCAATTATCAACGAGATGGCAACAAGGCAAATAAAATGCATTGTCTCATAGCCGGATGATCGGCGTATCATTGGCGCTCCGCCTTGGGCTATAGGGGCGGGATCGTCAAAGTCCGCCAACCCGACGATTTGCACTGCGCGTTAGCAAAGCCTCCCTCATAGGGCTCTCATAGGGCAGTTTAGCAGCTCTTGGGCCTGCATCTTGAGATGCGCACGGTGCAAAGCTCTTTGTTGGCTATGCAAGCCATTGGCCCCGTACAAGGTTTTTGGCTTGCTGCCAAGCGTTGGTTTGGCTAATACTCCGGGAGTCCGACCTCGGGTTACAAACAAACTTGCACTGGTTTAAGGTTATCAATGGCGTATAAACGTGCTGCTACTTATACAGAGTCTTATCTCATGCTATTTAACGCCGTCATTCTCAGCTACCTTGGTCGACTTGGTAGGCCATTCGATTAATCAAAAATGGCACAGAACGAAGACGCCAAAGAAGCTGTGGATGGGGCCTTGGAAAGAAACGAGATTTCCACCCATCAAGGCAATCAATTGTTCAACTCTACGGAAGACTATGATGAAGGAGAGGGATCTTCAGCTGAAAGGAGTCCTCGCGAGACTCACTCGAGAGATTCCGACAATGACGCCAGCACCTTCCCCTCAGCCTTGAGTCGCTCTAATACCTACGATGGGGAGTCTATAATGGAACAGGATGACAGGGCCGAGCTCAAACGCATTGCAACTGCACTATCTCGCCGCCAGTCTAGTGTTGCTGCTCCGACTCGCCGTCAGTCAGTTGGACTTGGTACCGTTGACGAATATGATGCCGCCCTTGACCCTGATCGCCGGGAGTTTGACTTATCAAAATGGCTACTTCGCTTCATCCGGGAACTTGGTGAAAAGGGTCTTTCAGATCGGCAAACAGGGGTCTCATTTCGAAATCTTGACGTCTATGGCTCTGGAGATGCAGTTCAACTCCAACAGACAGTGGGATCTGTTTTGATGGCACCACTGAGGATTGGAGAGTTTTTCAGCTTCGGAAAAAAGGAGCCAAAGCATATCCTGAACAGTTTCAATGGCTTTGTCAAAAGCGGAGAACTCCTAGTTGTCCTTGGACGACCTGGTTCTGGCTGCAGCACACTTCTTAAATCTATTTGTGGCGAGTTACATGGCCTAAACCTCGGCGAAGGCTCAAGTATTAGCTATAACGGCATCCCACAAAAGCAGATGAAGAAGGAGTTCAAGGGTGAAGCCATTTATAACCAGGAGGTGTGTTTTAACATTCACCCCCTTTGAATTTTCTTAAAAACGCTACTTTGCACTGGATACTTTTCTTTTACATGGACTGATAGCTAATTCAATACATAGGTTGATAAACACTTTCCTCATCTTACTGTTGGCCAAACACTAGAATTTGCAGCTTCAGTTAGAACACCATCTCATCGTGCTCACGACATGCCCCGCGCTGAATATTGTCGTTACATTGCCAAAGTCGTCATGGCCGTATTCGGGCTCACACACACATACAATACCAAAGTCGGCAATGATTTTATTCGAGGAGTATCTGGAGGCGAAAGAAAGCGTGTCAGCATCGCAGAAATGGTTTTAGCCGGCTCGCCATTTTCTTCATGGGATAATAGGTTCGTTCGTCCATCTCCAAACATCAACGTAGTATTATCTAACAAAAACGACTAGCACCCGAGGACTTGACTCAGCCACAGCTTTCAAATTCGTTCAAGCATTGCGAACATCTGCTGATCTAGGCAATCATGCTCATGCGGTTGCCATTTATCAAGCCAGTCAGGCCATCTACGACCTCTTTGACAAAGCCACGGTACTATACGAGGGTCGTCAAATCTACTTTGGGCCAGCAAACCAAGCAAAGGCATATTTTGAGAAACAAGGCTGGTACTGCCCCCCGCGCCAGACAACTGGGGATTTCCTGACCTCAGTTACCAATCCTGTTGAGCGCCAAGCTCGTGAGGGGTGGGAAATGAGAGTGCCTCGAACCCCAGAGGACTTTGAGCGGCTGTGGCTGCAGTCCCCCGAGTTCAAAATGTTGCAGAAAGATCTCGATCAATACGAAGAGGAATTTGGCGGCGAGCGACAGGGAGAGAGTCTTGCACACTTTCGACAGCAGAAAAACTACAGGCAGGCCAAGAGAATGCGACCAAAATCACCGTATATTATCAGCATTCCGATGCAAATCAGATTTAACACGAAACGTGCATATCAGCGCATATGGAATAACATGTCTGCTACCATGGCATCTACCGTGGTCCAAATCGTCATGGCTCTCATTATCGGTTCCATATTTTTCGACACTCCCAACAACACGGACGGTTTCTACGCCAAAGGTTCAGTTCTGTTTGTGGCCATCTTGCTAAACGCGTTGACAGCGATATCTGAAATCAACAACTTGTATTCGCAGCGGCCTATTGTCGAGAAACATGCATCATATGCCTTCTACCATCCAGCTACCGAAGCAGCAGCGGGTATTGCTGCCGATATTCCAATCAAATTCATCACTGCTACAGTCTTCAATGTTATCCTCTATTTTATGGCTGGGCTGAGAAGGGAGCCATCGCAGTTTTTCATTTACTATCTTATTGGCTACATCTCAATCTTTGTCATGAGCGCAATTTTTAGAACAATGGCTGCAATCACCAGAACTGTCTCCCAGGCCATGTCTCTTGCAGGAATCTTGGTTCTCGCTCTTGTCATCTACACTGGATTTACCATCACGGTGCCATCAATGCATCCTTGGTTCAGTTGGATCAGATGGATCAATCCAATCTACTATGCTTTTGAAATACTAGTCGCCAACGAGTTCCACGGTCAGGAGTTTCCCTGCGGCAGCAGCTTCGTCCCTCCATACAGCCCCCAGGTCGGAAATTCTTGGATCTGTCCCGTCCCAGGCGCTGTTGCAGGTAGCGCGACTGTAAGCGGAGATGCATTTATTGCGACCAATTATGAATACTACTACTCCCATGTTTGGCGCAACTTTGGTATCTTGATGGGCTTCCTGTTCTTTTTCATGGCCATATACTTTATCGCTACGGAGCTCAACTCTTCCACGACAAGCACCGCTGAGGCTCTTGTTTTCCAACGGGGCCATGTTCCTGCACATCTCTTGAAAGGAAATACCGGCCCTGCTAGAACTGACGTTGTGGTCGATGAAAAGGGAGCGCATGGAACCGATACTGCTGACTCCAACGTCGGCGGATTAGAGCCGCAGCGGGACATTTTTACCTGGAGAAACGTTGTTTACGACATTAAGATTAAAAATGAAGATCGAAGGCTTCTGGATCATGTATCTGGTTGGGTAAAGCCAGGTACGTTAACTGCACTGATGGGTGTTAGTGGTGCAGGAAAGACGACTCTTCTCGATGTGCTCGCGCAACGAACGACAATGGGCGTTATTACCGGCGATATGCTTGTAAATGGCAGACCGCGAGACCCCAGCTTTCAGAGAAAAACTGGCTATGTCCAACAACAAGGTAAGTTTGAAGATGAGCTTTGCTTCTTTCTGGACCAGTATTGACCAATGGAATCAGATTTACATCTCGAAACCGCCACAGTTCGCGAAAGCTTGCGATTCAGCGCTATGCTACGTCAGCCCAAGTCTGTCAGCAAAAAGGAGAAATTCGCATTTGTTGAAGAAGTCATCAAGATGCTCAACATGGAAGAATTCGCAAATGCTGTTGTCGGTGTCCCAGGCGAAGGTCTCAATGTCGAACAGCGCAAACTGCTCACCATCGGAGTTGAGCTCGCCGCCAAGCCAAAGCTACTCCTCTTCCTCGACGAGCCGACCAGCGGTCTCGATTCTCAGAGCTCATGGGCCATTTGCTCGTTTCTTCGCAAATTGGCCGATTCTGGCCAGGCAATTCTCTGCACCGTTCATCAGCCCAGCGCTATCCTCTTCCAGACATTTGATCGTCTGCTTTTCTTGGCCAAGGGCGGAAAGACTGTTTATTTTGGAGACATTGGTCAAAATTCTCGTACCCTGTTGGATTACTTTGAGGCAAACGGAGCGCGAAAATGTGGCGATGAAGAGAATCCCGCCGAGTATATGCTTGAAATCGTAAACAAAGGAACCAATGATAGAGGAGAAGAATGGCCCTCAGTTTGGAAATCCGGTTCAGAGTTTGAGAAGGTCCAGACTGAGCTTGATCGCATTCACGAAGAGAAATTAGCCGAGGGCCACGGTGCGGAAGATGCTTCATCCCAGTCGGAGTTTGCCACGTCCTTTGGAGCTCAGCTCTGGGAGGTGACTTTCCGAATCTTTCAGCAATATTGGCGAATGCCTGCCTATATCTTTGCAAAGTTTATGTTGGGGACAGCCGCCGGTTTATTTATTGGCTTTTCCTTTTTCGATGCAGATTCTTCATTGGCAGGGATGCAGAATGTAATCTTTTCAGTCTTCATGGTCACGACTATATTTTCCACCATTGTGCAACAGGTAAGATTCAAGTGGCATAGATATCTATTCATTGATGTGGGCTAACGGAGCATCTTCAGATTCAACCTCTCTTTGTTACTCAGAGATCACTCTACGAAGTCCGCGAACGCCCAAGCAAAGCTTACTCATGGAAAGCATTTATACTTGCAAACGTGTTTGTTGAGATTCCTTATCAGATTATCATGGGTGTTCTCGTATTCGCTTGTTTCTACTACCCTGTCGTTGGCATCCAGAGCTCGATCCGCCAGATCCTGGTGCTATTATACATCATGCAGCTCTTCATCTTCGCGAGCTCATTCGCGCATATGATTATTGTCGCTATGCCGGATGCGCAGACAGCCGCCAGTCTCGTGACCTTCTTGGTGCTAATGAGCACCTTGTTCAATGGTGTTCTGCAGACACCATCTGCACTACCAGGGTTTTGGCTATTCATGTGGCGCGTCTCTGTCTTTACGTATTGGGTAGCTGGCATAGTTGCAACGGAGCTCCATGGACGACCGATTGTTTGTTCGGAAAATGAGTTGTCTATATTCAACCCTCCATCGGGTCAAACTTGCGGCGAATATCTGGCCCCATTCCTACAGCAAGCACCGGGACAGCTACAAAACCCATCGGCCACAGACCAGTGCCGCTACTGCCAACTCAGCAATGCAGACCAGTACTTGGCTGGGTCAAGAATTTATTGGAGCGATAGGTGGCGTAACTATGGCATTGTTTGGGCGTACATTGCATTCAACATCTTTACGGCGATTACCCTGTACTATCTATTCCGGGTCAAGAAATGGAACACCGCCGGCTTCAGATTTAGCTTTCCGTGGGGGAAGAAGGCGGGAAAGAAGACAAACTAAAATACGACGAAAATGGCTCATAGTCACGTCCAATGCTAACATTGGTCATCATTTTTTGCGTCTTTGATCTAGCGGCCAAAATAGGCATCAACATTTTCGTTCTCTTAATATACTGGTTTACGGCGCTTGAGCAGTAGTAGTGCTGACTTAAGAAGCCTGGGTATACTCTTTTCATCATCACATGTAGATTTTTCATAGTCAACAATAGATTAGCTTAATTACTAAGACTCCTTTTTTGTAACCGATGCTCGTATTACTTTACTACCTACGGTAATTTTCCTGCTGGCTTGGCACCGAACGAACTGCTGGCCCAACTTTTAGCGCAGCCACTTACAAAATGAATCTTCGTTCGTCTTGCTTTAGGAAAGGTAACGTTGGTTTTCTAGCAAGGTACTAATTCGAGGGTTTTATATAAAGCTCTTTGGTAAGGCGAGACAATAGAAGCTCGTCTAGAAGCCAGAGGACAATAATCGTGTTGTAGAAAAATTCTAATGGATGTTGAATATCTAACAAGGCGGGCGTTGAACTGGATTAGCAAAAGACGGCTTTATTCCCTCGGCTTTTTGGTAAAATCTCATGTCCTTCGCTCAAACACGATAATCCAGCACTTGGTTATAGAAGTCCTTGCTTGCAGCTGACGTTACCACTAAATAGAAAATGAAACACTGTAAGATAAATTTCAATAAATTCAGTGAGGCAAACTACAAAAATTCGTATAATTCAGCTCGTTCGACGGTTTGATAAATGTCACACTTCTTTTGGTGTGGCTGACAGCCTCATATGTGTGGGTTGCGTTAGATAGAATAAGCAGCCATCCCAAACTCTTCGGCCAACAAAAGTCCCGGGGTTCGCTCCTACCGGAGATTTGACCCCAGCCAAGACACTCCTTTAGGAACAAATATGCCGTGTTCGGGAATATGTCTGCCAAGAACGTAAGAAAGGAAAAATACTCGTGCAGCGGAGAAGATTGCCGAATGATACGTCGGACATTAGTGTGGTCAAATAGATATTACACGTAGAGCTGAAAATAGTGCAGCATAGGGGGAGGCGAGCCAACAATAGGCAATGATTATAGAAGTTGAGTAAGCATGCAAGGAATAATAGTTTTATTGAAGTGTTTTATTGTTTTGGCTTTTCCTCGGGGCGCTTTGTAAAGGGCGGCAACATCAGGAGTGGCTCTGCTGGCGCGGAAATGCCCATTCTTGACCAGGAGAGCCGCGAAGCGCGAGTTCGAGTGAACGACGAGCGCCAATGACTTGTTAAGGCAAGGCGCGGGCTGGCTCGGTAAATAAAGAAGTTGCCGGCGATGCTACTACGAAGAGAGGCATCATGATTTTGGCTAATTGCACTTGGCCGTCCACTGTGGCACCATAAACAGTAGGGGTACATCGCCACAGTGTCATCATGCTCAGATTTATGCACTGTACAGTTGCCACATATTTCGATTATTAAATCTTTCATGAGAGCATCCTGGCTGAAGTGGGATAGTAATGACTCCCTAATATTGTCACTGACTCTTCAAGGAGGCGGTGGGCATGAGAGAAGTTTCAAATGATAACATATACCGTGCTGCCATTTCTCCCTGGAGTTGCACGTGGGCGAGTCCTGGCCATGGGTCCTCGTAGGGTTACACAGATGCTTACCAGGGTGTCAGCAGCACTGCTACTGTACAAGAGAAATGGCGCTACTCCATACTGTGCCAGGTATTGGATACTGTATGGAGTAGGTAGCAGGTACTCTATGAAAGCATTACGGAATATGCTTGCCGAGAATTTGAATCCAAGAGCGAGCCCTTAGTTTCATGCCTGCTCATAGGAAGACGTATGTATCTAGTTTGTAGGTTATGTAAGAATAAAGAAGAAAGCTGAATATAAGAGCACCGTTCTAGGCTCTCATCCAGCGTAAACGACGAGTTATCACATATCAAAAAAAAAAAACCCATGCCGACGTTGTTGCATTTGGCCAGCTCTAGGCCTTCGCTTGCCTGCTCTAGCGGCTTGCTTTTGTAATGGATGTGAAATAGGCATACTTGTAAGTTGCAGGATCGTTGCTACCTGGTACGACTAACCGTAGTTCAGAAGTCGTGATAACCCAAGGATAGATGGTTGCACACGACTTTAGTAAAAGGGCTCTTTTAAACTAAATCCAGTTAAAGCTCTGCTTTGCATCGGTCTAGTGAATTGTCCCTGCAGTCGGCTGTGCGTTCCGTTTCTTTTTTGAGGGTCACTAAAGTCGTCTAGTGGTGGTAGTTGGAGAGGAGGAGAAGAAAAAAAAAAGTCGCAGTAGTCCCTGACGAACATATGCTATTGCTACTGTAGCAACTAAAATTTATCTTGTTCCTTGGCCTCTAGTCTTCTCTAGCTTCTGTCTAGCTTCAATCCACCGTTAAAGTGGAAAGCCTCTGGGCTGCAAGACCCAGTAGCTAGGCTGGATCGAGGAGGCTATTCTGGGCGACTTGATTTTCGTCTTTATTACGGGCTGATCATACCGATGGCGGACCGTGGCTGTCAGTGGCCCGTCCCAGGGCAAAAGAGAGTGTTACCCTGACTCGCGCAGAGTTTACAAGACTCGATCTGAGAGTCTCCATCCGGCTCTTGCCATCGCTAGCCTACGAGATGTAACTTGTGTGAGACAACCGAGTGTGGTTCTCATGACAAAAGGCCGAAACAAACGACAAACGAGATCATTTGATGTCAATAAACGTCCCGCCTGCCCCAAGCTGCTGGTATCGGCATAAGGCCTGCAGGTTTTGGAAACGGTAGTTGGCAATACGGGGTAGTCGAAGGAATAGCGATGCTACGCTGCTAAGGAACAGGCATAGACCAGGGGTGAGTACGAACTGCATGGCATCCACCACCCAGAGATTCTGGCACTATGCGGTCTTGGCATGCATGCAGAACTGAAAGACAGCACGTCTGCTGTAAGCAGGTTCAGGGGATCATTCAATAGTGCTGCAGACAGCGATTCAGCTTTGCCAGGGGGTCGCTGCGCACGCTCCCCCTGCGAAGCTGTCATCAAATCTCCAGCAAACAGAGCCAGATGGAGGGGCACATGGCCTGTTCGCAGATGCCTGCTGCTAGCGTTTGAAGCTTCTGCGCTGGGTCGTGTCGGAAAGGCACCGCGAGCTTTTTGCTAGTTGAGAATAGGGAGGCAATCAAGCGCGACTCCCTTGTGGCTGTTACGAATGATTTGAGCTGTGGCGCGCGCGCTGAGCCTTTTTGGGGAACTTAGGCAAAGGGCCGCATAAACTGCAGCGTCTCTCGCTTTATTACACGAGTCGAGCCAGGGCCATTGCTTTGCGGGTGGCAATGCTTGAATCAACATGGCATGGCTTATTAGTCGAGCTGATTAGGCGTTTTTCCGTGATATGAATATGGGGGTTTTGAAAACCAGGGATAGGGGAAAGGGCTGTGACCTGAGAAACGAAAGAAAGAGGCCGAGAGACAGAAGAGAGGGAAGAAGGTCGCGACGCCATGTCAACGAAAAAAAGGCTCAGACTAGTTGAGCGGCTGATGTTGATAGTGCTCACGGCCCACGAAAGAAAGCAGCGGCGCCATCGACGGCTCGACAGCCCGCGTCATCTTATTTTGAGGCGGCCTCTGCTATCCGTGTCAATCATTAGAACCCATCTGTCGACCGGTGCCAGATCCGGGTGTGCTGCAGCCGACCAAATGTCCAATCCCTGGCAGCCCCTCAAACAGCCATCCTTGTTGATGATGGGGAAGAGATATGCAGACGCCTATCATACTGACTGCACTATGGCAAAGAACAGCAGTTGTTTCCGAGATGTGCGTATTTTGTCACCTTGCAGATGCTAATCCTGATCAATACGGCCCTTTTCGTGGAGCCCGTCAAACTTTGGCACATGAGGAGAGAATCAGGCACAATGCCAAGTGTCAAGGGCTCGCTTATAGTTGTGGCCCTTGGCGTCAGTCAACCAATGAGCAAAAGACTCGGCCAATTCTCCGTTAAAAAAAAAGATGCTTCTTTTTCAGCCAAGCCATAGCTTTCCCCAAAAAATTGAAGCGCTCAGCCCATCAGAAGGACGCTGCTGAGCCGTGTCGCCGTCGCTGCGAGGCCCGTGATTAGGTGGCGTCGTGGCTGGTCTTGGTAAGCTTTAGGAGGTTTAGGAGGCCCCCCGGCTAGCCTATCGGATTGCTCTGTGGGATGTCCCAGTAGACCGGTTTTGGTATCTACAGCGGACTAGGCAAGGTGCAACTGTGATGATGAACACTGGCTGCGGCGATAGCATGAAGAACTCCACCGCGAAGCGGGTGGTGGGCTAAGCCATCAAGTGCCGGAACGAGTAAAGGGCCATACAGCCAGCTTGTGGCCGTCGGATGGAATGAGCAAATAGGAGATTTCATCATGGTGGGCACTAGAGTTTTTCCCTTCTCCCCAGGCCGCGTTTTCTTGCTTCTCTCGACTGGACTTTTGGCATCCGAGCTAGCAAGGCCGATACGGCTGGCGTCTCTGGCTGTTCCAGACGCACATCTTCTGGAACCGCCTCTCCCACCCTTTCCTTGCATGATCCTGGCTTAGATGAAAATGCTCTGCTTGTAGAAGAATTTGTGGGCTGGTGGCTTTGACGGAGCCTCCCGGCACAACCCCAACTGTTCATTCCATACATATCAGTAAGGCCCTCGCCACCCACACTGAATCGATCTCTCGGATATCATTAATTTACTTTTTTTCCTTCTTTTCTTTCTTTCCTTCCCGGCAGTATTGCTGCCTCTATTTTCTTGTTGAACTGCCTACATGTAGGAGCAACGTTTGTATAATACGCACACGGTATTCCACGGGTGGATCGCGGACGACGTTTCGCACACACGTCTTACGGGCGTGTTTCTTTTCATCCTAAATCACGACTGCGGGAGCCAACAGTAGCAGCAGCCCTCTGCTTACCTGTGGATAATGGTGGACTCTCGCATTCAACAAGCCATCGCGGATGGCAATGTTCCACCGGGCATCACGGCCGAATTCTTGAGCGAGAGCCGTGACCGAGCGTCGATTATCGGCATTGTTTTCGTCACGGCCCTGACGTTTATAGTCGTAGTCACACGGCTGATATCCCGATCACTTATTGTACGGCGCATTGGTATTGACGATGTGCTGGCCGCAGTGTCACTGGTAAGTACATTACAGAACCGGAGTAAGGCGGTAAGCAAACAGGCATGGAGAACTGGACTGACTCGAGCCTTTTTTTTTTTTTTGTATTCACTAGGCCCTGTTAATATGCTTCGTTGGATTGAGCATTGAGCTCATCAACCTGGGCTCCGGCAGGCATTTTGCCTTTATCGAATACGTGCTGGATGTACCCACGGTCCTTCGGACGCAGGTGCTGGATTTCGTTGCGCATATCATCTACACGACGGCCCTCTTGCTATGCCGCATATCCGGTCTGGCATTCTACTACCGAGTGTGTGGGCTTCACAACAACTTCTTGATAGCCATCAAGGTAGTCTTCGGCATCTTGGTCGCCGGTTTCCTCCCCCAGATCTTCCTGCTCATCTTCCACTGCAAGCCAGTCACGGGCTACTGGCCGTATGGGTGGGAGCCTGTTGCTCCTCGCTATACTTGCCTGCAATGGGGTGTGGTGTACAGTGTCAACTCGTCGGTGTCACTGCTCTGCGACTTGCTTCTCTTTGGCATCCCCATTGCGATGCTGCGGAGTCTAGAGATGTCCCGTAAGCGTAAGATCCAGCTGGCCGGCATTCTGCTTCCGGGTATCGCGTAAGTGGCTGATTTCTTTTTACTTGTTCGCTTTGGGTGACATTGAGCTGATTAATTCTATGCAGAGTCATTGCGATTTCGATTACTCGACTGGTTCTTGTTATCCTCGGACAGTGGGAGACGGACGAATCATGGTCGTACGACCCCATGTTGGGCGTGGAAGCATCCGAGATAGGAGCTACTCTCATCGCCTTGTCGGTACCTGGAGCCAAGCCGCTGTTTGATAAGGTCTTCTTCAAGAAGGATGATTCCCAGACAAGCGGCGCATCCCACTACGGACGCAAAACCAGCTCTTTCCGCTCTCGAGGAACTGCTCTGAGCAACTTGAGATTCCAGACGAACAGCCAGCACAGCATACTGGGAAGCCAGGAAGACGAGGGCCCCAAGTATGCTCCCGAGACTTCGGCAACTGTTGGCAGCAGGCATAACAACGACGGAGATGGAATCTACGTTCAGGTCGACTTTGATATCAAAGAGGCCCGAGTGAATACGAACACTACGCCGAGCCTGAATAGTCGATAGAAAAAAGTTTTGCTTTCCTACTCAGCTATGGATTCCTTTGTTGTGCGCGTCTTTTTGTTTTGTCTTGTTTTATTTTTTTTTTCCCTTCGTGCCACCAATTTTTTCCCCCTCATTTTGGTTTATTGCGTTACTCAACACATAAACTTGTAATGTTTACACCCATCGATATGCCCCTGCAGTTATGAAGGATGGGAAAAGCAGCGATGACGATGAGCTACATGTACATGTAATTAGCTCGAATGTGGGAAGGGTTACATCTGCTAGCTTCGGCTAGTGGCCGTTCGTTGTATTGGATAAAGCTCAAGCAAGGAGATATTGATACCCGGATGGACAGCTTCTATTTTTTTTTTTTTTTTTTTTTTTCAAGCCGCCTTCTGATAGTCCCATAGAAAACATGGAGAGAGACGAAATGCGCGGCGGAATGTGCATGAATGAGACAAAGTAGTACACACACGACTAATGGCCCCCATGTGCATGCTAGTGCCTTTGTGATATGTGAGAGTTGCTACTGTAGCAGATGGTTACATGCAACTACTGCCAGGCACTAGTAAGAGGTGCGCCGCTGGCTTAGTGCCGTGCTCAGGGCCATGTTCGATACGACATGCAAGTTCGGCGAACTGCCATCTGGCGATAATGACCAACAGCTTGCCCAAACGAGACGTGGACTCCACGTGGCCGAGTCAGTTGCGATGCACGAAGCTGGGGCTAGCTGCATGCGGGACGAAGAAAGGGGACGAGCTGTGCCTGACTGACGAGAGCTGTGCCGAGTTGGTTGGTTGGTTGGTTGGTTCTGAACTGATCTGCTTGAGCAAATGTGGGTGGTGATGTGCGCTCGTTGACGGCGCCCACAAGCCACGCGGGTGGCCCAGCTAGATCGGCAGAGTCAACTGGAAGGGCTCTCGATTCGCTCTTTGCAGTCTTTGGCAAGGAAACTAGGTCTTCAACGGGCCTCTTGAGCCTGCATTGGCCAACAGCGAGCGGCATGGGCTCGACCTCGACCTCGACCTTGTCCCGGTCCAACTGGCTCCATCGTCCGATGATTTCGCCGGCTCGGCCGGAAGACGCAGCGCTCGAGCCACCGCCTACTTGTACGTGCCCGCTCTCTGCTCTGTTCTGTTCTGTTCTCTCAACCCTCTTTAGAAGCAAACGGGGCTTCTTCAAAGGATCTTTGCAGATGTGGTTCGTGGGCCTGGGCTTTGGATGAATCATGGCGCAGCAATGCGTCCATCCATCCATCTATCTGAACCACTTCAATGTTTGCTTCTTGCTGCCTGCGCGTCTCTTCCATCAACATAGCATGTATGTACTCTATATCTGGCGCAGTTCCCAACTACTACCTACCCATTCATGATGTTCGCCGATGAACTGGGCGAGCTGCTCTGCTCATTTCTTTGTCTTGGCTAGCACCGCAGCTAGCTGCTAGAAACTGGAGATGTCATTTCCATCAAGTGCACCGGCAGTGATGCTGTCGTCCAAACTACACGTAATTGCAGCTTAGCGTCTCGACATATACGCCCTCCTTCTCGAAGAACAGAAAAAGAGGAGGCGACTCAACTCGGCTAACACGGATTGGCAGCAGCAGTGATGAGAAGCGGGCAGACCGTTTGGTCGACTTGGCCTCTTCTGGCGCTGCACCAGAGCCGCTGCTCCCTCGATGCCGCCTCTGGAATGGCCTGCCCTGAAACTAGCAGCCTAGAGCTCCATCTGGCGCGCGTGGCCAGCAGGGAACAGGCCCCTGTAAGCAGTCGCTAAACGCGCTGGAAATGCACTCCGACCGCTGCGCGCTGCGGCTGCCCCTCCCCAAAATCCCAGTGGCGGGGGGCTGCATGGGCTGTGTTTTTGACTCTGTCGCCTGCTGTTCCCCATTTCATGTCCATCCACGCATTTTTCCAGAGCATACTTTGGGGAGGTTGACTTTCCCCCCATCAGCATTTTATGGAGATGGGCTTCGTTCGCGCAGGTTAGCCGCAGCCGTCTATCCGATCGCTGCGTGGCGCACCTCTCTTGGCGTAATTGCTTGATCCATTTCGCATTGATGGAAGCGGCAAGGCTTCGGTTTGCCCACCGCCAGCTGATGATTCCTTGCTAGTGGCGACGCTGCAGCTGCGAAACCAACGTCTCGTCTCGGTCTCGAGTTTCGCGGCTTCGCCTTCGTTTCTTCCTCTTATAGTCTCGGCGAGAGCCTCCCCTTTCCCTTTTTCTTTTTTTCTTCCTCTTCTTTGCTCCTCCTCACCCCCCCGCCTCTCCTCTCCTCTCCTCTCTGCCTGTTTCTTTCGCCATGCGCTCTCAATTCGCCTGGTCGGCCGCCTTCGTCGCGGGCGTCGCGGCCCTCGACGTCTCGCAGGTGTTTCCCATGACGCCCAACCTGATTCCCCTGGAGAAGAATGCCGGCTCGGACAACCTGTTCCCCATGGCCGACTGCTTCGGCTTCAAGCTGCACGAGGCCACCATCGACCAGATGCAGGCGGCCATGGCCAACGGAACGCTGTCGTCGGTGCAGCTGGTCAGCTGCTACATGACGCGCCAGTTCCAGACGCAGCAGTACCTCAAGTAAGTTGCGCGATTGACTCAATTTCGCTTACCAGATGGATGGATCGATCTGTCTGCCGTGCCGTCAGGTCGATCTCGTCGGGCTCCTGGGCTGGACCGTGATTGGCCTGGGCGCAGCGCGGGTGGCTTGCCGTGGTGGTGAGACAACAATGGCTGGACAAGGGAGCGATGAATATTGAATCCTTTCTTTTCTTGGCGCATCCTCGCTCACATAAGCCGTGTCCGTCTTATCTGCCCATCTATCTATCTATACATCCATCTATACATCTACCTACCTACCCATCTATTCTACCTATATACCGATATCTCTACATATCCATCTTGACCCCCTTTGGATCATATCAGCTAACCATCTTCTCTTCTCTTCTCTTCTCTTCCAGCGCCATCATCCAGATCAACCCCGACGCCTTCGCCATCGCCTCCCAGCGTGATGCTGAGCGCAAGAAGGGCAAGGTCCGTGGCCCGCTGCACGGCATCCCCTTCATTGTCAAGGACAACATCGCCTCCAAGGACAACCTGGAGACCTGCGCCGGCAGCTGGGCCCTCCTGGGCAACATCGTGCCGCGCGACTCCTTTGTCGTCAGCCAGCTGCGCGACGCCGGCGCTGTGCTCTTTGGCAAGGCTGGTCTCAGCGAGTGGGCCGATATGCGCAGCAACAACTACTCTGAGGGCTACTCCGGCCGTGGTGGCCAGGTCCGCAGCGCCTACAACCTGACTGTCAACCCTGGTGGCAGCAGCTCTGGCAGCGGTGTTGGCGTTGGAGCCAACGTCATTGCCTTTGCTTTGGGCACAGAGACCGACGGAAGTGGTGAGTCAAGTTTAGATAACGGGTCTGCTTTTCCCTTTTGCTGATCGTGGAATTTACTCTCTATAGTCATCAACCCGGCTCAGCGCAACGCCATTGTTGGTATCAAGCCTACTGTTGGCCTGACTTCCCGTGCTGGTGTCGTTCCCGAGTCTGAGCACCAGGATACCGTCGGCACCTTTGGCCGTACTGTCCGCGATGCTACCTATGCTCTTGATGCCATCTACGGCGTCGACCCCAGAGACAACTACACCCTCGCCCAGCAGGGTCTGACCCCCAAGGGCGGATACGCCCAGTTCCTGTCCAACCGCACTGCCCTCAGGGGCGCCACTTTCGGTCTCCCCTGGAAGAGCTTCTGGGTCTACGCCGATCCCGAGCAGCAGCAGATCCTTACCAGCATCATCAAGCTCATCGAGTCTGCCGGTGCTACCGTCATCAACAACACCGAGATTACCAACTACCAGACCATCGTCAGCCCCGACGGCTGGAACTGGGACTATGGTACCACCCGTGGCTTCCCCAACGAGTCCGAGTACACTTACGTCAAGGTTGACTTCTACAACAACATCAAGACCTACCTGTCCGAGCTCAACAACACCAACATGCGCTCTTTGGAGGATCTTGTTGACTACAACAACCAGTTCACCGGCTCCGAGGGCGGTTACCCCATGCCCAACGGCACCCCTGCTTTCTGGTCTGGTCAGGATGGTTTCCTCGCCTCTCTTGAGACCAAGGGTATCAAGGATGAGACCTACTGGCAGGCCCTCAACTTTTGCCAGTCTTCTACCCGCAACGGTATCAACGATGCTCTCACTTACAACGGCAAGAAGCTGGACGGCCTTTTGGTCCCTCCTGATGTCGCTCAGAGCATTCAGATCCCTGCCCAGGCCGGCTACCCTGCCATCACCATTCCCGCCGGTATCCACTCTGACTCTGGCATGCCCTTTGGCCTGGCTATCCTGCAGACTGCCTTTGGTGAGGCTAAGCTGATCAAGTACGCCAGCGCCATCGAGGATTTGCAGAAGAACAGCAACCAGCCCTACAAGCGAACCCTGCCCACCTGGCGCGGTTACCTCCAGAGGAACATTCCTGTCCCTCTGTAAACCTATCTGAAAGAAGAGGCTTTGAGTAAAAGCGTTATGATATAATGCATGCTTTCTTGTATATACCCATACATATATGCACACACATATAAATAATATCAAGTATTAATAGATATTTCAACACACTATGAGTGCAATATTTCCATGTGAAGAGACACGATAGAGGTATATATATGCAAAGGCGCCAATCTTGCTGCCAGCTACACAACAATCGGCCCAAGCCCCTGGAATAGCTATTAATAAGCTTTAAACTAACCCAACTAACGCGATTATCCATTGATGTCATTCTTGAACTTGTTTCCCTACTTAATTTAATCTCGACCAGCTTCGATCGGTTGGCCTATACTATAAGCTTAAGACGAAACCCACTTCGCGAGTCAGGCTTGTTTCGCTTGTTGCCAAACCTGCTCATTTCAACTCAAGTGGTATATAGTTCAATTTGTTCCACTTTACAGAAATCCTTCACATTGGCCGCAAGTCCAATTAAGACGTCAAAGCCCTATTTTTCAGCTTTTGAATCATTATCTTACGGTTTTAGTTGATCTTGATCTTGAAGGACCCACCCAGCCGTGAGCGACCAATAGATCGAACCTTCCACTTCCCAAAAGGCCAAATGGGGCATTGAGTTCTCTACCGTATTCCTAATTCGGATATTGGTCTTCCTGGTCATGCGCTAAGATCACAAAGCCTGCGCAACTTCTCGCGAGTTGACGCGAGGAGGATCTTACAAATCTTCTTGGCGATAGATCAACGATAAAGGTTTGGTAAGAAATTACATAGCAGCAATGTTGTGTACTAGTGAGGAGAGATGACAAATGCGGGATTCAATTAGTTGTGGTTGTAGAGGAATAGTAATCTCAGAGATTAGACTCTGCAAGTATATTAAACCGTCTTGATTCCTCTCAATTTGTATAATACAGTTTTAAAATATCTATATCCTACTCAAGGAATACAAACCCATTCACAACATACCACTCATCATACTTATAAGCTACTTCAACAGCTCACAACTCTCGAAAAGTAAAACATGGCAAAACTCGTCGTAATTACGGGCATCACTGGTGTCCAGGTTCGTTTTCTTCCCAAACGAAGTTTATCATTTCACACCTTGTCGTCTACTCCTAACGCCATATACAGGGAAGCTCAGTCGCCGACACTTTTCTTCAAACCCCGGGTTACACAATTCGCGGCGTCACCCGCAACCCCGAATCCGCCGCCGCCAAAGCATGGGCAGCCAAGGGAGTTGAAATAGTCCAGGGCGAACTCGACGACGTCAAGTCCCTCGAGCGAGCCTTCAAGGGAGCCAGCGTCATCTTTGGCGTTACTGATTTCTGGACCATCTGGAAGGATCCTCGCACCGCAGAACAAAAAGCGCCGGGTCAAGAACTTGTTGCTTACTGTTACGAGGTTGAGCTGCGACACGGGAAAAACCTTGCTGATGCTGCTGCTTCGACGGCGGCTACGCTAGACAGATACATCTTCAGCTCTATGGCTCATGCGACAAAGTCGAGCGGCGGCAAGTACACAAAGCTGTATCATATGGACTCCAAAGCCGAAGCTGTGACGTATGCACAGGGTCTTCCTGCGCTGCAAGGGAAATTTTCTCAAATTCAAGCTCCAATCTACTTTCAAGTTGGGACAGAGTGGGGTCTGCCTATTGCTCCAAAGAAGGTAACGTACCGTCGAAATCTAAACTTACTGTCGTTTAAATCACAGAAGACCCTAAAATTCCTCTCAGCTAACAGCTTTTGTCTATTCAGCAACCTGATGGTACTTATCGAATGACTGCTCCCGGTCCCGGACACAAGCCCATCCCCTTTGGAAACGTGCGAACCGATCTTGGCCCCTGCGTCAAAGTCCTTGTCGAAGAAGCGCCCCCCAACACAAATCTTTTTGCTGTAGGCGATTACATTTCTTGGACAGACTATCTACGTATTATCTGTGAGACTCAAGGTTTAAAATATGGAGGCTTTGACGAGCTTTCATACGACCAGATTAATGAGCTTATCCCCGGTGGACTGGGCCATGAGTTTGGATTGAATGTATTGTTTGCATTTGAGTTTGGATATGAAGGGAATGAACCAGGAATCGTTGGGCCTGGAAAGGTAAGCAGCCAGTTTCCAAACTTTTTGGTATGTTGTGGTATTAGCGAACTAACTTGGGACTATAGTATGGAATTAGAATGACATCTTTCAGAGAATACTGCGAGAAGAACGATTTCTCTGCCATGTTGGGCAAATAATGGTGTCTGGTATGATATTAATAGACCACAGCTCTTTTAGTTGCCAACAAGATAGCAAGTCAGTTGTTCCTAATTTGTGGTTTGTGGATGACTGAGAAGTTGGGATCACAAATAAAAATTGTGTACAAAATGTTATTTGCGCCGTTTGTATTTTATTCCAGATAAATTAGATAGAATGACAATGACTTTGTCTTACTCTTGTCATTTCCTCGACGCTGCTGCTAACGTCAATGCAGCGGTAACTTCCAAGTGCTCCTCCCTCGAAATCATCTCACATGAGCAAAATTGTCTAGTTGGCTGCCGCATGTGCAGGAAAATAGTCAAGCAATAACTGAACCATTCCATAATACTTGAATTCCATTGCCAGCTGTATGGACCTGCCGCGGACCTTTGTTAGCCACGCTCCCATACATCTTCATGGCTTAGCGGGCCCGGCCGATCCAACTCTTCAAAATCATACTCAACACCATTCGCCAGTAAGATGCTAACAATTGCAGTGACCTCATGCTGTCAAGTTGCTAAAGCTATTAGAAGATGCTGCAGCGCTAATAATAGACTGCATCAAGATCTGGGCAAGAATTCTGTGGCTGACAGTGACAACCGCAACAATGCCATGCTGCTGGAGAAATGCAGGTATTGATCTACTTGACAATCACCACCGTTTCCGAGCGCGCATGAATGCCGCCTCTAACTCTTCAAATTCCATGACTGCTTAAATAGGTACAACGAGGTGGGAAAGAATACGGGATTCAGATCTCCTTCAAGAAACCCACCTCAATAAGCTTATCAGCATCAATGTTAAGGTCCGCCAACTTTGTGCGTGAGTTCTCCCGCATCCACAAAAATATCCACAGCACAAAGCCCCTGAAGAATCCAGCCACGCGGCTAGTCATGGAAACCCCCGTCTTCACTTTCATCGCCTCCTTTCCGAGGATGTACACTATCTGGGATCCATACGCGGCCCGCAGCGCCTCAAGCTCTGCCACATCGGGGCGACGACCGCGGGAGACCGTCAGCTCAATTTGTCCTACCAATTCGCGCGCTAAACCTGGGCGCAGTACGTCATCCATGTACCCGTGCCGGAGAGTGACGTTGTAACAGTTGACGAGGCCGTAGGTGTGTGTTATAACGTACCGTTCTTCCAGGGGCACCGAAGGCACAGTGAGAGGCCGCATGTGGAAGAAGATGATGATTGATGGCCGGGCAGCGAACTTGATGACAAAGTGCGTAAAGCATGCGGGCAGGTGCATGGGGTCGCCCGCCTTGTCGAAGAAGATGCCCACGCCAGGCACGGTTGAGACGGGCACGCCACCAAACGTCTCATTCAAGACGAGAGATGACTCTGAGGTGGCCGGATCTGACTTGACAAGAGCTGCAAGCGGGAGCTGATCCAGTGACTCGGCCTTCCATTGAGCCTCCTTCCCGAACCGCCAGATAGTGAAGATGGAGCAAAGAAGGGCAGCCAGTACAATGGTAAACCAGGCGCCTCGCGGGACCTTTTGCAGGACGGATGAGAGGTATGCGCCGTCGAGTGCAGCAAAGATCAACCAGAACGGTATAACAATATAGAAAGGCAGTCTCCAGACGAGGATCGCAACGAGAGCGACCATACATGTTGTGACTAAAAAGCGACATTAGCTTGGTGGAAATCGCTAGAAACTTGGACTGCGAGTAAATACATACTGAATGTAACAGCCATAACACAGACACCATAAGCGTTACCTAGGGATGTGGTCTGTATATGTAGTCTGTTAGTCAAAATCACCTAAATTGGCTCAACAGGAGACATACGTTGCTGTACACGGCAGTGACAATGACAGTGCCAATCATAAGAAGCCAATTCGCCAGTGGTATATATACCTGCTCGGAGAACTGTCTGCTTGTATGAATGACCTTGATATGCGGAAAATATGAAAGCCGCATAATCTGCGTCAGCAGCTGAAAAGTCGATGTGATCATGGCCTGCGAGGCGACAATCGCCGCCAAAATAGCCATGACCAAACCAAAGTAGAAGGTTCCAGGTGGCAGAGTGTTGAAGAAAGGGTTCGTATAAGCGGTTTGTGTCTCGTCGGTTGAGATGTACGCGGCCTGGCCAATGTACGCGAGGAGCAAGCACGGGTAGGTCAGTCCCAGCCACGAGATTTGCACGGCACGCTTGCTGAAAGCGCCCAAGTCGGCAAAGAGTGCCTCCACACCGGTAAAGGCAAGGAGCAAGCCACCCAGAGAGGCCCATCCGTCCTGTCCATTGCGGACAAGATAAGTAAAGGCGTAAGAGGGACTGAAGGCCTTGAGAACTGTGTAGTCATGTTTGGCAAGATTGTAGATGCCAGCAACCATGTTGAGGAGGAGCCAAATGGTCACGATGGGCGCGAAGCTGGTTCCGATCTTGGTGGTCCCAAATGGCTGGATAAGGAAGAGTAGAACCAAGATGGCACAAGTGATGCCGACAATGGCTGACACGGACAAGTCGGGTTTGACAACCTCAAGACCCTGAATGGCGCCGAGGACAGATTGTGCAGGCGTCAGGACACCGTCGGCCATGACCATGGATACTCCCAGCACACCGACAAGTTGTAGCATAACCTGGCAGAACTTGGAGCTCTCGAGAAAGCTACGGAGGCTCTTACCACCAGACTTGAGATCGTTGGTGTGATATCTCTCCATGGGTATCATGGCGGCCTCTCTGGGATCATGGTTTCGCGCGATGTTAGTGTACCTCGCCAGGAGACTGTATAATGCAAAGGTACCTCCTTGGCCGTCGTCGTCGGCGCTTAAGACGATGAAGCAATACTTGACCGTGACGATCACAGTCAGGGACCAGATGATGATAGACAAGGCCCCGACTAGATCATCCCACGAGGGCTGGCTGGAAAAAGTCGACGAGAAGACATAAAGAGGGGACGTTCCAATATCACCGTAGATGATTCCAGTAGCTTGAAAGCTAAGCCAGAGGAGGAGGAACCCGCTGTAAGTCTGTCGCGAGATCAGAGAGGCATTGACGGCGATGGCTTACCAAAGCCACCGCCAGGAGGGTTTCGGGGATTAGGGAAAGGCAGGTTGTTCCATACTTGCTTATGATGACCCTGCAGGTCCTCTTCGGCGATTCTTCTCGCCTTTTCTTGTTCTTCTAGATCCGGATCCGCCATCTTCTCAGAGGGTTCTGTCTCCGAGGTCGACAGTTTAGCCTGTTTAGCATCGCTGCGATGGACAGCATTGACCCTCGAAATCGAGACGTCCTGTTCAATATCTAAATCGCCCATTGTTTAAACTTTACGTATGATCGGGTTGATTTCAAGAATTGGAAGAGGTGCACAGAGGCTTGAGGAATGATTGCGAGGCTAAAATTGCAAACCACTGCATCAAACAGCGTCGCGACAAAGGGGGGGGGGGATCAGCTCTTTATGCCCGACGACGGTGACCAAAATCTGACATCAACCGCGTACAATAATAACGACAAATATCATTTGCACATTCTTGTGGGCAACACGTTTCTAATGGGTTGCTTGCTGATAACTACCCGCGGCGCTATCCATTCTGATCATCGCGAGAAAGTTAGAGCAGGGGGCATATCTAGCATACACGGGATAGTACAATTGGTGTGTCCTCCGTATGCAGCACAATCTGGGATATTCACAGCCCAGGCAAGATCTAACTCGAGGGCTAAAATAACCAGGACGCCACGCGCGGCAAGTCCTAGAATTTATGATTTGCTGGTCAATTTTCAATTTATCACCCCAACCCTGGCTAGTGGGAGAACAAATGCCTCACGGTAAGCATGGGCGTCACTCTGCCCTATCTACAAGAGCAAAACGCTTGCAAGTCTTACGGTATGTACTTGCAGTACTTTTGTAGGCTTCTTCTTGCATACTAATAAGCTAGTGCAGCCAGTATACATAAGTAGCACAGAGTAATAACGGTCAGTATAATAAAAAACAGTATTTAGCCTTTAGTTTAATATATATATATATATATATATTTAAAAGTATTAAAGTTGAATTAATTTATATTAAAATTACCCAATTTATCAATTAGCCTCTCCAGCATCATTCGCCATCTAGCTCGACTCTTTCACGATGTGACATGTCCTTCCACAACTTTTCCAAAAAAGCATCACACGTGTCGTGCCATATAACTCCCTTGAACGCAGATCGGAGTTCTTCCTTTGTCCACAACGTCAATGCCGCCCCCAGTGGCTCCATCTTTTCCACAAACCACCATTTCTCATCCCATTCCGAGGCAGCTCCATAACCCATAAAAACCACCCATAGCAACCAGCGTTGTCTCTCGGAAGTTAAATTCCACCACTCTCCATCCTGCATCTCCAAGGAGTCTCGTAATCGCTGAAAGAGGGTGAGGAATATCTTTGATCTAACTGGAAGTTCTCTCAATATGAGATAAAGATATATATATGCTGAGATATTCATCAAGACAGAGCTGGATGAAAGATATTCACTGGGGGTCAGAGCTTCAAGGTTTATGTTTTGGAGGGTGAGAAGGTCATATTCGACGCTATAGATTTGGTTGCTCATTGATGTTCCATCGAGTCGAGCATCATACTCTGGACAGAATGCGATGGACAAGCGTCTGAGAGATCGGAAGATTGAGTTTATGAGAGAACCAGAACCGAACGTACGCGCTGGAGAGAGCGTCATACTTTTCATGCCTGTCGGCAGCTCGGCCTCGGAACCTATAAGTTTCAGAGGTAGGAGAGGAAAGGATGGTTTGCAGTCCCAAATATTAGAGTAGCATAAGTCGGCCCTAGGGATTAATCAGTATGTGTAAAAGAGGACTACAGTTTTGAAATATGCACTTACCATGTTACTACATGTCTATGCATGCTTTCGACATTTTGTATACCTCCTCGCTGATGAACCATTCGTTGGAGACCTTCCATATGGATTTTGGCTAGGTCGAATTTGCCAGCGAGATTCTAGAAATAACTTTATTTAGTAAAAGAGATATGCAGCAATAGACCTTCTTTTTGTTGAGCAGAAGAAAATTTACAAACAGTCAAGGTCATAGCGCACTCTTACCTCTCTCGTAATGATTAATGAAACGGCCGCAATTAGAGTATCTCTTATCGTATTATTCTTGATAGCCTCGTTTATTAACCGAAATGCTTCTCTTCCATGGTAGAGACTCCCAGGAGAATCAATTAGGCCATATTTCATATTGTAATCCAGAGAGACGAGATACAAAACAGCATGAAACAAAGCAAGCTCCTCTCTGACAAAATACCAGCAATCTGATGATAGATTGAGGGCAATACAATTAACAGCGTAATGCTTTTGATCTGTAGCTCAAATGGATTAATTAGCATTCCTTTCTTTGTAGTGAATAGGTTGTCATAAAGAGTCAAATAGCATTGCACGAGATATAAAGAGGAATGCAAAATATGCCTTGATCTTTAACCAGGCAGTAATAGCTGGGGGTTGAGAGCATAGTTGGGCAACCCACAATAGAATATGAACTTTTCGCTTTCAGGCCCCAGCGGAAAAGAGAATGAATTAAAAGGATCTGCGTTTGCGCCTTTTCTCATTAACAGATTCTTATCTGGCATGAGGCTCTGTCGAATAGACCACTTTGAGTAACGTAAAAGAGCCTTTCTAACAGCCTCTTGATCTGCTTCGGATTCTGAAGTTGTCGTTGATTCCAAAGCAGCGAGCTTTGCTTTTGTAGACTTCTTCGTTTTGCGTGGGCGTGAACCAATTCTAAACTTTCCTTCATACTTTTGTTGCGACTTTACTTTGAGTGGGATCGCAGCTGCCGCAGCCATCTCATCTGTTGTTGTTGGGTGATTTTGTCTCCAAACGTAGTTGCGCATAGCTTGACTGCGAATGCGTCTCGACACACTTTTGTTGTGCTCATCTGCTTCTGTCCCGGTGACGGCGATGAATTCAAGCGGTTGTACATCGTACTCATCAGTGTACGTAAACCTTTGATCGTAGGGCTGAGAGGGAATATTGAATGTTACTAGCTACCCAGTCAATGGCTGACACAAGGAATAAAGCATGAAACAGATGTATACCATTGTTGTGGACGAATCCGGAAGTCCCGTATATTTCATCTCCACTCATATTCGCGCTTTTGAGCTCGATGCACTTAGTGGTTGGGCAAGGGGATATTGGATCTACAGAGTTGACAAGATTGCTGGGACTTGTGTTGAAGACAGATAGAGAATAGTTTTAGAAGGATAGAGAAATTGATTTCTCAAGGTTGAGAGAGGCAATTGTTCTAAACGGGCATAATTAACCATGATGCTCGAAACCAGACGCTCATTATTAATCTCCGGTGTTTTTCCCGATATCTATGCGGAATAGGCGTGGTTTGGCGCCATGTCACTGCCCCTCTTTCTTTTCGCATGGCGGTTTTACAAACCCGTTGCTTAGTCAAGCAGGGTTTAAATTAGTTCCAGTAGGTCTCACGCCCGAGCTGGCTGATACGAACGCATCTTCGTGCCAAGGAGGAAACGAAGTGTCCGCCAAGCCAGCACAACGATAAGTTGAAGACTATTTACGGAAAAAAAAAAAATAAGAACTGGTCAATACTTTTTCAGCTCAAGAATTTGCCACAGGGATAGTTGCGAGAAGGATTTGATTAATTTTGAATCCGAATCCGGAAGCAGGAATTCGCGTACGAATCGAAAAGAGATTGAAAGGAGATAAATAGTGCTGACTGAACCAGGACTACTCGCGTTAGACAAGCGGTTTTGACATGCTCAGGAACGCTGAGCATTATAGCAGATTGGGATTTTTAAGTATTTCCGCCGTGTATGCGAATGCCTACTTTAGAAAGCCATAATGGTATGGATCTGTTTCTCTTTTACTGGGCTGTAAAAAACTGTTGGCTCCATTCGGTAATCTAGATGGCACAGTATGTTTTTCTTGCGTCCACTACGACTGTACTATGCATGCTACCAACATCTGCTACCAACATCTTTGTCCTTTAGTGACCCAAACGGGAAATAGAAGGCGAAAACATCTCGAGATATTACCTAGAATGGCGATTCAACCGCCCGGCTCGTATTTTGAGTGAGCAATTATAGCTTCAATTCGTCTTCTATACGGTCCAGTATGTGCAGTCTACTTGAAAGTCAGGCCAATAGCCCGCGACTGACTTACAACCCGAGTCAGCGTCTATGAGACCACGGTGTATGGTTTCGGCGATTATTGTCATAATTTTGGCGATGTATTTTTGCATAGCCATCACTTCCTACGCCTTGGGTTCTGGATCGCTTCGGTGCGCTCCCGTTTACGCTAGAACTCGATGCTTCTAGAAATATTAGAAGACTGTTGCTTTTGGACAAAAATAAGGCGTCGAGAGGATTGATAAGCGTCGAAAATAGGGGTGATGGGGCAAATAGGCGTAGATGAATGCTTGAGAGGGCAGCTCACCTCCTCTACCTGGATGTACAAAGCGAGAGCTTCCATCTGACCTGGAGTACATCCATGTACCCCAAAGAATCGTGCGGCTGCCCCACTAACTCCCAGCCAAGGTGATGCTTAGGGCCGGGAAATGCCTTGTGAGCGTTGTTGGTCTTCGCTGCATTCACACCGTATGGTGTTAATTTTGAAGAAAACAATTTGTATGCTGTCATTAAATTTGCTAATAATAAAAAAGAATTGCATATGTTTTTTAATTGGATATGCATGGGACATATACTGTAGTTGTTGCATGTCATTACACCAGATTAGATACAACTACTTCGTTAAGAATTACCTACATGTGTTAATATGTCTCCCAAAGATCAGTGTTATACTGTATATTTGAGATTTCATATAGAGGCGCTTATCAATGTAGTTCATTTTTTTTTTCTAAATATATCTAAAATTATATCAATATCACCTTAGAGACTGGAAGATTATAAGAGCTCTGGGGAAAGCATCATGTACTGACGGGGTATGTTTCCACACTAAGATGGCGCACTGTGCCCAATGTCGTCGAGATCTCTTCATTATTAATCTTGCGGCGCCTTAGTTGAGTTATCAGACTATGATGACATTTCTAATGCAACGTTGGTAAGGCGGATTGAGTAATAGTACGGATAAACATGAATATACGTCCATGGATGTATAAATAGGATGGACAGATATTAATTTCCAGAAATTTTGTTTCATCGGTAAATAGGCTTCACCTCTTTGCATTCATCTTACGGCGTATCTCCTGTTACGTACAATCCATTTCTTGCATCAAATCAACTTCACCACAGAATCACAACAATGGCTCCTTCGGTCCTCGTAATTGGTGCAGGCGGCGCATTCGGAAGACCTCTTATCGAGGAATTCATCAAGCAGAAATCTCTTTTCTCCAGGGTTGGCATCCTTTCAGATCCTGCCAAAGTCTCCAAATTTTCCGACTTCAAAGCTCAAGGCATAGAAGTCATTTCAGGATCTTTCTTAGACCCCAAGCCGTATGAAGGTAAGTTGTAGATGAGAAGTCTTTCGTGAATAGCTGACTAATCAACTCGTTAGGCTTTGAAGTTGTGGTGTCTGTAGTTGGCAATTCCATCATGAGGTTGCAGCCTGCCATGGTCGAAGCTGCCATTACAGCTGGGGTCCGTCACTTTTATCCATCCGAGTTTGGATCAGACGTCGGCCAGGAAAGCCTACGCACTTTCCGCTATCTTCGTGACAAGCGTGTCACCCGTGACCACCTCGCCGCCAAGGCAAAGGAGCACCCAGACTTCTATTATACTCTAATGTTGACTGGAATCTTCACTGAATGGACTGCTGATCCGTTTTACAATGTCGATGTCGTGGCTCATACTGCAACTCCATATGGATATCCGGATAAGCCACTTCATGTAACATCGATTCCTGAGTATGTATGCCCCGGCTGGTATTTAATTTACTTGAACTGACTGTTGAATACCTTTTTTTAGCATTGCGCGATATACCGTTGAGTCAATTTTGTTGCCTCTGACTCCCGATGTTCAGAAGCGGGAAATCCGAGTAGTTGGAGAAAAGACTACCTTCCAGAAATTTATCGACGATTTGGGTGAGGTACAGGAAGTTAAGTATAAGTTGACATACCTGGATCCTACAGAGGCCGCCGCAAAGCAGAGAGAAGCTTGGATTCGTGGTGATGAAGCTGCTGAGCTGACGTGGTCCGTCAAACCAATGGCGGCCAGTGGAGTTGCACTTGTTCCTGGGCAGCTGGATAACGATAAATTTTCCTTCCGCCCAGAGTCTGTGAAAGATACAATGAAGAGACTTTATGGGCAATAAAGTTGCCTTTTGTGTTTCGGTAAATGAGATGCTGATATGGGAGATAGACAATAGAGGCAACTAAAAATGAGTTGAATATCTGTGGATAGGAAAACATTTGATAAATAAATTAGAATTCAAGCTTGTTAAAAAAGACACCATCGTGATTGTTGTAACTGCCGGCTTGGCGACTTGTACATTGGCTTGATGGTGGAAATTTGTACTGACAGAGATTGAGATTCTCTATCCAATCGTCCGGCAGAACTGAGCGAAATTGACGGCATTATTGATGATGACAATGGTGGTATGAGATCAAAGATAGTTTTGAGCAAAGTAGAGGAGCAGATAGGTACTGATGCTAATAAAGATTATGGCAATATCTCTGGCTAAAGTCATGGCTATGAAAGCTGTCTAGTGCTGGGCTGAGAAGATCTGTTTCTCCATTTGCAAGCTGCAGTGCCATGAAACTCAGTTCAAGAGAAACTTTATTTATAGCTTGTGATACAAAATAGTGCCCTCATGGAAGACGGTTCTAATGCTGACGGTACGGCCCGTATTGTGAGATGGGCTGGACGGCTCGTAAGACGAATAATCTCAGACGAGAAATTTCGCAGTTGCAGAAACATCGCACTTATCCCCGCCGGATATAAAGAATTATTTGACTGAAGGGGGTTGTCCGTCGATATCGACTCAAGTGTGGCACCACCAACTGCCGTCAGAAGCATCAATACGAGACGGCAAGGATTGGAGGTATCTTGAGTTCTAGGGACTATGCCTCTGAAAGGATGTATTATGATTCGTGATGCGATTTACGCAATTCTTTTTTTTTTTTTTTTTTCCTTTTCTTTTTTAACGTGATACTTAAGCAATACGCGGAATATAGTCGACTTGGGCCAGTGTGGTATTGGAGTTGAGCCAGTCCAAACGTCATGGTCATGCTGAATGGCATACGGTACAGGCAGGTACTTGGCTGTACAAAGAGAGACTGTCTATCAGAATAAAAGGTACTTCGCTCACAGAAAAACTTTGTCCGTTGGCTGCCTGACTGGATTCGACAAATCAGCTCGCCGAAAATATCCGTTGCAACGCCACATAGTGCGTGTGCGTGATAGTGTTGGCGCTAAGAGTCATCGACAACTTTGAAAAATTACCCAAAAAGGATGCCGCTGTGCATCAGTGGGGCCTTCAAAACATTTCCTCTTAAAGAAACCGCAGTGCGTTAGCGTAGCCATAGCTCTTGAGCCGTTTCCAGCTTATACCTGTCAAGACCATGCTATGCGGTAATAGCGCCTATACTTTCGCCACGATCCTCCGTTTTGGTCCCTGAATCTCTTCAAATCTCAAATTTCGGATTCGATCTCAACGTCAGCCGGGATTCCGACGGCGACGCAACCCCTGAAACCCAGAGGTTGTTCTACCAGCTTCTCGACTTCCTAATCCTATTTTCAGCTCTAATCGCCGTCTTTGTAAGCCTTATTGAATATATTTTATGGGTCGGCTTTATCCAACTACGTTGATGTTGAAGAGTTAGCTTCCCAGGGAGATGCAGCTAGCATTCTGCCTCAAGCTTCCTTTCTTCTCTAAACTTCGCACCTGTCCATACTGCATTATAAATCGATGCAGGGCACCTAGGCGTATTAGCAATCACAATGTATTCTATTATCCACCCCTAGAGACGGTAGTAAATTCGAATCACGTTGCATCACCAATCTAAGCTGAATGGATCATGGTGTAAGTGGGACAAGTTGAAGATGGTACGTTAGCTCTTGCTTGCCTTAGCAGTTCCACCATAAATACTACTTTCCTGGCCCAAACAACAACTATGGAGATTTTGAGATAATATCGCAACTCAGCTTCAATTTCTAAACTCATTTCACTGTGAAGAAATCAACAATACACAACAGCTGCCCAACATGAGCTACTCTTTCACCGTTCAGCGTGGATCCGCGAGTGGAAAGATTGTGGAAGCCACTTCACAGCGCCAGCTCGGCCGCAATGAAGCCTATCTCAAAATCACACACTCCGGACTATGTGGGACAGATGAACACTTCCTGCATTCCGGCGTAGCTTTGGGCCATGAAGGCGTGGGCATCGTCCAGGCTGTCGGCTCAGATGTTACTGCCGTCAAGGTTGGCGACCGGGTCGGATTCGGCTGGGTTCACAAGACTTGCGGACACTGTCAACCCTGTCTAACTGGTGAGTTTTAGCGTCCAACAACCAAATGCCCAGCTGTATACACAACTAACTCTCTGCCAAGGACTGGATGTCTATTGCGAGAACAAGACAGAGTTTGGAATTCATGACCACGACGTTGGCTCTTTTGCTAGCCACGCTGTCTGGGATGCGGACGCGCTCTTCAAGATCCCTGATGGTCTTGACAGCGCTTATGCTGCTCCTCTGATGTGCGGCGGCGCTACAGTGTGGTCGCCGTTTGCATTGTACGGCATCAAGCCTACCGATCGTGTTGGCATCGTTGGCATCGGAGGTCTGGGACACTTGGCCATCCAATTTGCCGCCAAGATTGGATGCGAGGTAGTCGTGTTCTCAAGCAGCGAATCCAAGAGAGAAGATGCAATGAGGCTGGGTGCAACTGAGTACCACGTTTTGACTGCTGATTCTCCGCTGGAGGGCATCAAACAAGTGAACCACATGCTGCTCTGCGGAAGTGCGCAGCCAGATTTCAAGCGGTCAGTAGAGAGAGTGAAATTCAAAAACAATAATTGAGCGGGGACTAATGGGTTTAAGCAGAATAATCCAGCTAACCTCCACGGCTGGCAAGATTTACGCTCTAATCGTTAGCTTCGACACATCTGCTGTTCCCATGATGGCTTTGTTGACACGGGGCATTAGCATTCAAGGCTCTGCAGGGGCACCCCGCGCCGAAATCCAGAAAATGCTGGATTTTGCTGTCCGAAATGATGTCAAGCCCACCATCATGAAATGGCCCCTTACCACGAAAGGCGTGGAAGATGCAATGCAGGCTTTGAGAGAGGGGAAGATGAGGTATCGCGGTGTCTTAGTGGCAGAGGAATAAACTTGTCTGGCGAATGAGATATAGATTCGGTGTTTCACATGAGGGGTACATCCATGATAAAGCCTCGTGTAGTCTGTAGATTTCCAACAATTGCGTAGTTCATTACTGTCATAAGACAAACCAGCTGAAAGTCTTAATTGGTCTACGGAACACATCTTTGTCAATAAATGTAACTCTCGGGTATTACCCCGCAAATATCGGGATCTCAAGTATTGGAATCTCAAAATGAATTTACAAGCATGTAGGCACCTTTTGCTTTTGGCTTGTAGTCGGAACTTTTCGCTGCTAAAAAAAAAAAAAAAAAATTCTCAAGTTATAGTTGTTAAGTTAGTTATTAAGTTTGTTGTAACGTGAGATCATGAAATTCTTACATCTAAATACTGTCTATACAGCTGCATCGGGAATCCCGGAGTTGTGATTGCGCCCCCATGGCCTTCAGAAGATGCCGACTATTTTGGCTCTGAGCTGGACTAGCTGCGGATAGAACTAGTAGAATTTAGTGTATGGGTGGGTGGACTAGTTGCTGCAAAGAAAGAAAAGGGGCGTTTGGTTGTGGAGTAAAGTTGGGATGGATGGATGGATGGATCCTGCGGGGTTTCCAGATAAGGTAGAAAATGGTTTCTTAGCAATCAAGCGCGTATGAGCTTCTAGACATTCGACGAATAGGCCGGTTGTGTTCTAATCTGTAATTCTTGTAACTCTATCCATCATTAGAAATTCTGTGATTAGTAAATAAGTAATGTTGGTCCATCATAGGCCTCATTGCGTGCGTGTAGAACATATAAATACCCTTATTCTCGTCGGAGGTTGTGACATTGGTTTCCTCATCACTTACACTCACACAGAGATTAGATTGCTTACTACTCTTTCATTCTACCATTGATCACTCTATTACCGTTTACAATGGCCTGGAACAATTTCAAGACCCACAGCGTCTTCTCGAAAGACGAGTTCTACGGCCTTCCTACTTTCCCCGATGCTGAAGGCAAAAAATACTCTGCCATTGTGACCGGCGCCAATGGTATTACTGGTGCACATATGATTCGTGTGCTGGCTGAGGCTCCAGAACGTTGGGGAACCATCTATGCACTGAGCAGAAAGCCGCCTGCGTCTCTCATCGGAGGCAACATCAAGTATCTCGCAGTCGACTTTTTGGAGTCGCCTGAAGAGATAGCCAAACAATTGACAGAACACATTCTAAATGTGTAAGTTAATATTTGCCAGACAACTTTAATTTTTATGGAATTTTATTTCGTAAAACAAAGGTAATGATGACTGAACTAAGCTGACCGTTCATTATTAGCGATTATGTGTTTTTCTCCTCATACATCCAGCCCGCGGGCGTCTGGTCTAACACCGATGAATTGGAAAGACTGAATAGTGAGTCAAGGTCTAATCATCAAATCATTTTCATTTTTAACAATTATAGCGCTTCTGTTGTCAAACTTTCTCTCTGCATTGACCCTGGCGCAAAAAGTCCCCAAGAGATTTCTTCTCCAAACAGGCGGGAAGCATTACGGATTGCACCTTGGGCCGGGCATTAACCCAATGGAAGAATCAAACCCTCGCGTTACATCAGCACCAAACTTCTACTACCCACAGGAAGATTTACTCTGGAAATGGTCGCGTGAAAACAACACCGAGTGGAACGTGACTCGGCCGGGTTTCATCATTGGTGCCGTACGCGATGCGTCAATGAACATTGCTCACGGCTTTTCTCTGTACGCTGCTATTCAAAAGGAACTTGGAAGGCCGCTTGAATTCCCTGGCGATATCACTGCTTGGGACGTCGAGAAACACATATCGTCTGCGCTTCTTATCGGCTACCATGCCGAATGGACCGTTCTCACCCCTTCCACTCGCAACCAAGCCCTGAACATTGCTGACGGCGGCACTTTCACTTATGGCCAATTCTGGCCCATCCTTGCTGCTCTTTATGGCATTCCCTATGGCATCCCTGAGCTGGATGATGCCAAGTATCAGACTGTTGAAATGCCACTTGCTCCCCCGCCTCGAGGCTTCGGGCCGCCTGGCAAGTTCAGGGTTGCCTGGACATTCGAAGACTGGGCAAACAAGCCCGAAGTTAGACAGGCATGGGAGACTTTGAAGGCAAGGCATAATCTGGCACCGCAGCCGGATCCTTTTGATAAGGTACCGGAGATATTTGGCCTGCTGGATAAAGAGATTCTTGGGGGTTGGGGAAGAAGCTTGAGGTAAGAATCATCAAATGAGCACCCTTGTTGCAGAATTAAGCTGACTCGGAGGCCACTTATAGCATGAACAAGAGCCGAAAGCAAGGATGGAATGGATTCGTTGACTCGAGTGACTCTCTCATCAAGACGTTTGAAGAACTTGCCGCCCTGAAAATGATTCCGCCTTTCAAGCGACCAGAGCAAATCGACATTAAATTTCACGGATATTGAACATGAAATAGTCACAGAAGCGTGGTTTGTGCTCAGTTAACACAGGCCAATACATCTAAAGGATATCCATGTCAAGTATTGATTGGTCTTGATTGCTGAGCATTGTTTGTTAGCTATACTATACATTTGGTAGAAAAATGAACAACTTAGCGAGTAATAGTTTCCCATGCCCAGCCGCCCCATCCATGCAATGTAACCCGCCATCCTCACAAACTCGTCGTATTCTGCCAAGGCGCGGGGCTGATTATTCTTCTTGTGCCATTTAAGGAAGCGGGAGTACAATGCAGCAGTCAATAATGCATTTGCCAGGCGGGCTGCATGGGGCTGAACGGCATTGATTCTCTCAAAATGGATTAATAGGTGGCTCGCAATGATTAGCTTCCCCAGCACTGCATTGTTGAGGATGTAGGAACATCGTAAACTAAGCCGCTAAGGGCAGTGGTGTAAATGATAGCTCTCAAAAACATTTCTTTTTTAATAGCTCGGAGAAAATAAAAATGCATCAACAACGAATTTACCATGCTAATGTGTTATGAAAGCGTAGCTAGCATTCAAAAATATTACCAGCCTTCAACAGTGTCCCCTCGTTCATCTCTCAAAATAGTCTTATACGACCTATATTTTAAAGATATGTAATTTATATGTCTCATTGTATAACTGAAAGCTTTTCCCAACCGACACACGATACATAAAGCTGTCGCACCGCGATTTACGATACCGCAAACTTGCTCCTTCGTCTAAGATTCGCATCATCAAAGATGTAGAGGCAAACCATACCCATAATACACAGCGCACTCAAGCCTCCCAACAAGCTCACACACCCATATACGCCTTAAAGTCCACGCTACTATTTTTTTATTAGATGAAGTCTCATATTGAGAGTAATAAAGATGTGAAACATACCAAAAAGACACGAGCTTATGGGAATATAGATTGACCCAAATACGCCTAGGATTAGTTTTGCTTCGGGAGGAGCATTATTGGCGGTGTTTCGATCAATGATGAAAATTATTCAATAACCAAGACCAACGCCTGTCATAACCAGGCCCACCATCAAAACGGCTATTGGCGCTGAAAGCCGAAGCAACTCCCATCACTCCATCGACAGCTCATCTTCTCAACAGCGTATCCTACAACGACAGGCCCATTACCTAAAATGAAGATTCAAGATAAGTAATAACTGATTCTATATGAAGAATCTCAGTTGCTATCCTCTCCGATTAGATAACTAGGCATTTCCGGCGACCAAGACAGGTTCATTAGTATACCATGTAAATAATATACCCGCTATCAACATTTCTTATTTCTATATTAAGTGGTAGTATGCAATTAGACTTCCAACTTCTCTATGCTTCATCTATCTATCTATTTAAATAAAATGAATATCGTATATGAAAGAAATGCAAACAAATAGACACTGCTTATTGTGACATTTCTGTTATATCTGCCATTTAGGCCTCAGCAAAGCGGCTACGAGCGCGCAAGCTTGGCCCAAATTTCCAAAGCCCAAACAACAAAATGCAGCACACAATGTCCAAGAATGCGAGTAAAGATACTCCCCAGTGTATTCCCAGATTTAGAAACATTGGCCGGGAGAACATAATCGCACCCGCCGCCAGGGTCGAACGAGCAAAGTCATTCGCAGCGAATAAAGAGGCTGAATATTTCGGATATGTGAAAGCCACATATTGTAGCATGCAGACAATGATTGTGAATGTACCAACAATAGATAGTGATAGCCCTATAATGGGAGCCATCCAGTGGACGCTGGGACGAGATGTCCATGCTATTGCCGTATAACAAGATGTATTAGTTTAGAACCACTAACACGACCCGCTTTGGAATGACATACCGAAGAGAAATAGGCCGACGGGAAGCCAAAAACATGCAAATAGCGCCGGAACCAAGCGATTTTCTGGAATCCCAAATGCTTTAAACCCTTCGGTTCTAAAAGGCTTAACCACTTGGAAGTGCCACGAAACCACGCATAGGGTAGCAGCCACAAACAGCCCCGGAAAGACTCCTAAAAAGGGGAGCCCAGAGAGCGTGAATTTGAAGTTATAAACGCCTGAAAAAACAAGAGGAAAAGCTTCGAAGAAAGAATAGAAAATGGCGTAGACAAGGCTGGTATAAACAGTAGAGAAGAGTACCGAAGGATCAAGAACGTTAATCTCGACCGGCTTGATAATTGCATTGTATAAAATGTCTTTCATCGTCATCCGTCGTTTTGTTTGGTCAATTTCTACTTGTGAGCGGTATTGATCATTGCCAGTCAGTTTCCTTAATCGTCGTGCTCTGTAATAAAGTATCGTAGTTGATGAGGTTTCGGGTAGGAAAAAGAAAAAGCTAAGAAGGATAGGAGCACTGAGCCACAGCATCTCCCACGATACCCAATGCCATCCTTGGGCAGGGGCACTGAAATTTGAGATTACAGGCGCGAGAGCAGGGCCAAAAACAGCTAAAGAAAATCCTTTGTTAGTTTCTCAATCCAATTATTTATATGCGTAACATGTAGGACATACTGGCTCCACCCCAAATTACCAACAAGTAAGGTACATGAAGAAGCGGATACTGATTCCAAGTTAGCCAAAAACTCAAAGTGTATATCGGTATATAAGAATTTGATCTTACGATATCGGCAAATGAAGCACCTCCAGTTGCAAGGCATGGAGCACCTGTTTATTAACCAAGTTAGTGTTGTCCACACTCAAACAGAATCCCAATCTTACCGAAAAAGCCTGTCAAAAATCGCAGAACGACAAATCCAGCGAAATTATCCACAAGAGATGCTGGTACCCATAGTATTGTATATATGAAGAGCGTTATTATGTACGGGGGATTCCTGCCTATTGCGGCAATCCTAGAGGATGTTTAGTTTCAGACACTTTTGATCATTGGAAAACTCGGGAAGGATTCTTACTCGCTTAATGGAGAGAATATCATAGCACCAAAGCCATCTGTATTGATCCATTCATGATTAGCAACCGAGTGACGATGCAAGCGCAAGCGCGTATACTAACATCCAAAAACGTATAAAGCGAGAGCTAAAGAAGAAACCTCGATGCTGATACCGTATCTTTCCACTACCTCGGGCACTGCACCGATATAGATAGAAGAACCAAAGTACACAGCAAAGGAATAAATACTTGTGAAATTAGCGCGGTGTTTGATAGGTGGTTCTGTAGGCAGTATTTACCATATTTGGAAAGCCACAAAGCCCTTTCGAAGCGCACTCCAGTTTTGTGGATTTTCAGGATCATCTAGGATCTTGTCAGATGTGCCGATAATATCGCTTTTTTTCTGATGTTCGTGTGTGTTCCGAAGTATGCTGATATGACTGGGGAATATTACCAGTGGTATACCAATCAACCAATATTGTCCCATCACTCGTAGTTGTTGGCTTAATGGGACGACTTTCTACTCTCTGCGCTTCACTATGGCTCTGCATAGTAACGACCCTCTCGATGGGATTGTCTGATTCGCCATTTTCCACGTCGTCGGTTGCGCCAGCGAGTGGAGCATCGGTCGTAGTGTTTTGGGAATTCAATCTGGCCAGGCCAGTGGCAGTAGTTCCTTCTAGAGTAGTATGCGAAGAGGCAGCCGTAGTGGGAAGTTCTATCTCGACTTCTTTCTGCAAAGTTTTCGAACCGTAATAGGGATTTTGAAATCCATCTCGTTCTTCAGCATACTGGAAGTATTTATTCTTGCTCAGAAAGCGGACTATCTGCCCAAAGGGCGAGTCACGTAAAACGTCGTTCATAATTGATCTCTGTTAGATCGTTGAGTATTGAAAGAAGCAATTGCTCATGGTATGAGGAGTAGACTTTAACATTATATGCCTTATCATCTATGCTGCAGATCTAGCGCGTGGCTAAGGATATGTAGCTAGCATTTGTTTCTTCACGTCTCGGCTTATAAATTTCAAACTACGAGGTGATTTCTAAGTCGTTTCTGGCATCATCATAAGCCCATTTCTAAGCTTTAATTGCCCATGTTAGCAAATTTGAAGGGCCAACTAGAAAGATCAGATTCATTTTCCACGGCAATTATTTTTGGGGCGCAATTTAGTGCAATCTCAAAATTTCCTATTTCGGACAATCCTCTGCACAAGCCTCATGCCCCAAGTATAAGCAGCAAATCACGTCGCCAAGATCTCAGCTCATATCGTCTACTCGGCTGTCGCCGTATAGTGTCCTGCTTACATTATTATAGTTCGTTCGATTCGAAGCTTACGATTACTGATCGCTCGGTACTTGGAGTGGGTGGGGTGAGAAGAGGGCAGAAATAGCTTCATTTTTGGCTATCGCCACTATTTGAGCCTGAAAAGGCAGCTGCATGGGCACTTGGTTGGTTTCTGACAAGTGAATAGGCAACAAGCTCACGTTGCATACTTATTGATTTACGTCATACGAGGCTTCACCTACATGCCTTTGACTTTTTCCAGCCTAGAGTTAAAATGCCATTGTGACTGCATCCTGATGCCTAAATACTGCTACGAGAAGAAAAGTTTGTCTTCTAGCCGTTCGGGATCTAAGACCATCACATGCAATCAGCTGTCTACAGCTATACTTTGATATGTATGATTATCTAAACGCTATATACTTAAGTACTCAATGTTCTTTTTTGATGGGAGATATAGGGAGTAATTTCCTACATAGCTGCTTTGTTAGTTAGAATAGTGTAGCTGCTATTGTCCTAGCTCCGTGTACCTGCTGAAAGGCTGCCATTACTATTTATTAGGCAATTGTGCTGATTTAACCTTTTCTTGGCTTTTTCTTGGCTTTTCCTTTATCCCTTTAAAGTTCTCCTAGCACAGGAATATCGCGTATATGGATAAAGGTATGAAGCAGAATAACATGTGGGATATTGAAGATTGTAGCTTTTGTATAAGCATCTTTGACATTGTACAATATCATGAGTGGTTAAGAAGAGGCACTAAGCTGCTTGAAAATATCTATTACGCCAAGGTGTCTGTTTTGTGCGTTGCAATTCAACATCATGGTTTACCAGAAATTTGGGAATATCACAAGATTATAAGCCATGCGACTGCGCTTCAATAATCCACGTACACTATTTTGAACTAGCTAACTATTTTCAGCCGAACGAAGTCATCCTCTCATATCATGCAGATAAAGAGACACGATATAGTCGTCTTTATCTTCGTAGCTGCTTCTCATTAGCTTGGAAAAGAATATTCGTAAGATTTCGAAATAGAGCAACTCGCATTGCACAATATATAGGATTGAGATCAAGAATTTTTATTTCGTCGAAAAACAAATGAGACGCTTATTTATGCCCTGCTATAAGGTTCATAGATTGACCCATGCAACCGATGATAACGCCATTTTGCGAAAAAAGAACAAACTCTGGTGATCAACTTATAGTTTGGCAAAAATCCCCTTGGTTGCTCCCTTGCCCAGTTGTACCAGCGTGCTCTTTATCCGCATGTAAGCCATGATACCCTCGAAGCCATTTTCAACACCAACGCCACTCAGCTTCCATCCACCTACCGGCATCTCGGCCGGAGACTCTCCCCAGGTGTTGATCCAGGTGATGCCAGCTTGCAGCTCTCGGATAACGTTCTGCGCTAGACTCAGATCAGAGGCAACAACTCCAGCAGCCAGGCCAGTTTCCGTGTCGTTTGCGCGTCGAATCAGCTCCGGGAGCCATTCTTCCTGTGACCTGCCCTGTGTCTTATATGGCAAGATTGACATGACAGGGCCAAAGATTTCCTCGCGCACAATGCGCATATCATCGGTGCAGTTGGTGAAGATGACAGGCGGGACCCAGTAGCCATCAGGCGTGGGCTTATTCTTCTGCGCATCAACCGCGCCGTCATACAAAACCTTTGCCTTGTCGACCTCCTTGCCGTGTCGGATGTACATATTGACCTTGTCGCGCTGAGCGGCGCTGACGACTGGGCCGAAATTGGTCGTTTCATCTTGGGGCAGGCCCATGCGGATGCCCTCCCGGCAGCGCTTGACAAGAGCTTCTTCCACACGTGATAGTAGGGTATCGGGGATGAAGACTCGCGTACCATTTGTGCAAACTTGGCCGGAAGAGAAGAAATTGGCTGCCATGGCGATGTCGGCTGCCTCATCGACATCCGCGTCTGGGAGAACCACAACAGGACTCTTGCCTCCGAGCTCCATTGTAACGCTCTTCATGCCCTTGGCGGCCTCGCTAGCTACTTTGCTACCGGTGCTAACCTGTCCCGTAAAGCTGACCTTTGCGATGCCCGCATGGGCGACAAGGGGAGCTCCAACACTGGGACCATCGCCATAGACAACATTGAATACTCCGGGCGGCATGCCAGCCTCGATATAGATCTCGGCCAAGGTGTTGGCGTGAAGAGGCGTTACTTCGCTGGGTTTGTAGACCATGCAGTTTCCTGCTGCCAGACATGGCGCAGACTTCCACAGAGCGATCTGGATGGGGTAGTTCCAAGCGCCAATGCCAGCGCAAACGCCCAGAGGCTCGTGGCTGGTAAGGACGTATGCGTCTGGTCTCAACGCTGTGTGCTGTCCGGGCTGACTGTTGCCAATGAAGTGCGCGTAGTACTCCAAGACATCGGCCCCAGTGACCACATCGACCGTAGACGTCTCGGACCAAGCCTTGCCAGTATCCAGCATCTCGGTGCGGGCCAGCGCGTCGTTACGTTCTCGCAGGATGGCGGCAGCGCGCAGGAGGATGGCAGCTCGCTTTGGAGCAGGCGTCTGCGACCATACTGGGAAAGCCTTCTGAGCAGAGGAGACGGCGTCGTTGAGCTGAGAGGCAGTTGTGGTGTAGATTGTTGCCAATGGCTTGGCCGTGCTAGGATCGAGAGACTGGAAGGTGTGCGATCCGGCAGATTGCGGCTGCGGCTTTCCAGAGTGGAAGGTATGGATCTCTTTGGAGAATGTCATGATGGCAGTCTTTCGATGGTGACGCGACGGCTCTATCGATTGTTAGAGGCCAGACCAGATTCAATCCAAACCAAGCCGGTATCAGGGTCCGTTTGATGGTGGTGTTGAAGCTGGGAATCGGAAGCCGGACAGTGACGTACGTCGATCTTGTCTTCGGCAGCAGGTACGCAGCAGCATTTACAGGCAGGACGGTAGAATTCCGCGACCACTAAATCGAAATGGCTTTCTCCTTGGCGGTAGATAGGTACCTACTACTAGCATGTACAGTACATGTGCAGTATGCGGAGTACATGCGCCAAGCAGCATCAGCAACTCCACAACGCTGCAGCAGATACTTCACGCCCGCTATTACGAGGTGCTGTGCTACGCATGGTGTACAGTATAAACCGCGGCAAGCCGGACTCAACTGTCCATTCTGCCTGGCAAAGGGATACTTGGCGCTGCGTCTTACTGCTGCTGCTGCTACTGCTTGTCTCACCTGCCAGGGACAGAGCCGTGTGCATTACTAGCTGTGGAGTCTTCGGCGCCGGTGTGTCTGGGGCTAAGACGCGGCCAAGGCGCTCTCATACACGCTACTGTCGGCCGTGAGAGCGTTTACCTGCATTCGGCAACCAGGTAGAAGACTGGCCGGGCAAGGGAGAGACAAAATCCAAGGAATATTAATACAGAAGCCACTGGCTACGTCACCGATGGGGAAGTGAGAGATATAGCCCGGTCCGGCCGTTGTGGACCCTCCCCCGTGTTATTTACAACGGCTCGGCTTGGCGGTGGAGGCTGCGCAGAGTGGGCTGAGGAAGATGCGACTGAGAATCCGATATGTGCGGCCATCTATTTTTTTGATTTTCCGTGCATTGAATATTGAGTTGGTGTGTGGTTCTGGCTTATGATTGTATGCATTGAAGACGCAGATGGCAGAGTCGTGTTGCCAGTGTACCTTATACTATATAATTGAATGCATACCTTGGGTACCTAGCACGTACTGCAGATCCCGCTACGATTGGCGAATGAAATCGTGCCTTACTTTGCATGCACCAATACGAGTAATGAATAGCGGCACAGAGAAGTATCAAGTCACCGCAATGACCAGCTGGGAAAGACAAAAAGAGGGGCCATCAGCAGCGATGCAAGCCAAGAAATGTCTCACAAAAAGAAAACATACAGCCACCGCTGGAATAGTTGTTCCGAAGTTCGATGCGATGCGATGCGATGCAAGCAGCTGCGATTCGTGGCGTGTTGTTCTGGAGAGACACGGAGCAGGTACATGTACTGTGCACCAGGCTCTCTTTGGAGGGGTACAAGCCCCGCCGTTTTCAGCCCCTGGCGTGGATGCGTCCAATCAGCTTACACTTTTCTGCCCGGATCAACTTAGCCCCGTCCCAGCTGCCCACTAAATCCCCACTCCGCCCTCCTCAGCCTCTCCTCAAGCCTCGATCAAGCCAAGATCATCGCCAGACCAACGCTCGAAACGGCTTCTAAGCAGCAGAACCACACGCTGGATCCCCGCAGCCGATGGCGAGCAGCCCAGCCAGACGCCTCGCAAATGTCACTCTCGGCACACTGTGAGCCACTGCTTTCTCCAACCAACCACCAACCAACAAACTGTGGAATTGCTGACAGGGGGCATTAGTCCGAATCCCACCATGTGCTTTTGACGTCATGCGGCAAATGGTGTAGGAGACGCCTTGTGCTGCTTTGGGGCCATTCTGTGTTTGACAGGAACCCTGAAGATCAATTCAACTGGTAAACATCGGTGAGAATTTTTACGTTTTTTTTTTTTTTTTTTTTTAATTAGGGAGATGGTTTGTTTCCCCCCTTTTCCGCCGAGGCTACAAACCATCTGCTGATTTCGAACTCCACACCGCAAACAACAAGGCGGCCGTGCTTGCTTTGCGTTGATGGCGCCGTTAGCGTCGGTGGCACAGCCGTATTCACGCCGTAACCATGGCCGCGGGCAAAGTATACAGGCACAGCGTTGGGGCTGACTCGTCGTTTCATGTTCTTCATATATCTTGGGATCCCTCTCCTTGGTGTGCTGCTTCTGCTTCTGCTTCTGCTTCTGCTTCTGCTGCTGCTGCTGCTGCTTTACACCCTTTCTCTCCTCCCTGAGGCTACAGATTTCTGTTGGGTCCAGACGCTCCTCCTCTGAAACCTTCGCTGAAACCTTCGCTGAGCGAACGAATAGACGATACAGAAACTGTCTTTTCTACCTTTTGTGAATAAGCTCCTCAACTAGGCTTCATACTGGCCTTTTAAGATTCCGAGGGGGAAACCGTAGTCTCCAAGCCTCATTTGTAGCCAGAGCAAACTACTTAAGACGGGCCACCCAGCAAGACGCAGATTCCTTTCTTTCTTGCTCTTCTCATACCCCCACGACAGCAATCATGACGACCCGATCGCTTCCCGACAACAGCAGCTCTGCCTTCGACTACATCATCGTTGGCGGAGGCACCGCGGGCTGCGTGATTGCGTCTCGCCTCTCTTCCTATCTGCCTGAGCACCGTATCCTCCTCGTCGAGGCTGGCCCCTCTGATTTCAACCTCAACCATGTCCTCAACCTGCGGGAGTGGCTGAGTCTGCTTGGCGGCGAGCTGGACTACGACTACGGCACGACAGAGCAGCCCATGGGCAACAGCCATATCCGTCACTCTCGTGCCAAGGTCCTTGGAGGCTGCTCTTCCCACAACACTCTGATCTCTTTCCGCCCTTTCCGCCATGATATGGACCGCTGGGTTGCCCAGGGATGCAAGGGCTGGACCTTTGAGAATGTCACTCGACACATTGACAATCTGCGCAACACTTTCCAGCCGGTGCATGCTCGGCACCGCAATCAGCTTTGCAAGGACTGGGTTCAAGCTTGTGCCTCCGCTCTCGACATCCCCGTCATCCACGACTTCAATCATGAGATTCGTGAGAAGGGCCAGCTAACCCAGGGCGCCGGCTTCTTCAACGTCTCCTACAACCCGGATAACGGTCGACGAAGCAGCGCATCCGTTGCTTACATCCACCCCATCCTTCGAGGCGAAGAGAGACGACCAAATCTGACTATTCTGACCGAGGCTCACGTCTCCAAAGTCTTGGTGGAAAACGATGTTGCCAGCGGCATTGCTCTTCATCTGGCAGGCGGCCAGAAGGTGGTGCTCAAGCCTCGAAAGGAAATCATCCTCTGCGCTGGCGCTGTTGACACACCCCGCCTGATGCTTCACTCTGGTCTTGGCCCGCGCTCGCAGCTCGAGGGCCTAGGAATTCCCGTTGTCAAGGACATCCCTGGAGTTGGTGAAAACCTTCTTGACCACCCAGAGACTATCATCATGTGGGAGCTCAAGAAGCCTGTTCCCCCGAACCAGACCACTATGGATTCCGACGCTGGTGTTTTCATTCGCCGCGAACCCACCAATGCCGCAGGCAATGACGGAAACGCTGCCGATATCATGATGCACTGCTACCAGATTCCCTTCACTCTCAACACCGAGCGACTGGGCTATCGCACTATTCCTGACGGTTATGCATTCTGCATGACTCCCAACATCCCTCGGCCGCGATCCCGCGGTCGCATCTACCTGACTTCTGCAGACCCCGCTGTCAAGCCTGCCCTGGATTTCCGCTACTTTACTGATCCCGAAGGCTACGACGCTGCCACCTTCGTTGCTGGCATCAAGGCAGCCCGCAAAGTCGCTCAGCAAAGCCCCTTCAAAGAGTGGCTGAAGGAGGAGGTTGCTCCCGGCCCCAAGGTGCAGACGGATGAGCAGATTAGCGAATACGCTCGCCGCGCCGCTCATACTGTCTACCACCCTGCAGGCACCACCAAGATGGGTGATGTAACCAAGGACGAGACTGCTGTTGTGGACCACGAGCTAAAGGTCCGAGGGATCAAGAAATTGCGCATCGCTGACGCAGGCGTGTTCCCCGAGATGCCATCCATCAACCCCATGCTTACGGTGCTGGCCATTGGTGAGCGAGCAGCAGAGCTGATTGCCATGGAGGAGGGCTGGAAGCCCAAGACTTCAAGACTATAGACGAAATGCCTCGTATACTTTGCTTGGGAATGGTTGAGCTGGGATTGGCGCATAGCTTTTCATCTTTGATTGGATTACAGGAAGGATAAGGCAAGGCGTGCTTAGCCTAGATATTGCACCACCTAAAACTTGACGGCGCGAAGAAAGCGTGTCGTCACTTGTATATTTGTTTGCTAGTTTAGATGATTACGATATCCATGTAGCTTAAAGTCTTATAAAAGTTATTTTGCGTATATCCTCTGGAAATCTCCTAGTGCCAGATTTTCGTATTTATGCTTTGTGAGAGGAACGATACGCCATGCTGCGCCTTAAGTCTTGGAGCATTGGATGTGACATTATACTTTGGGAGACCAGTTCAAGGAGCTGCTATGAAAAACACCAAAATTGCAATCGAGGGTTAGTAGATGGCCCAAGATAGGGTTTTTCGTCTCTTATTATTATATAACCCATTCTTGCTAACTAGCTACGAGGCGTCAAATGAATACGACCAAAGTAAATCGATTAATTTAGCTTCCTCTGGCCTACTTATCCAAGTCCACACATCTTCCATATGTACATGACCAACAAATCAGAATGTCTATGTGATGCTTCTAACTTCCCATGACGAAGCCCACGCCGCCATCAGTGCATCATCTCCATCATCCAATTGCTCTAAATGCGAAACAATACTCGCCACGAGACTTGTCGCCCCCCTATCAGATAGCCGTTTGTAGGATCCAAATACGCCAATATCTAAACTGTTTCCTTGTATAGAAGCTTCGATGTCTATTGCGGCCTAGATGAAGTAGAGCATTACTAAATTAGATCTTTGGGGGACTAAATATTCAAGGGAGGTAACGAGGTTCAAAGCTTACTGGGAATGCATCTCTGACGGTATTGTTTATTATCCAGGGTTGAGAAATTGCGTCTTCTGCGATGCCACTCGCTGATGTTCCTACAGTATCATCTTCCTCCTGCAGTGGTACAAGCTTAACAGCTACCGAATCTCCATTTAATGTCGCGGGTGAAGCACTAGGGAGGCTGAGAAAATTGACAAACGAAGTCACCCTAACGCCTGTCCACGCTGCAACTTCCCACAGCCCGACGTCAGCACGACCACCTGTAGATACAAGGTGGATATCATCTTGTATCAAGCTGGCAACTTCTAGAAGAGGATCTCCGCGCGCCACTCGAACTCTCAAAGGAACAAGGTTAAGCGTGGGGTATATCGACGAAAGAGCCTCATCAGATCGATTCGCGAGGTAAATGCCGAATACGATAGTCTTTTTGCTTTCGTCGCCCGCGTCTCCACCACTCTCTAGTGCAAGCGTTTTGGCATAAGCGGCGAAAAATAGTGCTTGCAAGCTGATGCCCCTTTCCTTGGCCGCTGTAAGGAGATACGTGATGTCTACTACTGCAGATTGTTGCAGATGCGATACTCGTCGTTTGCCTGCCATAATTAGGGCTGAATCGTCGCCGTCTGTTGAGCAGCCATTTAGATATGCTGTCCAAAAGGCTCTGCGCGATTGTCGAGAGTCTTCAAGCGTTGGCCGAATAGCATATCTAGACCACTCTGCGACGCTCTGTTCGTTCTCAATCGCACTCCCATTAAGTAACTTCGATAGCCCGTGTAGTATTTCTTGAATGCTAATTCCATCATAGAGAGCGTGGTGGATTTTTAGTCTTATAGCTATTCGGTCGCCCGTCTCGCCGTTTGGTGCAGCGACATGAAAATTCACCATGGGCTTAATCGCAGCTTCGTCAACAGGCTGGTGGTCCGCCTTGAGAATGGCCTGCAAAAATGGCTGTTGAGGAACTTTAGTTGCAATGAAAACGGTTCGGAGAATTGGTGTTTGAGCGACGAAGCGGTGCCAGGCTGAAAACACCTCTTCCACGCTAATAGCTCCTTTGACGACGTACTTGAACTCTGGGTAAAAGACGCCGCCTTCTGCGTTTTGCCACGCACTAATCATGTAGACTTGCATAGGCAACGCTGGAAGTACCGCTTCGATAGACTCTTTCGAGACGTGAGCTCCAGCAAAGAGTGCTTCTATATCAACATCTTCCGTAGGAGTCCACGTCAATTCCTTGGGTTTGGGTCGATCCCCGTTTGTTAGGAGAGGGGCGGCAAGTCGACCCATCTGACTAATGCTTGTGGCTCTGATGAGGTCTCTAGAATTGAGATATATACCTTCTTTGCGCAGTAGAGACGATACCTTGATCGCACTGATAGAGTCCAGGCCCAGGTGATAAAGATTGCTCTCAGGTCTGATAGACTCTTCTGGAATATCTGACACGTAGCTGAGTATTTTTCGAATAGCCAACGCAGTCTTATCAAGCCTCGTCTCTTCATAATCTGAACTTGAATTCTTCTCGTCGCCGCTGATACGCCCATCTTCTAATATTGAGATATGTGGCAATCCAGCAATCGAAACACCATCTTCTTCAAAGGAAAGAATCTCTCTCTCCTCCGAGCTCGTCAGAAACTCAAGGACATTGTTCAAATCTTCGAGTAATTTCCCAACTCCGTCCTCAGAAGCATATTTGGACTGGCAAGCTGTTCTCCAAACAAGAACATCATCCACAGCTTCGGCCTCAATGCTGACAGGGTAGTCAACTGCCGATGCGCCGTCGACAGATCTCAACAGCGGTTCTTCAGACGAGCTGTATGGAGACTTTTGAAGCATAAATAGCGTATTAAACAATTCACGGCCGGGTACCCGTACCACATTTTGTATCTTTCTCAGCGGATACGCTTGATAAGCTCGGATATCCGCCATGTTGGCCTCGAGGTACCTCAGAAATGACAAAGAGGTTCCATAAAGGATACACCTAAGAGGTACAGTGTTGATTGTAGGAAACATCAAATCTTCAGCTCCTTCAAAATCTCGTCCAGACATTACTACGCCGAAAGTAACATCGAGGGCTTCCACCCGATGAGCCAACACAAGAGCCCAGCAGGCTTGGCACAAAACTTGCAAACTAATGCTCTGTTTCTTGCAGAAAGACAAAATTTCAGAAACAGGCTTTTCAGTAGAATATTCCATTCGATGTAGCTTCTCTTCCATGCCGGCTTCCTGCAGCTCTAGAAGAATCGAGGGTTGAACATCATCGAGATACCCAGTCCAAAATCGATCACCATCTTCAGTGGCTGAGGCAAGTACTCTTTGAAGAAAAGGTTTCGCGGATGTTCTCGTTTGTGGTGTCCCGTAGAATGCCATTTCGAGATCTCGATAGAGAAGGCTCAGCGACCACCCGTCATATAGAGCATGCGCGATCGAAATGAGGACAAATGTCCGCTCTTTACAACTCACAAACTTGAGCTGGAAGAGAGTATCAGTTCCCTTTGTAGCCTTAGAGATCTGCTTCGCATTCTCAATGAGATTGGCGACTTCGACTAAGTCTTCCACCTTAATGAGCTCAATCTTGTTACTCCAGTGCTTGTGCACAATTTGGCAGTATCCCATATCAAGCAGTAAATCATCTACTTCAAGAAATCCAGTTCGAAGAATAGGCGACTGATTAATAACCTGGAGAAACGCTTCTTGAAGCTTCTCCACATCGACTCCTGCCCTTATTTCTAGTAGATCGTGGTTGAAATACCACTCAAAGTCAGAATGTATCATTCCAGCAGCCATAGATTCTTGGAGAGGAGTCGGCGGCAGCACAGCCTCTATTTCATCTGCGTTCAGTCTGGTATTTCGAGCATACGCCCACAGTTTCTGTTCCACGCTGCGGAATTTCTCGTCTGTAACCGGTATTGATAACTCGCTGGATTGCTGAACCTCGGTACAAGATGCCATATTTGCAATAGTTTGCTGACGCATGATTGAAGAAGCGGAAAGTGATATACCCTTTTGTTTAAGTCTGGCAGAAAGTTGAATGACATCAATGCTGTCCAAGCCAAGCTCAAGAACTGTACTTGCCGCCGAGATTTCAAGAGCGTCAATACCAGAAAGCGAGGCAATCTCATCTCTGATTCGAAGCGCTTGATCAGTCCACTCAAGCTGTTGTTTGCCAGTTTCAGCATTTGGATGTACAAATCCATTCGGTTCAGCTGGTACCGCGACACCATTTTGCATAGGCTGAGGAAGTGGCGCATCTGCGACCATGAGGGCCAAGTGTTCTTCTGTTTGGTCCAAAATTTCCTGCAACCTTGCAGCGTCTGCTATATGCCCCTGCGCAACAAGAGTAAGCTGGATATCGCCATTCAACAGTTTTTTGGCCTCTAATGCCAGTGGATAATCAGGATTGAGAGGTCCGTCTTCTATCGTCCATAGCTCAGGTTCATTGATTGTCGCCTGTTGCTCCACTTCAAATACAAAGAGATTGTCGAATAATTGACGCCCGCCAGAACACCATTTCTGGATGTTTTTCAGTGGAACATGCTGAAACGGTAAGATTGCTGTGCTGAATTCGCTGCACTTGCGGATGAGAGACTCCCACGTTTCGTCACGCAGCGTCTTATTAAAAAATGGCAGCGTGTTGAACAGCGGACCAATCGTATTCTCAATACCAGCAAGATCAATAGATCTTCCTGACACGATGAGACCAACTGTGAGCCCTCCAGAAAAGTATTTTTGGAGCACAGACGTCCACAATGCCATTACAACCGATTGCAAAGTGACTTTGTGCTTCTTTCGGGTACTTTCCAAGGCAGCTCCGTCAATCACTCGTATTTGAGACGCTGCGTCACCGTGTGCGGAAGAAAGTTGAAGACCAGAGGAATTCTCCCAACCAAGAAGATGATTTTGCCAAAATCCACGGCAGTCATCATGTCGCCATAATGGACCATGAGATAACGCCTCTATAAAAGTTGGAGTAGAAGCAGTCACAGATTTTCCAGTATAAGAAGATTGTAGCTGCCGTAACATCTGCTCAAAACTACTTCCATCGTATACTGCATGAAAGATGCGAATAACGAATTTCTTGGAGCTTGGTCCCTTCACCAAGAGCGCCTCAACTGGCGTGATGATATGATCACTGTTCCGCTTCACCCAGTCTTCCCAATGGCCATCCAGTAAATCTCTCTTATCCTCATCGTTGCTCACGACTTCTTCGATCCAACGCAGATTTGGAGCTTTCAGCGCAACTTGGATATAGCCTTCCGCAGTCTTTATAAATGCCGTTCGCAAGATCGATTGAGATGCTACCAGTTGGGTCCAAGCAGTCTCTAACTGTTCGTCCACAATGCTGCTACCAAGATACAATAAGAAAGAGTTAAAATATGTGCCACGAATTTCGTCCGTGACCGATTTTGATATGATACCCTGCTGAAGAGCAGAACAAGGTGCAATGTATTCTATATCGTCTCCCGGTATACTCAGAACGTCACGGACAAGTGCTCGGTACCTGTGATGGTATGCCTGTATCATCTGTTGCGACTCTTTCACACGGCTGTCTTTTTGAGAGAAGGGTATTTTCTCATTCAGAGCCGTAATCAAGTCCGAGATAACGGGGTTTTGCAGCAGAGTAGCGGGCGAGCATGCTATGAATCCGCGATTCTTGAACGCTGCCGATAGTTGTAAAGCGCTGATGGAATCCACACCAAGGTCAAAGATACTTGTCTCTGCATCGATGCTATCCGAATCTATACCAGTAAAATCAGATATAATTCTGAGCACTTTTTGACTTGCTTCATCATGAATAGATCGAACGGATGCCTTGAATGTGGTCAAGTCCATTAGCTGCTCATGCGATAAGCTATTAAACAGCTTCTTCAGCTCCTTTGCCTCGACCTTATTATTCGGAGAAAGAGGGATAAATGGCAGAATCAAGAAATATGTAGGAATCATGTAACCTGGAAGCTTTGCTCGGCATGCTTCTTTGGCTTTTATACTGAGGGTTCCATCATCCATCAACGGAACCAAAACTGCCTTGGGCTTTTGCTCGCCAACCAGGAATGACACCAGAACGTCTTTGCCGCTAGACGCATGTTTGATGACAATTGTTGCAGCGTCCTTCACCTCTGACACACCAGTGCGAATGACATGATTAATCTCGCCAATCTCTAACCGCTGTCCACGGAGCTTAACTTGATCGTCTGCTCGTCCAAGGAAATCAAAGCAGCCGTCGTGAAGAATACGTACAAGATCACCCGTCCGATAGATTCTCTCACCGAACTCTGAAAGCGTGGGGAATTTTTCTTCGGTAAGTTCTTCGCGATTGAGATATCCTTTACCAACAAGTCTTCCCGAAACACAAAGCTCTCCAACAGCTCCGCGCAGGACAGGAATTTCCGTCCCTTTGCGAAATACGTAAGATCCGACATTGAGAAATTGCTGTCCAATATTGCTCGGTCTGCCGTTTATCGGAACTCTCTTGTACATAGTCACGCCGATTGTAGCTTCCGTTGGGCCATAAGCGTTGTATATAACTGACTTTGGTCCCCATGCGTCTAGGATTTCTTGCTTGAGCTGCTCGCCTCCAGTGATGAATACTCCTTTGCACAAACCTGGCACTTCATCTGGATGCGTGAGACGAGCTAAACTAGGCGTTAGATCAATGTGTGTAATCTCAAGATTATTGATAGACGCAATCAAGTCATCAAGAATGAGGTCTCTTGGCGCTGCGACGACGGTTATTCCGACTGACCAACTCCAGTATTGTTCCAGAACAGAGACATCAAAGTGAAGGGCAGCAAACTGCAACCATCTAGAGTCATCGCTCCAATGTCCTTTGAACAACTCTTGGAAGGCCATCATTGCTTGTACACTATTGTCATGCGTGATCTCGCATCCTTTTGGCGTGCCCGTTGTGCCAGAAGTATACAAACAATAGCAAGTCGCATCTGGTGTGAATTGCGGACCCAACTCTCGTCTCTCAGCAGATAGCTGCTGTATAGACTCCAAATCGATATTGATAATCTTAGCGTCTGTATCAAATTCAATACTACTTCCGGACGTCTTTAGAAGACAAGGTGCCATGGAGTCTCTCAGAATAAATTCCTTCCGATCTTTGGGAGCAGTTGGGTCAAGCGCTACAAAAGCGCAGCCAGCTTTGAGAATTCCAAGGATGGAAAAGTAGGCCTCTGGGCATTTATCAAAATGAATTGCGACAATGCTTCCCACGGCCGCAATGTCACTCAGTAAGTTGGCCACCCTATTGCCCATCTCATCAAGTTCAGAGTAAGACCACACCTGCTTGACAGGACGTGAGCCATCAAACTCGCCGACAAATTCAAAAGCAGTATCATGCGGATGAGACAAGGCTCTCTTCTCCACAAAGTGATGCAAAAATTGTACAGGTGCAGGCAGCTCTGGCGAAATAGCCGGAGTTATAGAAAATAGGTCAGGCTTCGATCGGTAGATCCCATCTTCATCACCTTCAGGCTCGGTAGCAATGTGAATCATCATCGCGTCAAACTGTTTAACCAACAAATCCGCCTGTTCGTCTGGCAAAACATCGCTGAAGAATGTGATGCAAAGTCGAATCTCATCATTACTCATCGGTTTGACCTCAAGCGACACTGGATAGTCAACGGTCGCATGGTCGTCAACAAGCTTCCAGCGCCTTGTGGTAGAAATATCTTTATCCAATTTCTGGTAAACCAGAATCGTATCAAACACAGATCTTGCAGGATGTCCCAGCCATTTTTGGATCTGAGATAGAGGGGCGTACTGGTGCCTATATACGTCGGCATTATATTCCATCATCAGGCTAACCAATTGAGCATTTGAAGGCTGATTCGAAGCAATAACAGGAATCGTATTCATACAAGGGAATGGCGCATCCCTCGTCTCATCTATAGTCCGGCCGGATAGCGTTACGCCAAACACGACAGAGTCCTCGCCCAGGTATGAAGCGAGAATTCGGGTCCACGCTGCTTGGATAATTGCCTGGATTGATACATTCTGTTGCTTGGCCGCCATTTGCAAGTTTGAAAGCGCTATAGTAGATTTGACTTCATGTGAAATCATTATTCTCTGATCTTCTCGGAGCGGTGTCATGACGGGGAAAGTATTCACTACTGTGAATTCAGCTTTGCTCTGCCAGAAATCTTGCATACCACTTTGATGGTTGAGGCTTCTAGATAGAATTTCTGCTAACGCAGGCTCAATAAGCTGGATAGAAGTGACTATTGGTCTTTCTAGCAGCTCAGATAGAAGCTCTAGCATCTGATCCAGCGAATGCGCATCGTAGAGAGCATGATGTATCAGGATATGCATAGTCAATCTGCCATCAGCTTCCGCAAGTAAAACTCGCCAGGGTGGTAAGTGCAGGTTGTTGAGAATCATCGTTGATTCTCTCTCTTTCCATTTAGAAAGGCTGTCCTGAGATGCCATTTCTAGCGCAACATTGGTCGAGTCAAGTACCTCTGACCCAGAGAGATATCTGAGCATTGCAAAAGAACTATGCGGGTTCTGGACAGTAGTAAATCCAGTACGAAGCATAGGATGTTGATCTTGGAGAGATTTCCAAGCTCTAGTCAAATCATCTTTTGAGATATTATTGTCAACTTCGTAAGATAATAGATTGAGATAATTTTGGCCTTGAGATTGAACGAAGGAAGCAAGCATAGCGCACTGGAGAGGAGTGCTAGGAAGAATCGCTTCCATGGCAGTAGCATCCGGTATCTTGTGCGCTAATTGAGCAGATATTTCTTTTGAAAATTTGCTAAAAACGTATCCAGACTTTGTTTGGTTATGGTTGGACACTATAGATATCCTATCTGCCAAACGAGCACAATTTTGACACTCAATGACGTCTGAAGCAGATACAGCAAGGCCCTCCTTTCGAAGCATAGAAGCCACTTGAACTGCATTTATGCTATCCAATCCAAGCTGGAATATGCTTGTATCATGACGAATCTTTTGAATCGGAGTTGATGAGAGACCCGAAAGCACCTGGCGAATCTTTGATTGTAGTTCTGTCCATTCTCCAGCGCTCTGGTAATTCTCTGCTATTTTGACGTGTGCTTTTCTTTTTGCGGTAACCGTATTTAATATGGGCAGATAAGAAGGCTTTATGTCGCCTTTACTCGGTATAGGTGATGAAGGATGGTCTAGAATAGTTTGAAAGAATAATTTGAATATCTCAGTAAATGCCAATGCAACATCTGCGCTCACAGCGCTCTTGTCATAATGCATATTGATACTCAGTGAGTTCAAGCCCGGGCGTGGAATAACTTCGCAGACAATTGGAATATCCATCTCGCCATAATCCTCTTCCAGAGACCATAAATCGCCGTCCATATCGTGAGATGGATTTTGAAGGAGCAATAACGTATCAAAGAGTCCCAAGCCTTCCCTTGTAACGAGTTTCTGGATAGACCTTAGAGGCGAGAATTGGAACATTTGGAAATTAGAATTGAGATGTTGAAATGATTTGGCGAGATCAATGTTGCGGGAAATGGTGGAAACATCTTGCCTAACGGGAATCGTGTTAAAACAAGGCGCGACTAGTCTATCCAGTCCTTCGATATCTAGACTGCGGCCATTCATCACCAGTCCGAAGCAAATGTCAGTAGAATTCGAGGAAACTGCAAGAACGTCTGCCCAGGCAGCCTGACACACTGACAGTAAAGAAACTCCGAGGGATCTAAGTCTGTCTTTCATCTCATCGTATGGTGCTTGCAGTGTATCTTGATGTATGCCTTGGAAGCTCTGAATCTTTGACGAATTTGAGAAGAGACTAAAAGGCGAGTATCCCCTAAAATGAGTTTCCCAAAATTTCTCGGTATCGTCGGGCAATCTAAGCGCCTCTTGAAGAAAGGGAGAGTAAGAAACAGGCGGAAGCATTGCTTTGCCATTCGCCAAAGACTCCACTTCTCTCCAAAGGTTTTCCATTGCCACGCCATCGTAGAGCGCGTGGTGGCATATGAAAGATAAATATGTTGACCCTTGTTGTTGTATAATTGCAAAAGATGATGGAGGAAATTTAGTATCTAAGGGATCAGGAAGGCCAGCTAAGTGCTTCCGAATAGCCTCATCGAGAGAAGACCCATCAACACTGAATTCCTTCCACTGAATGGCCCAGTTATCCAGAATCACCTGAGCTATTGGAAACCTGACATTTTCAGTGGTGATAAAACACGTTCTGAGAATGCCATGGCGTCTTGTCATCTCATCCCAATAGGCCCTCATCTCATCAACATGGCCATAGAGGCGAAGAAGTGTTCTATTATAATAGCCACCATGTCCTTGAGCCAACATTGCTTCCTGAAGAGGAGAGCATGGCAGCACTTCAGCAATGGAATATGGCTCTTGTTGAAAGATTCCATGGACTTCTTTTATAAAAGAATCAGAAAAGAAATCCACATGCTTCTTTGAGCGATTTGTTTTTGGGCTCTCATCAAGAAAGCGCGCAAGCTGCGCGACAGATGGGTTCTGTAATAATGCCGAGATAGGAACTCGGCGATCTAGCTGTGAATTTAAAGTGCGAGATACCCCAATTGCTGATATCGAGTCCAGTCCAACTGTCACAAATGGCGTCCATCGGCCAATATCAGACCTAAGCACCCCTAAAGACTGAGCGATGATATCTGCTATCATAATTTCCGTTTTAGTCCATTCGATATCATCTTGAGCCGCCACAGCGCTCGAAACGCTCTCAAGATACTCTTGAGAGAGACTATCGAAAGAAGACTGCAGTTTCCGTCGGTCAACTTTTCCGCTCGATGTGAGAGGTATGCGGGAAATAGGTATGACGTATGAAGGTATCATATAAGAAGGTAGTTTTGATAGTAAGGTAAGGAATATAGAGCGGTGAGTCTCGATATCTGGCTCCAAGGCTTCACCTTTTTCCTCGCTTGTCCTGTGTGAAGTAGTATAGAACGAAACAAGCTGATCGGTTGCTCCTTTGTCTCTCCTTAATATCAAAGTTACTGCAGAGTGGACAGATGATATCCGGGTTACCACGCTGTTGATCTCGCTGGCCTCAATTCTTTGACCCCTGAGTTTAAGTTGGTCATCAATTCGACCCAGAATTATCAGCGATTTGTCTGGAAGCATTCTTCCCATGTCTCCAGAACGATAAATCAGGCCATATTCAGGGTGCGGGATGAATTTTTCCGCAGTCAAATTGGGCATATTGAGATATCCATCAGCTACTTGGTCTCCACCAAAGCAAAACTCTCCGATCCAACCAATTGGAACTGTTGCAAGGCTATCTGGATGAAGCACGAACACTGATGTGTTTGGGAAACACCATCCTAGATGTTCAATATACTCGCCATACTTCATTCTTTTGACGCTGCAAATATTTGTTGTCTCTGATGGTCCGTATCCTTGCCATAGTAGTTCGCCCCACGTATCAAGAACTGATTGAGTCATAGGCTCTCCTGCTGTAACAAGAAACTCTACATCAGGTACGTTCTTCGGGTCAATCAGAGATGCCACCGTAGGCGTCAAGCTCAGATGCGTAATTTGGAACTGACGAATCGAATGCTCTAGATCTTCAAACAAATCGTCATTGGTAGCAGCGCAGAGGCACATACCAGCGTGCCAGGCAAAGAATATCTCAAATACTGAAACATCAAATGCTTGTGAGCAAGCTTGTAATAGTCGGGGATCTTTCTTCAGGGCAGCGGGATATATAGATGCAAGATACGTGACATTGCTAACAATATTCTTCTGACTGACAGCTACCCCCTTTGGTACGCCCGTGGTTCCTGAGGTGTAAATCACATAGGCCAGTCTAGATGTATCTGGTTCTATGTCCAAGTTGTGATGCGGAAAATTCTTCAATGGGGCTGACTCGACGTTCAAGTATTGAACATTAGCTACATCATGTAACTTGTGCAGTGACTCCTCATCTACAATGCACTGCCCTATGCTTCCGGATTTAAAAATCTCCTTCACTCTCTCGATTGGTGTGGATGGTAGAAGAGGGAGATACGCGCATTTGGCCTTGGCAATGCCCAAGATTGAGGCGTATAGTAGAGGCGATTTTTGCATAACAATGGCAATAACTTGGCCTGGCTCAGCACCTTGCTCAAGCAGGAAGCGACCGATTTGATTGGAGAGCTGATTCAAAGACTCATACGACAATGTTTCAGCAACTATTGGGATATCTGAGAGTGATCTGCTGAAACAGACGGCATCTGCGTGGGGAGTTTTCGCGGCTGCAGCTTCGAACAGCAAAGCGAGGTCTGTCTCTTCCTGTAACCTTTCGGGATCTGTATTTGCAACAGACGCCTCAGTCTTTATTGCTTCTTTCAGCTCCCGAACCAGCCTGTTAGGATGGTGCATTATATGCTGAGCAACCGCTCTCAGCTGCTCAACCAGCATTCTCACGACATCTGATGTAAACGAATCAGTATGATGTGTAGCCTGTATAGAAAATCCAAATTCATTCGGTTCCACCTCTAGTAGAAGTTTTGTTTCCAGCCGGTCTAAATGTCGAGTTTCTCTGATAATCGCCTCTTTGCGATTCTTTGTATATAAAGATTCTTGGTAAACGAATAGCACGTCGTATAAGCTTTCGGTCGCCTGCAACCTGCAAAGCTTCTTAATTTCTGATAATGGAAGTACGCAGTGCTCCATGATCTTGTGATTGCTCTCGTTTATATCTCTTAAAACGTCAGGTATTGTAATTGAGTGATCTATTTTCACTCGTAGAGGAAGCGATGCTATGCTGGGTCCAATAATCTCTTCAATGGCTTCAACAGGAACTGTCCTCCCAGATGTCACTGAACCCAGCAGGACATCTGATGTGCCCACAATACTCCCCCATATGAGTGCAAGAGCTGCCTGAAAGCATACCTGGGCCCTATGTCCCGTCTTTTCAAAGACGCTCTGAATCACATCTGAAGAAATATTGAATTGCTCCTTGACAAATATTATCTTATCAAACTCAACCGGTCTAGAGCTCAACTTTGGGCGGCTAGGCTTATTCAAATCAAGGAGATATTCGGCCCAAAAGGATCTTGCGGCATCTAGCTGGCTTCTTGGAATGTTGTGCACATACTTGAGCAGATTTGAAAACTGCGGTCGATGAGACAAGGGCTTTTCGTATAATAGGTCGGACAAATCTGAAAGTATAATGTCCATTGACCAGCCATCATAGATGGCATGATGGATATAAATCAGAATACGCGACTCTGTATCAGACTGGGCCGGTTGAATCTGTATTCGAAGGGGCCGAAGGAGCGCTTCATCTTGAAATATCTCCGGTTCATAAAATTTGTCAACAATCTGTACTTGGCCAGGCCGCAATGATTTGAATATTAGCGATACAAAGCTTCCTTCCCAGCCAACAAACCCTGACCGCAAGACATCTCTTTGCTGAGCCAGCAGATGAATGGCATCCTCTATTGCGGCTGCAGTAATTCCAGGATTTATTTCCAGCTCAATCTCGTTCCAATAAGATTCCGGGTGCTGTGCTGTTTCTGATAACATGGCCCCTTGAAGTGGGCTGCACAGAAGCACATCTTCCACTAGCTCCAGATTCTCCTGTATACCAGCATTATTCTCGGTGATCGAGCTCAAGCTCTTCATCAAATGGATATCAACTAAGTCGGACTCTTTATCAGAACAGGGTGATAGAGGCCGTAGTCTAGAACACAGTTGCGCTATTGTATGCATACTCAGCAGTTCTGCCACGACTGCATCATATCCAGCTGACCGAAGCGACGACGCTAATTTGATGGCAGCCAACGAGTCCACACCTGCTGAAGCCAGAGTCATGCTAGGGTTTATTTCAACACCCAAGGTACTTGACACGATGCTCATCACAGCATGCTCCGCGTCAGACAAACTGATTAGAGAATCATTGTTATCAGTCATGGCCGCCGCTTTCTGTTCAACAAAATCTGCTTTCAGCTTCTTCGTATCAACTTTACCACTCGGCAGTCGAGGAAATTCATCCATTAATACCAGTTCTCCGGGTATCATGAATTGTGGGAGCCAGCTCCGGCAACATCCCATTATCAAATCTTCGGTTACGCCAGTATCCACAACGCAGAAGGCAATCAAGATAGAGTCAACCACCGCCGCAACAGCCAGATGACAGCCAGGGGTTTTCAGTATGGCAGATTGCACTTCGCCCAATTCCAGTCGCTGGCCTCGAAGTTTTACCTGGCCTTCGGATAAGCGCCCAAAAATCTCTATCGTTCCGTCGCTAATGATTCGCGCCTTATCTCCAGTCCTATAAATTCGGCCATATGGTGAAGATATGAAAGAGGAAGCAGTCTGTTCTTGACGATTCAGATACCCGTCGGCAAGTTGGTGACCACCCACTGCTAATTCGCCGACTTCTCCTCTGGGTAAGAATTTGACATTTCTGCCCTTGTCTGCAGGCTCTACAGGCTCGACTATAAAGCATGATACCGTGGACAGTGGAATACCAATGTTTTTTATTGATGAGGTAGAGGTAAATTTTTCTTGTACAGTGCTTATAAATACATTAGAAATTGTCTATTTGAGAATAAAGATGAAAAAAGAACTTACCAGTGGATGGTGGCTTCAGTTGGCCCGTACATGGCCCATAGCAGACTCTCTCTATTCTCGCTTCCTCCGAATTCTCGTATTACAGGCTCATTGAGCATCTCTCCAATTGTCAATAGTAGCCGTAATTTTGGGACGTTTTCTCTTGTCCGCAAAAGACTAGCCGCGACAGTTGGGGTCAGCTCGCAAGCATCCACATTCATTTCTGAGATGACTGCCGGCAAATCGTTCAACATCTCTCTTCGGTCGACACTGACCAATGTACTCCCTCGAAATAGTGGGAAGAAGATCTCGAATACCGATACGTCAAAGGTGGGGGCGGCAAATTGAAGAAAGCGAGAGAACTCAGGCACATGCTGATCATGGGCTAGCAATGCTTGTGTTACTGCAGAATGCGATATGCCAACCCCCTTTGGAACCCCTGTTGAACCAGAAGTGTACATGACATATGCTAAGTCTTTTGTGCTTGGAGCACGCCGACTCACAGAGCCCACATCTAAGTAAGTCTCTTCCTCTCCTTCATCAACTAGAAGCACATTTACGGTGCTCTGTGAAGGTATATTCGAGGCGAGCTCTTTGGTCGCCACGACAACTGTCGCAGCAACATCGCCAAGAATGAAGTTAACCCGATCTAGAGGGGCATCGACATTGATGGGACAGAATGCGCCGCCGGCTTTAAGAATAGCTAACAAAGCTATGTATAGCTGTGGCGACTGATGAACCAGAACTGGAACCACAAACTGGTCTTTAGCCTCTCCAACGGCACGACATATTTGGCATGCAAGGGCATCGGCCGCATCATGAAGTTGGCGATAAGATAAAGAACGGCGTGTATTTCTTCCTAGGTAGTCCAGAGCTATTGAGTCGCTCGATTCTCTGATTAGATGATGCAGGAGATCTGGACCAGCCAATAGCGTTGGGTGTGGGTTGAGCACTGACAAGTCAGCGGGTTCTCCCATTTTGCCTGTTGTTCGTGCGTGTACTTCGTCTTCATGCAAAGATTGTCGGGAAATCTAACAAGATACCCTTTTCTGCTAACTAAGTGCTGCTTACCGCAATCGCGGCAATAAAGTTCACAAAACTGTCAAGCCGCATCTACCTATGAGAGTATGCTTGTATCTTTATGTGAAATAGCGTTACGTTCGTTGGTCAAGTTCAGATGGCCCCCATGCACGATTTAGCCAAGATCGAACCACGCGACCACCAAATGTCTATGTCTTAATTTCAATAGAGAGAACTAATTGATTAATATCAATTGGCGTGCCGTTGATTCGCCCAATAGGCCTTCGAGGCGACTCGTGATTACTGCTCAAAGGTAATGCGTTTAATCGTGCATGAGCTGGGGCTGAAGCGAACCTCTCAGAACGGCGGAATTAATCAGCAAAGCGTAACAGGACGCAGCGACTGCCAATCGAGTCTTTGGTTTGCGAACTGCGGTAGCCACTTGCTGTCATGCTGTGCTGATGCACGAAAGATGTGTGCTTTAGTGTGGTTTATAGTTTCTCCAAATAGTCTCTTCGCCATGCAGCTGTAGTCCTGTTCCTCGTATAACAACTAACGGAGTTCGGGCGCCGTGAGGACATGTATGCAACGCCTTGTTCGCCTTAGCCTAAAGGCCGAACTAATAGTGACAAGCCGCGAAAGTCACGATGGCGTCACAAGTGTAGGTGAAATCGCTCTTCCAACCATGCAATTTGGGAGGAAGATGGGCAGACATAGACAGCGACGTAAAATACGATATCCTACAAAGTTAAAAGCAGATCCTTATTAAGGCCAAACCAGGGCACTAGCTGGGTGAACACGGCATCTGACTCGAAGAGGGGCGGCCGCCTTGTCTGACATGAACCAGCGTTAAAAGTGATTAGTTGCGTGCGATTCCATACTAGATCCGCTGTTGACAAGCGCGAGCGAGAGAGACTCCAAGGGCAGATATGCCGAGAATCCTCTGTAGAGCCACCATACTATGTACTAGTATCAAAGTACTCAAGTGGGGGCTCTCGGCTTTTGCCATTTCACAAGCAACGAATTTACGATCCCCTCTCTGGCGATTGCGCGTCCTGTCCTTGCGAGTGCAAAGTACCTGCAAGGGAAGGGCGCTGCTCGCTGTTCTCGGCGTCTGTGGACTGGCGGTGATTCACTCAGCCCTCGGCGGAGATAATGAGGGGCCGTCAAAGAAGGGCTCGAAAGAAATCCTGGCTCGGCTCTTAGTTTTCAAAGGGAAATGAAGAGGAAAAATTTTTCCCATCTGCGGTGCAGGGCCCTTGGGCTGTATGTATGTATGGTAAGCGGATGAATGCGGATCCAACCACAGGACTTGATCTTATCTGATCCGGTTTTTATCAGATCATCAGATAATTCCCTCAGTTGATCTCCACTCTGCTTGACTCTGATGGGGCCTGCCTCCGTCCTCGCAGCCGCTTCACCCTTTAGACGCCTGAAAGAGGATTATTTTAAATGAATCACGGGTGTCGCAACTCGGTATCGGCCCATGGATCGGCCTTTATGCGGAGGATCAAAAGCAGTGGATTGGCTCATTTGAATTTCGATCGCCTCATGGAAACCTGTGCAGGCCGTATAAGAAAAATTGCATCAGCCCACGCTATAGTCGCCAAGAAGAAGCGGACTTGATTAAGGCCTCTTTAAGAAGGTCGAGATCTACATTCGAAAGTAGATTGTTTAGAACGGGAGAGAAGGCAGAGGAAAGAGCTGGTGGTAGAAACACGATGATGCTCCAAGATGGAAGTGAAGCTTTTTTTTCCTCCCACGGCCGAATCGTTCAGAAAACATGTCCCCGTCGGCATAAAAATGAGAGATGCAGTTGACGGGCGACAAGCCATTGCCGTGATCTAAGCGACCCATGTGTAATTAGGCAAAGAAACCATCCCACTGTTGAGGTGCACAGGGCTTCGAATGGGCCCATGCAACCCATGATATATGCATACCTGCCTGCACTAGCTTCCAAGCTACACTGTGTACGTTGTGATCCCCGTCCGGCATTGGACCACGCAGCCGTCGTTCATGTGTACTTCTCCGCTCGAGTATCCATTAAGCGGTTGGTCTCGGGTGTCTGTGACACCTTTGGCACGGAATCCGAGTTGATAGAGGCGAGACTAAAACCCTGTTTCTTGGGACAGGCACCGCGATGTGGCGAGTATAATTCTCTGCTGCTCCCACTGCCGCCCTCCCACACTTGACAAGCTTTCCAGCAACATCGCCATTTTAGCGTCGCCAGACAGCACCACCAGCTAGGTGATAAGAGTTGTTTGCTGAGCCGTCCTTGCATATTAGACGTTACTCAAAAGAAAAAGGCAAACATTAGTGTTCATCAATTCTCACCTTTTCTTCTTTTTTTCCTTCTGGATTGCATTTCCTTCTTCTCCCACTCTCTAAGAATAGCGCCGCTTCAATAGTTGCGGCCCTTCTAAAACGTCACCATTCTATCACCCGAGGCGAAATTATAACTTGCCTATACGCGACGTCACTATGGCCCCTCACAGCGAGGCTACACTCACCGACCTTGGTACTCCAAATGGCAGTGAACCGAGTACACCCAATGGCAGCGAGCATGCTCACCAGGGCAATGCCTTTCATAGCTCCTTGATTAGTTCAATTGAGCAGAATAACAGAAGCTCAGTACCACATACCAACGGCCGCCAGTCTGAGATGAAGACGCAGGGGCAGAGATCGCCGTATTTGACGCAGTCAGACCCAGATTCTGAGTTTGACCTCATCTGCGTTGGATTCGGCCCTGCGAGTCTGGCCATAGCTGTCGCTCTTCATGATGCGATCGCTTCAGGACAGCAGCTGCTTCCGAATGGCTCATCCCCCAAAATCCTCTTCATTGAGAAGCAGACACGCTTTGCCTGGCATGCCGGCATGCTTCTCCCAGGCGCAAAGATGCAAATTTCCTTTGTCAAGGATCTTGCGACTCTGCGGGATCCGCGGTCTGAGTTTACATTTCTCAACTATTTGCATCGCAATGGAAGATTAGTGGATTTTACCAACTTGGGCACCTTCTTGCCAGCACGTGTTGAGTACGAAGACTATCTTCGATGGTGTGCGTCTTTCTTCGAACACCTCGTTCAATATGGCCAAGAAGTTGTCTCAGTCTCTCCAGAAACCAAGACAGGAGACTCAACTCGCACATTTGCGGTCCGGTCGAGAAATCCCAAGACCGGTGAGACTCTCTCCTTCCGTGGTCGCAACGTGCTCATTGCAGCGGGTGGACAACCAAACTTCCCCAAGAGCTTCCCAGCTAAGCACCCACGGATCATCCATTCTTCTCAGTACGCATACATGGTTCCAGAGATTCTTTCCAAGAAGGATGCTCCGTATCGCGTTGCTGTTCTTGGTGCAGGCCAAAGTGCTGCAGAGATTTTCCACAACATCCAGACGTTGTACCCCAACTCAAAAACCGCGCTGGTGATGCGACCCGAATTTCTGAAGCCCAGTGACGATTCTCCCTTGTGAGTTTACCTTAACCCCAGGCTCGTGGATGGTTTCTTGAAGCGATGGTGAAAAAAATCTAACATGGCGAGCAGCGTCAACTCTGTATTCAACCCTGAATATATCGACACACTCTTTCCCAAGTCGGCAAGGCATCGCAACAACTTCTTGACTGAGGCTCGAGCTACCAACTACGGCGTCGTAAGGCTCAATCTCATTGAAGAGATGTACGAGCGCCAGTATGATCAAAAACGAGAACTTGGCCCCGACGAGAAGAAGTGGCCTCACAGAATCATGGGTGGCCGACAGATTACAAGCATTGAGCCGCGTGGGGATGCCTTGGAGCTTAAAATTCAGCACATCTCAGACAGCGAGTTTGAAGGATTTGTCGATCTCGTTGACGAAGAGACTCTTGAGGTAGACCTGCTGATTGCCGCTACCGGCTACCAACGCAATGCACACGTCGGCATGCTCCGCGATACATGGGACATGCTGCCCAAGGCTTCACCAGTTGGCCAGGAATATCACAAGGGAATTACTGGATGGAAGGTCGAGACTGACCAGGGAGAGCGCAAACTGGCTGTCTCTCGAGACTACCAAGTCCAGTACAAGCCTGGGTCTGTGGCAAAAGACTCCGGCATATGGCTCCAGGGCTGCTGTGAAGGTACTCACGGGGTAAGTCGACACATGTTTAATGAGAAAATATCTGAGGAGCAGCAACGCTAACAGTAGGCAGTTGAGCGACAGTCTCTTGTCGGTGCTGGCAACGAGGTCAGCCGAGATTGTGAATTCAATCTTTCCCAGCAGCAAATGAGGAGTGGGGGACGAGATTGAATGCAAATTGAGCCAGATACCCAAGAAAATAAGTCTAATAAAGCCAAGACTTAAGACGACTCTCCTGAGCGCTGTCTATGGCGTAGCAAATGGAGAGTTCCGATGAGATTCGCGGCGGAATGCTGCGACCGATTAGCAACTGATGTGCAGTGCAAAACACATACCCTCCGTTTACTCACACAAAGCAAACCTAAAAGTAAATAGAAATAAAAAAATCACCTTTTCTACGGTTCCTCACTTTCTGTAGTCTCGTCCATAACTATGAGTTTTGTAACGAGTGTGCGTTCACAGCTAGGCCAAACTTCTTCGCCCCAGTTATGGGGGATTTAGGGTAGGACATGATGCACAGTCGAGCAACGGCGAACAGCGCACTCAACGTCGCTGGTTTGGAAATTGAGGCTGCAGATTCTTGAATTGGTTAAAAAAAGAGAAGATAACAGAAGTCCGTATCAATTCCGAAGGATTTTGCCACCGCCTGGATATTCAATATACGTGGGTAGATAGGTAGGTAAGCAGTTCTGGACTGGCAAGTGCTCGAGTCTTGGCAGCTTCCTTCATTACATCTCACTGATCTCAGCTGGTTACACGGATTTGAGCAGATGTACCTGCTACGCAGAAAATAACACGCCGGGTACTCTGAACTATGTAGTGGGATCACAGACGCTGCAAACACGTGCATGAACGAATCTTGCAGCAAGCATGGAGGTAAGCATACCTACTAATTATACTAGGCAATAGTAAATAAACACCTGATAGCCCTCGCACTTGATGCACGGCGCATTCAAAAATTGATGTCTTTTGTTTTGATTCCTCGCTCCCATCTATCATTAGCTTTGGGTGGCTATCGATTCTTGTGGCGCTCTAATAAAGAGACCCCAGACAGACTCGCTGCTAAATACAGCGTATAGACTATTGATTGATAGCTATAGTACCTACCTTATGAGATGCCAAGCAAATGGATGTATTCAGTGCAGACAGAGAGAGTCCTGATCCAAGACAACATATTGAAGATGCGAGAAGAGACTTTAAACCTACCTAGGTACCTAGGCACTTGTTAGTATTTATCCTCCATAAGAATAGGCCAACGGGTTCCGCGGGGACTCCAAACTCTCTACAAATGCCATGCCAGCGATAAGGTTGCTCGTTTGCTTGAGAGTGAAAAATTCCATGCCCAAGGACGATGGCCGAATTGGACGCGCAATGGAGTGGATGCCAGACGCATGGTGACGCGAGCGCCGATGGGGTAAAAGCTGCAAGGAGACGTAATTGGGCCTCGTGCCTTGCGTTAGCAGCTGACAAAATAATTGAAAAAAAAAAAAATTTGTTGCAAAGAAGTAGATTGGACCGATTATTGAGGCCATCATCAGTTTTGCAAGTCGCCTACAATGCTCTACTATTGCTACTGTCACCGCATTCATGTGTGTTGTTTTATGGTCGTGGCTGTGTAGAATCTGCTGCATGCACGATTCCACGATCTAAGCCGGTCAAGGGCTGTGCTGTTCCCGCGGTCTTCGGTTCTCTCCATTCTCTACGCTGTGCCTGGCAGCTGTGGACTAGGTATAGCAGCATTAGGAAAAGCCCACATGTGCGCTCCCAAAGAGGAAAGCTGTATGCAAACCACTCCCCGGTTCTTTTTTAGTTATGCTTGTTTAATTTGTTTTTTCCTTGTTCCAATCTTTTGAGCTATCAGCCCTGTTGGCGAGATTGGTCAGAAAAACGTCGAGGCCGCGAAGGCCATTGCGTAGGTCCTGCGGGAGAATTCGTCACCGTTACCGCAAGAGCGCGCCAGGTTTGGCGAGTCGCAGCGTCAATGGCCCCGGCGATGCGCTACGTCTAAACAGAGTTAGCCACGAACCCGCCCGTCAGAAGAGCGCTGGAGCCTTACACCACGGTGCGTGTTGGCGGCATGGCCCTAACAGGGTTCGGCGGTTTGGGGATGTGGACGCTGGAGCTGCCAGAACAACGTGGGGGAGCCGCTGTGGCTGCACCCTATCGGAACCCTCCACGGCGGGCGGCCTTGTGCGAGCACTGTAATAGGGAGCTTGTAGCGCTATACGGGCAATACGAGTCTGGCTGCATAACATCAAATCCATCAATCCAATGGTCAATGTACATGGAGGTATGTATACCGTGGTTCTCCAGCAAGGCGCAGACTCAGCAAGGAGGATTCCAATATAGGAGTCAAGTCAGCTTGAATGTCATTTTCCATCTCCTTTCTTTCCTGCGGCATTCTATTGGATAGCCGCATAGTAACGTTCCCTCGCACTCCGGCCACTGTACAGCCCTTTTGAGGCGCATCCAGCACAGCTGCTCGATCCCAGAACCACAGCACTGTTGGCACTAATTCGGGGCTTACCACCCGCTATAGCGCCCTAGTCGCATCCTGTCCATCTCATCACCCACTTTTTAGCCTCTCCCCGCGCTCGATGTCCAGAAAAGGGCCAGGCCGGAGATGAGTCGAGCACATGTCGAGGTCCCAGCCTTGCGAGGCGACTTTTGCTGTACACGAGGCCGCATGACGATGAGACACGGATCGACCGATGGGAGCTGACTGGGCGGTGACCGGTCCGGGCGAGAAGCGCCATGAAAGGCTGTCGATGATGGAGAGACTGTGACGACGCAAGACGACGACGCCAGACCAGGTCCTGAATGTGACCACACTGGCGGGGGTTGGTCTGTTTGCTTCTCGTCGACTGCTGCTGCTGGTTCACTCATCAGCGTGTAGTGACTCGGGGGAACTATCGCGATTGACATACGTACGCATCCACATACGTACGTGCCGCTGCTGGTTACGGCCCACAGACAGCCGCATACAAAGGTATGACTCCTGCATGCGGCCTTGGTCTTGAGCTTGGGGGTCATTTCAGATATCTTGAGCCAGTCTAGAGCTTCTCCATCGTCCATCGAGCAGTGGCTTGACTTCACTGTTAGAGGCTCACCAACAACTCGCCAACAATGCAGCTTGACAGTGGCGACGGCAGACGGCCCTCGGCCACCCAGCGGCTGCCCGTCAACCCTCGCCGGCACAAAGTAGCCCCCGAGCAGCGCAAGAGAGTTGCTACCGCGTATGTGCCGTTGCCCCCCAATTCCACATCATTCAAGGAAGCTCCTTTGCTGACCTGCCCTCTTCTCGCAAACCAGATGCAACAGCTGTAATGTGCGCCGGGTCAAATGTTCAGGCGGAACTCCTTGCGGCCAGTGCGCCGCTTCTAACCGCGAATGCGTCTATCCCGTCCCAGTCGAAAAAGTCAGCGTGCCACGCGCCGAGATAGAGGAGCTGCGAAAGAAGGTCGAAGTGTATGAGCGAGCGCTGCAGGAAACCATCCCTGACCCCGCCAGGAGGCAGGATTTGATCAACCATGTCTCTTCAACACCCGAGGGACCGTCACCGTCCCCTCTTCCTGTTAGTCCGAGTCAGTCGTATCCATCGGAAAGCAGCCACCGTCAGGCCAGCTCCTCGGTCAAGGCCGAGTCGGAAGATGAGCAGACAACTGGTCGTCTCCTCCAAGACCCCGATGGCACGGCGCGCTTCCTCGGAGAGACCAGCGGGGCTACTTTCCTTGACCATTTAAAAGAGCTCCTGGGAGCCGTACTACCCCTGTCTCAAGTAGAGCCGCAGTTATCTCAAGACCAAGATGGAAGCGCCTTTTTGTCGAGCTTGGGAAGATACTACACCGACGATTCTCGCCCCTTGGTTGAGCTTGAGCCTCAGCCAGTGCCGCTACCCCTGGATGAAGACCTCGCCACTTTGCTGTCAAAACTGAGATACTTGATCCAAGATGGAAACGGCGAATGGCCGAGCGGCGGCATCTATTGGTGGGGAGAGCTGGACACACTTCCCGCTCACATAGGGTCATCTGCTTCAGACGCAAACTTGAACGACCATCGCTACTTGGCATTCTACCATGCCGCCCTAGCCCTCATCACCAGAGCTAACGCCCCGTCTCAGGAAGTCCAAGGTAGTGCTTCAACATCTTCGCTTAGCGAAGCGTACTTTGCCCATGCCTCAGCTCTCGTAGGCAATCCTTTGGATATAACTCGCTGCTGCACAATGGGAGATGTTGCCACGCTATGCCTTATGTCAGCCTATTTGATCGAGATGAATAGGAGAGATGCCGCCTATATGCATGTCGCGGCTGCCATGCATATCTGCATCCTGCTGGGTGTCCATCGGGGAATGGTTGACGAGAGAGGCAAGCGAGTATTTTGGACCGTATATATCATGGATCGGTGGCTGAGCTGTCTGATGGGCCGCCCGCACGTAATCATGGACGATGCCATCCGGCTTCAGCTGCCAGAAGATGCTCCGTAAGTAGATTTCCCTTTCTTTTCTTCTTCTTCTTCTTCTTCTTCTTCTTTTTTCCCTTCCCCCCTTTTCCTCCCTTTCTTCTCGTAGCCGATATTATCCTCCAGTTGCATCGATATATGCTTATATGTTGTTATAGATCAATGCCCCCTGCTGCAGGGCTGAGGGCTCACGTTGAGCTATCCCGTATTTCCGGTTATGTCGTCTGCAACACGTATCGCGTGGCCCCATGGGAGGCATCTCGAGGAGGATTGTCCAGGCAGCCGGACAAGGCCATTTGGATGCTTCAGCAGTGGCAGTCGACGCTTCCACCACGTCTGCAGCTCTCTCCTGACGGGCTAAGCAATGACCCTGCCTGTTGCTTCCTCCACATGAGATACAACATGCTCCTGATTCTGGCTATTCGGCCTCTGTACTTGGGTGCCGTGAAGAGATCGATAGCCAAGCGTCTCATGTTGCAGACAGTCGATTCTTACACGCACTCGGAGCACTTGCAGCTGTGCATTGCGGCTGCACGTCGTAACATCCGCCTCGGACGTCAAGTGAGGGCGCTGAACATTGCTCGCAAGTCGCCCCTGCACTCAGAACAGCATTACTCCTTCAATGCCACCGTCTGCCTCATCCTGGAGGACTTGATCTCCGATGAGGAAGTGTCAGAAGAGGAAAACGAAGCGAGAAACAGAGATATTCTGTTTGGCATCGAAGTAGAAGAAGAGGGCCTCACCAATTTTGGCCAGACGTCGTCCAACACGCTGCGCCACCTATGGACTCTGGCTCGCAGACTGACGGGCTCGATAGGGCAGACTCAGGAGGTTGGCAATGCCCAGCTGGTTGAGCACCGACTTGCCCCGCCGATGATGACGACGCTTCCGGGCTACTCAATGCCGCGCATGCAAACTGGGGAAGACCATGCCCTTTACGACGAGTTAGTGGCCTGGGTAGACGACGAGTGGCCCGTCTACAGCACAGGAATGTACAATGGTTTTATGCAGTGATGGGCGATGAATTGATGAATGAATGGCGGACAGAGGCCTCCAAAGAGCTGGCGAATGCATTTTGAATTGGCGACATAGCGACGATACCTATCTAGTTTTGTTTAGTGAGCATTTACGACTGCCTTGGATATAGAGCATGTTGAGCATGGATAAAGAATTATCCTTTGGATGAGAAGAAAATAAGATTATATTTTTTACAAAATAGATTACCCACAGGCTGTTGTCCATAACCATGTGCCGGGCTTTCAATTACAATCTGTGGTAGCAAGGATCTATTGCGAGTTTTGGGCGCTAGAGGCCATCTTGCGGCTATCGCTGCACTACACGCAGACTAAAGCTACCACGGCAGTTAATTGTCCGTAGCAGAGCATCTTCAAATGCTGTAAATCAACTGCCCAAAAGTGAAAATACAGCAATAGTTTTGAAATAAACGCTCTAAAGTAAAATAGATAAAATGAAATAAAATAAAATAAAATAAAATGACTCTCTCTATTCCCGACACGACAATTGTATCACTGTCATGGCTTAGAGCAACTGAAAGAAAGTTACATTACCTGCTTCAGCGTCATGTCACGCCACACTCTCCAGAATTCATTGTAATGTTGCAACATACCCAACCCGCCTATTAGTTCTAGACATCTCGACCGCTAAATCAAATCTTCACAATCCACAGACATCCTAATCATCCTACTACTGTTTGAGTAACAATGTCTTTACTTAAAAAGAGTGCCGTAGCAGTCAGCTTCATCTTCAAATTCCCAGACGGCGATGTATTGCGCAGGCCGCAGGTTGCGCTGTTCCGCCGCAGCGGGCAGGTGAATACATATACGTCAGTATAGTTACCAATGTCATGTTCTCATCCCGTCTTTTCCAACTACACACATCAGCATCGTGCACCATTATTGCCTCTCGTATGTAGAATCATGAATGAAAAAAAGCGTATTAGTAACTCTCATTGGCAGACACAAACTCGCCCCCATCTCCGGCGGCGTCGATCCCCAGGACGCAAACCCCCTCGCCACAGCATGGCGCGAGCTCCACGAAGAGACCACCCTCACAGCCACTTCCCTGCGGCTCTTCCGCCAGGGCAAGCCGTATTCGTTCGCAGACGCCGACGTGGGCCGCGAATGGACAATCAATCCCTTTGGCTTCATCCTGAAATCCCGCCGCCAGGGCGGCGCCGGCGAAGAGGGCATCAAAATCGACTGGGAGCATGAAGGGTACCAGTGGTTCGACCCCGACCAAGTCACCGACGATGAGGCCTTCCAGGGAGTTCCTCGACTAAAGGAGAGTCTCAGGCGAGTCTGGTTTGACATTGACCTGGGCAGCGAGGCGGGCGGCGTCCTGGCAGCTGGGCTTAAGGCGCTGCAGGAGGACCATGTAAGCGGCGCGAGGGAGCTGGCAGCCAAAGCACTACACATATACCTCGACGTGATTCCGCGAATCGAGACGCATGATGCAACGCTGTGGTGGAAGAATGTCCGGTTCGCGGCATGGCATCTCTGGAAGAACGGCCGGGAAAGCATGGGCGCCCCCATCCTCAGCGTCGTCTTGTCCAGCCTCGACATAATCGAGCAGCATCTTTCTCGCGACACGAGCACCAGCGCTCTATCAGACGACTTTATCAAACAAGTCTGCGCCGCCATCCGCGAGTTTGGAGAGACGAGACGGCAGTCTGGAAGCAAAATCGGAAACACCTTCGCCTCCTTCTTGGAGCAATTCCCCACGGACAAGCCCCTCAAGATCGTCACCCTCTCGTCCAGCTCGACAATCACCTCGTCCATCTCACACGTCCTCTCCTCGGACTCAGCCTCTGCCCGCCCCCTCGACATCCACATCCTCGAATCCCGCCCGCTCTTCGAAGGCGTCAAAGTCGCCCAACGCATCTCCGCCATCGTCCAAACCCGCAAGAATGCCAACAACAACAACAACAACAACAACAACAACAACAACAACAACAACAACAACAACAACAACGTCACAATCACGATTCACACCGACGCCAGTGCAGCCCTCGCCTCTCAGGCCGCACACGTGCTCCTCATCGGCGCAGATCTCATCGACAAATCCGGCAACGTGAGCAATAAGACCGGTTCTCTGCCCACTGTGCTGGCCGCCAGGCATGTTTCCCCGGGCGTCAAGATCGTCGTCGTATCAGAAAAGGAAAAGATCTTGCCGTTTGAGCCGCCTGTGCACGATGAAGAAAACGACGCTGGGGAGCTCATCCGCGGGTGGGGAGCCGTTCTAGGGGCGGAACAAGGATCCGAGGTGAAGTTGCCGGGCGTGACTGTGAAGAATGTGTATTTCGAGTGGGTGCCTGCGACGCTGGTGGATGTCTATCTCACAGAGGATGGCATTGAGGGCACAGAAGATGTGGAAAAGTGGGCAGGAGAGGTGCGGCAAAGGGCCGATCGCTTCTTTGATAATCTTTAAAATCTACATATTTACTCGCCAATTACTATTTGAATTAATTAAGCAACCCATTTGCCATCTATACACTCATCATGACCCTCCCTTCTCTCCCTGCTGCTCCTCTTCTTGAGGCTTCATGCTCGCCAACTGGCTCTGTAGACCCCTTTTCCCAACTCTCATCGCAACCTCCAACTCCCTTTCTTCCTCTCTCAACCTCGCCTTGCTCACAGCCACATCTCTCTCTCGCCTCCTCCGCTGCTCCTCAATCATCCTGTTCCGCTCTTCCAACGCCTTCTCCCTCCTCTCTCTAGCCTCGCGCGCCTTTCTCTGTTCTTCATCCTCAGCCGCAGAGGAAGGATCTTCAGGGGGTGGTGGTAATGTCTGCACGTAGGCTTCGACCAAAGGATCGCGGATTTTAGGCTCGAGAGAGATATATCGTATGTCAGTCAGGACCTGCGCCGGCAAGCCATTTGCAAGCGACTTGTTATTCAAGAGGTGTATGGGCTGTGCTTTGAGGAGGGCTGTGAGGTCGGACTTGAGTGTCGTTTGGGGCATTTTGAGACGGTTAATGTGCTCTCGGTATGACTTCTCTCGATCCTTGTCCGACAGCTTCATGTCCTTCATCGGGTCCTCTTTTCTGTATTTCCTCTTAAACTCTGGCCAATACAGCTTCGGTGACGCCTTTTCCTGCAGAAACGCCATCCACGCAATCTTGGGATCCTTCTTCTCCTGCTTGGCCCGCTGCTCTTTCAGCTCGGCAATCTTCTCCCGCGTCCACTCGTCCCAGCACTCCTTTCGCGCCTTTGTCGTGCTCAAGGCCGTGTAGCGAGGATCCTCGATGATTTTACCCTCCTCCAGAAGTTTGTCCCATGAGCTGTAAGGGTTGATGTTGAGATCGATGAGCATATCCTTGAACAAAAACTTGGCATCTTCTTCTGAAAATTCCACACCCTCTGCACCTTCGGGCCAATCCTCCATATTGCCGTCGTCATAGTCTCCAGGCTCAAGGCCATAGTCTTCACCCATGGCTTGTAGTTGGGCGACAATGTCCGCTTCTGTGAATTCAAGAGGGCCTTTGCCTCCCATTTCGGTCCGTTGTCGCTTCGACGGATGCTCGTCGTCGTCGTTTTCGTCCCCTTCTCGGCCCTCATCCTGACCTTCATCGTCGGTGGCCTCGGCCTCGACCTCCTCGTACATGTATTCATCGCTTTCGTAGTCTCGGTCCAACGCAGCTGTCTTCTCGGCGTCCTTTCTCTCCTGCTCTTTCGATTGATCGTTATCTGTTTCCTTCTTCTCGTCCTCGCCCGCCGTCGAGCCGAGGATCCGCTTCTTGTCCATTTCTAGAATGGCAGGCATGAGTTTCTCAGGTATGCGCCAGTAGCTCGCATTCTTCACCGGGTTGTACACGAAGCGTCGCGAGTACTTCGTATACACCAGGATCCACGGCTCACACCCGGGAATCACTTCTTTTCTCCTGGGCTTGTCCACCGGCTGGGGGCGCGGCCGTCCTTCGAGTCCGCCTCGAGCGCCGCCGCCAAAGCCGCCCCTCTGCGCCTGGGGGGGCGGCTGGTTGAACTGTGCCATGTAGGCATTTGCAACTCTTGGGTCTGAGAGATTCGGAACGGCGCCGTACGGGTTGTAGGATGGCTCGGGCCCGAGTTGGGCTGCGGGCTGGACGCTGGGCCGCTTATACGTGGATTCCTTGGTTTCGGCGTTGTAGTAGTAGGTGTGGCCAGTCGGGGCCTTGTGTTCGGTCCAGCCCGGCGGCAGAGGAGCCAATGGCGCTGCCTTGTGAGTGGATTTGAGCATTTCTTGCTGTGCTGCCGGGAAGAGTTGTGGCAATGGATCCAGCCGATGCGGAGAGCTGTGGCGTGTTGAAGAAAAAAAGGTTGAGCAGCTGGATATTTTTTGGAGCTATGGAAGTTTTGGAAAGCTTCCGGCATTCAACTAGACGCGTCGGCTTAGCAGCTGAGGCAGCGCCTATTATACGCGGAGCCCCTACCGCCGGGGGCGCCGTTTTAGCGACTAGCGCTCACTATGAGTTCAATCCCAGCCTGACTTCCAGGGCTCCCGACTTACACGGACAGACATCACTCGGCTTCCATCTTGCCAAATATGGCAGGCTGATGCATGTATATATATACTGTAGGGATAAAACAAGCTGTATCATCTCGTTTTTAAGAGATTATATCATCACATTAATTAAAGATAATATTCATGAGATTACTCCTGTAACACAGCACTTCAGCTATCCGCCCTTCTGCAGTCCCAGCTTCGCAGCCAAGGCCTCCGCAATGTCCCGCGCAAACCCTTTGTCATTGACATCTCTCTCATCTTCAACTATCTTGATCCCGCTGCCACTCAGTCCTGTTTTAATCGTCTCAAAGAGCACCTTATCCGCCTGGGAGTCCTCAAACGCACCTCCAGGCACCGCAAGCATGCTAACACCTCCCTTGGGAATCCAAACCTCTATCATGTCCGATCTCTTGGTCTTCTTGAGCTTCTCTGCGATGAAGCCTCCGATCTCACGGCATTGCTCTGGCGAAGTCCTCACCAACGTGACAGTCGCATTGTGCTCAAAAATCACCCGGTCCTCGTATTTCTTAGGAACTGTATCCCTTGGGCCAAAGTTGATCATGTCGAGAGCACCAAGAGACACGATATTGGGCAGGCCGGCCTCAACGGCGGCATCCAGTCGTCCTCCTCCCGCCGAGAGAACTCCTCCACCCAGATGGTCGCAGATCTCAGTCGTCGTGAGGTCAATTATTGCGTCGAGCTGGCCTTCGCGGATGAGTCGCTCCATGGCCCTGCCTCCAGTACCAACGGCATGAAAAACATACGTCTCGACAGGGTAGTTGGATTCGAGATGAGCGCGGATGGCATCGACTCCAGGCGTTGTGACGCCAAACATGGTGATGCCGACCCGCCACTTCTTCATGGCCTCTGCCGCCGTGTCTTCCATTTTATTGGCTCGTCTGGCGGCGTGGGACAGAGCCATGTTTGCAATTGACGCCCCGGCATTGCTCAAGATGTCTCGCAGGATGGGATTCAGCCCAGCAACGTCAACGACAGAGTGCATCAGCGTAATGTCCGTCTCACCAACCACGGGCCGTGTATCACCGCTCGCCATTGTCGAGACGATGAGTTTGGGGAGCCCAACAGGGAGGACATCACGCATAACAGCCGCTGCGAGCGCCGTGCCGCTGGATCCCCCGGCGGAGACGATGCCATCAACAAGGCCTGCTCGATATAAATCCTGCACTGCTTTGGAAGCACAACCGGTCATGAGCTCTAGAAGCTCGTTCCTGGGCATATTCGATACATCGGCTCCATCGCCATGTTTGGACAAGAGGTGGGCCTGGGGGATGGTAATGGCCTTGTTGACAACCGGTTTTCGTCCAACGTCTATGAGAAACGTCTCGACTCCAGCAGTCTCTTTGATCTGGTCGCGAAGAAAGAGAAGCTCCTGGAGCTTGGTATCGCAAGTGCCTATGATGACGACATAAGCCATTATGGGCAATTGGCGCAGTGTTGCACTTCTGGCACTCAGAGATTCTCAGCTAATCGCCCGTTTAACGCTTAATGGATGAATGTCAAATATCGACGCTTCAAAGGCGGAGACGGCCAACATGCAGAGTATAAGTAACGAGAACCTGTCATAGGAAGAAAAGACCCGATGCGGGGTTACGCAGGGAAATCTACGATGCGCATCTTGTGAGACGCTGAGAGACACGGAATCCAATGCCGCCGTGCCGATGCCAATGCATCCTTTATAACTACAAGTTAACCAGAAGCTTAGCCAGAAAGCTCGGTGCCAATGCGACCAAAGAACGCAGACAGTGCGGCGGACGGTTTTGAGTTTTGGTGGGGAGTGCGGAATCTGACATCAACGACGGCGAGGGTCTCCACTAGAGATCCATGCCAGTTCTGGATCCGGCCAAAGCTCCAACATGGACTTCTTCTAAGCTGATTCGGGACAGCTTGACTCTTGCAGCTAAAGTCGTTGAAGAGACATAAAGAGGCATAACTTCGAGTTGTGAGGCTCTCTTGAATACAAGGGGTTTTTAAGACTCTATACAAACAAAACAGCTTACATCAGGCAGCAAATAGCCATGGCTCCGCCAACAGACAGAGACAAGATCCTTGCCAGTCTCCGCGCTCGAATCGCCGAGGGCAAATCCATCGTCGGCGCGGGTGCTGGCATTGGCTTGTCGGCGAAGTTCATCGAAGCCGGAGGTGGCGACCTCATCATCATCTACAACAGTGGCCGTTTCCGCATGGCCGGCCGCGGATCGTTGTCCGGCTTGATGCCATACGGGGATGCCAACGGCATCGTCGTAGAAATGGTGAGTAATACCTAGTAGCAGTCTTTGATCCCTATCACCATATGTTCTTCAGTAATCTCTCTCTGTCTCTCTCTTTCTGTCTCTCTCTCTCTGTCTCTCTCTCTCTGTCTCTCTCTCTCTGTCTCTCTCTCTCTGTCTCTCTTATGTGATTGATCAAAACAGCCCTTGCTACGTATCTTCCCTTGTTCTATATGAGTCTCCAAAAAAACTGAATGAGATCCATAGGCAAATGAAGTCCTTCCCGTGGTCAAGCATACACCTGTCATCGCCGGCGTATGCGGCACAGATCCCTTCCGCAACATTCCCACGTTTCTCAAGCAGCTGCGCGACTTGGGCTTTGCCGGCGTTCAAAACTTCCCCACCGTCGGCCTCATCGACGGGCAGTTTCGAGCCAACCTCGAAGAGACCGGCATGGGCTACGACCTGGAAGTCGACATGATCCGGGAGGCCCACGCGCTGAACCTGCTGACGACTCCCTACGTATTCAACGTGGAAGAGAGCAAGAAGATGGCTCGCGCCGGCGCAGATGTCCTCGTTGCGCACATGGGCCTCACGACGAGCGGATCCATCGGCGCGGCCACCGGCAAGACGCTGGACGAGTCCGTCAAACTCATCCAGGAGATTCGCGATGCGGCCGTGGGAATCAACCCGGACATCATTGTTCTGTGCCACGGAGGACCGATTGCGGCGCCGAAAGACGCCGAGTATGTCCTCAGTCGGGTAAAGGGGCTTCATGGCTTCTATGGGGCGAGCTCCATGGAGAGATTGCCGGTCGAGACGGCCATTACAGAGATTACGAAGAGCTTCAAGGCACTGAAGCCGAGGCTGTGAGTTGATGGGAGAAGAGCATTGTGTATTTTTACTTTATTGAATCGTTGGCGATATTTTTATTTGGCAAAGGGGATGAAAACAGCGTTTAGAATGGACAACTGTGTGTTGTAAAAAGCTATTACAAACTCGATTGAACATTAATGCCTTTTAACTCACGAAGCCGCTCAACAACTTACTCCAACACCCATGTTTTCGCCTTTGTTAATTCATTATCGTTTTCAATTCCAACTAATACGAGTAATATCATTTAAAATATGCATCCCTTCGGTTCATCGGACGGCTACACATTCCGTGACGTGTCCCCTGGAAATTTCGCCTAGTCCACGTATGTCACCTACCCTGCACACAGCCCGCCCCATTTTTATACTAGCCAACTGCTGCTATCGCCAACCTCATCCAAACTCAGCCAACAATCGTCTTTTTTCTTTTTTTGAGCTGCTCAGCAAAGCCTCAAATGTACTTATAGCAACGAGAGTCGCCCTTATTTATGGACATGCCGCTTATAAGCTAGACTCTTTGCGCCATCACTATCATTGCCTTTTCGCTGTATTTATCTCATCTACTCGGCGCAAACAATGCCTTCGCGGCGAACGTCCAACACAGGCGACTCGAGCGCCTCAATGGGGCCTCTGGCCAGATTCTGGAGAGTAGGTTGAATTGTAAACATCTTTTTTTTTTTTTCATAGATTGAGAGACAGAGTCGCTAACCATCCATATCTTGTGTGTAGAAAACCCATGCGCCTGATTATGTCGGCTTCGTCGTCCTCCTGGCAGGATGGATGCTGGTGCGTCTCTACATTTTAACGGCCACTGTCACATCACAAACAACATGTACTGACTCCATTTAGATTGTCAACCTCGTTAATCCTTTCCACCGCATGTTCTTCACCAACGATCTCCGCATCTCGTATCCTCATGCCGAGCATGAACGAGTCACCGTCCGTACGTCTTCCTCAGCAGCCACAGTCTCGTTTCCATCCTCTTCTCCACTGTCTCAACCATCTCATCTAACTCACTCACTTACTCGTCAGCTCTCAACTTTTTATACGCCCTTTTCATCCCCTTAGGCGTCCTCATCTCCTACAACATCGTCACCCGCGCTTCGACCCACAAGCATGAAGCCACGTACCTCGCCTTTGCCATCTCCATTGTCCTCTCATCCTTCATCACAGACGTTGTCAAAAACGCCGTTGGACGTCCCCGGCCCGATCTTCTTGCTCGATGCCAGCCATCTGCCGACACCAAGCCCAACGTCCTCGTCACCATCGACGTCTGCACCGCCCCTGACGGCCACACTCTCCAGGACGGCTGGCGCTCATTTCCATCCGGCCACTCGTCCTTCTCCTTCGCTGGCCTGGGCTTCCTGAGCCTTTTCCTTGCGGGCCAGTTGCACGTATTCAACTACTACACCGGCGGAAGGGACCTCAGTCGTGCGCTCGTCTGCCTCGTTCCCCTCCTTGGCGCTGCCCTCATTGCCATCTCGCGGACCGAAGACTATCGCCATGATGTTTATGACGTGTGCGTTGGATCGGCCCTCGGCATGACTGTTGCGTACTGGAGCTACAGGAGGCACTGGCCTCATCTCACGAGTCCTGTTTGTGAGGAGCCTCATCCCCATCCATCTGCTGAAGCACAACCAGGGTGGCAGCGCGTAAGAGATGAAGAAGATCAGGACAGTGGCCTCGTATTCCCGCTGGGAACTCGAAGGAGCTGACCTGGATCGACGAAAAGACTCGACTATCTATTTTACAGTCTACCATAGCCAAGAGATTTGCTCATGTTTGCGTGCATGGCCATCTATTTGGCTTTACTTGTTTCTCTTGGAAAGAAAAATGAAAACTACAGAATGGCTGACCCAAAAGCAAGAAATGTGAAGCGCTTACATCACAAGTATACCTGTCATAGGGACGTATCATCGTATTGTTACAGGGGCTATTTCTCCCCCCCTTTTTGATATGCGCATGTGTCATTAGGTACCCATTGTCAGTCTACTCGTTTAGTCTCAACGCCTCTAAATATTTGTTTATTTGTTTGTTTATTTCTCCTCTGCATCCTCGCTCTTGGCCAGATCATGCTCCTTCAGCAGTGCCGTGATCTCGTCGGCGCTCCACAGCTTGTGGTAGATCTTGCCATCCTCAGTCTGCCCCACCGTCGCGAACTCAACTGCACGTACATGTTAGCAGAGGGGGGTTTTTTTTATATGGAACAATGTTGAGGATAATGTAGCTTACTCTTCTCGCTGCTCAGCTTTGTAGAGTCCATGGTCTTGCTAAGCACCTTGACAGCCACGCCGCATGCCTCCTTGAGCGTGCAGTCCTCCTTATAGTCCTGCTTCAACAGACTCTGCGCGCTGGCATTGTTGGCACCCGCGCTTGTGGCCTTCCATCCTCCGTAGTTTCCTGAGGGGTTGCTGAGATACAGCTGGAACTGTCTCCGGGGGTCCCAGCCCGCATAGATGAAAGAAACGCCAAACGGCCGCAGACCACCGTGCTGTGTGTAGCCCTGCTTCAGATCACACAATCGGCGCACCAGCTGTTCGCAGGGAATGTCTTCGTTGTACGTGAGGAGGTATCGCTGGGCGGCTTGGCGGGCGTAGTTGATGAGGATGTTGGCGTCGGCGGTCATGCCTGCTACAGCGCAGATCATGTTGCTGGGGAGCACCAATGTCAGTATTGTATTCAGGATAAGCACAAGTACTGTGTCTCGGGATCCAAGCAAGGCACACGCACTCGTTTAGAACGTAGAGCTTCTCTGCTGATGTGTCCTGCTCCAGCAGCTTCGAGGTGACCTTTCGCTCGGCGGCCAGGACGATTCCATCCTTGGCGAGAATGCCGATGGCGGTACCGGCGTGGGAGATGGCCTCTAGCGCATATTCGACCTGGTAGAGACGGCCTTCGGGCGAGAAGATGGTTGTCTAGGGCATGTGGTTAGCCAGCCAGATCGATATCGATGCTGCACATTGCAGCTCGCAGACGTACTCGGGAATCGTAACGGCGGGACATTGTGGAGGGGCAGTCTCTTTCAGCGCCGCAGAAGCCAAGGAGGAAATCAGAGAGGATTAATGGCACGCAATGGCAAGGCAGAGACGGTGAGCGGGTGCTTTGCTGGCGATGGAGGCAGACGACGATTGAGGATTGGCTTCAGTATGGAGGGGAACAAGCAAAAGGCCGGCGTCACTTTCAACTGGAGCTCCAGGCACGACCGCCGCGTAGCTTCTGGAGGTACAGCCCAAGGTACAGCCTAGAGGTACCACTCTGCTGCACCAGTTTTGTAGTACCCTGGAGCTGCTCTCTTTCTAGACTGGCTGAGTCAGCAGCAATTCGATCAAGATTATGTAAGTTGGGCAGGTGCTTGCCTAAGGCATCAAGAGGCAAGGCTGAAGGGCCATGGTGCTCAAAAGGATTCCATGTTAATACCATCGAGTGGCAATTATTTAGCCGATGCTGCGCCGGTAGAAGCGACTCGACTGGACTCGACTCTCTTGCCCCTCATGACTAAGCTCCGTCATCTAACCATCATTCAATCAGCCAGTCTTGGGCCGTCACCAGCTTAGCTTATGCCACCAGCCTTGGGGCGGGCAGAGTTTCAATAGCTCTTTTCTTGTCTTTCCTGTCTTCTACCGCTTCTGATCTTCCCTCTTCCAACTCTCCACAAAACTGCTGAGCTCCGTATCTGTGGCTGCACCGACGAGCTGCTGCTGCAAGACGCCCGGGATAGCTTCACCTCTCGCCGCCATCGGAGACCGACCCCGTCTACTCCAGCAGTGACTGAGCCCCGTTAGGACTCGACCTTGTATCTGCGATTGCTTCTCTTTCATCTCTTGCGTCTCACCAAGCCACCAGCGAGCTACTGCTTCGCGCTGTCCAGCCCAAACCCACTCAAACTGCCAGACCAGCTGCCCGCATCTGCCGCCATCTGTCACAGACAGCCCGACAGACGCGCCACCCGCCCGTTGCTTCCATCCGTATCCACTCCAAGGGGCTACCGGGACGAACCCCACGCAAGCTGCCGTCATCACCAACAGCTCGCTATTTTTTTTTCTTCTTCGCAAGCTAAATCGGCACGCGCCGCCTCTGTAGCCACGCCAGAGACTTCCATTCACTTCGCAGCTCGCGCGATACCCATCTATATCTAGGAAGAGCCGGTCGCTGGTTTGAAGTTCGCCGCGCTGAGAAAAATTAATTCTGGCTGAGGAGAGGAAATTTGTTGGTTTTTTTAGCTGTTCTGTGACTACATACTAGTTACTACCTCTGCCCGTTTTGTAAATCTTCCCATATGCCCGCCTGAAGCGCAACGCAAGAAAAGTTTTTTTCCCTTCTCTTCGCGTCGCTTCCATAGTAGAACCTGCATTTAAATTAGTCGACTCGCACACCCTCATAGCTGCGGCGACGCCTTTGCGCGTGCTCCATTACCATGTCTGGTAAGTTGAGGAAAACAAAACCGATATTCTTCGTCGATGCGACTCATTGGCCTGGCCTGGTCTGATCCGGCGATGCTGATTTACGCCGTCGCATGTATGGATGTTAGCTGACAAAACGCAATTGTACAGGAGAAGCCGAACCTCGACGCTCAGTGCGAGCAACCAAAGGCCAGCACACCAAGGCCTTTGATGAGCTGGAAGCTCCAGCGCCGAAACGCCGACAGACCAAGAAGAACAAGAAGGCCCAGGTGCAGGAGAAGGAACAGTCGCAGGACCCCGAAGAAGTGATCCGCTGCGTCTGCGGCGCCACCGAACAGGATGAAGACTCGGGCGAGGCCTGGATCTCGTGCGAGACATGCTTCGTATGGCAGCACAACGTCTGCGTGGGCGTGAGCTCGTACGAAGACGAGATACCGGAGAACTACTGGTGCGAAGAGTGCAAGCCGGAAAACCACAAGGAGCTGCTCGATGCTATCGCGCGTGGAGAGAAACTGTGGGAGGCACGGCGCAAAGCACACGAAGAGGAAACCGAGCGAAAGAAGAAACGAGGCGGGCGAAAGAGAGGCAAGCGAGGCAGCGACACGCGAGAAGATGTCGAAAAGGATGCGGCGGCTCAGGCAAAGGCATCGCCCACGCCGGATACTGCCCTGAGTAAAGACAAGAAGGACGCAACCGTCGTAGCCAAGCAGGGCAAGCGAAAGGCGAGAGAGGATTCTCAAGACGTGGATGGAAAGGTACGTTTGTTTGTTGTCTGTCTTGTCGCAAATGGCGACTTCCCCTGTGAATTTATCCAACGATTGATGAATGCTGACCGATATATATATATATATAGACTACCAAGATGCGTCGCGTGTCAGAGGACGAGTCTGTTCCTGTCGCTGCTCCCTCTGTCAAGTACTCGCCTCCAGAAGACTTGACTCAGTCCATCCAAGAGCTCCCCGGCACTCGGGTTGGTCCTGCAAAGGCACTGAAAAAGTCCCTTGTCCACGTCATTTCGTCCCTCGCAAAGAGCAGCGATATCGAGCTGCCAGAGGATGAAAATGCGGACGCTCTCGCCGACAAATATGCGCTGCAGATTGAGCGCGCTGTTTTTGATACCCACCCACTTTCCAAAGGCCAGAAGGAGTACAGCCAGCAGATAAAGTCGCTGTCGTTCAACCTCAAGAACAATCCCGAGTTGTTCCAGGGGCTTTGGGACCAGAAGCACTCGCCAATGACACTCGCTGTCATGACGTCGGAGCAGCTTGCCTCGTCGGAGCAGCAGAGACAGACTGCCGAGATGAAAGCAAGGGCTGAGAAGCAGTCCATCTTGTACACATCAGAGACGGGCCCTCGAGTGAGACGGACACACAAGGGCGAGGAGATTGTCGAAGACGAGGGCATGATTAGTAGCGATGCTCCGATGCCATCGTCTGGGGGCCCTCGCGCAGGAGGAGATGAGAAACAAGACCAGCCCCAGCAACAAGATCAGCACGTTAAGCGCGAGTCGATTGGAGGAGCGGGAGAGCTGGGCGATGAGGCTGGTTTGAGCCAGCGATCTCCCAGCCAGTCCAACTTTGACATTGGAAAGGTGTTTTCAGCAGTCAAATCTCCGACAGCAGCTCATCGACGCAGGCCTTCTGCTCCAGTGCTGAATACACAGGGGCCCGGATTCGATCCTGACGTGGATCGTATGCTTCAGGATGATAATGAGTCGCCTCCTTACTCGCCTACCGAGGAAGCCTCGGATCCCGACGTCATCTGGCGCGGCTCGCTGGCGATGAGCTCCATTGCTGACTTCCAAGCGACAGCCAAGCATATTGGAGGTGCCAACTTTGCCTCGTTCGGCCCCTGGTCGAAGCTCATTCCACGCCAGATGACGGTGGCCGGCCGAATCCCACAGCAGAGCGCTATTGAGTACCTGTGCAGCTTGCGATATAGTAACCTGACCGATATCATCGTCGTCAACATTACGCCGACATCGCCAGACTCCAAGCAGGAATTCAACAATCTCATCAACTACTTTGTCAGCAAGAACCGATATGGCGTCGTTGGCAATAAGGTTGCCGGCAACGTGCGAGACACATATCTGGTGCCTGTCCCCGCCGGTGAGGATGGCCACCCCGAGTTTATGCTCAACCTGGTGGACAACTACATCCCCAAGTCGCGGGCCGAGCCCCTGTTGCTCGCTGTCTTTGTCTACCGCAACGAGCCGGACCAGCTGAAGCAGATGCTTCACAACGAAGCTGCCAATATCAACGCTAATGCGTCGACGGCATCACAGCCTCCTCCTACTCCTACACCTGCTGGATACAACCAACGAAGCAACTCGACATCTGGCCCGGCCTTTTCTCCTGCTACTCCTCAAATCGCATCCTCCCCATTTCCTCCCGCCGCCGCACCTACGAACGGCCATGGTCAATCCGCCACGCCAGTCCCGATCCCCCAACTACCGCATCTCAACCGCCCTGCACCATCGCCTCACGCCGCGGCAGGCTCGTCATCTTCATCCCAAACTACGCCAGCGCCCCCGGCACATCATCAAGGCCCCGACGACCAGAGGAAGCAAGGCCAGCAAGACGCCGGCGTCGTCACAGCGAGGGAAGTCCTGGGACCGCTCATCAGCGTGCCTACGGTGCAGTTTATTCTTCCGCAGGCGTATCAGATGTCACGGCGAGAGTGGGAGGTGGTCAAGACTATCATTGAGAGGGATCCCCGCGCCAGAGACGATTTGAAGTACTTGGCAGATTTGCTGGAGAAGGAAGGGGCTGGAAACAATGGTGGAAATGGAGCCGAGAATGGCCAGGGGGGAGCAGCAGCAGCAGCAGCAGCAGCAACGCCGTTCCCACAGGCTGTTGCCGGAGTGGTTGGAGGAGTTGCTGGTGGAGTTGGGGGCGGACCCCCGCCTGTGAGAAGGACGTAAGGGAAAATGAAAGTGTACGAGTCTATATGAGTCTATCCGTGTTTTTGGTTCACGTCTAGATCTAAGTTAGGGAATATTGCCATGTAATGGATGATACCTATTTTTCTGTTCTCAAGTGCTTATCTTTGGCAAATTGTCACGCCATGATTTATGATTCTCTTTACTTGGACCTTTGTATTTGAATTGATCGTTGAAAATATTGATACATCTAATAATCATGTTTATTTGTGTTCTGTCTGAATTTCTTCTGTTGGTTCCTGTAATTGCATCTGATTGATACACCATCCTTGATTCTCATAGGTTTTTTTTTTTTTTTTAAAAAAAAAAGGCTATATATAATCCTTGTTCCCCGCCAAATCATATCCATCATTATTCGTCAACTCCTAGCTGGTATCGAGCATTTGGCAATAAATAAAATAGTAGTAGTCCTCCATACAGCAACATCCAGCCATTGTGCTGTCATTGCGTTGCCCCGATATCACGACTTTATCCTCATCTTGGCGTCTGTTCCCTCAATATGCTCATTAAACGTGTATCCTCCTCCGCGTTAAAATTCGGCAATTTCCAACATGTGCTTTTCATCGTCGTCGCTGATTAGAGAATCAACGCATCTGCCGTAGCCCACGCAGCAGCCTCCCTCTCCAACACCGCAGCCTCCCGCTTCTCTTCTTCCGTCCGTAAAACCAGCCCTGCTTTTGCATCCCCTTGCTGCACAGAGGAGTCCTCGTCCCCTTGCCCTTGCATCTTAAACGACGACAAATCCAAGCTCCCCAGCCCCTCGAGCACCTTTCTCGCCTTGTCCACCTGCGTTCTAATGGCGGCCGTCTCGGTCCTCGTGCGATCCAGATGGTCCTGCATCATCTCAATGGCCGACTCGCGCGCTTGATGCGGCCGGTACTCGTTGAGGATGTGGTGGATGTTGATGAAGATTGTGCGCAGGTCCTTGATCTTGGCCTCTGCGTCGGCGGGGCTGCGCGCCATGACGCCGGTGAGCTCGAGGAAGTTGAGGAGCAGCGACTTGGCGAGGCGCTTGAGCTCAAAGGCGCGGTCGTAGTGCTTTGCGTCCTTTGCGTCGGAGGAGCCTGCTGCGGGCAGGTTGTCGATGCCCTGCTCCTCGAGCGTGGGCAGTTTGTCGTCGAGCTGCGAGACCACGCAAGAGTCAGCAAGATGATGCGTGTTGTATTGTACAAGACATGTAAAACATATATAGAGAACTAGCTATACGCACCATGTACTGATCGCCAAAGACCCTCCATCGTCCGTCCGCCGGCTCTGGGGGCGGCTGCAGCGCAATCAGATCCTCGGGCAGATTCGGGATGCGCACGGCATCTGCGCCCTCGTCGTCTTCATCCTCGTCCGTCGCATGGGCCCGTCGCAGCTCCTCGATCCTGGCGAGCCTGTCTGGCGTGAAGGCCTTCCAAAAGTCGGGCGGGTTTGGAAACGTCGACGCCAGCGAGTGCGGCTCTTGCTGATCGGCCATTTTTGAGCCCTAGGCTGGGTATCTCTTTGGGTGGTTTTGCCTTGTTGAAATGCGCGCAAGCCCCCTCCCCGCGCTTTGTGTGAAAGCCGGCAGTCAATGTCACCTCATTGGAGTCGGGGAGGAACAAGAAAGATAGCAGTTGCGCCAGAAGAATGACAGAGCAGCAAGTACTTGTAAGAGATCTGATAACAAACGGCACGCAGCGTTAGCGGCATAGCTTGCAGCGCCGGAAAATTGTCGGCTCCGGCCAGCGTCGCGACTGTGACGTCCTCCCGAAGCTCGACAAGGCCAAACTCCAAGAAAAAAAGCAACTAGCTGGGGTCTCGTTATAGCTTGAAACCTCCATACCAAGAAATCCACCGGCCTGCAATCGAGCCATTGGATGCTGATGCTTCTTCTTCTTCCTCCTTCTCTTCCTGCATATTCATCTTTACCCTCTACACTGGTTAATTCACCGCAGAACATCATCTCCCCAGTCCTCGCTCATCTCGAATCCCCCCCAGCTTCATCATCCTACTAACCGGCGCTCGAAGCTCTCCCTATAACGAGATTCTCAACCTCCGTCGCCCGTCATGGCCGACGTTCGAGCCCTTCTCCGCCAACAGCGAGCAGCCCGGCGCATCAACCACCCACACGCCATCTACTCCGACGCCGGCAAGCTCCTCTGCACGCTCTGCCGCGACCAGATCCGAGCCGAGGCGCATTGGGACGCCCACCTCCTGAGCGAGAAACACAAGAAGCTGCTCGCCGTCACTTTGCAGAAAGCCAATGGCGAGGATAATCAGGACGAGGCTGAGGCTGAGGCTGAGGCTGAAACTGGTGAAGATGCCAGAGTGGCAGACGACGCAACGTCCACCACCTCTCAGAAGCGGAAGCTGGACGATGCCATGGGCACAGACGAGGAAGATGTGGACATGGACCAGGATGACGACGAGGCGCGCAGGAAACGGAGCCGGCCCGAAGCGCAATCCGAGAAGCCAGCCTCGGTTTCAGATCCGTCTCGTAAAAAGTCCGTCATGCCGTCGCACGGCGTCGAAGTCCAGATCCCTTCACGATCCTCAACGCCCATCCACCACCGCGAGCACTCCTCCTCCTCCTCCGTACACTCCCAGCCCACCGGTGGCCCAACAGCAGCAGCAGCAACAGCAGCCATAACAACCTCAACGATAACAACCTCCCTCCCCTCCCGCCAAGCCAGCAATCTCGCCACACCAGCATCCTCCTCCTCCATGATGAGCGTCCAATACACAAATCCTCAACCCTCCACCACAGCCCCTGCCGCTACAACATCAACAACGGCTACAACAGCACAACCAGCACAAGCCCAACAAGTCGACGAAGACGAGTGGGCCGCCTTCGAAGCCGACATCGCCGCCACCACAGCCGCCGAAACCGCCTACGACGACGCCGTGATATCCCGTCCCGCCATGACGGCCGAAGAATCCGCCGCTGCCAAGGAAGCCGCCGCCGCCGAAGCAGAAGCGAGCCAGAACCCAGAGTCCCGCAAATCCAAGGCTGACGTGGACATTGAGGACGAGCGCGAGGAAGCCACCCGCGCGCTGGAGGAGGAGTTTGAGGAGATGCAGGAGCTGGAGGCGCGAGTTCAGCGGCTAAAGGAGAAGCGAGAGGCGCTGCTGCGCAACCGGAGAGAGAGCCTAGTAGAGCCACCCATTGCTGCGGCGATGGATATTCCTGAACCTCAGGAGGCAGCAAAGCCTGCACAAGACGCGCAAGACGATGAGGCAAAAGAGAATGTCAAGGCTGCCGAGCATGTCGACGATACAGAGGTTGATGATGATGATGACGATGAAGACGAAGACGACTGGGATGGCTTCCGCTTCCGAACAGGGCGGTAAGCAACAAGTGAATGAAACAGAACTTCACGGTGGGCGCTGGCGCAATATGAATGCATAAAGCCATGATGATCTTGTTTTTCCTTCTCTCTTTGTTTCTTGTCATGCTCTTCACATCATATTTAAGAACCAACTAATAATGCATGGACTCGGCGTATAAGTATTGAATAGATGCCTGCATCCACTTATTCTCATAGCTAAAAGCAGTCAATAGGCAGTAAAACTGCTCTACATATGAACATATATATATATCTATGTATATGTATATATAGATAGCTATAACCACAACTCAGGTAGCAATTTCAACATATATTGTTAAATTGGAAAAAAAAAAAAAAAAAAAAAAAACCCCACCGGCTTGGCTCCAAAGAATATCAATATCGATATCAAAATCAAAATGTCCAAAATGAAAAACGGCGCCTGAACTCTACATTCACAATCATTAGAATTGCCCACAGTCGCCATCATTGCCAACCTGTTTGAGACTCCATACGACCTCTAGAGCTTTCATTCTGATGAGCTGACAACTCGCCATGGCTCATCCTCTCCCAGAAACGGCGAAGTCTCCAAACGCGGCCAGTGCCACGAATCTCATCGTACCTACGCACACCCTCCTCCCGCTCTTTGACCTCTCCTTTCCACTTGCCAGAAATCCATTGTCTCAACCCGTCCTTCAGGCGTTCCTTCTCAATGGCCTTGCGCTTGGCCACTAGGCCAGGGGCAACATGGACCGGAAACATGCCCGGAACGCATTCCTGGGGCAACACAGAGCGTTGCACAAGGTCCTTGGCAGAGGGCCGTGAGGCGAGACGACGAGAGAGGCGAATTGAGACTAGAGATCGTGCCAGCCGCCGTGATATGACGGTATTGTTGGTCAAGAAGATGGAACGAGACATGAGCTCAGTAAGCGATGGACGACATGGGGAGTTGAGAAGCGGAGGAAGCAGAAAACGAGCATCGCGGAGGCGGTAGTAGTGGAGCAATGGGTCAAGAGAGATTGTACGAAGGCGATGGCATGTCTACAATGGCTGGTTAGTAATGGCACAAAAGTTCCATCCCAAGAGAGTCTTGGCGAGGAAAGTGATATTAGGACCAAATTTCATATCAACTTCTTCACCATCAGTCAGCACGGCACAGCTTTCGGCACTATACTTACACGGGACGCACGTAACAAGTCATCAACATCGAGAAAACCCGCAATATGAGCCAGCACTTCGCTTGGCAAAGTCTCCAGACATGGCGGTGACCAGACACTACTCAACGCCGCGGCGGCGGCGGCGGCGGCGGCGGCGGATGAGGGCTCCTGGCCGTCGCGAAGCCCGGATAGTGCTGAGAACACGTCTTCAGATCCACTGGCAGATGTGGCGGAATGACAGCTATTCTGAGTTGTCAGGGCCACAGCAGCATGAGAGCTGGCACCATCCATGCAGCAGCCACCAGGGGTCGACAGCCTCAATGGGAGCTGGAGCTGGGCCTGGGCCTGGGCCGCGGATTGGGCCTCCTGGGGCGTTGAGCTGGCCATGGCCGTGAACCTTTTTGAGCGTTTGATGATGGAATCGAGCCGGGGTCAATGCTGCTGCGGTACACACGCCTCTCCGGTGCTTCTTTTCTCGCCGGGAAGTGTCCGAGTACGGAGCGTTTGACGTGGGCGTGAAAGTGGCGAGAGATCCAGGGCAAATGTGAAGTAGTCTGTATGCAGTCTGTATGTATGTAGGATGCACAAGCGAAGATCAGGAAGACAAGCTGGCAGTGGCAAACCGGCCATGCACCAACACACGCGAGTGACGAAAATTAACTTTCTTTGCTGGCGTGTCTATCACTTTAACCACCAAGCCTGAAACTTCCGGTAGGCTCTCGCGTAAACGCTCTTGTATTGGTCTGTTGTCTTGTCGCTACTGGCTCTGCGGGAAACGGCAAGCAAGCGATCGCCAATCACGTCTGCATCTGACTGGGCTTGAACAGCTTTTGTGCTGGCGGTGATTTGGACAAAAATGAAAGGGAGAGAGAGAGAGCATCACGCGGTTCACTGTTTCACTACAATCTTGATGCCCCTTGCTGCCCCTTGCTGCTTTTCTCTTCGTTTTCTCTTTTCTTTTCCTTGAGAATAAGAAGTTAGCCGAGCGTAGATGTCTCAGTTGATGCGAGGAACGCTAGGGGGCCGGGAAGGTGTCTACTAGAAGCAGAACTGTCATGATGGCGACCTCCTATTTAGATCACTACCATGAGGCCCTGCAAGTAAAGTCTAGCTCACCCCAGAGCCAAAATAGCTCTGTACAGAGAGGCGAGAACGGGAGAAGGCAAAGGGTTTGAAAAGCAATGTATGAACCATGTATGGAGTACGAGTGACGCCCGTGTAAGTGTCAAGCTAAGCCCGCCTGCCTGTCTGTCAGAGCGCCAGGTCTCGGCTAGTAGTCTGTACATACAGTGTGCAGGTCTTTGATGCTGCCCAGATGACGCCTTGCAGGGGTTTCAGAGCGCGCTTGCGGCTTCAACGGCGGATGAGGGCGGCCAGAAGCTCCGCGGTTAGAAGCGTCACGGTCTCCGTGTAATACTGTCAGAGCGTGGGAGTGCTGCGGTGTGTATACTCACTCTGGAAACAGTATAGCTCTGCCTTGGGAGTATGGCTACCGCTATTCGACTGCCAAAGCTGCCACTACCTAGTAGCAGCAATCCCGCAGCGCTCGGATGCTGCGAATAGCAACGTCGCTAGCAGTACCAATTCCACTTTTGCAGCCGCCACTGTAGTCTGGTGATGCTTTTGCCTCTGCTTCTGCTCACTGATGATGCTGGCTGCAGCTGCTACCGTCGGTAGTGCTGGTAGGTAGCAAGCAAGCGCGACAACCCGCACGAGTAGAGTAGCGGTTCCGTGCGCTCGATGCACGTTGTCATGTAGGCGTTGATGCGGCGTCGCACTCGGCTGCAGACACGCCGCAGCACTGGCTGCGTGGTGTCGGCTGTCGTCTGTGGCTCTAGCGAGCTGGCGCTACGTGCTGAGCCTTGCCGGCTGCTCGACCTCCTATTCGTCTGCGGTGCTTGCGATGCAGCAGCTGTACCAGGAGCCGACTGACTGACTGAATGACTGCTGTTCTCGCGTCTGCTTGTGCTTGTGCGTCTGCGTCTGCGTCTGCGTCTAGCTGCGCATCTGCGTGATGACGAAAGCGACAACAGGCCGGCCGCGGGTCCAGTATTGAGGCCCAAAAAGACAGGGGGGCAAGCGACGTAGCGAATAAGACGGACGAGGCGGGAATTGGACAAATGATGGAGATGGGCTGGGGATGGAGTTGGAGAAAAGAGAATAAGGGAAAAAAAAAAAAAAAGGTGTGTGTGCGTGTATGAAAACAAAAGTGACTTAGACGTGTTTCGAACTTGCTCGGGTCCGGAAGCCGATCTGCAAACAGCACACAAGGCAGGAACACACAAGGCGATGCAACCACAGGTAGTTGCCTGATGGAGGCAGTTGAGGGTGGCAGCTTCCTCAGTTTTTCCCCGGTCTCAGTGCAGCTGTTAGTGCGTGTTAGTGCCCTGGTAGTGCGTGCTAATGCATGCGATGGGCGCTTTGGGGGCCTCCCAGCGTCTTTGGCGAGCATGCACTGCGTGGTACATACCAAACCGCTATTGTGAAGCGCTATCTGCACTGGAAGCTGGTGTGCGAGCATGTACCGTGCAACATGGTCATGCCCTGGCTCGCACACGACAAACGACGTATTACAATTCTCCTCCCGTTTTGGAGCTGAGCTGCGCGAGGTGGACGGCACAGTTGGCGGGGCTCGCCGCCCACGCACCTCTACCTGGCTTCGATCAGTGGGGTTGGGCACGCCGTTCAGGCCCCGTTAGCGCTCCATCTTTGGCGGCGGTTTGGCGGCTGCAGCGCCGCGAGCACCCGGACAGCCAGGGTCTCTGCTCCAGCTCAAGTACCGAGTACGGAGCACAGGCTCCGCATGCCAACCCAAACAGGCGATGCCTCGGCGCCGTCATGCCATTTGATTTGATCGCAGCCGCTCTCCTTAATCGTGCATGGAGGCTCAAATGGGAGCAGCGCCGCGCATGCAGTCTTATACGCCTTCAGTCTTCTTGTCCATCTTGTCCGTATCGATTAGGGGAAAACTCATTGCCAAATAGAGACAAAGAACAGTTCATATGAATCCTGCAGCTGCTCATACTCAGCCACCCCAAATAGGCAATTTTTTTGCATGTACGAGGTACAAGTAGCCACTCCAACGCCCGGCCACTTACACGGCCTCCCGTGGCGCCGAGAGCAGCGAGATCCTGCTTCAAATTTAATTTAAGCCGCACAAAAAGCCCTGCCACAGTGGATTCGCTTTGATATGGCTGTTGGTTCGTTCATGGTGTAGATGTCATGTCATACGGTCTCTTCCCGGGGTCCGTTCACTTTGCAGATAGTATACTAGCAGCCAACGGCAAGACGTGCATCTTGGCCTCGAGGGTCTCTGAAAAAAAAAAAAAAAGGGGGGGGGTTCATCTCTGGTGTTGAACAACGCGGCGTAGAGCATGCCGGTAAAGTCCGCATGGGTTCTGTACCTAATAATTGTAACGTCAGTCCCATCGCCAGGGGCTGCTTTACAAATGTACAGCGAGGCTGTGATAACGTTGCAGCATACATCCAACATCCCTGCAAACCCGCTTTCGCCGCAATAACAAGGATATGCTCTGAAGCCGGTGCTGATGCTTTGCAGTAATTTGTTGCCAATGTGACGAAGCGTTTTACGTACCACTCATGCTGATGATATGATTATCCTGTTCTATCGTAACATCTCTCCTTTGTCTTGCGTCTGTCGAGTTGCTGATGCTGCTCTCAGTCGGCGAGCAGGCGAGAGACTTTAGGGTATCACCAACTCCAGCACTGATCCCTGACCTCACCTTGCAGCACTTCCATCATCTCCGCCGTCCCCCCTGCCTACCATGACGTGGCCAGACGTAATAGAGGGAGAAAACTCTTTTGCGAAGAACAGCAAAACACCAGAAATCTTCTAAATACGACCTCTTCGGCGGCCCATCCATACCAAAGCCCACCGGCCTGTTCATGCAGCCGTCTTTCCCCTTGTCTTCAATCAAACACGCCCGACCAACAACAGCTTAGCTTAAGTGGAAACAGAGCCAAGCTGGGTCCATTCTAGTGCTCATCACACACCACCAGCGAATCACTTACATGCCACTTATGCGCCCTGCAATGCTATGCTGCGCACACGTGCTGCCGCCCATCTGTATGCATCGTCTATTGCCTTGTGGCCTCGTCGGCGGCTGTTCATGTCGAGACGACTGAGCTTGTTCGTAAAAAGATTGCTAGAAACACCTTTAGTTTCAGCCTCAAGTTTAGCTGTTAGCTGCCTCTGGTTAGCGCATGAAAGTGCCTCATTTTTTCTTCCTCCTCTTTCGCCATTGAATTCGTGTTGGTTCGACTCCGTTTGTAATAGTTTGTAAATCAGGACAAAAAATCCTAGGTCGGACTTAACGCCCCTCCCCAACCCTAGTCGTTCCCATTGGGCTTCAATTCTCCGGGCTACCCCAATCCGTGTTCTTTGGGCTTCCAGGCTTCCCTTTTTAGCTGCCTTCGTCTCAGTAACCCCCCTCGCCTTTTGACCAGGCTGATCTCCAGCCTGGCGCCCACTGCAGGGCTACGACAGACGGGACCAACAGACCAAGCAGAGGCATGGCCATGTAAGTCTGCTGCTTCGCTGGCAGGACTAGCTGGGAGCGGTAGGCCGCTCCGTCTTCCGTCTTCATCGTGGGCTGCCAACTCATATAGCCCACACAAGGATCACCGAAGGAGTAAATCGGAGGACGTGTCCGAACCTCGTATTTGGCAAACACAGCCCAGAGTCTCCGGAAACGATAATATTTTTACCCGTGTTTTGTGCTTATCGCCCTTTCGGTCCAACAGCAAGCCAAGCCGTGGGACCATCTTCAACCCCAGACAGTTCCTCGGCCGCCTCGTCACTTGCATTAACAATGCTGAGCTGGCGATCACGATTTTAGCCGCTACCGGACTGGGCGTACAGCCACGGTTCTCTGTCCGTGGAGTCTTGCATCTTGCTTCTGACACCCGTAGACACATTGTAAAAAAAAAAAAAAAAAAAAATCGTCAAGGCCATGCTCCACAAGTCGAGTCCACTCCCATAACCGCCAGGTCATATCACACAGGGTATATCCCTTCCAAGGGACGTGGCATGGAGTGCTTATTGACTCAAACGCCGGCACGGCGGAGCCTCAGATCCGCTGGGCTTAAATCGTTCAGACCAGCTTTTTAGCGCGAACGCCATGTGTTAGTCGTCGCACACCCAGTTGTTGTGCCTGAGTGATCCAGCCAAAATCTGACCGTTTGCTATACGACTTCGCTAGCTGCTGATCAAGTTGATTTAGAGAAAGAGAGAGAAAGAGCATGGGTTTGAACATCGGTTGACGTTGATTCCCGTACCAACTCGCATAGACTTCTTCGTAGACAGACACCCTTTATCTGTCCATCTGGCGTCGCACATATCGCATCTCACAAAACACGCTGAGATACGACTTTCGCCAATCGAACGAATGCGCCCGCTCTCAGCTAGCCTAATGTAGGCACCACCACGAAGAATTGGTACTAGTAGGAAGGGTACAATCGCCGGTTCACACTTTCACCGCAGGGCTGGGCGTTCGTCCCAGCCAAGCCTAAATTGCATGTAGCTAGTCCACTCATTTAGGCCACTCCCCTCCAAAGGAGAAATGCTAATAAGCCTAATCCCACGAAATTGGGAGCAGCTACTAGTATCTGGGCGCTTTGCCTCTTAGTGTGTGTGCAGTGGTGGTGGTGGTGGTGGCAGTGGTGGTTCCTCAGGTCTAAAAGCCCGCCCCTCTCTCCCCCCCTAAAAACTGCCGTTGTCAGACTCAAAAGTGAGATCCGCTCATTTCATTGGACCGTTGTTCTCGATCTGCTAACAGCCGTTGTTTGCCTTGCTGCCCCTAGTCAGCCAGTCGCGTCTCCTGCGCAGCATTTGTGAGAGATATGATTCGTAGCATCCCCGGCGATTTGGTTCGTCTAAATGTACATCATTTTTGACGAGTCGCAGGCCAGGGATTCTTCTTCAAAGGACCCACAAAGGAGCAAGCGAGTGGATATGTCGAGATGCAAGTAGAGCACATCAGCTCATCGTGGAAGAAACTCTCGTATACTTGGCGAAGGCGGCCTTTGCTTGGCCTCCTATACGGCCTACCTGAAGACTTTTTCGTCCCTTTTTCCTTCGCTTGGCCGCTCTCAAGGCCGGCGGTTACAGCTGGCGTCTAACGCGACTCATTTTCGCAAGCAATTTTCGGCGTCTTCGGCGCCAGGCCATGGTCCAAGCCCACCCATTTTAGTACCATTTCAAGAACTCGGTCTCTAAGCTGGGCCTGCCATGAGGCCTCGCTCGATTTTCTTCAGGTCCGAGTTGTTGAACAGGTGCTTGGCAGGTGCGGATTGTCTCAATTCTTCTCCAGTATGCCCATTGTCTCATTTCACTCGCAAACCAGCTCTTTCCGATAATTCTTCGCAGCACCTTTGAGGCGGAACGGGCCGGCATGATCCAGATCACGGCCCGCGGCGAGGGGACACCAACACTTTCGGCCGTCCAGGGGGTCCACTTGCTGGCTTGGTGCCCTGGTAACGCCCTCCCTGCTCCGTGTGTGTGCGTATGTGCGCATGTGCGTGTGTACAAGCACATGTGTGTGCATGCGTGCCTTGTACTGTGTGTGTAGGACTACGGAGCAGTCGTTTGCTCACCACCCTTGTTTGAGGCTGCGTCTCGGACCCATAACGTACCTCAACACCAAACCTTTGGCCGCTAAAGCGGCCGGCAGAGCACGAGCTCTTGCGGCATGCAAGGTTGGTTGTCACTCGAGGATACTTTCGGCGCGTGTCGCGCACACAGCCAACCCTTCGTTATCTCTTTGGCCCTGATCGATGCTTTTCGGTGCTAGTTGAACCGTCTGAATGTATCTTCAACGTCGCCGAGCCCAACAGTACCCAATGCAACAGGGACGCGGTGTCCTCTCCTCCATCTTTTCTCTTTAACCGTCCACGTCAAGCTTCCATCGCCGCGGCCTCGAGCTTGAAAAGGGTTACGGAGATGCAAGGTGTTCCTAATGCAGAAGGACAACTCATCGTTGTTGCGGGTTCTCCGGCCTTGTCTCCACGCTATCATGGCTCACCGTCACTCAGATACATGCATTTCCTCCATTGCTTTGCAGTATCCTCTAGACCGGTGACAAAAACTCGAGCCGCTAGTGTCGCTCGCGCTTTTGGCCACTCTTGCGTGTATGTACCTGAAAGACCCATACCGAGACCTAGTTCTTTTCTTTCCATATGAGTTGTTTGCGCTAGCCCTTCTTTTACACAGGTACGGAGCACCTGATGCAGCTTTGTGGATGATCGGCGATTCAGTCCAAGCATCTCACGTCGTCCCTCCATTCTGCATCTGTCGGGCGTGTAGCCAGCTTTCCCTTCCTATAGGGGGCGCTGACCTTGCGTCTATCAACGCCACATATACATGTAAAAGTGCCATGATCCTGGTTCAAAGCGGTTATGGTCGCACCAACGGAACGTGTCGAGGGCGTGGCAAATTCGTTGGCAGTACATTGCATTTGTCCGCAAAGCATACTCCGTTTGCCGTATCATACTAAGCGACATCAAGGCTCGGCTTCGTTTCTGGGCTCGGTGTCGATGTCAATATAGCTTAGCGGGTGGCCTATTGATCGGCGTGATGTTTTGTCAGGGAAGCAGTGTTACGCTGTCTGATCCAGTTGGCAACAGGTCCTTCGTCAACTCATACAACCAGTGATGCAGTGCTTCCCAATCAGCTTGGCCTCGGGTACTTTTCGTATGTTCCGACGTTGTGCTGCCCACCAATGGTGCTTCTAGAGGCTGTGTCACCCTCCACCATTCTTCGCTAGCCTCCCATAACGCCACATTAAGGATTCGCGGAAATCGAGCCGTGACTGGGGTTCGGGTACGTTGCGGTTCTATTGAGAACAGGCTGTATACATTATTAAAATCGACAAGTTAGCTCTGGGGCATTCACGAGTTGATCAGCACCCCCTCCCAAGTATCAATCCTGAATTGAGTGCTGATGTAGTTTACTATGCAGTTTGCAAATGACCAGCCAACACAGGCTGCTTGTGTCCAGACACCTGTTGCCACGTTGGCCAGATTGACACAGTTTCTCCTGGTCGCCCCCGCTATCAAGGTTTTTTTTTGCTGACACCGTACGTCAAGCTGCGGGAGTACGAATCTCCATCTAGATAGCCTCAAGAGGGTCGAGTTGACGTGGTAGAACCAATCATTCACCCCGCTCGGGCATCTGGGTCATTCATGTGAGTCGTGAGCTATGCATAGACGTCATGCAGGCCTCATATAAAAGAAGCATCATCGTGTACAGCTCTCATAGGACGTGGTTGAAAGAAGAAGAAAACTAATCGCAGCCAGTGTTCAGCAGTTCCAGGCGTATCCCTTAAAATAGCTCACTATCCTTGATATGCTCCATACTTGCAGTGGAGTTGCGCTTTGAAGCAGTCATAGTGCTAGAAGAGAAGGCCATGGTTCGACTCCCTGGCAATTGAGGCCCTTGTCCGGCCATATACAAGCTATAGAGGGCTTGAGGCAGCGAGGTGGAGGTGGAGATCCCCAAAGAGCCGCATTCACAAATGTTGTGTGACCACCCGAGCATGCTGTTTTGTTGTCCTTAGCCGCACGTGCGATTTATTGCTCTGAGAACTAGATATGATGGCGCATCCAATGTGGACAACATGACCACATATAGGAGCCATTAACACCAAAGAAAATGGCGTGCCAATATAGAAACTGTGCCAGAAGCTGTGCCAGAAGCACTGCATGAGAGCAAGTTTCGTGTGGCGTCGATTAAATAGTATATCTCTACAGCTTATTTCAGCGTGTAGTGATGAATTAGTAATGCTCCATTGTTTTTACAAGAGCTGAATTCGGTTCTTCGATTCCCACCCCCCGTCTTTGACAGGTATCTCAACTATCCGAATTCAGAGGTGGTATATGCGCTGGATAGTATTTGCAGTGGGAGAACACATTGCTACTATAACTGCTTTCGTACCTGGAGCTGGATATAGCTGGAAATATCCACACCAGCTATCCGTCAGAACCTGGTTTGAAAACCCGGTGCTAGAGCCATCCAAGATGCTGCTGGTGCTAGTATGGCCACCACAGCCACTGTGGGACGAACCACAACCCTAGCTTTCACCGAAATCGACAACTTAGAACCACATACTAAGCGGTCAGGATCCATCCCCCTGTTCCATGACACTTGTCCATCCTCGGGACGAACCATCAGAGCAGACCCACAGTGGCCGCAGATCGAGTCGCCCACTGCCTATGGTGTAGAGACAGAGGAGGCCCAAGGTCAGGGCCGTCTGGCGGGAAGTTCACTCAACCCATACAGCAGCAGTACCATGGGTGAGCATATGTCCATGCTCCGTTTGCGTGTATCAACGGCCATCCTGTGGTGATAATGTTAACGAAAGGAGGTCTTGGGAGACTACATAGCAGCATGCAGTAATATGTATCAAGCATTTCCCCAATTGAGGAGACTCGGCTTTGGCAGTAAAAGGGTGATAGGGAGCACCAAACTCACAGACATGAGCGTGGCAAACATGACTTGAACGCACCCCTCTTCGGTTCTCCGGGATGCATTGTCTTGGCCCCAAGTGGATTTCCCTCCTTTGGTTATTGTTTGGATACGTTCCCGACTGATGTCAAAAATCTTGGGCGCCGTACGGGACGGTTTACAAAGGAATGTGCTTGAGAGGCCTGCGTAGTAGATTGAATAACGCGGGGACTCCCTTATGGCCTTCTTTACGGTAGCCTATGATGCTCGACCAACGTGGCAGCCATTCTGCAGGCTCACAAGCACACCACCGGCGGAAGAACCCCCTCCCAAATGGGTTAAGTGGAGGCAAGCAAAAGAGTTATGGAGAAGTCGCAAATAACATTATCGGCCTAAGGTCGACTCTGAAGGGAATTGGGTCAGTTGGAAGGGCCACTCCGATGAGTAGCTGAAGCCAGCAATCGAGGGTTGTACGAGTAGCGCCGTGCTGGCGGGCAGTATTAGTGGCAGTTTGAGTAGTAGTAATGGTAGTGGTGGTGTTCTGCATCGAGGTTACCTCCACATCGAAACCCCCCACACGCACACACACACACAATTTCTTTCCCACCCCCCTCATCCTTGGAAGCCAGGAACGTGCTACAGGATACGCCATCACACAGCAGCAGGGGTGTGCTACTGGGTGAAAATAAGGGGGTGTGTGGGAATAGGGCAACTGGCATGTTGGTATAGGGCAAAAAGTACGGATACCCAATCCACGTATCAAAGCATCTTTTTTTATCCCGCAGGAAGCAGGACGATAATGACGAAGTCTGTTGGCCCGCGTAGAGGAAGGTGCTTGTTGGTCGCTCTGAGTCCCACCGAGGATTGGGTTGTAAAGCGCTGGATGGTAAAGGGATAGGACGAGGGTCGAACGGACAGGAGTGTTCTGACTTCAGGCAAGTATAAGTTAGCTTGTCTAGCCATCCCCAATGCTGTATCAGAAACTGCCAGACTTACCAGCCAGCTTTGGATAAGAAGACAGCAGTGACCACGACCACGACCACGACCACGGCCACGACCTCGACGTTGAACCTGTCCTTACCAGCCGAATCTACAAGCGAGACCGGACAGGACTAGACGGAATTGCCTTGCATCGAACGATTCCGACGCTAGTCTAGAAATTGCTTGCTCCCGGTCGTTTCGTTTCCTGTAGGTGGCAGCTTTATGAGTCTTTGACATTACCATTGTCATTCTTCTCCTTGCCAGGATTGAAGAAGCAAAATGTCTTTATTGTGCCCAAAGGGATTTGGGCCTTGAAGTTTGCTCGTCGTTTAACAATGTTCAGCTGCTGATGTTGCTGATTCATGATGTAGTGCTCCACGCCCTCCCCTTGTCCATCTCGCCCACTCGACCGAAGCTGCCCGCCGACGAATTGACCATGTGTTATTTCGAACAGACTCGTTGGAGTTGTGGTTACTGGCGCTGGGGCCACTTCCGCCAGCAATGCAATAAAGAATACCGAATGGGCGAGACGTGTGGGCTGAAGCTGGTCTATGAAACAAAAGTCGAGCATGACGTCTGCAAGCTGTGCCATGACACCGAGAAGAAGCAGCGGCGGTACGACAAGATGTATCGCGACGTGCAGCGTTGGCAGATGGAGGGCAACCGCAGCGCTACCATTGAGCGGACGTGTGGTGAAATGGAAGAAGTTGTGGGCCAAATCAAGCGGATGAGAGACGAACATGGCCACAGGCTACAATCGCTGGGTCAGGTACGAGAGAAACCCTCCCCTTTTCCAGACACAACAACAAGAGACACAGAAAGCTGGGCAGCTGGATAACCACAATGGCAAAGGCGAGATCATCATGGCTAACGTTTTCTTCTGCTTCAGTGAAGATAGCAGGGGTAGAAAGTAAGCTTACAGAAGACACGGCCACAAAGTCAAAGGTTAGCCAATGGACATTAGAGGCTGGGCACAAGGCAGCATTGGGTCAAATCGGCGCAAATTAAAAAAAAAAAAGAAGAAAAGAAAAAAAATCGTCATGGTTTCGAAGATTCTTTTCATTGGAGGCTGCTAAGCCGCGGAACGTCGTTCGCTGTTATTTTGGGTTATCTGTTTCATCTTTGGCTTTCAGCGCGGTCCCGGGCACATGAAAAAAAGCGTATTTTATGAGCGGCCAAAAAGGGCTTGATTTGGTCGGCTTCAGTGTATAATTGGTGTGATGGATCTCTGAAGGACGTTTGATTGGATTTTTTCTCTCTTCTTTGGGCTCTGCTAGCGAATGGGCCGTCTCGCACTCCTTTTGTTTTAATTAGATACCAAATGTTCTGGGATTCAAGATGACATGCTCCATACTTCGTACTCTGTCGACTTCCAGCAGCGCGGCTCCCCGGGGCTCAAGATTTGGAACGGCACAAAATTCATTCGGTGGTGGGCTGCATCACTTTTGTGGGTGGGCCGTTTGCTATTGCTGCGGCAAAATGACTGGGGGCCGCAAATTTCCTGTGACGAAAGCTCCTTGGCGGGGGTGAGCGTTCCGCATCCAATGTCAGTCGTCAATCTGGTGTGATGGAGGTGGCTAGTCTTAGAATAGCGTCTATAAGTGGACGTCACCTCCAGAGCCAACGATGATAGTTGATGCTAGTATTCCGGTAAATCCCATTCTGTGGTTGTCGTGAGGACAAGGGCCTAATTCGTACCAGCATGTGCAAAATCCTCGCGTGAGTAGACAGGCGGCATATTTCGTACTTGTAGGTGAAGGAGTCGCTCGCTTATCGCGTTTGTACCTGGACTAGAGAACCATGTCGCACACTTACCAGGGAATTGCTGCGAGAGTCGGCATTGGTTGGGGTAAATCACATGGATACGTGGTACCAGAAACGCCAGCAGAGATCGTATTCATACCTGTAAGGGTGGAGTCGTTCAAATTCCGCGGGTCATGCAGAGATTCAACCTGACCGAACTCCTATGACCGGTACAGCAAAATACTGGTCATGGAAGCCCAATGATGGGAAAATAGGTATGGCTATCATTGTCTTATACGTGTGCCTCACACATGGAGCGAACACACCAGCCCGGAGGGGGGCCAGCTGTTGACGACTAGCTTCGAAGTGTTTTCCAAGGGGTTAGAAGCCTCTGCCGCCCGTAGTAGCTAACCGTAACGAATGGAAACCGTCTTGATACTCATAAGTTGCTCCGTTATGTTGCTCTCCGTTGTCACCCCTCCTTGCCCTGTCGCTTATGATGATGCTCTGCCTCATCGCTTCTCTTACGGCCACTCCTCCGCCACTTTTCTTCGGTTTGCTGGGATTTGCGGCCAGGAGTGACCAGCCTCGCCTCGCCCTAGACGAATCGCGCGTAAGTCTGCTGCGCTTCTCATGCTGTTGTCACAGCGATTCCGAGGACTTGGTTCTTCCAGTAAGGCATAATCCCGACCACTTGGACGTGCGGTAAGCTGCCAACCCTGTCCACCCCTCAAAACGGAACCGTGGGAACTAAAACGGCGGTGCGAGCCGAGGCCGACGAAGAACTAGACTAGAGAATCCGACGGCTAGCGAGACAGCCAGTTTAGTTGGATACTGTGACACTAGACGTCTCCACTCCATGAGCCGTGCACGTGTCTATCGCTCAATGGGCACCTTGCGGTGAAGTATATCGTGGGTCAGTGGTTTTCTACTCGGTAACAATATTCGGTGCTGCTCCTTGGAGGCAAGCAAGAGCGTATTCTTCAATCATCTTTAATTCACGTCCTTTTTTGGCTCGGCTTTGCGAGCCCATACGTTGCGCTCCCCTGCACAAACGCCCGATTGGTGCGATGCTGACAGCCACCACATCGAACTGCGAACCAACACTTTGCTGAACGGAGTATAAAATTTTTTTGTTCTCTCTGTGAAGACCTGCTGTTGGTACAAGCGCTTTTCCACCCTAGTCACGCGCCCTTTTTTGTCAAAAGAAAAAAAGAAACAAACAAACAAAGAAAAAAAAGGAGTGTGTGGTTCCGGGAAATTGGTAACTCTCTGTTGAAGAGGCATCCAGCCTAGGACGCCATCCGCTCAAAAAAAGGGCTTCTAACCCCCCAGTCGATCCCAGGGTATCGAGAAAATGTTGATGTCGAAAGGAAGAAAACGAAAAGAAAGTGAAAAGAACAACCCGAAAAAGGAAAATTGCTTGTGAATGCTGAATCTATCATTATTCCATCCGCTGTACCGCTTTTAGCCGTTAATTACGGCGCTTTGCAAAAATAAAGGCAACAATTGCTATTCCTTCATGGCTTCGGCCGCATCGGCAAATGTGCCGACAAGCGCTGCATCGTCTTCGTCCAGTGTCTTTAGGCTGGTTGGGCGGTCCCCATGCAGTTCATTCGCATCCTCGTCGGCGAGCCAGTCGACCTTGATGCCCGGCGGCGGGCTGTCTTCATGTGTGCTCAGTTTAGATACGAGATGGTGGTAGCGCGCTACACGAGCGCCTTGGCCGGAGTAGACAAACGTCGACGATGATACCCGACCGGAATCCTGTGGCGCAATCTCGAAGATATCGACCATGTTACTAGGACCTCCAAGTCAGTGTCTTGGTTCGTAGGCGAAGGCGGCAGTTACGTAATTGTCAAGAACTCACTTGGATGTCTTTGCGACAACCCTCTGCAATGCCTCGTTCTCACGCTGCACCTCTGCGGTGTCGCCTTCGCCGTTCAGCGCAGCATCGCCGAAGCTGCCATATTGCACGTCATTTCCGTCGCCGTACAACAGTCGGTTCTCTTCGCTCTGAAGCAACACGTAATTAGCACCGGAAGAATCGCATCGCAGCCAAGTAGTAGGTAGTAGAGCGCACCTCATCGTAGACGTCCCTTTGTCGCCGTCCCAAGCATGATTGACAGAGTCCCATGATCTCTGTGTCGGAATTGCGCGAGTGCGTGCGGCAGCTCGGCGCGAGTAATTGACGCGTTTATCGGATACTGTAGAGATGGCGGCGTGTTGATACCATTTTCTAGGGCAGACAGCGGCGCAGTCCAGGGCAAAAATGCGTGGTTTTGTCGCTCGAAAACCCCTGCCGCGATGCCTGTCGTTTGATTTGGCAAAGGTTGAAGCCGGCCTTTGGCTCACGAGCTCCTTCGGGTAAACTTCGGGCCGCGCAGCGCAAACGCATGCTCTAGAGGCGATTCCCGTTTTGGCTGCTCCCTTTTCTATTCCTGGAATCAGCACCAGTTACAGCGTCATATAACGGCCCCTTTCTACTACTGCACAATACTGTGCTACGCTTGGGAACAAACATTTGCTTTAATCAATTCAGTCCCTAGATTCTGTATGAAATCTTCAGCGCTGTGGAATGTGCTGCTTCAAATAGCCTTCATCAGCTCTTGCCCCTTACAGACCTCGTCGAGAGTGCCGAATGGTCGCCTTATACTAGGGAGTCTCCCTTATAGAACCAACTTGGTGGTGCCCTTGAATTCAGTGATCCCTTAAAATTAATATATAGATTTATCAGCACCCTCTTTAGTACTTTTTCTCTCCCCTCTGCACTGTCTTGGCTGATATCGTAGTCCTAATAGCAGTAGGCAAGCTGGAGTTTTCTATACTATATGATCTCAAGGGGTTTAGGGGCCTCCTTTATATCGCTGTCCCATTCTTTACACATTAACTCTACTCTTTGAGCTCAAGGTGAGTATGGTGAGTACATCTCTCAGCTAGACTCAAGCACCCTTTGATGAGGATAGAATGAGGATATAAGAAACCATGACGGTCGCCTCTTCAATCAGGTTTTCCATCATCATCTTCAACATACTTCTCTACCATCCTCATACACATTGAAGCAACCATACCTGAGGTGTCCTATAATTTCTTACAAGCTCATTTGACGCTTATTCGCATTTGCTTATTCACAATGCTTAGCAAATTTCCACTGGCCATAGTGGCTATTCTTCCACTAGCTAATGCCCGCTTCAACCACCTCAGAGCAGAAAGCACTGACACGGCTCAGTGCTGTCCGTGTCTACCAAGTGGACTCAATCCAACCGAGACCACAGTAACTGTTACTGTTGCGAGCCCCAAAGAAACTGTAACAATTGACCACACAATCGTCCAGCCTGCAACTACCATCTTCGTTACTCAGACCTATACCCCTGGCTCGCCTACTGTTGTCACTCAGGAGGTCACTGTTCATCCTGAGCCACCGGTAAAGACTGAGACAGTGATCAGTGGCAGTGTTGGAAATCCGGACTCTTCAATTACGCTAAAGAAAGCCACTACAAAGACTGTTACGAAGACGGTGCAGGCTGGAGGGGTACAATCTGGAGAAACCCAACCCGAACCACCAAAGACAGTGACGGTGACGGTCAAGCCAGACCAAAGCAGCCCTACTGAAATGTCCACAGCGGCTGGAGAGTCTAAACCAGCTAGCTCTCCATCTGCTTTGCCCAACTCCACTGTGACTATTACCATCAGTCAAGCTAAGCTGTCATCCTCAGCTGAGTCGCCACGCCCAGATAGCAGCTCAGGAAATGGCGTTACTACCGTCACTTCTATGCAGACGCCGGACGCTGTCGAGACGGTGACAGTTGTGGCAAACCCAAGCACTACTACAATCACTTTAGCCAGCAACCCGTCAAATTCGACCGTTGAGACGGCCTCTTCTATGGAGAATCCAGCAAGCTCAAGCAGTACTACTGTGACTCCGGCTAGTAGTCCTTCAGTCTCTCCAACTGTCCAAACGGCACTCTTTGAAGAAACCTCAGCAAGCGCCAGCACTGCTGCAGCGACTCCAGCCAGCAGTCCTTCACACTCTCCTAGTACTCAAACAGCACCTCTCGTAGAGAACCAGCCAAAGCCAAGCTCTACCCCAGAGTCTCCCGCAACGAGTTCCCCAACTTCAGTTTCATCAATCTCTACCATCAATAACTTAGCTGGTCCAAACGCAACAGTGACCTTTGTGCCAGATCCTCTCGCCAGCTCCTCGCCTCCTCAGCCAGCCATCACAACTCCACCACAAGTCGGCACAATCTCCCAGAACATTACCCAATTCACCACTCTCACACAGACAGTCACTGCCGGAGGTACCGTCAACGTTGAGATCATCATCGTCAACATCTTCACTGGAGAGACCACCTGCATAAAGAAGGGTAGCGGCGAGCCGTGCGATTCGAAGCCCGAGGTTCATCCTTCGGGAGAGCTTGTCACTTGCTTGACGACTGGAATCTTTACGGAGACGGCTACTGCTTTCAATACTGTTATCGTGACGGTTGAATCTGGCACGTGGACGAATGGAACATCTGCGACTGAAGCTGCTCTACCGCTCGGGACAGGAACTGGTAGCCCTGTTGTAGGAACTGGTAGTCCTGCAGTTGGGACTGGCAGCCCTATGCTCCGCAGGGGTAGAGTGCCATTGATTCGAAAGCGCTTATAAGACGGCGAAGAGAGAGGCAGCGGTGCTATAATGGTTGCGGAAAAGTGAAGTGTAATTTTACGAGAGGAGTGCTTTTATATACTTGTAGTGTGTGTGTCTATGTAATCTACCTAGTGGTATATCAGGTTCTTATAGGGGTTAATGGGCTTGCTTGGATTGTTGTTTTCAATGATCTTTCATCTGCTGTTTCGATAGTAAGATAGGTACCTATGCAATTGTTAATTTACAATTTTACTCTCAAGTTAGTAAGATAGCAATGCAATTCTTCAGTTACACTGTTACTCTCTGGCATCTCAATCTTGAATTTCACATATATACACAACTCCCTTACAAACTGCACTATTAGCACAATGATTCCACCAAAGACTCCTGAGTATAAGTCTGAAAGATGATTAATCTTGGATATTTCATAAGTTCTTCGTCAAGTACAACAAACACAATCACAGCTCATTCATCATTACATTTCTTCACGCCCAATTCTCCCGAATCACCTCCGCAATCACACCATGATCCTCATGCTGCTTCAGCCCACTCACAATCACAACCCCAACAACCCCATCCACGCCCTCCACACGAATAGGAATCGCCCCTCCATGAATCGCATACTCCCCCGCCTCACTCGGCCCCAGACCAAACTTTGCCGCAAACGCCGCCTCGTTGCCCGCGTGCTTCTGTCCCAAGAACCACGAGCTCACGCCAAACCGCAGCACAGCGGTCCTCTTGCGCTTCACCCAGCTCTCGTTGTCGGGAGTGACGCCGGGACCGGTGGCGACCTGGTAGAGAGTCTGAGTACCGGCGCCGTTGCTGATGGAGATGAGAGTTGAGCGGCCTGCCTTGGCAAAGGGGAGGAGGCGCGCGTAGAGGAGGTTTCCTAGCTCTGCGGCGTCGTCGGCTGTGAAGGAAGAGAGAGTGAAGCCCTGGCCACCGACATCTGCGTCGGTCAAAGCTTGAAGCTAATTTTTTTATAATAGTTATAATAAGTAACATGGTCTATGTCTAAATTATCGAAAGACAAACTCACCTCTTCAGGGGAGCTTCCGGCGGGAGGAGACTGAATAGCAACTGGAGCGCTGGAGCTGCGAGCTGCCTCCAGGGCCTTCTCAAGGCCGAATCCAGCCGCAAAGTTGCGTCGCCAAACCTTCTGAGCCATTGTGACTTTTTAATTGGTATGTATGTGAAATATTAAGAGAGAAAACAAAAGTGATAAGTGCAATAGGACTCAAAGAAAGAAATATATAAATAATATGCCAAGAAGGGGAGAAAAGGCAGGGGATCATTCACTAAATTTTAAACTTAAAATGGCCTCTCCGATTGATAGCATTGCGTGCGCTAGACATCGGGCCGATCACCGAATTGATCACGGAAATTGTTGCCTCTGTCCGGGATTTATCTGGATTTGCTGGTGGATCTGAGACGGAATGGTGGCTGCTAAATGGGGTGGCGTACCAGAATTGGCGGGGGCCGTCTTCGTATGGCGAGTCGTGTAAGAGAGCGATAGCTGTGTAGATGGAGTTTTGTGGAGAGGACGTGTTAATTGCTCGTGGGTCATAGAGATGCTTGCTGGATTGACTATGACGTTGATACAATTGTGGAAATAGCAGCAAAACTGCCTATCTATCTATATATCTTGCATGTCAACGTCTAGATCTATGGCTGATCCCTTTGCCCTCAGTCAACCGGACCTCTCTTAGGCTATACGAAAACAATGGGAGCCAGGCTCATCCTTTTGCCTGCTAATTCTTCACCCACACAATACTGGTATAGCAAAGTAAATACCTATATCAAAAGTCCCAAACCTATGCCGACATGAAATCATCAAATACCCTTCCACAGTACTCTCTATCCGCCATCCCTTTTCCCTGATTCGTATATAAATGAACAAACATGAATGTCGCAAAAGAAGAAAGATAAAAGAATTAGAGAAAGGGCGCAAATAAAAGGAGAGAGGAAGAACATGGATGGCAAAACCTCATGCTGCTCACATCTCTCCCGTCGCAAAACGAATGTCAACCTCCATCGTCGCATCAGACTCTCGTCGTCCCTGGGCTGGATCCGACCGCAGACCAGTACTCTCAATAACGCTCGCCACATCCGAAGTCATCTCCGACTCAAGACTTTCGATGCTCTGAAGAGCCTGGATAAACTTGCCCTGTTCCATCTTGAGCATCTCGCGCTTGGCTGCTGTCGCTGCATCTTCATCCATGAGCTTCGCGTAGATGTTCACAGAGTTTGGCCCGCGCACACCAAGCTGCTCGTCTAGGTAATTGCGCAGCTGCCGGCGAATGGCAGGGATCATGCGGCAAACGATGCGCTGCGTAACGGCATCGGAGTATCGTAGGGCGGCGAGCTTGTAGTACCCTCTAACGTACGCAACAACCTCGACCTCCCGCTCAAATTCGTCCGGCTTCAGCTTGGTTTGCTCCAATTCTCGCCGCTTCATGTCTTGGGCCTGCTTTTCTTCCGTAAGCCCTTCCCACGGAACGAGACCCTTTTGGGCGTAGCCTGCTCCTATCATTCTCATGTGATGTCGAAATCGAGTTAGCACGGCTCTCTCACTCTTCAGACACTGGTCAAATGCTTCTGTGTTGTATGTCATAACCCGCTCTGTCTCATCAGTATAAAGCTCCTGGAGTGCTCTTTGAGTTATTTGCCAATGAAAATCTAAACAGCTCTTGAGATGTCGCCGGGCCTCTGGGTAGATGAATCGTTTCTTGAGATTCTCCAGCGACTTATTCAATGCCGACTCGAGCTCAACATGAAGCAGGCGAATCACCTCTGACAAGTAGACACTGGTTGGTTTGTTCCACGGCTTAATGGCCTCCATAGCCAAGTCATTGTAGACATCTGGCGGGATGATGCTTGGCATGCCAGCCTTCATCTTGGCCTGTATTTCCTCCTTGACCTCCCTTAGTGTACGAAACCCTCGACCAATTTCGCTAAATTGTGTAAAGGGATGTACGAGGCCCATTTGACGTATGGGAAGTCCAGGTTGCGGAGTGCCAACATTAACACTGCCGGTATCCTCAGGCTTGACCATGTCTGGTGTTCCGTTGGCCATACGATCGGTTCTTGTTCGCTTCGATGGCGTTGCTTGTTGCGCTGTGTGTCGCCGTTTCGAAGGCGTGTTGAAGCTCGCCGCGGCATTATTAACCGTTGCCGCATCCGGCTCATCATCGTCTGACAGTATTACAGGATCAATGTCGCTTTGGTCTTTGAGAACGAATTTGGGCTTGATTTCCAAAAGACAGTCTCGAAAACTGATAGGTAAGCTATTGATGCGCGCGGCAAAGTCATCAATCCTGACCCGAGCGCTGTCGGCAAAGCTGTTGAGGCAAGTCTGGATTTCCAATTCCACGTTGCTGGGGAGCTCAGGGAGATTGGCCAGCTGTCGGTTAGTTTTGTCGAGAAGGTACTTGACCTTGGATTTGATGGTTGGCAAGCTACGAGACAATTACCGAATGATTAGTGCCAGAACTTATATAGATGACTTGGGACACTTACCTTTTTGCAAATTCCTCACCTAATCGCTCCGAAAGGAATGCTTTAAGTCGTTCAACACCGCAGCGGTGGACGAATTGGTGAAAGGGGGCGGGCCATTTATCCACAGACTGGTCCTCAAACATGCGCTCCTCCCATTTCTTCAATTCCTCCAAATCTTTGCCTTGGGGGCGGGAGGTGATGAAGTATCCTAGCCCTGTGGCATGAGCACGCCCCTTCATTATATCGAGCCACTGGGAGTGATTTCCACCGTCGGGAAGCAGATCTGCCTTTGTAAGCACACCGATAGTCCTATCTTTGGCTTTTAATTTTCGAGTGAGGCCAAAAGTTGCCGAGTTTTCGGCGTCACTGTTCATTGGCATGGCGCAGATTATGATGGCAGAGGGATGCTGAATGTAGGCGCTAGAAAGATTTCGGACCACGTTGACCAGATACTCGTCATTGGCGTCAGCAGGATTCTGAAAAATACCAGGCATATCGTAGAATGACAAATCCGGCAGGTCTGGGCCTTTGATCTCCAATGCAACGACATTGGGGGAGAACTTGGCGAGAGTCTCTTCTGCCGCCTTTTCAATCGGCGTGTGCATGGCAGTGGCGCCCCGGCCAGGGACGAACAAGTTGTGATTCTTGTCGTCGTTTAGAATAGCAATTTGGGCCCAGCGCAGAACTTCTTCAATCTCATTCTTGTCGTGCATCGTCTTGAATTCCAGTACGAGGGTGCTAGGTCGCTTTCGCCAAGGGAAGAAGGGGTCGTTAACGGTGACGTCTGTCTCATGTATGGCGCCATCCGGAGGCTCATAGGAATACTCTTTCCGCAGCCAAACACGACAAGACCAGTCAGCGTTGCGAGAGACGCGAATGTGTAGAGGGCATCGTGTGCAAGTTCCCTCACTCCGCGGCAAATCCAAGTTGGCAAGGCCAGACATCAAGCTGGATTTGCCGGCAGACTGATCTCCAACGAGTACTAGCTCTGGCAGCTGAACATCGTGGGACACGCCGAGTTGCTGCAGCTCTCCCAGAGTATCGTTGCAATCCTTGAGCTTCTTGCCAATGTCTTGGAACGAGGTCTGAAAGAAGCTCTCCTCCAAGTTTCGAGGGCTGGCCGCAGCCACGGTGCTTGCAGCCGGAGCGGCAGCTCTCACTTCTTGAAACACGGGGTCTGTAGGATCTGACTCTACCGTGCGTTCACTAGGCGCCGCTGTAAAGTATAATAGTCAACATCCCGGCCATTTAATAGAATCCTCGTTGCTGGCTGTATATTGGGTAGATTTTCTAGTGAGACTTACGAGCATTAGATCTGTTGCCACGAGGATCGATAAAGGAGTTATAGTACTCTGGCGCATTCAACGGTTCGCCAGCTTCGGTACTAATATCGGTGGCTGTATCGGGGCGAGAAATGGCATCTGGTTCACGTTTAACAAGAAGCTGCCGATTTCCAGGACCGCGACCACGACGAGGGGTGGAATGCGGCATGATGGCTGTTCCCTCAGAGGAGTCCTAATCCGTTTGAGCTGGGAGCCGATTATTGTTGGACATCGAGGCAATATCAGATCCTGTGAAAGGGCGGCAAATTTGAGGGCGATGGAGCGGTGGTGTATGTGGTATTCCGTCTGGTCGTATCAAAAGAATGAATGATGGATAGATATACAGCAGGGTATAGCGATGGATGACAGGGTGAATCGATCAATGAGAGCTAGGCAGCAAGGGTAAAGGACAAAAATCAGAGAGAAAAGAGCCGTTCGCAGTGAAGAGAGAAGAAAATTAAACAAGGTAAAAGAAAATAAATAAATAAAAGAACACGATCAATGACAGAAAAGTGAGAATCGCGCAAAGTGACGCGTGAGTGAATCGGCTTTGGGCTCAGAACGCTGAGAAAGAAGCCAAGTTGTTGATAGCACTGATATTCACCCAGACAACTGCTGGCCCCATCGGCGCTAATGCTTGATAGAGGAGTCTGTGCCTGATTCGACCGCCAGCGAGCTGCGCAGAGTGTGAGTGCCGGATAATGGCATAAAACAAGGCATTGGCTTCTGTTGAAGAGACGAGTCAAAGGAGGGGAGACTGACGGTGCGATTGGCCACGCTGCGACCTCTGCAGCAGCGAGTGCGTTAACAGAAATGAACGGCGATGCTGTCTGAAGCTTGACTCTGGTGTTGTTTTAGCTGGAGCTGGAATTGCAGCTTGAGTGGTTGCCCAAAAAGGGGGGCTGGTAACTATCAGGTCCAGGACTGCAGACACCACGTGACTGCCTGTATGCATTGCATATGATGGAGGCATTGATCTCCTCTCTGGGAAGAAGTTATGTATTCATCTGTATTCGCGATAAATGTAATAGTAACAATGACTTGTTTTACTGAGTTTCCTACCGTCCTTGTCCTTTCTCTTCAAGCATCCGTACCTCGTTTACAGTACTACATACTGCCTTGTTCATACCGGCCCCAGTTCAGTTACTGAGAAGCGCCTAGTGTCGCTTCCAGCAGTGGATCCAGCGAAAAAGAGAGCTCTGCTGCTAATTTTGTCCATGCTGTGCATTGCCACTTGCCATGAACGGAGCACTAAAGATACAGTAGAGTGCTAAGCTTTGTGAAAAGTACTGGGTACCTCGTAGTCGCAGCCTTGTCGGTAGTCCTGCAGTTGCTACAAGATGATCTTCTGCCGGTTTGGCCATCACTCTGATCTCTTATGCAGGGATTTACGGCCAGTTTTCGATCCAGACAGCAATGCATTGCACCGTAAAGTTTTCATTTGTCCACGACGGCACCAAACACGCGAATTTCGCTGATGACCAAATGCGACCCTGCCTAAGCTGTGAACAAGGCTGTGCAAGTACTCTTGTACCTGCACCACCGCCTTGGAGAAAAAAAAAACTGTCAAGAGAAATTTAGTCTTTCGCCATTGTGCTCTTAGCTCAACGCAACCCCGTCCAACTTTACAGCCTCTCTGTTCTTCTCCCTTGGGCTGCAAACTCAATTCACCTGCGGGCACTCTGCTAGACTCAAAAGATCATCATGGACGTCACGGCTGATGGACGAAACGACGCCTTGGCTGACGGCCGGCGCATCTACTTAGGCGCGGCTACCTGAACACTCTCCATATTGCGGCCATGAAAACTGACTGGTCAAGGCAGGCAACCTCCACTATGTGCTCAAGTCCGAGGACATTGAGGAGTTTCTCATTGCCAACGGCTTTGACGACATTGAGAACATCCACATGTCCATTGACGCCGTCAGCAACCGCAACCCGGGCTACTGCTTTGTGGACTTTGCCCAGCGAGCAACTGCTGAGCGCGCTCTCACCTCGCTCCAGGCATCGCTCCGCGGCCGTGAGATCAAGGTCGGCCCGTGCGAGCCTAGGAAGAAGCGCAATGAGAACGGCCGCTCTGGCTTCCAGCAGCGAACTGGTGACTGGAGAGGTGCGCCCGCTGGCGAGGATGCCCAGCAGTACCAGAACGACCAGCGGCCCCGTGGCGGCTTCAACCGCTCCGAGGAGGTGGTTGATGAGTCCCAGGGAAAGCGCCTGTATGTTGGCGGCCTGGCCAAGATGGGAGACCAGGACCAGAACAACCAAGAGGTGATGGGAATCTTTACCGGATTCAACCCGTATGCTCTCTCTCTCTCTCTCTCTCTCTCTCTCTCTCTTTCTTTCTTTCTCTCACTTGAGAAACTCACCGTGTAAACTCATGACTAATGATGACAACCCAAACTAGCTCGTATATTGGCAAGCGCATTGCCCCCCATGATAGCACCAGAAGCCCTGCTGGAACCTACTACTACTGCTTTGTTGACTTTGAGACCAAGGAGGAGGCCGAAGCCGCCATGCAGGCCCTCGACGGTGCCGCCTACGATGGAGGCGTGCTGAAGGTTTCACTGGCCAAGAGAAACGACAGACAGTCCACCCGCACCAACGCGACACCGGATCGCAACGGCCAGGGACGTGGCTGGTCACGCCCATCCAACCCCCGACCCGAGGGCGGATTGCCGCCGGCGGCCAGGGCCATGGGATCCAACAACTGGAGGAAGCGAGATGCTGAGTAGATGACGACGACACACACACGACTTCTTCCGCCCGCTACCACCACCACCACCACTACCACTGCCATAGCGAAAATTGGAGTGAGGGAACGAGAGAGGAGACTTCAGACGAGGTCGTAGTAATGCTGAGACAAAAAATTTCACTTGGGAGCATCATGTATTAATTCATTTATTCTTATGTATTTGTTCCTTTTACAGACAAAAAATGGCAGAATGCGGGGTATCACGACGAGCAAATATGACATGAGTTGGCGTTGAGCTGAGCTGAGTTGCGTTGAGTTGCGTGGAGTTGCATCAAGACAGACCCTTCCTGCTTGTGAAAAAAAAAAAAAAAAAAAAAAAAAAAAAAAAAAAACTCCAAATGCCAAAACATGCACATACACCACCACCGGCATCACCCCCCCAAAAAAAAAAAAATATGCTTTTCTGGCTCATTCAACATCCCATCCCGTATTTTCTGCCCCTTGGTCCCCTGTTTTTTCCTTAGCTTCAGGAACAGCCACCACGTGCGGCAATCTCCCACCGCCGCGGGGTCTTTTTTCTCGTGTCCCGCACTCGCTTAATTGCATATCCCGTCGTATTCCCCCCTTGTCGTCCATGCCACCAATTTCACGGACAGCGTCGTGCAGCGGCAGCTCCACCGCCTTGCCTTTGCCCAATTCGCCGGCGAGCGTCTCTTTCTCTGCCCTTCGCGCTGCTTTTGCCTTGAGCGAGTGATTGTTGCTTCGTGTCTGTTCTCGTTTCTCTGTTTTCCGCTGTTCCGCTGAGGCTCCAGCTGCTGCTTGTGCCAAGATACCCCTCCTTGAGCTCTCCACCACGATGTCTCTCCACGTTCCTCTGCCCCATCGCTCTGCCACTCCAGTGGGCGCCGCCACCAAGGCCGTGATTCTGGTAATGAAATGACCTTTTTTCTTTCTTTCTTTTGGAAACGATTTCCCGCTCTAGCCTCTTCATTGGGACTTGCGATTTCCTCGTCAATGGTTGCGACAACGCCCTTGGGTATCATAGCTGAGCCTCGACTAACAGCGCACACCGCTGATACCCAACCAGCTGCCCATCATATCACTGCTCCTGTGAACTTGATATTGAGCTTCTGGCTAACCTTTCCCTTCTATTCTACAGGTCGGTGGCCCCTCTCGTGGCACGCGATTCCGCCCTCTCTCGCTTGATCTCCCCAAGCCCCTTTTCGAAGTCGCCGGCCACCCCATCATCTGGCACTGCCTGTCGTCCGTCGCCCGCGTCAAGCACATCCAGGAAGTCTACATCATCGGCTACTACGACGAGTCCGTCTTCCGCGACTTCATCAAGGACTCGGCCAAGGAGTTCCCCGGCATCAACCTGCGATATCTGCGCGAGTACGAGGCGCTGGGCACCGCCGGCGGCCTGTACCACTTCCGCGATGCCATCCTCAAGGGCCGCCCCGAGCGCCTCTTTGTTCTCAACGCCGACGTCTGCTGCTCGTTCCCGCTCGAGGAGATGCTCAAGCTCTTCATCGAGAGGGACGCCGAGGCCGTCATTCTCGGCACCCGCGTCAGCAACGACGCCGCCTCCAACTTTGGCTGCATCGTCTCCGACTCCCACACCCGCCGAGTGCTTCACTACGTCGAGAAGCCCGAGTCGCACATCAGCAACCTGATCAACTGTGGCGTCTACCTCTTCTCCACCGATGCCATCTTCCCCTCCATCCGATCTGCCATCAAGCGCCGCACCGATCGCCCGGCCCGTCTCGTCTCCTACCCTTCTTCCGACAACCTGGATAGCTTCACCATGCCCCGTGCCGTTGCCGAGGATGACGACGACGAGGACAAGAAGGAGGTCATCCGCCTCGAGCAGGACATTCTGGGCGACATGGCCGACAGCAAGCAGTTCTTTGTCTACGAGACCAAGGACTTCTGGCGCCAGATCAAGACCGCCGGCTCTGCGGTGCCCGCCAACGCGCTGTATCTGCAAAAGGCCTCGCAGACCGGCAGCGACGAACTCGCCCCCGCAAGCGCCAACATCGTGCCCCCCGTCTTTATCCACCCTACCGCCGACGTCCACCCCACCGCCAAGCTCGGCCCCAACGTCAGCATCGGACCCCGCGTCGTCGTCGGTGCCGGTGCTCGTATCAAGGAGAGCATCGTGCTAGAAGACTCCGAGATCAAGCACGACGCCTGCGTTTTGTACTCCATCATTGGATGGGGCAGCCGTGTTGGTGCTTGGGCTCGTGTCGAAGGTTCGCCCCTTCCTGCTGGCAGCCACTCTACCAGCATCATCAAGAACGGCGTCAAGGTGCAGAGCATTTCCATCCTTGGCAAGGACTGCGGCGTTGGGGATGAGGTTCATGTGCAGAACTGCGTCTGCCTGCCATACAAGGAGTTGAAGCGGGTGTGTTGTTCTCTCCCCCTTTTTCCCGCAATCTCATGCTAACATGTATTTGCTAGGATGTCGCCAACGAAGTAATCATGTAAAGGCCGTGATTGGCACTGAGAGTTGAATAAGTGGTAAGAGTAGACGACAGAGTAACTTTGACTGCAGTTGTTGTTACCCAAGGCAAATAAGATGCCGAAAAAGAGAATTAAAACAATGTGAAAGTTATAAAAAAAAACATGTTTCCCTGTTTGCAATTATGTCACGCGTTCTATTCCTGCGTGTTGGCTCTGCATACAAAAGCACATGTAGGACTCAGCTATAGAATATTAATATTGAACGAAGCGCCTGTTTTGAGCATTGGAACAAGCAGACGGTGATTATCAACTTGACGAATAATAAAGAGATACAGGATGAGACAGCAGCCTACAAGACTCTCCTGACAAGGCAATGGCGACATACATGCTTGAAGCCAAGACTTGGTCCATCACCATAATTTATCCTTAACCTGAACCGAAAAAAAATATCATTAGGGGGTAGTTGTTTGTACCCAAGTTCCCAGCCTACCTACTAACCTAAAACATTAAAAAGTATCTCATCTCCTCCGGCTTACAGCTACCTACCACTAACTGCCCCCATCACCGCTTCTTTTCCACCTTCTCCCTGAACAACTGCATAATGTCACGTACATTTCTCGCAACAGCAATGTCAATCGCCGTCCTCAGCTCAGCATCCTCCCTCCGCGGATCCAAGCCCAGCTCCATCAACTTCTGAAACGCCGTCTTGACATCTTCTTTCTGGTCCCAATCCGAGCTATCGGCGGGAATCTCACGACTTGCCGTTATATGAAGCAGCGTCCGCCCTCGTGCGTCCACGGCCATCAGATCGGCGCCTAGATCAACAAAGACGCTCAGCGCCGTCGCGTGATTCACGTCATTGGCAATTGCATATTTCGGACGCAAAATCTTTCCCGTTGGATCGTCTGTGCCTTTCCAGCCAGCAGCTGTGAAACTCATGACGGGAGTCTCACCGCTGGCGTTTCGGATGTTGATATCGCCACTGGCAGAAAGCTCGCGGAAGAGTTTGGTGGTTTCGGCAGCCCTTTCGGCATGGCCTACCAGACGGGGTGCAAGCTGGTGTAGCGTCGAGTTACTCGTTACGGGGTCCGGCTCGCTCACATCGGCGCCTGCGGATATGAGATGTTTGATTGCGAATAGAGATTCCTGGCGGCGATCCGCATACACCGCCAGTGCCAAGTGGAGAGGCTTGCGACCTTGGTTGTCGGCCATGTTGACGGCGGCTGGACCGTGTTCAACCAGCGTGATGAAAGCCTGTCGTTGCTCCTCGTCATACTTCCCAGGAAGCGTGCAGAGCCAATGCAGCGGTGTACGCCCTTCGTCATCGACAGCAAGGGCATCGGCTTTGTGCCGTAAGAGGCCGAGCACAGAATTTGGCACGATGCTCGGGGATAGTGGGTTGCTGTCGTATCTTGGTGGTTCTTTACGGATAGTCGGAACGCAAGCCGAGGTTAATAGGGAGCGTCCATGCTGGCCACGGCGGTTGATATCCGTTTGTGAGAGTCGAGGGAGGAAGCTGTCTAGTTGGCCATGGTCCTCGATGATACAGTGGAGCAGACATCTTCCATTTTGGTACATTGCCATTGGATCAGCGCCAAACGAAAGCAATAATTCTGTCGTTGCCTGTTTTCGCGAATCGACATCTTCCCATTGGTAGTCATTGATTGTTGACGGCAGGGATGCGCCGTACAAGCATACCTCGTGGAGTGCATACCGTACGTCTTCTTTCCCCGTCCCAGGTGCTGGCAGCTCATTTGGACTTAGTCCTGCTTGTAATAGCAGCTTGATTGTCTCTGGATCATTCCATCTCGCCACCATCCGGGCTATGAGCCCTGGGACAAGCCCAACATCCGCTCCATACTCGAGCAAGGTTCTCGTGATCTCAGCCCTGTCCGACATCTCCAACGCCGAGTGCGCACGCGATCCCTCTGTCTCCAACACAATTGCATTTACGTCAGCCCCATTTTGTAGTAATATCCTTATGGTCTCCTCTCGCCAGTAACCATGAGGCCACTCATGGTGCAGAGCCGCCAGCAACGGTGTCATGCCGTACTTGTTCCGTGCTTCTATATTCGCCCCCTTTGACAGAAGGTACTCTAGCGCCTCAATCTGCCAAAAGTGACTACCGCTCGCCAGGATGTGCAATGCGGTGCCTCCTCGCAACTTGTAAATGAATCCTCGTTCGTTATAGACGGCATTGACGTCAACACCGAGCTTATCAACGAGCAGCTGTATAATGTGTAAAGATGGGAGGTCACGTCTGCAGGCTGCACCAAGAAGCGTACAGCAATTTTCCTCGTCTGTCTGAACCCAGTCTTGGGCTTCAAAAAGGTGCACTTTATCGGCAAAGTACTCGAATAGGTCGACGTATCCTCCGCGGACAAGGAGATGAAGAAGAGTATTATCCCCACACTGGTCCAGTGCAAGCACATCACCACCCAGCAATGCGTATTCTTTGACACTGTCGTGATCCCCGTCATGCAGAGCACACTTCAAAGGGTCTAGTTTGTCAAGTCTGGGCTTCTTTCTAGCCTTGTGGTTAGCCTGCATGTCCAATATGGCCTGTCCATCAGCTATGTAGTACAGCTTGTCTTCGCTAAGAGGACGATACTTTTCATAAAGGATGGACCATCGCCCTCGTAACAAAGTACTATGCGGCAGACTGGAGCTTGTAGCCGACACAGCACGGGCTTCTTGAGCCGCTTTGTGTGTATCTGTGGCCAAAATAAAGTCTGGCGACTGTATGTGGTTGTCCCGGGCTTTGACGCCGCGGGTGAGAAGCGCGCGCACCATGTCCCAGCACTTCTCCTCTACCGCCATATCCAAAGGAGTTACAGTCTTGGTCCTCCCGTCGTCATCTTCGACAACTGCCTCGACGGTCAAATCAACTCCGACTTGCTGCAACATGAGAACGATATCCGCCGCATGGGTCCGGCGCCGGCGCCATAGATCTTCCAAAGGTTCAAACTCGGCCAGGGAATGGAGCGGCATAAGGCCATCCACATCTAACAACCAGGGGTCTGCGCCATGGCGGAGTAGCTCCCAGACACTCTCTGGCCGTCCAGAACGACAGGCGTAATGTAGTGGTGCCATACCCTCGCCTAAAAGATTGACGTGTTTCTCAAGCACACCTCGACATCGATACTCTGAAAGGAGGAGGCTGACGATGGAAGCAGCCCCCTCACGGGAGGCGATATGTAGCGGGGATAGATTATCCGCCGTGAGAATAGTTGGATCAGCTCCGGCACGAAGAAGAGAAGCTACAGCTATTTCCCCAAGAGCTACGGCGTTGTGTATGGGAGCAAAGCCGTTCACGTCCTGCTCGTTCAGATTTAGCCCCTTGAACAAAGGGTTTTTAAGCACATATTCCAGGACTTTGTGATTTTTCACCACATGCAGCGCCGCTTCCCCTTTTCCATTCTTCGCAAGCGGTGAGACACCAGCCTCGACCAGAAGTTGTATTATTGCAATGAATCTGCTCTCTTTTCCAGGGGAGCGAAGGACTGAGTGGATGAGAGTGTCCCCTCCACCGCCGAGGACATCTGGCTTTGCGCCAATCGACATCATATAGCGAAACCAATCTGCTCCCTTCTTGAAATCTTTCGCCGCATCGTGCAATAGCGTTACGTCATCTCTGGCGGATGCTTTCGAATCAGCCCCGAGGCGGATAAACATTTCCATTACATCGAGGTCATCTTTAAATCTCTCGCTGATGACCCTTAGAATACTCTCGCCTTTCTCCTCATCACGAACGTTCAAATCCATTCCAGCTTCGACAAGAACTCGAAGCAAAGGTTCGTCATTGTCCGTACGACTTTGTAGGTCCATAGGATTGCTTTGCCTATATTTCCACACAGGCGGATGGCCTTTCCGGTTCCGATGATTCAGGTCCACGCGAGAGTTTAACAGCAGCTGAATAAAAGGCAAAAATTCAGTATCGGAGAAGAATTGAATGCTATGCATGATGTGATGGAATACATTATCCCCGTCTTTGTCTGCAATGTGTACATCAGCTCCGAGATCAACGATTTTTTGGAAAAACCGGACATCTGGTTTCAGCCTGCCCATACGGAATGAGTGGCTTATTTTATTTATGATCTCTAGCAGAGGTGTTCGTCCATTGTTGTTCACCGAGTTGAGATCTGCTCCATATTCAACCAGAGCGTCTAGTAGTTGGGGCTTCTCTGGGTTAGCGAAATGCATAGGTGTCTCTCCTGTGTCTGTCGCGGCGTTGGGCTCGGCTCCTTGCAACAAGAGGGCGCGGGTGAGGATCTCTTCAGAATAGTCCAACTTGCCCCAGTAGCCAAGGCTAGTCTGGGTTTTTTGCACAGCAAGATGGAGAGGCGTCAAATTCTGGCCACGGAGAGAACGATTCCATTTCATTGTGGCGTTGACTTTTGCTCCAGTCGCTACAAGAACTCGAACACATTCTTCCGCCTTCTTCACTTCTTCCTTCATGAGAACGCACCTCTCGTCAGGAGTGGAAAACGCGTGAAGAGGTGTTGGTCCTCCTTCGTGGTCAACTTGCAGAGTAATTTCGCCACAGGTCCATAAACGCTCTCGGGCACATCTCTTATTTGGATCTGCTCCGTATTTGAGCAGTAACTTGATCAAATCCAGCTTGTGGCGCTTAGCTGCCCTAAACAGCCTTGTCTCCCCATCCCGAAAGCAGTCGATATCGACCTTGCCCGTGTTTAGAATGGCCTCTATATTTTCCACATTATCGACCTGATGGAAGCATTTGTTTACTTCGGCCGGCGGAATGAAGGGCATGAATGCCTGCACTACTTGAGTATTATCACCTCGAAACGCAAAGGACAGGGCAGTCTTTCTCCGACTCTCGGCTTCCTCTTCTGAATACACTTTGTGGTATTGGTCATAAGCATCGAATTCCTCAAGAACTGGAAATGTTTTAATCAGAGGGTCAACACCCGCGGCTAGTAAAAGTCGAACCACCTCCGAATGCCCTTTCAATGCCGCCCAGTGCAGAGGCATTCGACCAAGAGTCCCACCCGACTGCGCTTCTGCACCTTTGGCAAGCAGAAACCGGGCAATGTCGTCATGACCATTCTCAGCAGCATAGGACAATGGAGTACGGCCATCTGAATCACGAGCGTCAAGCAGTGTTGGCTCGTTGGCCTCAAATATCTCGACTACCGCCAGTGGCATGGCGAGGGGGGCTTGCACAGCGGTGGCAAGGTGAAAAACGGTAAAAGAGGCAGATAGCCGCCCTCTCCAATTCATCAGCATCCACGTCTCAAATGCTGGCTTTCCAGGGCACAGATGGTGAGTCAAGGCTTCTCGAACAACAGCGAGCGGCTGCGCCGATGCCTTCCTGAGGTGGAAGGCGAGATTATCAGCAGCGTAGGAGACCAGGGGATGAGTGATTCGCAAATTAGTTACGAGATCCCGTCTCCTTATTGTCTCTTTGACTCTCGAATTGTAATGGTCGTAGTTTACCTCTCTGTGGTCATCGATAGTGGCGTCGAAATGCGGACAGCCATTGAGAAACTCCAGCAAGAGCACACTCAGCGTCTCGTGCGAAGCTGTGTCATCAAGAACAGGGAAAGCGGCGGCGCTCTTCTTTCTGGTGGCATCATGCAGAAACTCGGTGAATGAATGGTGGATGACGCTCACGCTCTCGTCTTCCAAAAGTTCCAATAATCTACCGCAGCTGCGCCGCACCAAGTCTTTTCCTTGTCCGAGACTGATGTGTAGCATGTTGGAGAGCAGCGATCCAAGCTCAATCAGTCGTAGCGGCCGGCTCGCGTGCGTTACACACATGAGGACCTTGGCTTGTTGCTCCGTTGTTACTCCGCTGCGATGAGAATGCTCTCGTAACATGCCCTCATACACGTCTTGGAGGGTTCGTGGAAGGCGGTCCAGACTGCCAGGCAGAGTCTCTTCGGTGATGTGCCCATCCCGCAAGCCTTCAGCCAAGTTATCTGCAACAAGCCTGGCGTGGAGAAAGAGCCCGTTGGCTCGTTCACAGATGGTCTGCTTTACGAGCTCATTTTTGTCGTCGCTTAATGGGGGATCCAGCGTGGCCATCCTGGCGTCAACATAACGTGCCACATCTGGGAAGAGTAGGGCAGGGTCAAGCTTCAGCTTCACGATTCTCGGGCTGCTAAACTTTTGTTCAATCTTGGGCAGCGGCCTGCTGGTCATCATAACCCTGACTTTACCAGGTGCGGCGGTGCCCAGCTCAACGAGGCGATCAGCCATGCCCTCAAAATCCCCATCGTCCATCTCATCCAAGGCGTCCACCACGCAGTAGACATTCTTTGCGATGCCCTTGGTAAGAGCCTCAACGAGAGCGGGCCATACCAGGCTGCTTTCATTGCCGCTGACGGCATGGTCCTGCGATAGCGCCGTCAAGGCGGTTACCAGGGCAGGGCAATGAGGAAGCAGTTGCGCGGCAAAGTCTCGCACAAGGTAGCTGGCGCTGTGGTTCTTGTCGACGATCTGGCGAAAGAAGAAGAAGAGGACGACATGGCCAGACTCTTGCAGCTGGCGCACGGTGCTGGCCGAGAAGACGGACTTTCCGCTGCCAGCAACTCCCCGGACGTGGAGACACGAGCCGCCGTCGCCATCACGGTCTTGGCCAGAGCTGGAGTCGGAGCTGGAGCCGGAGCTGGCCCAAGCGCGAAAGACGGGCGACCTGTGGATCCATCCGCCAGTTCCAGGCACGTGCGAGTGCAGATGCTTCATGAACTCGCTGCCTGGAGAGAGAAAGTCGGTTGGCTGGAGCCATTTCTGCAGGGCATGGAGTCGCTGCTCGATCGAGTCGCCGTGGCTGGGTGGAGGCGCAGGCACCGCGTCGCGCTCTACGATTTCGAACGCCTGATCCGGGTCGGAATCATCACCGGCCATGGCGACTCCTCCTCTCATAAAGACGATGAAGCAGCGTGGAGTCGAGAACTGGACGCGCAAATCATGGCGGCGACGCGACCTTTTTATCGCTGTCTGGTAGCGCTGGCTTGCGAAGGATGGAGACGGGCAAGTGCAGCATCGCCTCGTCGGCCTTTGCCTAATCCGGTCTCGACTCTGCCAAAAAGCGTGTCCGTTGAGTCATACCGTGATGCTAAGCAGCAAAAGACAATCAAGCTGGTTACAGCCGGAAATGAGGAGGACGATGGTGTTTTTGGTGTCGCAGAGACTCTGAAGGCATCGGTTTGACACGAGGTGGAGATACAGGCTGAGATAGGGCCAAGTTTAAGGACTTGTTAGAAAGGGGCATTAAAACTCCATGCCTATAAGAGTTTAGGAATAAGACAGGCGCATTTACCTTCTCGGCAACAGTATAGTATTGATGTGGTATTAAATAGCTGTAAAAAGAGAGAAAGANAAAAAAAAAAAAAAAAAAAAAAGGTTAACGGGGCTTGGGAAAGTGGCTCGGCAAGGCTACGTGACAGATGGCCAATTTGAACAATATACCAACTGTCTAAGGCGCTAATACGTAAATGCTGTTCAGGGACTTGATACACCCTCAACTTTAATGGTGTTGGAAAAGAAGTACATTGAGGAATTTACTCACAAGAATTATGCTGGGTTGTGCTGACCATCGCTCCAAGAAAACGAGGCACACATATTGTAGTCATCGTCCTTTTACTTCATAAACGGCCCTTTCCTGCATTGATTCAACTGTTGACAGAATTGCTGGCTGGCTTCACAAAACCTTCATTTAACTGTATAGTATTTTTTACCAAGATGCATTTTATCCCTTTATCATTTTCTAGTATATGATCTGTGATAATGTTGCTCTTTCTCTATTAGACATTCTTAAATTCTTCAAATGTCTTCGGCTGCTTTACAATAGCAGCCTCCGAATCCGAATCCTCCCTCTTTCTTTTCAAAATCTTCGTTTCATCGTCTTTATCAATAATGCTGTTGAGCTGCCTGGAAAAATCAATAATAATTGTCAAGTCCAAACTCATTCCAATAGCTACTATCGATCCCGATGAATCCCAATACCCTTGTCTTTGTGGGCGAAATCCATCTGGTATCCATACCAGTCGCTCGTTGTTTTTAGTTACCCAGCTGAATTGGCTGCTATCTGTCTCGCCTCGCCATTGTTGATTATAGGGTATCATATAGACCTTATTATGCGCCTGTTCTATCCCTCGCTTGTCAAGTGAGTAACGGTAAGGCATATCGCGGACATCAATGGCTTCATTTATGTCAACACGCCAGTGCTCCTCTATGGCGTCACGACCCTGCATCGCTCTCCAAGTAATAAATACGGAGTTGAACGAGATTGCCATTTGTTTCGTGGAACTTTCTTTGTAGACATAGAGACCAAAACGAAGGCGAGGGGCAGAGTATTCAGCAATGCACCTATATTCTTTTTCATTGTTCCTTTGCAGGATGAACATACCTCTTGACTGGCCACAAGCAATAATATCCATGTCAACAGATACTGCTATTTGAGAAACTTGCGAGTCTTCATCCATGCTCTGCAATTCCATCACTGACAGGACGTCCCTGCATTCGCCTGTGTCAAGCTTCCATAGGCGCAGGATTCTCTTTTTGTCAACTGATATAAGGGTTGAAGAATCAGGTGAGAAAGCTATAGCAGTTACTGATTCATGGTGGCCTTTGCATATTGCAAAGCATTCACCTGTATCAGTTCGTTGTAATGTTATTTTTGTGCTTGCAAAGCTCCACGAAGCGACAACTGATGAGTCAGGTGAAATATTCACCCACAAATACCCCCAATCAGAGAGATGGTCTTTCTTTGGAATCACCCCACGATTGTTGCCAGGAGGTAATTGCCAGATACGAATAGTGTTGCTATAGCCATCTGACCCTGCGAAGCAAGTCATATCAGGGGAGAAGTCCGTAATTGATAAGGGCTCAATATCTGAAACGAGGACCATATCCGAGCTTGATTGAAATTGCCAACGATATAGCCCTTTTGTTGTTGTCTTTACCAATTCAGTGTTGGAAGTGAACACAAGTTTTCCTTCTAAAAAGTAGTTGCACAACTCACCCTGGTAGCTTTTCAGCTTTCTACCAGTTGTAATGCACCATACATTTATGCTATACCGGTATTGATAATCGAAAGACCGTTCAACAGAGGCAAGAAGCTTAGAGTTAGGAGAGAAAGTTATTGTTTCCAAATTTCCATTTCTCCGATGAGGTAAACTACACACCTCCTTCGCTGCTTCAATATCCCAAACTGTTATCACAACTGAAGCTCCCACAGCTAATCTTTTTAGGTCAGGTGAAAATGCAACAAGGGGCGTCGAGTAACCGAAACCAAAACCCTTTCTAGTGTAATTAGGTGGGGTTGGGAGTGTCTGTAAAAGATTGCCTGTCTCGGTACACCAGATATAAACAGACATGTCAAAATGGGCCAAAGCCAGAAGTTTTGAGTCAGATGCAAATGCAACTGACAAGAAGCGTTTCTTGTCGATATGTAATGTATGCATCTTTTCGGGAGTATCTATGTTCCAAAGACAAATTTTCTCTGTATCCATCGATACTATTTGTTTCGAGTCAGGTGAAAACAAAACCGCATGGCAACGATAGCTGTGATGGTCTCTGAGGGGTAATATTCGTTGGCAATTGCCTGTTTTTGTTTCCCATACTCTTGCAGTCCCATCCTCTGATCTGGAGACTAGTAGTTGTGAATCTGGTGAAAATGCTAGTGAAAGGATAATATCTTCATGGCCAAATAAGGATTGCACGCGTGATTCCCAAGTATTCGGTTGGTTTAGTATACGAGGAACGCCCTCGCAAACATTGCTAATAAACGCTTTCCGAATGAGGCTGCATTCAGGTGCAAACGCCACAGCTGAGAAGTAGGTTTGTAAAGGGACAGCTTCTATTATTCCTCTATTATATTGAATAAAGCGAATGGCATCTTCAAGAAGCCCTCTCAACCGGGGTGGTCCCTGTTGCTGCTATTGAATAGGTTAACATGAGCGACAGTGATTTAGCTTCTCATTGGGACTTACAATCATAGCATCAAGTTCATACATCTTTGTAACAGGATGATCCATACTCCGCAGTATGGAAAGAGCCTCCAACCAGTAAAGGTACATCTTTGTGAAGAAAGTGTATAAGTTACCACAGTCCTGGATATCATTGTCCCTCTCCTCTTTATTTGCAGCCAGAAGATGGTCAATCCAAAATATGCACTGATAGCGAATGTAGGCCAATGGATCCGGACGTGGAGTGGCAATATTCCGAATTCGGGTACCCGGGGATTTAATGCCGTAAATATTACGATGAAGGCTTTTGGACATAGTATCTAATGAAGATTTGAATATATAATAATGTTTGCTCGCTATACCGGCTTGGGATCCTTGTTTGAGTACAAAATCTTTGGCTGATTGGTGAATGAAATAGACGATATCGTCTTTCACAGTGAGGAACGAGCCACAGAGCTGCGCGACTTTCCGGACATTCCTTTGTCCTCGTGGGTTTTCCGCTTCCACTTGCCACACAGAGTTGAGCTCTTCAAGATGTAGGGGCTGGTATGCTGAAATGGCTATCGAAAGAAGTTTTATGCAGAAATCGCGTCTTTGCTGGGGCTGTTTCTGTATCTGGTTCATCATTAAATCGTATAGGTTATTCAAACCTTCTGGCATCTGCTCCAGTATCTCTAGCACTTCCCACTCCATGGCGTCTTGAAGTTGATGAAGTACAAGAGCTACCCATAAGAATGTGTCATTCGCCTTACGCTCAAGAGTGTCACGAACTTTCGTTTTGAGTTCTTCACTCTCTTGGATAAATTCCAGGTGAGCAACGCAGTGGTCGATATAGCTGCGAACAGCTTGTGATACTGCTTCTGCATTCTCTTTGAGTTCGAGACTCAACGGGTTAACTGAGTCCTTTGACAGGAGTCGTTGTTGTATATCTTCCAAATTGCGGCTAGATAGAAGCCATTTTACCCTGGAGCTTGTTCTCACAACCAATCGCAGAAAAGAATCTCGATTTGTTGTTACACATTCGTCGAGGGCATCAACAATCAGAACAATGCGCGATAGTGTAGAGTCCTGAATAACAGTCTCGAAGATGTCGCAAATAGCAACCCAGCTATTCGGATTATCAAACAGTGACTTTCCTGGGCTCAAATGCTTCTCTCTAACGTAAGAGAGCAGTGATGTTTTCCGACGAGCAAGGCCAAAGGTTAAACCTCCAAGGATAGCTGCTGCAGTATTGATGCGAGAATCTGTTGCCTGGCAGAAAAAGTAGGCAATGTCATCCTCCGTGTCGTTATTCTCTTCTAGGCTTTCAATTACCCCACAGAGAAGCATTGTTTTCCCTTTTCCAGGGTCACCCTTAATCCATAGAATTCCGTTTTGCGCATCAAGCCATTGTTGGAAATCTCGGTGGCCAAGGATCCAACTATATGATTCACGCAGCAAAGGGCCTTTTGTTTCTAAAATTCTCATTTTGTCGAGTCTAGGATCCGTCTGACTCAAATCTCGAAGGTAGACATTGTCCGAGTCATTTTCAGCTGGTATGAATGGTCAGCTACATTGATACTGAACACAGACGGAATATTAATTAGTCGAACCTTGAACGATTTGGCAGTCGTTGTAGATGTTGTCGCCTTGGTGTACATTGTTGGAGTTACCGAATTTGTTTCCCGACAGTGTTTGCGAAGATGCCATTACAAGCAATCAGTAGAAAGTGTAACAATTGTCGCCAAAAAATGTGTTGGAAGATTGGAAGGATTAAAAGTTGAGGGGAAGAGAGATAAGGCAGCCTGATACAATAATAACGACGCAAGTTTGGGTAGCAAGGATGCAAGGAATATTATTATTCCTCAGACAAATGTATATTTCCGATTGCTTCTTCTTATTGGAAGACGTCGTAGCGAATCATATGCGTGCTATTTGAGCCAATAGATGAAAAGAAGACGTCGTAGCGAATCATACGCGTGCTATTTGAGCCAATAGATGAAAAGTCCTGGCAGTACAGCCGCGCCGTCCACATTGTAAAATAGTAACGGTAGAGTAATTGGGTATATTTGCAGCCATTTTTACACTCCCTCCCCTAAGCTTTCCGTCCATCGCCGTCTATACCAAAGCTTACAGGCTCCTATTGGATCCAGATTTCCCTCTTTCTATATGCACCATATCCGTATTGCATTCCCGACACATACAGACCGAAAAAAAAAAAAANAAAAAAAAAAAAAAAAAGTAAATGAAGCTATGTCATTAGCTCAAAAATAAGAACCGTGTTTTTGGTTTCCCCCTGAGCAGAAAAAATGTGATGAAATATCGAATGCCGCTGTCAACCAGGTATTCACAGCTCCTTTTGCGGAGCCAGACGACTTCCTGAGCGAGCAAACATCGGACTGCTGGGCCGACTGGATGTCGAAGCCACACCCTTGACGTCAAATGGATCGACGGAACCGAGGTGTTTTGAGGGCCCTAGGCGAGGGGTGCCCAGAGGCGTAAGAAGCTGTTCGATAGCAGGCTTTTCGAATTTTGCTACCCTAATGGCAGGAGGTCGGCCACGAAGAGGGACTTCTTCCGATACACTATACATATACGTTGCTAGCAGCACTAGCACAGTTCCTAGAAGGAACTACATATTTTTCAATTAGCAAGCTTGTAAGCCTTCATGAAAAGGGCATACTCACAGTGAAGGTGACTTTGAACTCAAAAACCCATACGCTGACGAGAAAACTCAGTATGATACTGATACTCGTAGCAAAGTTTTTGATAATGTTATCCGCGTCTCTAATCACCAAGCTGGCTAGCAAGCCGCCCGCCGCCTGCAAGATGACCGTCGCCCACACTATAGCGTTGTAGCCCTCGAAAAAGCCATGCTCGCGGATACCAGCCCCATCTTGCCACATGACGCCACCAAAGAGAGCGGCTATCATGGAGTAGAAGCTCAGCTGCAGGTTTCGTATCCACACACTGGCCTGGGAAGAATTCTCCTTGAGAATCTTTTCGAAATACACTCCAGTAAGGCCGGAGACTGCTGCGGCGATGAGAACTGCAGTCACACCGACGGAGTAGTTCATGGGAGGCTCAAGGGAGTGAAGGTCGTTGTCAATGCCTTCGTAGGTGGCGGAACGACGCGTGAGATGCGCAGGGGCATCGTCAAGAACGGCGTGGCCGAGCTCGTGGCGAGATCGAGGGAAGAAGTGGTCGGGCATGCCGTGGAGAAGAAGGGAATCGGCGCTGGGCACATCGGTGGTGGTGGTCGAGCCCGGAAGAGAGACGATTGAGACGCCGAGGGTGAGGACGATGAGAGCGAGCCAGCGCTTGAAGCCGAGCGGGCGACTTAGGAGATAGACGCTGAAAAGCGCAGTGGTGAGGATCTATAAGTAGTCGCCAGTGTTAGAAATGAAAGGGGCTTGTTTGAAGCCGTTTATTTCCTCTGCTCACCTTCAATTGGTACAGGACCTGGAAATGCACGGCATCCAAGTTCTCTATCGCCACATACTGCAGGATGTTCTGCAGCGTGTAAAACACCCCGGGTATAATCAGCTTCCACCCATCCGCCGAAAACATGGCATTGTATATCTGCTCAAACAGCACCGTCGCAGGCGTGCTGGGCGCCAGCGTCTTGGATGCTTCGTACAGGGCCAGCGTAAGGGAAACAGCCAGCTTGATGACCTCGTGGAGGAAGACGGCGGTCGAGGGAAAGTATCGATGGTCGCCTGCTGGAGGCATGATGCGAGAGAAGTGCATTATGAGAATAAAGGCCGAGTTTTGGACCGTCAACTATAGCGAGACTCTGTTAGCAACACTCCGATAAGAAGAGGCCATCCAAACGCACCAGAATCAGTGAGATTGGCTTTCCAGAGCTCCCAGCCCGGATTGCCGAGCCTCCGCTGTCGAGCACCGCCATGGCGGGCAGATTTGAAGCGAGACAAGAGCTTGAAGCGTGTCAATTGCTTCTGCGACGGATCGATGCGTTGAGCCCGTAGAAGAAGTAGAAGCAGCAGCTCAAGCTGTAGCCAAGAATGACAAAAAAAAGAATAAAAAGTCCAAGGCAGTCAAAGAGAGTTGGTGGTGATTGATCCGATCGGATGCCGGCCACGCGACACACACCCCTCTCGATTCGATGACGCTGGACGGGAGCTCAGCTCGAAAAGAAAAAAAAAACCAGGAGCGGAGGGTTGGGGCCGAAAGAAAGCTTGGCTCTGCTAGCGGGGACTAAAAACCAACTCAGGCCGCTAATAACGTCAAGAACTTGGAGGGGGAGGTATTCAAGCAGCGCCAACAGAAGAAGAGAAGGCGAAGAAGACATTCCAATGGCAAAAGCTTCTTTTCATTCGTCACATTCAACCGTTTTTTTTTTCCAAGCCCTCTACACCTCCTGTCGTCCGTCCCCACGTGCCTGATGTAACATCTCAAGGCAGAACCCCCTGAAGAGCCCCTGTAGCTCCTGTAGCTCAGTGACGTGACGCACACCCACTAACACAGACACATCCACTGCGCAACAGCGCCAGGACCCCCAGATTGCCACCGATCTGCGGGGCAAGCTTTTGTCAGACCCTTTTTTTGGGGACGCTTGCGGGTTGTCACCTCGTTGGTTGTGTTGGTTGTGTTGTTATCTCTATGGGCCTTGTTTGTCGCTACTATTGCCAACTAGGTGGTTAATAGTACATGGATGATATGTATTTACATAAACATAGTGGGCGGCAAGTGACCCGAAACTACCTACATTAGCCAACACGCAAGCTGCAGCAGTGAATTATTGCTCCTTGGCCAGTTGCCAGTGTCTCAGACATGCGTGGGCTAGCTCGTTTCTTTAGTGGCGTGTGTCACATGCGGTCCAACTGAGACCGTGGAAAGGCGAATTCAAGGAGAGAAGATTCTAAGAAGAGAAAGAACATAATAAAGACCTAAATTTCGCCCTCTTTAATTGAATAATTCAGGTATTTGTAAATTGAAAAATCCTGTGCAATCAACAACACAGAATATCCATATTTAGAGTTTATCATTGCAGCTATCGTTGGCTGCTGACTGTGCCTCTGTGTGACATCATCGTTAGCTGCCACTCCAACAGTGAGACAAGCGTGAATCAAACCAAGCCTCGCAGCCAACACAGCGTCTGAAAATAGGCAGAACGAGAAGCGCAAAAAAAGAGAGAAAAGAGAAATAGAAGAGGGAACAGAATGTTAAAAGATATCAACTGTATTTCTGCGTATATGTTCCCCTAGGATTTACCACGCCCCTACAAGACCATACATAGATGCAGACCAGCCTGTTCCACACGAGAAAAGAAAAGGAAAAAAAGAAAACAAATTTCAAACTCCAAGCCCCTGTTCTCATGCCTATGACCAATTTCCCGTACGCCGTTTCCCTTCCATGACCCAATGGTTTCATCATCGTCGTATCCGTCATCTCGTCCAAAAAAAGATTTTTAGCTCATCGAAAAATTTCTCTCGTCAATCACAGTATGACCAGACTGCAAGCCAGGGATAGCATCCTGTCTACTGAGATCGCGAGCCATTAGGTCCCAAAGCGCAAAGCGCTCGGCCATGCTCTCTCCAGGGTTCCTCTCTTGCTCCCGGATGCTATCCCGACGCTGCGGTCCAACCATCCGGTTCTTTCCTCTGAGCTTGAATCCCAAGTTGAGCTCGTAACCCTTCGCTTTCGGCCGTTGCGTGTATTCAGGGAGACTTGGCCGGTGTGCATGCCGTGCATCTCTCCTGCGGTAATTCCACACACTCTTCTGGGGCAGAAACATGCTGGCACTCATGGTAGGTACAGCCATGTCTCGCAGCCGTCGGTTGTAAAAGTCGCCCATGGCGTCCAAATGGTTGAACAAGTCTTGGTGGCTCTTGCTTCGAAAGAATGAGAGAGATCCAATGTCAAACGTTGGCGAGATTCCTTCCAAGCCTGTCTTGTACATATTGCTCAACTGTGACGCAAATGCTTCAGCTGGCGATCCTGTGTCTTCGCCATCAACAGTGTAGTTATCGCCCTGCTGCCAGTCAGCAATAGGAGTGCCAAGACGATCTAGAATACCCTGAACCATCGAGCTAATCAAGTCAATCCACGTAATAGCAGCGTCACCACGGATATCAAGGCTGCCCTTTCGGTTTGCTGACTCGATTGGCGCGTCGTTGCCCCCTAAGAACCAGGACACATCCGCATCTGCGTGCAACAGATCAGGGTGTTGGTCGATAAAAGATCTTACTGGCTGTGAATGAGTTCGCATCTCGTCCTTGTCCAGCAAGGCCTCGTTAAAACCGTAAGCAATCTCATGGTCTCTCATAAAGCGGAAGACATCGAATGTGATGTCATGAGTAAACTGTGCCTGCTCTCAATAATAAGCACAGATGACACAGCACTTCAGAAACAGGAGAGCAACTCAGATCAAGGGCCACTTACGCCAGGTTCAATTCTCCAAAACCAATCATAGTCTCTGAGCCGCTTCTCACTGGCGAATGGACCCGAATTCCAGCGTGATGTATGGCCAAGGAACGATGTCGACTGACCAGCTTCAGAGACATGCTCGCCATCGGTCGAGTCTGTTGACATCACATTGGATGCAGACGGTGGCTTCAGATATGTTGAAGATGCCAAGTTATGCTCAGAAATGACTTCGTAGATACAGATAGCCCCGGTTGCGTTGGAGGTTTGGCGTCTGAATTCTTCGCTCAGGGGCTGCGTGCTGAAGAAGACCCAGTGATAGTGGTACCGGTGGTTGAATGTCTCTTCGAGCTGCGATATCGAAAAAAGGACAGCGGGCAGGTCGCACTCGTGGGCGAGCGAGACGAAAGCTGCTTTGGGTCGTTGATCAGTAGCGGTAGAGATGGCGAGGCCATGCACGAACGATGACAGTTGGATCAAGAGGAAGATCCAAGCCATAGCAAATGGCATAGCCCAACAAGGCCAAATGTTCAACGTGCCGCGTTTCTTCGCCATGATGAGCCTCTCAGCGACGAGAATAGAAGAGAGACAACAAACTCGGTATTTGAGATGGAAGAATGGAAGATGGAGAGGCGAGTTGTTCGACGCGCTGTGTGATTCAAGGCGATGTGATGGGAAGTGGATAGAGAGAGAGGCCGAATAGGGCGATGCGAGAGAGACAAGAAGAAGATATGAGGTTGCAAGAATTCACAAGAAGTGAAAAAAAGGAGAGTGATGAAGCGAAAGTGAGCGGCAGGCTGGTCTGGTGGCAATCCAAGGAGCGGAAGTCGGAAAGTCGAAAAGAATGATTAACAAAAGGTGAAGAGAAGAAGAAGAAGAAGAAGAAGAAGAAGAAGAAGAAAAGGGAAGACAAGAGGGAAAAAATTCTAGTAGCAGGCGGCAGAATAACAAGACCGGTGAAGCGCTGTAGCTGGCAGCTGGAGGAGGAGGAAGGCAGCACGGCTGGCAGCTGGCGGCGGCCATTGCATGTGATATCGAAGGGAATGGGCTGTTATATCACACCAAATATGCTATGATAGTACGGAACAGTGCAAAGAATCATGTAGTGATCTCATAAATGTCATTCTAAAGAACAAAGATGCAGGATGTTGAGGCAAGTAAATCGACATAGAATTCCCCTGTATCCCTAACCCATAAATCTACACATATTCATACGCAATACAATCTAACAATGAAACCAGTCAAGCCGCAGCAGCCGTAAAGGATATAACGGATATAGATAGATAAAAACAGCGCTCGCAAACAGCGACAAAGAGGCCAATGAATTCTTATCCCCTCCTCCAAATAAGAAAACTACAACCAGCAAAAAATAGTGTGTGTCCATTCCCTTTCCCACCAGCGCCAGACTTGTTCCAGTATTTTCAACAAACACACACACACAGAGAGAGAGAGAGAGACATTTAACCCGTCCTGCCTCCTTCGGAACCTTTTTCTACCTTTTCTCTGGGTACTAGTTCTCTCACACAGGTCCAAATCCAATTAAAACAAACACAGAAAGATGCTCGATATACATGCGTGCAGTCACGCTCATTGCTGTTATTCTGTTATTCCTTCCCTTATATTTCGTGTGGACTGTTGCCTATGCCTCCACATCCATGGAATCAGCGTCTGCAGAGACATTATCCAGGTTCAAGTCTATCAGTCTTGCGTACTGGGACGTGACACGTTGCAGCTCGCGGAATTTACCTAATCGCAATCCTTGTTAGCCAGGCAAAATAAATTAAAAGATGAGACGAGGTGGATAGAAAGTCCATACCGAGAATAAGAACTACTCCCTTCAAGAGTTCTTTTCGATCCCATCCGCATAGCTGCTCATCCGAACTGTACCAGCCACGGCTGCTCGTCTTCTCAGACTCCTTATCCTCGAGCACGCCGCCCAACAAGCTGTTAAGAAGCTCCTCTACTTTACCCCTAGCTCCCTCAGCACCCAGGCGCTTAGCGTACATGAAGAGGTATAACCTAAACTCATCGCTAGCTCCTAGCTGCAAAGCACCAGCAATCCGGTTCTCCAAGTGGGCGATGCTGACGCTGCTCTCCAGGCCCTCGGACCCAGACTTTTGCATAACCGTCTTGATGATACGTTGCAAAGCATAGGCTCTCCCCTTGAGGAGAAACTCGTTTGTCGTGTGCCGTTCAAGGAAGGGAATGATTCCAGAGGATACGGTAGCGGCATGGCTGCCTTTGTCCTTGTCTTCTTTTGAGTTGGGTCCAACAGCTGTGGATTGAAGGGCAGAGATGGATGAGTCGTTCGAGTTCCAGTATTGAGAGCCCACTGCCCACCATGCCTCGCTCAAACGCTGCCAGGTGAACATATCCCGAGCGTAAAAGTAACCATCGCCGTTTGTCAGAGTCACTATAATATGGCCGGTGGAATTCAGGTGAGCAGACGTTATGCCGGGGCCTGGGGTGGCTGAATGCTGGTTTAATGATGTTGTGGCAATGTCAAGGATAGGGCCGACAGACACCGGTGGGTGAGGAGAGGATTGAGTCTTGAGATTCCAAACATGGACCAGTCCCACCGCTGTGATGGCCATCAGCCAGTAATCTCTGCACTCGAGAATGACAGGCTGAGACTCCAAGATTATGGGGTTTAGAAGGCGTCTGCCAGCAGGAGTCCAGATATGCAGTGAGCCATCCTCACAGGCTACAGCCCAGAAATGCTTGCTTGCAGTCACCAAGATGACAGCTCGCGGCATAAACTCCTGCCATACCAAAACTCCTCTCTTCGTTACAAGGACGTGGGCTGGATCGCGCGGGTTAGGATCGTTCTTGGCCTCCAAGATGATGTTCTCAGGAAGCTTGGATGCATCGTCCAGCGACGCCGCGTCCGGCTGCAAAATGCCTCGCTCGAGCGGCCGCAGGATGTGAGACCGTATCTTGGGAACTGCAAGGCGGACTTGGGCGTAAGAAATTGAAGGATTCAACACGGCCGGACGTAGAAATTCTGGAGTTGGAACAACGCCATGCTCGACGGGCACCAGTGCCGCATACTCTACACCATCAACTCCGTTGGTGACAACAGCTGTTGGGCCGCCCGCTGTCCGCTTGGCCGTAGGCTCTTCGTCGTCGTCGATATCCGCAGCATTGACACGGCGCTTGTTTCCAAGCAACATGGCAACAATTCCTCCCTTGGGTAATCCGTCAAAGGGCTTGCTGAGATCCAGAATGGTCTGTGGAGCGTCGTTTTGTGTGTTCTTTGTCGTCGTGGATCCGACAAGCTGGCTTTGAGGGAGGGAAGACTGTCCTGTCCCAGATGATGAAACCAAGAGCGGCGCCACTCGTTTCCTACCATCTTTCCCGACTGTCACTCGAGACTTTAATTCACGGACTCGCTCAGCCGTCTTATCCGCAGGCTCGTCCGGCTTTTCACTCTTGTCTTTATCTTTGTCTTTGTCTTTGTCTTTTTCCTTTTCTTTATCTCTGTCAGAGTCTGCGTTTCCATTGGTAGCCAGCTTTTCGGTCACAGATGTCGAGGATTCGGCTTTACTACCTTGGGTGGCTGGAGTGGACTCTTTTGCTGATTCAGGTTGGAAGTCGCCCATAAGAGCGCCCATTCTTGATTGCACAGCTCTTGATTCGCCAGCCTTACTGTGCTCCTCCAGCATCAGTCCATCAACGTCTTCAGCAATACCCATGCCCTTCCGAGAGCCACCGTATTTTTGTAGTGCCTTGGCGTTCTCCTCTTGTTGGGCCACCCATCCCAGCTCCCCCTCGTCAAACTTGGCCACAACCACGCTGCCGTCTAAGCTCGATGCAAACAGGGTTTGGCCGTCCGGCGTCCAGGCCAAGTCAGAGATGGATTTGCCCGCCAGGTCCTGGAGAATGACCACAGGCCGGGAAGTGTTGGTGTTCCAGATACTGAGAGTCTTATCCTGGCCTGCAGATGCTATAACAGTAACCAGCTGTCCTCCATGACCATTTGCTGCCCCATTCTGTCCTGGCTTAACAGTGTGGAAGAGTCGCGGCGAGAACATGCACACCTCGGTCGGCGCCTCGTGGCCAATCAAGTTGATTTCGCTGTCCCATCTCGTCCGCTCGATGATGGCGACGGAGCTAACTGGGCCATTGACGGCATTGGCGGCTGCTATGTGGTTGCCATCAGGGGACCAGGAGCACCGGCGGAAATATGTGGTCAAGGGAGAGCTCTTGAAGGGAGAGCTGATGGTCGCATCGAGGACAAAATTGTTAATCATGTCGTGCTGCGTCGCATTCGGCGCGGGAGGGGTGAAGCGGAAGATTTTGATGGTTCGGTCGTCGCTGGCCGTGGCGAAGAACTTGTTGGCCGGGTCAAAGGTGATGCCCTTGACGTGGCTCTGGTGCGCAGGGATCGACTTGAGCTTCTCAAACGTGTGGCCCGACCACACAACCACCTTGGAGTCGAGCCCGACCGAGACGAGCAGCGACGAGTCGTAGGACCACGCCAGGTCCTGGACGTCGTTTTCGTGGCCGATCAGGCGCTTGTACGTCTTCCAGTTCTCGACGGGCGGCGGGTCGTTGGTGCCAAAGGTGGGCGCCGGCGGCCCCTTGTCGAGATGGTAGACGCAGATGAGCTTGTCGTCGGCGCCGCTGGCCAGATAGCGGCCATTGGGCGAGAAGCGCACCGAGTGGATGGTGCCGAGATGGTGGCTCATGTGGCAGAGCTGGCGCGGCTTCTTGTAGCTCTCGTCATCGGCGTGATAGACGGCCTCCGTAGACCAGATGCGCACATGGCCATCGCCGCCCGCCGTGGCTATTCGCTTGCCGTCGGGCGAGACGTGGCAGCTGTAGACCTCGAAATCCTTCTGCTCGCCGCTGTGGCTAAGCCACGAGGGCTTGATGATGCGCATGTCGACGAGAGCGCGCGGTCATCCAGGTGCTGATGGCGGCGGATCTGGCTGTGCTCTGTCTGTGTCGTAGACTCGATCTGGCGCGGTTCGAGGGTCGCTGCGACTGGGGGCTGGATGGCTTCCAATTGGTATGTTGAAGTGGCCGCGGTTTAGCCCAGCTCTCTGCTGGAGCCGAGAAGGGACGCGAAGGCGCGTTTTCGCTGCTAGGCTGGTTGGCACCAAACGCAAGCAAGTTCCAGTCCAAAGTGGTGCCGAGTTGATTGGCAGTGCCGGAACAAGTTTATTGCGGCTCTCTAAATCTTCCGCTGCAAAGAAGCGTCGAAGCCGCAGCTGGCGATGCGCCGTGGACGGCTATGACATCATGCGACATAATGCAACATAATGCAGGGTCTATTGTATGAATCGTCACGACAGGTGTGCATTTTCAACATTATGGACTTTATAACCGATAGTACATGAATAAATAAATAAATAAATACCAAAAACCAAGGCTATTTTTTTTTCCCACAAGACGCCGCAATTCAGATAAAGTACACGTACAAGTATTTGGCATAACATCGACGTAAATCATTCGCATCATGATCTCAAATTCGCATTCATCACACTCTCACCGTAGAGGGTTTGTTCATCAGTCTCTCGACGCCGTCTGGCTCGGGAATGGTTTCTGCAGTGCTGCTTGCGTCGAGTTGAAAAGGCTGGTGGCTGTCGGGCTCACTGCTTTGCGCACCAATCGATTCCATGGTTTCAGCAGTTTCAGTAGTGCCGGTGGTGCCAACAGATCCAATCGATCCAATAGACCCGACTGATCCATCCCTAGCAGAGCCTTGACACTCCACTTGATCCAGCTTCAGATCTGAATTGTACCTCAAGATGGATTCTGCCACTCCTCTGGCAATGTAGTTGTTGATAAGCGCAGCAATCTCATCGTCAAGCGTCTCAATGTCGCGCACCAACGATCCCAGCGCGTGCCATCCAACCACGTTCTTGGCTGCGTTGTTCCAAGTACTGGCTGCCGCGCACACGCAATTCATTTCGAATTCGAGGACTTTGCGATATAGTTTCAGCAGGCGTTCCCTCACCCCATCCTGCTCTCTGTTGAAGTCGGCGTCACTCTTCCATCCGCTGGCGAGCAGTAGCTCTGATAAGTGCATGTACCATGGGATACGCCCAATGACATGTACGGCGCCGCGCTTCATGTCCTCTATCTGCATTGTAGGGCCAAGTAGAAGCTGCCAACCCGGATTAGTTTCAGTCAGATACACACGTGCCAAAGGATAACAAGTATCTTACCGGCGTGAGGATTGTAATGCCTGACCAGGCCACTGCGGTAGAGGGGTAGTCGGCCCAGACTGATTTTATTATCTTCTTGGACATTTTGACCAAGATTCGAGCATAGTTGTCGACGGGACAATTGGATCCTCGACATTTTCTCAGTCCCGATTCGGTAATTCTGATCAGCTGCTTCAGTCTATCGTCGTCGGCGCGCGGAAGTGTCTGGTTAATTCCGCCGATGGACTGATGTGGTAATTCCTGGCACAAGATGGACTCGTAGACGGTCACCAGACCAGAAGATCTTAAGCTATTGCGTATTGAGTTGTAGGCGGCAGTCCAGAGCTCGAGGGAGATTTGCGTATGTCGTCCATATCCCTTGGGCGCGGAGAGAGACGACGCCGAGGGCACTCTGTACGTGCCTAGCCATTCAGGCGTGGCAACGCCGCTGCCGGTATCAGAATCATCGGGATTTGGCGTGTGTGAATGGGAGTTGTGATGGAGAAGCCGGCCGACCAGCTTCCTGAGACGGCCGGTGTCAGCGTCGGTGGATTTTGTCATTGGGCCGACTCGATGCGTGCGAATGCTGGGTTTTCACAGGCGATGCGCAGACGATGATGGAGGCACACGTATACGTTTTATCACCGCAGCCGCGCGAGGCAAGACCATGGCGAAGCGATGAAAGGGGATGTTTACAAAAGCATGCTACTGGGGCGAAAAACGCCGGGTGGGCGATGGCGCATAGATATCCATTCCCAATTTTTTTTTAGAATCCATGTACTGGCCATGACAAGCTTCAGCCTACCGGCAGGTCGGCTCGCAGTGACGTCTGGTGGTGTGCGCCAGCCCACCCAAGCCCCGGCGCTGGGCCGGTTCACAGCCGGTTCGGGCTTCGGCCATCGGGATAAGCAGCGCGGCTGAGGCCTCGAGGCGTGATGGCATCATGGTTTCCGGCTCCGACCAGCGTGGCTGCAGCTGCAATTGCCCAATCACCCCAGAGTCTGGCCGGTGGTGGGCTGCTGCGCGCTGGGTCTGGCTAGATCTCCGCGGCTGGGTCTGCATGCATCCCGGGCGTGGACACTGTATCGCACAGCGTACCCGTAAATATCCGTGCTATTCGCGTGTCCGAGTCCACGGGTCCAGCTCAGCTACAAACTAAAAAATGCCAAAGAAGAGGGTCGAGGGCAAAAAGCTGGAAATGCGGGGGGATTGATCAGTCATGACGAGCAAAGGGAAGCCAGAGGAACGGCCATTACGTTGCCGTCTGGGCTAAGCAGGGAAGACTAGCACCTAGCAATGGTTAATGTATGGAGATGGATGGAGTTGCATGGAGAGGGATGGAGTAATTTGTAGTCATCCATGGCCATCCGATTGCTGCGGTAGAGAGAAACAGGGTCTGAAACAACGCCAATCACAACGGCCCATCCCACTTTTGCATGCTTCGCACGAGGCCTGGAATCATAACCGTCGCCTCTCCTCTCCTCTCCTGGCATCAGCATCATCATCAGCGCCGTAGATGGATGGTCTCCCGAGAAGCGCAACGTCTCTCCACCTTCTGTTTTGGACAAAAACAAAGACAATCCCCATTCGCCGCCGCTGAATCGTGCACCTCGCATGCTAGTCCTGCGCGGCAATCTTGCCTTGATTCGGCCGCCTTGTTTAGAAAATATGAGCCTAAACCCATCATGAACCATTGGGCCACCCACGTTTCGGGACCACGCATGCGATCGCCCATAGTTTGTGCGCGCAACACAGAAACAAGCAACACCCGCTGCAGATGATCAGCGTTACTCGGGCCTGAGAATTTGTCCACTCGCCCTTTAATTTCCAGCACAGGCCCTTTGAAGTCAGTGCGACCGGCACATGAGAGCACGAGCACTCACTCGCTGATGCCCTATGAGCGCGCCTTGGCTAATCAAGATGTACATGTAGGCGGATGGCACGGAAAAGGGTGCGAACAGATTCGAATTGATTGGGCTACAAGTGAATGAGACCAGCATGAGATGAGCCCATCATCACATGTGCACACACACACAGGCACACACATGAATGAATACCGCCGTCGGGTCAATACATAAAGGCGCTATCCTTGCCGGTCGTCTGAAGCTGCGCGCTCTCCTCACTCACTCTCGGATGATAAGTCGACTTCAAGGACCCATGTACGCTTCCGCACAGCAGAGCTGAGCACAATAACTGCAGGTTCATGCTGCCCCATTCGTCTCCGTTGCGTCAACTGAGCTGTTGGGACCGTCGACGCGCCCTTTCTATTGTCCGGCTGGCTGCCAACTGTCAATAGAGGCAGGGGCTCGAATACTGCCGCTGGAGACGGCTTCTCACCGCACACCTACAAACAGAAACTTGTAAATCTCTGCGGCCTTGCTTTCTCTTCTCTTCTTCCCTTCCCCCTTTCCTCCAGTCACGCGTGCAAGTTGCCCTCCCCTTCTCGTGCACTCAAGCGGCTCCCACTTGGAGTCCCAGCCAAGCACTCGACATTCACAACCTCCATCTCGGCAACTCCAACAATAACTGTGCCATTTCAAAGCAAAAGGACGAAATCCCACAGACAATGTTTCCCACCATGAAGGCCTTCACCATCTTCGCGAGCCTGGCTGTTGCTGCCGGCGTGAGTGCCGCCCCTGCTGGCTTCCAGAACAGCACGGGCATTACTTGGACCCCAGCGCCTTCGGATCAAACCACCTGTGATCCATCCAGCTTCGCCCAAGGCCCAATAAACGATGCTGCCGACTGGCGCTTCTGCGCTGCCCTCTCGAGCTCCTGGTCCAGCACCAACGGCACTTTCAGCATCCACGACGTCTCTGGCAGCAAATACATCCCCGTGCTCAAGGAAGAAGGCTGTACTTTGGGTGTCAAGGCTTCGATGCAGGGCCAAGGTCCCTACACCATGGGAGACCGGGACATCAAAGCTATTCTCAGGATTGCGCTGCAGGACTACTCGGATGGAACCGATCTCTCTGTCGAGGGCAACGTCAAGTGCAACGTCGCTGCCGGTGGCCGGGCTGGTCTGAAATGGCAAATCTATGGCCAGTAGACATCCTCCGTACTGTCTACGTATATGGGTGGAGAAAAAGGACAAGTTTTCCTTTTTGCCGCCTTTCTCGACCTTGGTAGCGCACTCTGTGAATCTACCATTTACGGTACGACTGCCATGATTAGAGTATTCATGCGGCATCGATGAGTACTAACTCGGGGTATTTACAGGGCTGGGATTATGCTGTTTCGACGACAAACTGGCAGGGCGTTGATGGAAGGTGGACGGCGTTTATATGGGCTCGTACACAGAAGCCAAATGCTACAGTTTAGCCAGTACAAACAGACAGAAGATATGATATTGCACATTTCTTAATTTAAAAATACAGAGCGTGCTCTTCTCGACAGTAACTTTCCATCAGAGCTACCGGCAATGCCACAGAGAATAAAGAATATGCCATCAGGACTTCTACTAGGCCATGATGTGAACGAGAAAAACGTGATGTCTCTTGAGCAGAGAGTAAAGCTACAAAACATGCATGCATGCGTAGGTACATGTAGAGTGCGGGCAGAGCAACTCCACAAAATCCTCCAAGACAGCATTTCATCTACACGACATCTATACGTGTACTCAAATACTCAAGCTGCAGCTTGGTTACCTGAAATTAACCATCACCTAACATACTCCGAAGCTAATTCTTGCCGCTGGGTGGTAAATAACACGTACCTATTTACTTTACAGCTACTAGTAGGAGGTTGAAGAGGTAGTTGGTGCATAAAAGCGTTAATCTATGTTTGCGTATTACACACCGAGTTAGTTAAGTTCCAGTATGTATATATCATCTCACATCTTGGCCAGGCAACCTTTCATTATAAAGGGACTAGTCAAACTTTTTCCAACGCTTTATGTACAGTTTCTGCTCTAGTCAATATATCGGATTGAATTAATTGCGACGATTCCAAAGTATGCGACCAAGATTTCACCTCAATGCCAACATCGTCGTTGATTCCGGGTAGCCAACGGTGACAAAATCTCTAGTCTCCGTTCACTGGCTGCAAAGCTTTAGTGGCTGCTAGGCATTGGCTAGGCGCAGAAGCCCACTAGGAGCTGCAGTAACAGCTGGCAGAGCGGCCTGTGCGCGCTGCCAGCTTCACCTCACTTCACTAGAAGCTCAGAAGCCTTGCCGCCCAAGCTGGGACTAGACTCAATCGGGCCATCTATTATGCTGCAGCAACTCGATGCGCGCGAGGCTCGTCGCTTTCCAAACTTCTTTTTCCATTCTCCCCTTCTTCGATTCTGATCCGCCTCATCGATTGCTGACGCCGAGAGCTGTCGATGAGATTGCAAGCCGGCTGCGACCTTGATTAATCCCCCCTGCCCAATTTTCTTTTTTTCCTTTTTTCCGCAGTCGTTTCCTTGTCTTTTCCTTTCTCTTCTCTTCGTTCCTTTTCTTCCACCCGACGCCGCGTTTGACCACGAAAAATTCAGAAGCAAAAAAAAGCCAACCTCACGTCGCCTCGTCCCTCGACCGAGTAATGACGAGACTCGCGCTGTCATTGTCGACCTAAGTTTCAAGGCACAACAATGGCGGCTGCCGATGTCGACGTCGGTTACATCGCAGGCCACCTAGGCCTTGACCAGCCTGTGGTGGCGGCCTTGACGGCACAGCCGACGGTTGAACTGGTTACTACTCTGTTGCAGGCCGTGGCTGCAAAAGCACACGAGTTCGAGACCTTGTACGCCGAGAAGCTCCAGACGGACATTGAACTGGAGAATGCCGTTCGGAGCTCCGAGACCAAATCTCAAACCTTCAAGGGGACCGCTGAAAAAGCTCTCAAGGATGTCGAGGAAGCCCGACAGCGACTCAAAGAAGAGGGTACGTGTTTTCTCGCCTTGCGGTAGCCTTGATGCCGCGTTTTTTTTGTTCTTAGCCTAACCGCTATGTGTGCTCTAGAAACTAAACGACAGTCTTTGGAGAACGATCTTCAGAGCTTGAGAGCCAAGTACTCCGATCACGATGCTGAAGTCAAGGCCCTCAACGATAAGATTGAGACTCTCCAGTCTTCGAACCGAACAAACCTTAGCATCATCGAATCCAATAACAAACGCGACCAGACCTTGACCGACGAACTTACCAAGCAGCATCAACGAAATGTCGAGCTTGCCCGCGAACTAACGACCCTTCAGCAGTCGGAGCAAAATGCCAAGGGCCAGCTTAACAGTGCCAAATACCGACAGGAGGCGCTCCAGCAGCAGCTAGACTTGGCCCGCCAAAATGCCGAGTGGCTCGAAACGGAATTGAAAACCAAGAGCGACGAAGCCCTGAAGTACCGCAAAGAAAAGGGCTCCAAGATTGCCGAGCTTCAGAGACAAAATGAGGACGCCAAGGCCCAAATTGATGCTCTTCACCGTTCCGAACAGCAACTACGCGAACGTCTCAATGCTATGCAAGCCAAGGCCGATGATGCCCTCGTCAAATTGCAAAAGCAGGAGGGCTCCTTTGCCGCGACCGTCGAGAGCTACAAGCAAGAATTGGAGGACCAACGCCGGCTTGTTGAGATGTCTGAGCAGC